ACATCTTAAATAGAAATAATAATATTATATAGTAAAGAAAGATATCTAGCCTTTTAAATACTAAGATATTAATCTTATTAGATACCTGCTAGTAATACTAAATAATAATAAATAAATTATTACTGCTATTAACTATATAATAGGATAGGTTATTCTAAAAGCTATTCTATATACTATAAATAAAATAATAGTAAAATTCTTATATAAAGAGATATTTACTTAGTATAGCACCTTTAATAAGATAGTATTTAATAATAATATAAACCTTCTATTATATATAGTAGAGATCTTTATAAAAATCTTAAAAATAAAATACTATATAATAATACTAAATTATCCCTATATAAACAGAAAGAATAAAAACCTTAATAAACTCCTAAGATAAATACTTATAAAATATTTAATAAAGAAACTAATATAGCTATAGGATAAATATCTTTATCTAGCTATATTTATAATATAAATATATACCTATATAAATACTAGTAAAAGCCCCTTCTATCTATTATATAGGATTAAACTAAGATTACTAGAAGATATAAGAGAACCTATAGAGGAAAATAATTATAATAGACTTATAAGAGTAATATATATATAAGTACTAGTAAATAAGAAGCTATTAGAATATTTAATTAAGAGAGGGATAATCTAAGATTTATAAATAAAAAAAAGTTATCTTAAGATAGGCTAATAAGTTCTTATATAAAATAATAGCTCTTAAAAATTTAAGAGTAAGTAATTTAAGCTATATAAGATAATTAAGGCCTACCCCCTTAAAATATATATATTATAGGAACTAGGTAGATATACCCTGAAGAACCTTATTAATAAATAAAGATTAGTAGAAGTAGAGGTAAGAGATAACCTATAATATTTATAAATATTAATAAGTCTTAATATTAGGCTATAGAAGGTAGGTCTATTAATCTCTAATCTAATTAAAATATAAAAGGTACTTAATAAGATTAACCCTCTAATACTATTATATAAAGCACTATTATAGTATATAGCAGAAGGATATAATAAGTAAAAATATTTAGAAGAAAGTTTATAATAAATAGGGAAGGGATTAGGGATATAATATAAAATAAATAAATAAAAAACTTAATATACTAATAAATAAAAATTAGTAAGGAATAGCCACCTTATATAATAATAAATAGAGTTACTAAAGCTATAGAATAATAAAGACTTAACTATTTTAGATAATAAGGACTAGAAGGGAATTTAAAGTAATAATTTAAAATTAATACCTTAAAAAAATACTAGAAAGATAGATTTTAAAGAATTATTTATAATTATAATACCTCCTTATTAGGAGTAAACAGAGTAATATAAAGATAATATATTTATATAAATAGATTAGAAAATAATACTATACTAGAATTATATTCCTAAGAAGAAGAAAAGAAATTATAGACTAATAGATTTTACTAATTAAAAAAAAAAACTAATTATAATAGGGTATTAAGAATCACACTAATTAACTAAAATAATAAATAATTATTAATTAAAAGTTTAAGTTAAACTTTATATTAAGAATCCTATAAGATAAGGCCTTAGCTAACTAGAATAAATTATTATTATTACTAAAAGAAGATACTAATTCCTCTAGATAAGCCTTAATATAATAAGTAAATACCTAAAGATCCTAAAAAATTATAAAAAGATTATAATAATTACCCTAGTTAATATAACTTACTAGCTAGGAAATATAAACTCTATTAAAAGAATTTTTATAACTAAGTAATAATAAAGAAGAATAATACCTAATAAAACTCTTTATTAAGGTTATTAATAAGATACTTACTAAAGTATAAGAAAAAGTTACTATAGTAGAATTAACCTAAGAGAGAGAGAGAGTTAACCTAATTAAATTATTTTAAGTAAGAGAGGGAGTTACTAAAGAAGAACTAATCTAAGAATAAGATAGAGTTATTATAGTAGAATAATATCTCTTAGTTAGACTAATCACTATTACTATAGAATATTTTAAAAAAAGATAATACTTCTTAGCTAGAGCCTCCTCTACTATAGGAGAAGAACCTTTACTATAAGAAATACTAAATAAACCTATCTCTACTATAGGAGAAGAGCCTTTACTATAAAAAATACTAGAAGGACCTACCTCTATTATAAAGGAATTAATATTATTTTTTATACTAGATTATATATACTTATTATTATTTAGAGAACCTTTACTAGCACTATTATCTAACTTCTTACTATAATTACTAGTTACTACTACTAGCTTAGCAGGCTAATTATATAACTTATTATTATAATTAGTAAGGAAGCTAAGACTACTAGCTTAAATAATAGATTTATAGAAGTAAGAAAGATTAATAACTATAGATAAAAAATATTTACTAAGAAGAATATATACTTATTAAGAGTATTAGAATCCTATATATAAAAATCCTATATATAGAATAAATATACTAATCTTTAATTACTTTAAGTATAGTTAGTATAGGATCCCTAAAAGAATATAAATCTATTATAACTAAGAGTAGAGATATATCCCCTAAAGGAATCCTTACCTAAAAAATAATTATTATAAGCTAATATATAGGTATGAGATATATCTTACTACTAAAGAATAGTAGCTAATATATAGCCTAAGTAAGTATATTTCTTTATATCTAGCTTCTTCTTATTAAACTTCTAGGTAATTAAGTAAATAATATTTATTATCTTTAATATACTTTTATTAGGCCTACTAAGATAAGCTTCTACTACTAGTAAGAGATAATTACTAAAGCTAGGAAGGGTACTTACTAAACTTATTAAAAATAATTATATTTTTTTAATAGATAAGATAGCCTTTACCCTTCTTTTATAGAGTACTTATATTTACTAAGTATAAGAAGAATATAGGAGACTAGTATATAAAGAAAAAGACTTATTAAAAGAGAGATAGTAATTAATATAATAAAAAGGAAGATACTTACAGGGGGAGAAAAGAGAAGGAGAAATATAAGAGATAAAAAAAAAATAAGTAAGATAAAGTAGAGTTACTTAAAATTAAAATAAATAATATATAACCTTACCTTACCTCTACTATAATAATTATACTAGTAACCCTACTTACTAAGTAATCTAATACTACCCTCTAAGTAATCTAATACTACCCTCTAAGTAATCTAATACTACTCACTAAATATAATCTAATATTACTTACTAAGGATAAATCTAATCCTACTTACTATGTATAATATCACTCCCTTAGATTATAAGGATCTTTTAGTAAAGAGCTAGATAACCTACTAAGGATAGGCTTTACCTTAAGTAGGGGAGGATATAATATTAGTGAATAAATATTATAAGTAGATTAATAATTATTAAGGTTAACTCTAGGTTACTAAGGTTAACCTAAGAAATTTCTATAATATCTATAACTTATCTTTTAGATAGATAGCCAGTAGCTAGGTATAAATAGAAGCTCTTACCCCAGGTAAGTGAAGAGGCATTAGCCCAGCCTATTTCTCTTCACCCCTGGTGATACTACCTTACCCTCAGTAATACTAATATACTATCTATATATAATTTAATCTTTATAATAAATACTTAGTATATTATATAACTTTCTATTAAATATAACTTATAATTTATAGATAGCTTAGTTAATATTATAGGGTGCTTTATAGATAGATTATTTATAGTATTTAATAACTATTTTTTATACTTTTATATAGATAGGAATAATTTATTCTAGATTATTATTATTTACTCTAGAAGGTTAAGTCTCTATATAAGAGCCTTATTATTTATATTCTCTAGATTAGAGATAGAGATATTAGTCCCTTATCCTCTATTTATATTTTTATCTTAGTCTTATAAGATACTTTAGGTTCCTTATTAAACCCTTTTTTCTTTTCTCTATAAAGACTTAATAGGCCCTACCTCTATAGCTCTTTTCTTATAGATTATTTCTAGAGATCCTAAGGATTCTTTATAGGGTTTATTAATTTCTACTTTATAGGAGGTATTCTTTTAATCCTAAGATCCTTTAGGGGCTTATAAGCCTACTCTATTAGTTATTATCTTTTCTAATAGACTAGTTATAATAGATTAAGTATTAAAATTATAAGAACACTAGGTTTTATATAGGAAATATAACTAGTATAAAAGAATAGCTTAGATTTTAAGAATTTAGATAATTTAAGTAGATTAATACTAGGTTGGGATTCTTCCTCCATGAGGGAGAATTTACCCAACCTGCTGCTTAGTAAGGGCTAACTAAGAGATACCCTCGCGTAGGCAAGATGGATATCTTCACTATACTATTAGGAGGCCTTACAGGTAGGTAGGCAGGCAGGTAGGCAGGCAGGCTGGCTAGTAGTAAGATAGCCTAAGTTCTGTGGTGAATCCTTCTTTTAAGATAAAAAGGGAAGAAAAAGGGGTTCTGAATAGCTTTAAATTTCTTTTTCTAATAGAAGTTAAAGTAGAAGAACTAGATGAAATTAGGAGAACTAGAGAAGATAGTAGCCTAATAGTTCTCCCTAGTAATTTTAGTGTATAAGCTATGTAGAATTCTTACACTAAGTTTACTAGCATGCTGGATCCTTTTGCACCACACCTTTGTAGATAAAAACATAGGAAATAAAAGAACTCACAGTATAAATTAAAGATTTAAAAACTATTAAACAAATTTATAATGTTAATTATATATAAACTTGATAAAGCCGTATAATATAAATTAATAATTAAATTAATTATATATTAAGGAGCCCAGGTCATGACTTTTTAGATTTTAAGGTAATGCATCATAGTATCACATGACAACACCTCTGTACAGAGTAAGTGTAGTGAGCATCTGTCCTAGTAACATTTCACTAGTGGGGGTGCTAATTCATATGAACCTGATCATCCTGCTGGGTAACTGACTTTGATGAGGTATCCCCACCATCCTAAAAATTCAGCCATGGAATATTCAGGTAAGGAGAAGTGCACCACTCAGCCACACCAAGTATCACTTCAGCCAGAACACATCCCCCATGGGCCAATCACAATCCACAACATCACAAGAGGACACAGAATTCTCAGGATCCAGCTCCAGAGAGCACAAGGTCGATTTCTATGAACTTCTTGCAATCCCACACAATGCACCTTTGGATGAGTATGTACCCCAATCCTAGAAGGCTGCATGAATGGTTAGGACTGATTCCTGTATCGCGACACATAGGATCAGAAAAGCATACAAGAAGAAAGCACTCGAGCTGCATCCAGATAAAAACTATGGCAATGTCGAAGCGGCGACAAAATTATTTGCAGAGATACAATCAGCATACCAAGTCCTTTCTGATCCCCAAGAGCGGTCCTGGTATGATACTCATCGAGATGCATTCTTGAGCCCAAATGGAGCGCACGGGAAAAGCGAATACGCCCGTGACAGCCAAATGATAACTTCAGATGATATATTGAAGCTGTTCTCGCAATTCAGCCCTGATATGGATTTCTCAGATGCCCCATGTGGATTTTACGGTGGCCTGCAAGAGGTCTTCTCCAAGATATCCCTCGAAGAACGAACAGCTTGTCGATCACAAAATATGGATGTCGTTGATTACCCAAGCTTTGGGAACCAGCAGGACAGTTTCGAAGACGTCGTCAGACCGTTTTATGCTGTCTGGAGTAGTTTTGCCACCAAAAAATCCTTCGCTTGGCGAGATGTGTATCGCTACTCCGAGGCACCAGACCGCCGTGTTCGCAGACTGATGGAGAAGGAAAACAGACGTCTCCGAGACGAAAGTATCCGCCAATTCAACGAGGCCGTGAGGTCACTTGTAGCATTCGTGAAAAAGCGGGATCCGCGGTATAGAGCTGGCATTCGCAGTGAATCGCAACGACAGGAATCCCTTCGCCAAACCGCCGTGGCACAAGCTGCCAAATCAAGAGCGGCAAACGAGGCAAAACTCCGTGAGCACATCACACCGGATTGGGCGAAATCGGAAGAGATTGACGATGAAGATTCGGATTTCTCCGAATCCGAACCGGAGCATTTTGAATGCATTGTGTGCAGGAAGGATTTTAAAAGCTTGAACCAATTCAACGCCCATGAGCGTAGCAAGAAGCACAACAGAGCAGTCAAACAACTTCGATGGGAAATGAGAGCAGAGAGTGATCGATTAAACTTGGACCAAAATGAGGCCCAGCAAGGTGAAGTACAATCGATGCTTGAAGATGGCGCCGCAAGAAATTTTTCCTCAATCAACCGCCGTACTTCAGAAGACAAAAGCTTTAGTGGAATATCTGGTGGATTTTATCCTACTGCGGCGTCCAATACACAATCTCCTCGAAATGGAGATTGCTCCAAGCACATGGGTGAGGACGATTTCCCGGTTACCAGGGACGATGATACCGATCAGGACTTGGACAAAACGTTCAATGAAAGCATAAACTTGGAGGCAAATCCCGCCGAAGAAGCCATCGAGAACACCAACTCGCCATTCCAACAACGTCCTTCCGACGCCAGCGAAACATCGCCTGTTGCACCCCCTAAAAATATCGGAAAAGCCAAGAAAAAGCGAGCTTGGAAGTAGCTCGCGAAACTCTCGATCAATGAACAAAATTGAAGTGTGCAACGTGCAACGCTACTTTCTCCAGGACCCAGCTTCTCACCCATGTAAGAAAATACGACCACGCTCAACCGCAGTTAAGGTAGCAGTTATTGCAGGCCGAATTCGACTCCCACAAATCAGACTGGTTAAATACCAGGTATCTTCCCTGTGTAGTAGTAACATTTGGGATGGTTATAAAGTCGCTATGGGAACTTTCAGTCGACCCAATAACCGCCATTCAATCATAAAGGAGATAGTGAGTTGATGAATTCATTGCACTGCTTTAGTCCAGCCAGATTGTAATTGCAAATCCTAGCCTGGGATCTTTCCATTTGCTATTTACAGTTGAGGGTAGTGACTTAATGACCTCAGTCAACTACCCTAATCCAGCCTTGGAATTCTTCACGACATGTGCGACAGGTAGGAGGATTCCCTTGTTGTTCAATGCACCAAGAGGTGTTCCTGAGCTCCATCCCATTTTTTCGAGCATTGCCCTACCCTTGTTGCCCGCTCCGATGGCAGGAGCCGACGCTCCAACGACGTCACCATCCATATAACTGACGGACGATTCGGGGCGGCCCCGGCGAGATTTTGCTGATCTACCGGAGCTTCCCTCGCCTAATTTAGAAGCGCGTCGGTTAAATTTCGCGCTCGATAATGTTTTGTCTACTTGAATAATCGTTCTTTGCGTATAGCTCGGTGTGCGAGAGGTCCTATACAGGACGGGAAATCGAGATGATCCGTTCCCTCGAGAGTGTGATTTGAGGGACAACGCATTCGCCATGTCATGGACAAATTTCCTGTGCTGCTTAGCCATGGGCGGAAGGGCCAGGCTGAGCAAAAATCCAAGTGTCAGTTATGTTCGTATAATGTAATGATAACGCGGAGTCATAAGCATGGCGCGTACCTATCCTTCGATGATAGGAGAAACTTTCGCGTCTCCAATCTCAACTCATTGATGTCGATGCCATCTGAATATCTAATTTTGAGGTTAGGCATTTCGGGACCCCGACTTAGTAGACCCTGTGCGCGAAGCTCTTCTCGTCTCTGTTTCCTTGTTTTCTTCTTTTCTCTGTCATTCTGCCATGCTTGCTCTAGCTCTAGTTCAAGCTCGCTATCCGATAGCAATAGGCCGAAGTCAGGCTGCTTTCCCTTTTTTTTCTTTCGAAGACTAGGTCTGTTGAAGTCCATGATATCAAACCCATAAAAAGGATCTGTCTCCAATGCATCCGCAAATGCTGTTGCCGAGGCAATATGGTGCGCTTCTGGTTTGCCGCGATTCCGGTATGGGTAAGATAAACGGCTGGCCTGTCTCTCGGGTTTTAGCTGGCTGTGAGTATCTGCTCCAGTGTGACGAGTGGATTCCTCGATCTCGTTTGTTTCGGATGCACTAGATGTAGTAAGGCCGACGACGTGAGACGAGTTGCGGCTCACAGACGTAGGTGTGTGAGAGACGCATTCTCGCTCGTGCATATGGTCTATTCCTTTCAACATACGGTTGGGGGTCATCGAATGAGTAAAATCGGGCAAACATTCACCGACGGAGCTGTGTTCCTTATGCCCGCACTCGGGTGGGACATCCCCGGAACTTGACCAGTGAATGTCCTCGTGTGTCATTTGCATCTCGGAATACTCGCTTTCACCGGAACCAGCAGAGACAATTGAGTTTCTCCTGCTGTCCTGGTTGCCACCGGCTTCACTGCTCGAATCCTGATGGGCGTCGGGCTCGCAATATGAGTTTTCGTATTCGTCATCAATGTTTGCTATGTAGTCGGCAAGAACGTCATCTTCCTCATCTTGGGAATGTCTCGATCTCCTATTCTCTAGAAACAGGCCGTTGGTCTCTATTGAGATGAAGTCATCTTCATGCATGATACTCGACTGCGCCTTTCCACTTGGCCGTGTATGTCGCCGTGATCCACGCGAGGCATTTGCTTGCCAGTCGAATCCGGCAGTTTCCTCCACTTCTGTCAAATCGCTGGCATTTAAGATGTCATCACCCAATACGGTCTCCGGACCGATATGATGTTGAGACGGCTGCACACGTTTTGCCCTTGCGTGTCTGCCAGGGAAGACTATTTCATCCTCGCTAGTGCTTTCAGGGTTTGCGTGTTCGATTTGCGTGGTGTGCCCCCTTGATTGGCAGGTGAGCGTTTTTGGGTTCTGGTGAACTGGCTGACGAATTCCTTCCTCGTTTTCTTGGCTGTCTTGGTTCAAGATACTATCTTGACATCGCGCATCTTTGCTTGGTGCATCAAGTCTATCGCCCTGTAGGCCTGCACTAACGAACTGAACTGCTTTGTGGCGAAAATCAGAGCCCGTCCGCCAAGTGTTCCGTCCCTCTGTGTTCATAGCTTCCTGCTGCATTGTGAGATGTTGCTGTCCAGGGGCTTTGAATCGTCAGAGATATGCCTTTCAGTGCTGCTATGCATGGATTTATAATACCTGTGCGGTTCTTCACTGACATGGCCTTTTGGCTTTGACGGCGTGCCTTTGCTTTATTGTGTCGAGCCATGTTCTATTTCTGCCTGGTTTTCCCAATGCTGCTTGGCTGGTTGTGGACGGTATATAAATTTTTGTGATATGAATACTCATCGGGTTTCACTGCATTATGTGTTGCTGGCAATCCTGATGGTGCACCAGAGTATATTTCTTTGGGTTCAGTTCCATGAATGAATATAGGTCTGCATCGTTGATTTTCATTGGGGCTTACTGAGCTTGGTAAGAGCACGTGGGACTCGGCGGTGAGTTTTCCACGGGAAGCTGTGACGGGAGGCGCTGGTGGATAGGGACGACGTATTTGGGTCAGATGTGTATCTGGTATGAAGAATCCTATACTACATCCCCATGAACTGGATTGTATTCTGGTAGAGTAGCGAATTCTTGATGCTGGGGAATATCCCTTCTCGCCCTTCTATGTAATCTCACTATGTACTGCATATTGATTACATGTGTATGGTGATCCTGGATACACACTTTGTGTCGGCTATATAGGTCAGGCGCTCTAAAATTTTAGTGTCGCGCTATCTCAAAGGCACCTAACCTAATATAGTAGTCATCATAGAAATTAAAATACATATATTATATGCTTAAGACAGCAAAACTCCTAAGCCTTTACTTATAATTTTATTTTTCTTGTATGTTAAGGAGCTCCCTACTATACTGTGTACTCTATCCCTTATAAGCTGCTCTAAATCTGATTAAATCATCTATAAGATAAGTTACTTTTAACTCTGAAATCTCTACGGAGTAAGTACTTAGATTTCTATGATACTAACTATATCGGGCTAAGTACTTTGCACTGGCGCGACACTAAAATTTTAGAGTGCCTGACCTATAGTCTCTCCTGTGTCTATGTGGGGTACTCTTGACTTGCCATGGTGGACTTCATCAGGTGTGTTTTTGATGGGAAGTGATAGCTACCTATAGGTGGCCTTTTTTCTTGCTCTGTTGTTTATGTGTGCTATTATATGTCTTGTCTTGCAATATGATATATCCTTATCCCTTTCCTTCTCCTGCTCCTTGGATTGTATGTGAATAGGTGTTGGCTGGGTTCATGTGGAGTATATTGTGGTCGATGGATATATATATTACCTATATATATATGAAGGCATGTCATCTGGCGATCAGACCAACACATCAGCCCCTCATAGTATCTACTCAAACACCAGCTTAATTCACCCCATCATCAACAACCATGACCAAGGTCAGGATTTAAAATAGATGCACCCCAACATAGGTGCTGAACACGCAGAATACACAGAATACACAGTCAAGCCAATCATCTACCCAGCTCACCCTCTGTCTTCCGCACTGAAACTAGGGTTGAGCACAGGAGCACCAGAACAACAAACCAATATGCTAACGTGACGTAGGCCGCAACAATCAGATCATACCAGACCACAGCAACAGAAGCCCTCAAAGCATCAGCATAAATAAGAGACAGCCACAGGAAGACCACTCAGAATGAATAGCGTGGACATCGGGCGCTACAAGCGCATTATAAACTACCTCTGGGATCCGGAACCCAGAAATGACCTACCAGATGAACCAATATGGTGCTTAGGCATACGCTACCCTCCGAACCATCGTGGATGGAAGACACAGGATCAGGGTCAGTCAATACACCGGAGAACGCAATATAACCCCGTCACTGCCCCCCTCGCTAATGTCACTAGCAGATGGAAGCGCACAGGGCCAATATGAGCAGAAGACCATCCCAACGGAGAAGGCAAATGAGCATCAGTGGCCCGAAGAGTTTCTTGACGACGTTGAATCTAGGATCTGGATCACATATAGATCGAACTTCACACCGATCCCGAAGCCACCCAACCAGGAAGCGAACCCAGCCATGACATTGACTGTGCATCTAAGAAGTCAACTTATGGACTCGCAGGGGTTTACCTCTGACACAGGATGGGGTTGCATGATAAGATCGGGCCAGAGTTTACTAGCGAATGCAATGCTCATCTTGTTGCTCGGCCGCGGTAACAAGCAATACCCCTACCCGCCTACCAACTATCAAATGTCACACACCGCGACGACCTGCTAATGAATGTATAGACTGGCGCCGGGGAACAGAAGCTGGAAAGGAGGCTCAGCTATTACATCAATTCGCCGACCACCCCGAAGCCCCATTCTCGATACACCGGTTTGTGCAGCACGGTGCCGAATTCTGTAATAAATACCCTGGAGAATGGTTCGGCCCATCTGCCACTGCCAGATGCATCCAGTATGGTCCTAGCTTGTCGATCAGGAATGAAGCCCACTAACGGCACAGAGCACTCGTGGCTCAGCAAGGAAGCTCCGAACTCAGAGTATACATCACTGACGACACCGCTGATATATACGAGGATAAGTTTGCCCGCATCGCCCAAGCCGAACATGGGGACTTCATCCCTACACTCATCTTGGTTGGGACACGACTGGGAATCGACCATGTCACACCTGCCTACTGGGATGCACTTAAAGAAGCACTGCAGCTCCCCCAGTCAGTGGGCATCGCAGGGTACGTCCACTTTCCCAAGTCGTAGCCGTGCAAAGGGAATCGCATGGACTGCATGCTAAATTCATCAACAGCGGGCGTCCTTCCGCATCACACTACTTCATTGGCGTTCATGGCCAATACCTATTCTACCTCGATCCTCATCATACTCGTCCGGCATCGCTACATCAGGATGTCAACGACACCCTCACTCACGAAGAAGTCAATACCTATCACACTCGACGCCTTAGAAGAATACATATCAAAGACATGGATCCAAGCATGCTAATTGGCTTCATTATCCGAAGTAGAGAGGACTGGACTGACTGGAAGACTCGGATCCTGTCTGGTCGGGGAAATTCAATCGTACATATTCTGAGCGAAGATACTGCCAATCACCAGGCCCGCAAAGAGGCGATTGACGAGGTAGAGGCGCTTGATGACTGAATGCAGATAGTCATCTTCCACGGAAATCAAATTGCGATCATCCTTCGGGTTCCTGCATCTACATATACTTCCGTAGATCCATTGGAAACCACATCGGCCACGTTGATGAATCACCATTAAAGAAATTGAATTCCGAATTTTGGGAGGGGAAGGAAATCATCCAGCAACCTCTCAAATGCGAGTTATGATACACTGCATTCTCGTTTCGAGTGAACCATGAAAACATTTCACCCAAAGGGAAAAGGGGAGTCAAAAAGAAAAGAGCAATAGAAAAATTCAAGCCGTCCCATGACACATTAAAAAAACCCGCAAACACCCAGTAACCTACCGCCTCAAAACCATATCAGATAACGAGGCAGCAAAACGACAATCCCGAGAAAAAGACGCGAGGGAAAAAAAGGAACCGAGAAGATATTGCTCATTTGGCAGAAGAAGAGTACTTTGTCACTGCCTTGGTGCCTTCCGATACGGCATGCTTAGCCAATTCACCAGGGAGGATAAGCCGAACGCTGTTATAAAAATTAGATACAGACGAGTAAATCGAGATCGAGCTACTCACGAAGTTTGGATCTCTCTCGACGAAATAGTAGATTTCTTGTTGTAAGCAGCCAGTTTCGAGGCCTCAGTAGCGACACGCTCGAAGATGTCTGAATCCAAAGTCAGCCCATGAGACACAAATCGATCAAAATGTAGGTAACTCACCATTGACGAAGGAGTTCAGGATGGACATGGCACGGGTCGAGATACCGGTGTCGGGGTGAACTTGCTTGAGAACTAAATAATGATCAGTTGTTGTCAACCTGCCAGACTGCGACTGAACGAACCCTTGTAAATGTATGAGGAGTAGGTCTCCTTCCTGGTCTTTCCGCGCTTCTTCTTGTCACCGGAGGCAGCGGCGGCAGTCTTCTTGCCAGCTTCCTTCTTCTCGGCGGGAGCCTTTCCAGCGGGGGCCTTGCCACCAGTGCTAGGCTTCTTCTCGGCGGCTTTGGGAGGCATTTTCTTGGATTTGAGCTTTGAAAATTGAAAAAAGATAGGTTGTATAAGTCAGGCGACGATGTGGCACGGAAATAGCGAATTTGACAGGTTGAGATGGAATGAGGAGAAAGATGAGAATGAGGGAGACGCGGTGACGAGGGAGGCGCGCTACTTATACCAGCCCGCGAAACCTCAGTTGATCTGAAGTACACGAAAGGAGCAGAATTTCAATACCGTCACAAGGCTGTATGATCCGTATGATTAAATTAAGGCTGGCCCGTCAAATACTCTAGATAGTCGCGTCCAGCCACGCTAAAATAGCTGTATCATATGTTACAAGCATTTATTACCCCACTTATCCCAATTTGGAACCTAAACATAATGCTAGTCCACACAGATCATAGCTCATAAAATATGGGTGCACGGTAACATGATCTTACTGGTGATTGGTCAGCCCCGCTAAGCGAGAGGGTGATCTGAAGGGTGTTTAGGAAGTCCAACGTCACCCTGAGCGCGTCATTATAAATCTTCATCTATCCCTCGCGCTGGCCAGCATCTTCCCCAGTTTACCTTTCAGTATTTACTTTTCATTTCGCACTAACTCATCGCGTCTTCGATTCGTTCACCGTCGCAGAAACACTTTTTTTTTTCTTTCAATCGTACCTGAATATCCCACGAATTCATCAAAATGACCGGAGGCAAATCTGGAGGCAAGGCCAGTGGCAGCAAGAACGCGCAGTCGTATGTTTTGAGAACCATCCAAAGCAACCCAATTTCAGCATCAGTCTGACCCGTTATAGTCGTTCGTCGAAGGCCGGCCTCGCGTTTCCCGTTGGTCGTGTCCACCGCCTGCTCCGCAAGGGCAACTATGCCCAGCGTGTTGGTGCCGGTAAGATTTCTACCGATTTCTTTAATGAAGAACTGTAGCTAAATTTTCGAAAAAAGGTGCCCCTGTCTATCTCGCTGCAGTCTTGGAGTATCTCGCTGCTGAGATTCTTGAGTTGGCTGGAAATGCCGCTCGTGATAACAAGAAGACTCGTATTATTCCCCGTCATCTCCAACTTGCCATCCGCAACGACGAGGAATTGAACAAACTTCTGGGTCATGTGACGATTGCTCAAGGCGGTGTCCTGCCCAACATCCACCAGAGTAAGATTAGCCCTTCCCTCTTGATTTGGTCAACATGCTGACAGCCGTTTTTAGACCTTCTGCCCAAGAAGACCCCAAAGAGTGGAAAGGGCCCTAGCCAGGAGCTGTAATTTGTTCTCTTTCTGCTTTCTTTTCCTTTTGTCTAGGGTTTCATTCGGCGCGCTTTGGTTTCTCATGATGTGATAACGGGGTTCTGGGCTGGGCACAATTACGGCTCTGTTTTTCATGCTCTGATTTTATTGTTGTACATTATGTCTACGGACATTGAATGATACCGACAGCTTTTAATTGACTTGGCTCGCGGCTAATGCTTGAAGTGACTTGCGAGGCGATTCAATCATGCAAAGACCCGGTAGCCCTTCTAAACCGCCAAACCCCGTATCGAAAGGAACACGGTCTGCGCATGTACGCACGTAATTTGTTGATAAACAGATCATCAAGAGTCTCGATATATGCGGCACGTTTTGGCATTAGATATAGGCCCACATACTTCCGGTCTGAGCTTAGTGAGCTGCTGCCCTTTCGGGGGCATCTGAGAGTATTATGAGACAGGGCACTATCGTCAGGAAAGGACCACGACGTACAAGGTAATTGGCGAACAGGCAGGTTCCTCTCGTATTTCGAACCTAAGAAAGCGTCTGTCAATTTAATGCTCTTTGCATGTTGAGTCGATTAACGTACCACCAGGGGCAGTGGGTGCGCGATACGGATCGGGATGTTTCCAGGTTTCTAGCAACTTTTCCGTCTCCCGCAGTAGTACCTGCCAGATATGTTTGTATAAGCTCCTTATTCCTGGACCTGGGGTGACAGGAGGCTGTTGCTGGGGACAAGGGAAAATACTCTCTGTTGGCGAGGATCGCGGATGTCCTTATTCGCCTCAAAAAGAGAACGAATATACACAGCTTGTCCTCGCCATACTTGCCTATGAACTGCCCAGTCAAGTGCAAGTTTGAGGCTTCGTCGATAAAGTGATCTGTGAGAGAAGAGCTCAGTTAATCATAGCTCGTCATTGTCTCAATAACCACTTACGCAACAGCGTTGACGGACATGATGGGCCCAATTGATCTTGATCGATATGAAGAGCAAAGTTGGAGGAATTCCTAGTTTGCACAGGGTCTGGTCCACTTCTATCAATATGGTTGTCGGGAGCTTCGTTCCATTTTGGTGGTGATAGATCTGCCAAGTTGGTCTCTCACAACAGCTGAAGTACCGTAATAATAATACTCCGTCACTTGCCGGGCGCATGGAATGCAGGTTGTCTTGTTGAGGGAAATTCCGGTTCTTTCGGCCCGGGCTGTGCTTTCGTTGTCTCCGTACTGGTTTAAGTTTCGTCACACTCTTGGTCTGTACATCACCCAGTCACCGAGGTGTGAATTATCGCGACGTGCCGAAGATTCTCAACAGAGAAATTCAGAGCTACCCAGAATACTCAAATTCACGTTCAAGAGATACCTGTGTTCATACATCGTCCTCTCCAACCGTGTTGGAGAAAGTATCGTCTACAACTTCGGAAAACCCGGGTGCACCATGGCTTCTAGGTTGCCCTTTCATCGTCTCTCAGCGCTCCAGCTGAGGACTGTTCCTCGAACTGCGCAGAGCTCTCGTATGCTTTGTATTGGTGCTCGCAGAAGCATCACCTCGAATGCGCTCAGAAAGCTCCGACCAGACGCGGTCTTGCTGCAAGCTCCAATCCATTGGTAAGGATATCCAAGGGTTGTTTGTCTCATTTAGATATGTTGACTGTTGGCTAACCGCCATTTTCATAGCTCCGATGTGTCTCAATATGGTCTCACTCGCCTAGGAGGCTATCAAGTCAGAACCTATGGTATTCTGTTTTCTTAACGTTGTTAGGAGAGTGTAGTGCTAATGCTGTTATAGCTGATACCATAGTGAAGGTTCCTCAAATGGCAGAATCAATCACCGAGGGTACCTTGAAGCAATTCTCGAAACGTAAGCTTGGTCATTTATGTGATTGACCCGATGGCTAACTGTTTGCTAGAGGTTGGCGACTACGTTGAGCGGGATGAAGAAATCGCCACCATTGAGACAGACAAGGTATGAGTGAAGCAAAAAGAAAAAAAGTTAGGATGTTTCTGTTAACACTATTGACGCAACTCAGATTGACGTATCGGTCAATGCTCCTGAATCCGGAACTATCAAAGAGCTCCTTGTGAACGAAGAAGATACTGTGACGGTCGGGCAGGACCTCGTCAAATTGGAATTGGGTGGCGCCCCGGAACAAAAGACTGAGGCGGCGACCGAAAAACCAAAGGAGCCCGCAGATGTTGAGAGGCGCCCGTCTCCTGAAGCTCACGAGCCCAAGACCCCGGAGACCCCGAACGCCCCTTCACCTTCTGAGGAAAAACCCACTGCCCCGAAGCCACAGCCCAAGGCCGCAAAAGCGGAGACTCCTTCTGAGACTAAGCCGAGCCTTGGAAACCGCGAAGAACGTAGGGTGAGTGTCAAATCGCCTAGGTATCTGTTGGCCCTTGGATCTTTGCTAATTCGCGGCTTCTCATGCGCTATTCGCCGGTAACAGGTCAAGATGAACAGAATGAGATTGAGGATCGCTGAACGCTTGAAGCAGTCTCAGAATACAGCCGCGTCTCTCACCACGTTCAATGAAGTTGACATGTCATCTCTCATGGAATTCCGAAAACTCTACAAGGATGAGGTGCTGAAAAAGACTGGAGTCAAGCTTGGATTCATGAGCGCCTTCTCTCGTGCCTGCGTGTTGGCTATGAAGGATGTTCCCGCCGTCAATGCGTCGATCGAGGGCCCCAACGGCGGTGACACTATCGTTTACCGTGACTACGTTGATATAAGCGTGGCCGTCGCTACCGAAAAGGGACTTGTGACCCCTGTTGTCCGTAATACTGAGACCATGGATTTGATTGATATTGAAAAGGCTATCGCAGACCTTGGCAAGAAAGTGAGTTACATTGTTGGCTGACATGCTACGGACACTCACCCTTAATAGGCGCGTGATAACAAATTGACAATTGAGGATATGGCCGGTGGCACTTTCACCATTAGCAATGTAGGTGTCATTTTCACCCATCGGCCCCGGATTATTCTCTCTTGATTTGTGCTGATCTAGCTCCAGGGTGGCGTTTTCGGATCTTTGATGGGCACTCCCATTATCAATTTACCCCAGACAGGTTCGTATATCCCGGTCCTGTGAGATTGAGATATGTCTAATTTTGTGAAGCTGTCCTCGGACTTCATGCAATCAAGGATCGGCCAGCAGTTGTGAACGGCAAGGTCGAAGTTCGTCCGGTATGTTGCCCTCGTCGAAAGGTCGACTGAACGCAGAATGCTGACACTGTTAGATGATGTACCTTGCTTTGACATACGATCACAGACTTCTGGATGGACGAGAGGCAGTTACATTCCTTGTCAAGGTTCGTTGTCCCCATGTTCAGTATGCTAGAATTGATTGACTGATCATGATCTTGCACAGGTCAAGGAATATATTGAAGATCCTCGCCGCATGTTGCTCGGCTAGTGGTGTTTGATGTGTGGATTGTCTTCAACGGTTCTGTCTGTGTCTCCATTTGTAAATTATCATAATCCGAGCACCAGAATACAAAGCATACTTGGTGCAGTCGGTTCAATCGGGTTGCGTCCTGATCCAGCCCCATTATCATACCTCAACCGGTACTGTAATGACAGTGGCCCCCTTGGGGCACATACCATTTCATCCCGCAGTTAGAAGACGTCAGTGATCGTCGTATCACGAGAACTCCAGCTAACGCAGCCCAGCTTTACACAATAGATCTCGTGTTTCTTTGCGGCTTAGCCCTCGGAGTTTGCCTTTTTCAAGCTGTAGGAGTATCGGGGGGCAGAGTTTTTTCATGAGAATAGATAAGAAATCTATAATCGCATCCCCAAGCCGATTCAGATGCGACTGTCTCAAAGTCGTTTCGATATGTGTGAGCATGGAGATCCCAGGTGGTGGGTGTATATATTCATTGTACTTGTCGGACACTTGCTTCCATTTAGATGATCGCCTCATAAACTCGGGTATCTGTTCCATCTGCTCATTGAAAATATTCATTGATGAACCATCGCAAATCTGGTGCTTCCCAATAGCCGCTTTTAGCATAAGCTGGGCTGCAATATCGGTCCAATCGGTTTCGCCAATGAGGTCATCCGCAACAGTACAGAGAGAAAGGAAGCTAGGAGCAATGGCACAGAGAGACTGGCAGAGTAGGGCCTGCTTGTTGCTTGCATCGTACTGTGATCTTCCTCCATTGGGATTCAGGGTAGATCCTCGGCGTGTCCTTGTGCTCGAAGATCCTGCTCCGCATTCAAGCGTTACTGAGTCAACCTCGATATCCGATGTACCATGGGAAGCGTTCCGGCAGCAGATATTGATGAGGTCAATAATCTTTAGCTTGAGAGTCATGTCACGGGAGACAGTCTCGGGCTGCGCAAGTGACGGCGTCAGATCTAGACACGGTACAGAGTTTGTCAGTAATGTGACCCCCTGGGTGGTCCAAGATATGTGTGGTATAAAAACGTACTATTGGCAGTCCAGAGTAGCCAGCCAGCACTCTGGCCCTGAGCCTGTCCCTGCTCTCCCCTCTGCTGTGTGCAGATAAATGCATTGATAGCAGTGCACACTAGGTAATCAAGGATGAGAAGGTCAACCTCACCTTGTGTGTCTGGGTGTGCCTCGTGTTCTTCCATTGTGCTAGAATCTGCATATATAGATATACAGTCCAAGGTACCCCTGTGATTGGTTACCTACCAGCAGTACTGATCTTCATGCTAGGCTTATTTTTTGTGGGTTGTGGATGTCTGATGTTGGAATGCTTAGTGATAAGCTATATATTCACCTGATGTTGATGTCAACCGTCAAGTAAGCTTCCTGCAGGGAGTAGTCCACCTCTTATATCTCTTTGATCGGATGGTCTATCCATTATTAACTTCTTGTTATACTTATGAGGGAATGATTAGTCTTACAGAATGCATCTAATTCTAAAACATCATTAATATATTCCCCATCTAGTGCATCTCTTTTTCCTATTCATTTGCCTGTGAGTTTGGTATGATGGAATTGCAATGCATATGTATATCTGATATATATATCTGCTCTCAAGCTATGGGGATCATCATTGTATCAGAAATGTCATAATTATGATGTGGATATGACCAAGTAATTCTATCAAACCAGGAGGCTCTACTCAAATACAGCCTTACACAAAATGTGAATCATAGGTCATATGTATGTGTATGGTTAATAGATATCCAATATATATCTATATATGTGGTATGATTTATTATAAGGGTAATGTTGACATAATTCGTGCCCATCATGTATGGTAGATAGATGCTGACTGCCCTCACACATTGCCCCTCTCCTCCATCCCCCCTCACTCCCTCCAGTTATTTGTTATTCTAAACCCTCACATGTTACCTACCTATACATATCACCTGTGAGTGGATTTTTAAAGGCAGGATTTACTGAATGATAAACAGGCACATACGAGCCCTCCCATCACCGAGCAAGTTGGCAAGAAGGCAGTCATCGATGGCCTGGTACTGTTCTGGCACGACCAACGCGGAGTTGGTCGAGAACCTGTACAACGAAGGACTGATCAAAAATGATCGAGTGAAAAAAGCCATGATGGGAGTGAGCAGTCCCCCCTCGCTTCCATTGATTTTCACTCGCCAGCATATGTCCAGGAGCTCAAGAGCGATGATTCCACCTGGCACACCACAAGAAGTATATTCTCGTCCTGACCTTGAAGTTTCAGGTTGATCGCGCCCATTACGCACCCTCACGACCGTACTCCGACTCGCCCCAACCAATCGGCCATGGTGCGACGATATCAGCTCCACACATGCACGGCCATGCCTGTGAGTACTTGGTCGACTTTCTCAAACCGGGATCACGAGTGTTAGATATCGGCTCGGGTTCCGGGTACTTGACACACGTTCTCGCCAATCTCGTGACAGACCTGTCGCCGGTCGATGGCACCGGCGGCCAGGTCATTGGAGTTGATCATATACCAGAACTGGTTGACCTAGCTCGAGCAAATATGAGCAAGTCAGAGCAAGGCCGAAAACTCCTGGACTCTGCAAAAGTAAAATTTATCATCGCCGACGGTCGACTCGGGTGGAGAGAGGGGGCCCCGTATGATGCGATCCATGTGGGTGCAGCGGCAGATAGGCTGCACCCGCTGCTAATTGAACAGCTACGTGCTCCAGGACGGTTGTTCATACCCGTGGATGCGGAGAACGATGACGGCCCAGTGAGTAGTCTTGCGTTCGGTGGCGGGCAATTCATCTGGGTGGTCGACAAGAAAGAAGATGGCTCTGTTCAAAAAGAAAAGGTCTTCCAAGTGAGCTATGTGCCATTGACGGATGCACCGAAGCGATAAGCCATTCATGATTGATCGCTCATTCCTCTCCATAAACAATGAGGGCCAGAGAGGGTACCTAATAGCCAATGAAAAGAACAAGTGAAATCTGTCTTAATCCAACCGTGAAAATGATAAATACAAGCTCCGCATTCCAAGGATACATATCCTAAGCCCTGCTCGGCAGAGGCAACACAAAACATGCGCTTAGCGTACATTACCAGGAAAAGGAGACAATCAGGGGGGCTGTTAACAGATGAAACGTGCTAGCGGAATGGAAAGCCTCCAGGGAAATTGAATCCCTGACCCGAGAATTTGAACTGCGGTGCGCCTTGCTGAAAGAAGAATTGCTGACCCCCTCCAGATCCAAAAGGGCTTCCCTGGAACGGGTTTCCTCTCTGTGATTCTGGATCGTTAGGATCATCGCCATTATCATACCGTGCCCTGAGCTCCGGATCAGACAAGACCTCGTAAGCCTCATTTATAGCGGCCATTTTCTTCTCAGCCTCCTCCTTAGTGACACCTTGAGAAATAGCCTTGTCAGGATGATGCTGTTTTGTTAGCTGTCGATAGGCTCTTTTTATTGTCCGTTCATCTGCATCACGACCGACGCCCAGCACTTTATAGTAATCCTTCTGTTTGGAACGCTTGAGGAGTACATGGGCTTTTTGCAAGAGCGTTTGGACATCCCGGGACCCCGGATGATGTTCCCTGGCATCGTTGAGCGTGCGGACAGCGTCCTCGAAACGTTCTTCGTCCAGAGCCACCTGGGCGTTATATAGAAGTGCAGCCAAGGAGTGGGGTGTCAAATGGGAAGTTTCCAGACAGTAAGCAGCAGCCCGTTTTAGCATATTTGCCTGAATTAATGACATCTGGTTAGTTACAGCAAGCATTAAGCAAGGATGTTGTTCACGAACCTCCCGATAAGCTTCACAAGTCTGTTCAACCAAGGATGAATATAAGTTGCTTGAAGCTGCGGAATGAATGTGACCGGCTTCTTTTGCCCGTTCAAAATCATCTTTGATTTCGTCAATCAAACCTTTCTCGGCCCCAGCACCAACAAGGAGGTTGATGGCATTGTTAAATTTCCGCGCGTCCATTGCATTCCGTAGTTTTTCCAATATCTTTATCAGTTTCCTCTCTCTTTTGTATAATATATTGCAGGGCTTTGAATCGGGATCTGAATGTAGGCATTTGCGGATCTGCGAGATACCACGGTCACGATCCCCCAAGGCATAGAACAACATCGATGATATCTGCAAATGGGGCTCAACTAAGCGCGGCGAGATCTGTACAACATGGGCAAGATCACTGATTCCTTCTTCCATCTCACCCTTCTCGAACCGACAATGCGCTCGAGTTTGGCGCAATGCGAGAGACGTGCTTGCCTTGAGGATGGCTGTATTGGCTTGGTTCACACAGAGTTCCCAATCACCCCGGTTTTCTGCATCAGACGCCTGGAGGGCAGCATCACGCGCTTTTTGAAGTTCCTCATACTCAGCAGAGACCCTCTTACCGGCCTTCTCAAGGTCATTGAGCGCCCCTTCCCAGTCAGCAGACTTTGCCCTGAGACGAGCTCGTTGAAGTAGCGCACTTTCGAAGTCTGGCTTGAGCTGGAGAACGCGGTCAAAATCACCCAAAGCTTGCGAGCTCCTTCCCAGAGATAAATAAGTAGCGCCTCGCTGGAAGATGGTAAGGTAGTTCGTTGGGTCTCGTGAGATAGCCGCATCGAAATACAGCAATGCATCGCGAGCGAAACCTTCAGCAAGATGGGCTTTGGCAGAAGCAATCAATGAGGACAAGGGTGTGTCCGAAGGTATATTCGAAGCCTGCAGGCCGTAGCTGGTTGAGAAACAGGCCAGAAAGACAGTAAGTGCTTCTAGGTTGATGAGCATCTTCATGTTTCGAGCTGAGTTGTCACAAAGGGTCTAGAACGAAATGGCATCACAGAATTAACCATGTAAGATAGGAATTCAGAAGTGAAGGACCGGTATAATCAGTAGACCATGAAGAGGCCGTTAACCGATTTACATGTTTGATTGCAGGAAAAGTGGCATCGTCTCATTTATAAGACCGAGTGAAGATGGAAGATCCATTGGATATACATACCAATGCTTAACCTTCCAGTCTGGCCTTTACATGAGCTATACACGATGCTGTATCATTTCTTGTAATTTACCTCACGTGATGGACAGGGTTAAACATATCTTGGAGTATTCCATATCGCGAACTGTGTAGTATGTCCCTGGTTTGTCATCAATTTTTGCAACTGACAGATGAGAAAGAGAAAATCTAGTACCGTGCTCTTGGGCCGTGTTGAATTCAATATCAGGTGCTGCAAGTTCAATTGAGTCCCATTTTCCGGTCGGATAATGTTCGGCTTCTCCTGGATATGCTCTCGGTGCCTCGCACGATCCGCCCGAGCTACTACTCCCAGCCGGAGAGTGGTGTTACAGTCGCGGGAGTACAGCTCAAGTAGGTTAATTCGAGTTCTACATTTTTAGCAGCGGATCTTGACCCCATACATGTGCTAATATTCGCTTTCGCTAGATTTACACCTCTCTCCAGTTCTACTGGCTCGTGCGCGCTCACTGGCAGCTGAACATGCAGCACTCTCCAATCAATTGACGGATTCCTTTGATGCGAAAATCGCAAGGCGAGTAGGTGAGCTATCCACAATCGCAAAAGCCTTGCAAGAATGGGATACTGCAAACAATGTAAGTAGGAGGGAAGGACTGGCCTTGCCTCCAGAGCATGACTAACATGCTACCGCCTGTTTTAGTCCTTATCAGAGCTCCAATCCCTGATTGACGATCCAAGTATTGATTCGGAATTGAGATCTCTGGCTATTGAAGATCTCAAGAGTAATGGCCGTGTTTTGCCTTCGATATCAGACGCTCTGAAAAAGTCCTTAATCCCTCGTCATCCCTTCGCAGATCTACCCTGTCTTCTTGAGATCCGTCCTGGTGCGGGGGGAGATGAAGCCGGTCTTTTTGCTTTCGAGCTTTTGAAAATGTACACCGCATTCTGTTCGCGGCGTGGTTTTCCATCACATGTGATCAAGCTGGACGTGCAGGATGGACCTTCCGAAGATCGACTCAGTGAAGCGGTTATCGAAATCGATGCAGGTGGGGCATATGACCTCTTAAGGACCGAGTCGGGGGTGCATCGGGTACAGAGAGTGCCAGCGACGGAAACAAAGGGACGCACACACACCAGTGCTGTCAGTGTAATGGTTCTCCCAAGCTTCCCAGATACCGCAACTGGCGCAGAAGGTGCACTGAATTTTGATGATCCGAATAGCGATTATTATATCGACCCACAAGAAGTTCGCACCGAAAAGATGCGCGCGAGTGGAGCAGGAGGACAGCATGTGAACAAGACAGAGTCAGCCATCCGGTTGACTCATATACCAACAGGAACTGTCGTCTCAATGCAGGATTCTCGTTCCCAGCACGCGAACCGCAAGAAGGCCTGGCAGGTACTGCGAGCGAAGCTAGCAGAGGCAAGACAGGAATCCCGCGAACAAGAACTTGTTGAATTGAGAAGAGGCGTCCTTGGAGGTGTCGCTCGGATGGGTCGTGGTGACAAGATTCGCACATACAACTATGGGCAGAGTCGTTGTACTGATCATCGTAGCGGGATTACTGTACACAATTTGGATGATATTCTCGGGGGCGGCCAGGGTCTCGATACTGTAATGGATAGTGTTCGAACTTGGCTTGCCGACCAGGAGATAGCGGCCATGTCTATAGAAAAATCAGCATAGACACATGCATACATGCTATTCTGCAGGGCAGCGGTCCAGAAGTCTAGATACCTGGCTTTTAGATACCTTCGACCAAATTCCAAGAGAGTGCGTATTCGCGCCTGTGCGAAGAGTTCAAGTATTGTCAATGAGTCAGAACCTACGTTGGCTTACTAGCTCATGATTTCTATGGGAAGCGTATGAATTGTTACAAGTATTGTCAAGATATCAAATGTACTTCCTCTGCGGGTCAATGCTGTCGAGCGTCTCCATGGTCTTCTCGTACCTGGTCATAGTGAGTCAGTACTTGGACGCATTAATAAAAATGATTTGGTGTTGACAAACATTGTGAACACTATTCCTCCACTCAGGATCAATCTCGCGAGACGGGGTACTGCTCCCGACCAAAATGTAAGTATACCTTCATCCTTAAATATTCTCGCTGCGCAGACGAAGCTGTTTTTGTAGTTTTTACTGGCTTCCAGCGATTGCATTCTGTCGAGAATTAGTCCATCGATAGAGTTTCCAGCTTTATAAGACCAACCTTGTCTTGACAGTATCGAGAGGTTGTGTGACATAGCTGTATAGAATCGATATTAGCATTTGGATCCGTGAAGATTGTGCGCGGCCGAAGTAGATAGACTCAAGTACGCGGGCCCACATACACAGTGATGAGGCCTGCTATGCCTCCAAGAGCGAAGGTGCTTGCCGTCCCCAACTTTTCTCCCGGCGCAACGTAGCCTTGAGCAAACTGTTTTAACATTGTGTAGCTTGAGAACCTGGTCGCTGAGTTGGCTGCCTGTCTCGCTGTTGTTGGAACAAACCCTTGGAAAAAGCCCCGAATGCCCCTTTCCTGGTATATGAGCTTGGTACCATGCAAGAAACCATGCATACGCGGGTTTGGCGACTTTCTATCGTCAATTCTATTGTTACTGGGTCAGTTGGGTTATAACCAGAAACGAATCCCGGCCGGGTGGACGGAGCCGTAAATGTGACAGGTGACGACAAACATTTGTGTCTTGATGCTTTCGAACGGAGTCACTGCCAGAAGGGACTCTGTGAAACCGGCTCCGAAGCCGGCAATGACAGTTTTTGGCCCGGAAATCTTCCCATTCTCATCCTGGAGAAGAGACTTGAAGGTGTCGAAGGCAACAAATCCTGGATGAGCATGCTAGCGTAAGCGATGTGTTCTGTGGCCTCGTGACGAAAATTGACTGGACTTACGGATGCCAGCCTTGAGGGAATTTCCGATGATGAGAGTCGTGCACCCTGCATACCATTGCCCACCGAAGGGTGGCCATGGAAGCTTTTTGGCGTCAGGTAGCCGGCGGTTGAGCTGCGATCGTGTCTTCGCAACTGCATATGTCGATCAGCTTGGTGTAAGTTAAGGCGGCGATTCAGGCGTACACTCTGCTGGATAAGTTATTGCTGTTGTAGAGTCAGCGGTTTGCGATTCGAAAGCCCGGCAAAGCCCCCGAGGCGAGAGTGAGTACTCACCAATCTCGACTGCTCCCGCAGTCGAGCCTGCGATGATGGAACGCAGGCTGCTGGGCTAGGAAGAGGTCAGTCAAAAGAATTTATCCAAGTATTTCGGGCATAACAAACCTTCGGCCTATGGTCTTTATCCTCGGAAGTCATTTGGCCTGGATGTGCCTGAGGACTCATGAGCTCGGAGAGCCGTCGGAGTCCAAAGAGGATTAAATAACTACAGCACGCAATAGCTGCCCTCAACGCAAAAGTCAACTGGAAAGACTCCAACAGTTGCTAACAACCAGTGCATATTGTTGAAAAGACAATTCGGATAGATCATCGCGGTGCATATATCCCTGCTCTTACGACCGAAAGACTCAAAAAGATACGAGTCTACAAATATTGCGAAGTTTGACAGAGGAATAATCTCACATTTTGCTAGCTGCTACTGATAATGAGAGTATTATGCATACACCCAAGAGAGAGAGCATCGCCGAGTACTCCTCTATCAATCTTTTATTTTCTTCTCTGTTTTCACCATTTTTTTTAATTTTTTTTCATTTTTTTCGTCTTGTCATTTTTCTGGTTGGTAGTTTGCTTCTCCTGCTCCTTCGCTGGAAGCTCGTCTCTGACCATCTCGCCTCAATTGTCCTCTGGGTCTTTTCTGTGAGTTTACTCACAAATTAGGGGTTTCTCGGCCGTTGCAACACCTGCGAGAAATAATCCGATGGCGTGAGGACAGACAAATCAGTCTTAATGCGAGATGAAACGCAAGTTAGAGGCCAATGATATCGTAGGAGATGCAAATCCAATGGCCGTAAGGGAACTGGGTGTCTGACTTTCTCTCCCAAAACGGAAAATTGGGAACTGAAGAGAACTCGCTGAGATGGGGCTCGAGAAGAAATCAACCCATCAGCTAGGTCCTCCTGTTGTTGTATGGAAATCAAATAGGGCGTGGTAGACATGAACAATGCAGGCATGGAGCCAAGATATATGCGGAGCAAGCATGGTTGCAGTTCAAAAGTTGGACTTCCTTTAGAAGCCCAACGGGGTCGCTGCCATGCCTTGATCGTGCCGCGCCCTCGCATATGGAAACACGGGGCGGTCGATAATGTGGCCCACACGATAAAGGTGCTGAAAACAAACCGTGGACGCCGAGAATATGACACCGGTAAATAAACACTCCGAAAAACGCCAGCCTTCGTGCTCCAAGAAGACCATATGTACATGTTGAGAAGCCGAGGAAATAGAACGAGGAGGCCCAGGAGGCGAAGATAACTCGAGAAGAAAATGGCGAGCCCTCGCGTTTCGTCAAGAAGAGTAGAAGGAAACGTTGCAAATAGCAAGAGCTCATACGAAATGTAAAGAACGCCAGCCCACCACTCCTAGGAAAGTAGGAAAATGAGAATAAACACAAGCGTGGCGAATCATCAAGAAGGCGGGAAGATGGATTGCAATAGGGAAGTGAAGAAAGTTGTCAGTTGTAATATGCCACGAAGAAATCAAACGATAAGGCTGATGAACCTCTCATTCAATCCAATCCAAGAAAAGGAGGTGGGTAATCAACGTTCGGCTCATAATCTCGCATCAACCGACTATGATGATTCAATTATGAGACGGGGGCCATCTGTGATTTGCCACTCTGTTGGCCCTGGGGGTGATTGAACTTGTTGCTTTCATTCTGTACGCTTCGACGCTGACCCTGTCCGCGACCACGGTACGAGCCCCGGCCACGGTTGAACTGGTACTGCCCACTGTTTGCATGGTTCTGATGGCGGCGCTCAGCAGTCACTGATTGTGTTGCTTGGCGTAGCTGAGGAGGATTTGAGATCGGACGTGGAATTGTCTCCGGCGAATCGTATACGTAGAGCTTCTTGTCAATGTTCTGAGGAATGGGTTGTATTTCTGTTCCTAGTTCCTGCTCAATCTTGTATAGATTGAAGCGGTCCTCCCAATTGATAAGGTTGATGGCAAGACCCAGATGTCCAAACCGACCAGAACGACCAATTCGGTGAAGGTATGTTTCAGCATTCTTTGGGAAGTCGAAATTTATAACAACATTCACAGCTTGAATATCGATACCTCGAGTGAGCAGATCGGAACAGACGAGGTTGCGGCACACACCATTGCGAAAATCGTGGAAAACTCGATTTCTGTGCTGTTGGAGCATGCGTGCATGTGAATAGAAACACGAGTAGCCTAACTCAGTAATCTTCTTTGCGAGGAGTTCAACTCGGTTGGTGGAATTGCAGAAGATGATTGACTGGTTGATCTGAAGCTTCGAGAAGAGAGTGTTCAGACAATGCACCTTCTGCTTTTCCTCAACAAACGCGTAATATTGAGTAATTCCTCGAAGGGTGAGCTCATCCATGAGATTAATCTCGTAAGGATTGCGCATGTGTTTATCCTTTGTGACACGAATCAGTGTTTTGGCAGAATGAAGACAAATTCTTCTCGCTTACCTTGAAAGACTTAACAATCAGTGGGAATGTGGCACTGAAGAGCATCACCTGACGATCTTTGGGGTGAAATGACAAGAGCTGCTCGATGACCGGGGTGAATTCAGGTGACAGCAATTTGTCAGCTTCATCCATGACGAATGTGGGACATTCTGAGAGATCAGCGACACCTTTGCTGGCCAAATCTAGCACTCGTCCCGGTGTCCCAACGAGGATGTGTACGGCATCGTTCAGTCTGATGATATCGTCCATCAGCCCTGTTCCTCCAGTGGTAACCATGACGTTGATCCCCAAATGCTTTCCAAGCGTTTTGCAGACTTGAGAGGTCTGCAGCGCAAGCTCTCTTGTTGGAACAAGAATAAGCGCTTGGGTCTTTGTGCTTTTCGGGTTGATGCGTTCCAAAGTAGGAATTACGAATGCCGCTGTCTTTCCGGTACCGTTCTTTGCGCGGGCTAGAATATCACGGCCGGTAAGAGCTACTGGTATCGTTTCTTCCTGGATGGGAGAAGGCTTCTCGAAGCCAGCCTCAAAGATGCCCATCATGAGCTCTCGCTTGATATAGAAATCTTCAAACTCTAGACCTTTGGTAGCGGTCACATCCTATATCCCAGTCAGATTTGAGTAACACGTGAGGGCCTTATTGCTAAGCTACCCACCTCAGTTTGCGGTCTCGCATCCTTTGCAGGCACATTCAATTGTTCCTTCCATTTCGTTTCCGAATTGGCTTCTCTATTCCAAGCAATGAGCTGCGCCCTTCGGGATATATATCATCTTTCAGGGACTGGGACCACGACATACCCTAGAGTGGTATTGCTGAGCTGAGATGCAAGAGCGTCGGCCATCGTGACTTGCTGTAATAGGACGAGGATAAGAGTTATGTTTAGGGGATCGGGAAGGGATGCTGGACCAGACTGATTCGGTCAAACCAAAGTCGCGGTCGAGGAGATTCTGTGGCCAAGGAGACGATTGGAGGAAGGGTGGTAAACGAAGATTTCGAGGTCTTGTCGTGGGCTGACTGCAGAGTATCCGCAACCCCAAGATACTTCGGTGCTGGAGGTTGGAAAATAAGAGTTTCAGATCGGTCACAGCAAAAAAAAACAATATAAGTCAAGATGACAAATCCGCCGATAAGAATTCGATTTGTTCTTCAGAAGGCGTAACGGAGCAAAGGCCTGGTCAAACAAGGTGAAGAATGATGAAAGAGGATTCTTGCAATGCCGATACCAAGGATGGCTGAAATTGGTGGAGATACGGAAGATGGAAGGATCTCAAGTTGGAGCCGATTTGAAGAGAAATATCAAGGCGAGACGATCAAAGGTATGAGGGACTGAGAGACGGGATGGTGGGTTTTTCTGTGGGTGGTCAAAGAGCTGGAGGTGTGGTGAATGGGTAGCAAAATTGCAATGTGTATCTTGGAAGGGAAGAAGGTGTGGTGCGATGACCAGAGTGGGAGTGGGAGCGGGAATGAGAGTGAGTGGGCAGGGCCCTTGCCTTGGCCGCCTTCGAATGGGTCCACTACCTACCTACTGTATAGCTAGCTCTCTATGGAGATAGATGTATTCTGCAATAGATTAGTCCTTGGTAACCACCTCAACCACCTTTACATGCTTATCAGTAGTGGAGTGGAATGATAAATTCTTGAAACTACCTATTTATGGATAATCCAACTCACTGTTTGTGTTTCTCACGACTGTGATCTATTTACAAGATGTGTAGATTGACTAATGTGCACAGGACAAATCAGAAGGCCTGGAGGAATGTAGAAACCTAGGCAGCAAGCGAACTGTCAGTTCCTCATCAAGGTCAATAATCTTTCGACAAACTACCCTGCCTCTGCGAGCCCGTGAGTCTGTTCCGGCTACGCGGGCGTGCGTCCAATGGGTAATCTTAACTGCCCACGTTCTGGCTCCGCCAACCTAGTATTCATTTATCAGTTACAGGTCAAGAACAACCGTATCGATGGGCATTGACATACTCTTTGACTCGTACATCTGGCGCTAACGTGATATCAGCTCTTGACCCAGGGGTGATGAGTATAAATTGTCGTCCAATCGAGCGGCGAGCGGCGAGCATCTAACATCAACCTGTGAGCAAGCTTCGTGCAAGACAAAGGAAAGCCAGACATGATATTTAGAACTTACAAGCATGTCGATCGCCATCTTCCTGTTGATATGATCCATGTAGACATCGCTGTCGAACATAGTTTAGTCATGGCTCGACAGTCAGCGCAGTGCAAATACTTACAACTCATCCAAACAGCGAACTGGAGATCCCATAGCCTCCCAGAGTGCTAGCAACAGACAAACTTGCGAGAACGACTTTTCGCCCCCGGAAAGTGTCTTTGCACCCCGACCGGCACTATCTTTGGTTATATCAGGTTCCACCTGAGCGTCTCGTCAGATTCGATGGGTATAGAATAGAGATAGGGAACAAGACCTACTTGTAGGTCAAGGAGTTTACCCTCATGGTCAGTCAAAAGTCGACCTCGAAAACTTCTTTCACTCAGAAGGTACGTGAATTGTGCCTTTGCACGAGACGAGATATGCGATCTGAAAATTTGCCAGCGGTGCTTCCGATGTTTGAGAGTTGCTTTAAGGACCTATCGTAATGTCAGCAAGTCCCATATTCGTTACAAGGCAGTAGATCCCACATCAGCCAACAGCCTAAATTCCTCGATTTGTTTGAGCGCGCGATTGTACACCGCAGTAGCCTTTTCGGCTTCAGCAGCAATCTCATCACGAGAGCCCCCAAGCCTAGATTGACGTCAGTCAAATAGCTAGGAATTTGTGGTTCCATACTGACTGTTGGTTATAGCGCTCGATATCTCTGTGGAGCCTCTCAAGCTTCTTGGTTAGAGTAGCCACGGTTTCCCCATCATGAATGGCCACGCGTGGTGAGACCAGGCTGGCCTTCTCCTCGTATTCAATGACGCGTGCCGCAAGAATCTCTCTTTCCTGCTGAGTCCTCGTTCTGTTTAAGTTAATATCACCAGTTCGCTTCACTGCACTATTCTTGTCGCTGATAGCTTTTCGTCGTTTCTCTTGGACCAAAAGTTCCTCATTCTGAGCAACCCGAAGCTCTTCTTGCAGCGTAGATATTTCAGCATCTTTCGCGGCGAGTTCCTGTTTGGTCGCTTTCAGCTTCTTCATCATGGCATCCATAGCAGCGACACTGTCCTCCCGTGATCCTTCGTTCAGCCGCTTCTCTGCCTCAGCTTCTTGAAGAGTGGCGCGCAGCACATCTAAGTGTCCGTCCTTGACAGTCTCTCGCTCGAGGGCGTCTGCGAGCTCTTCAACCCGGTCTTCTTGCCTCTGCAAATCAACCTGGAGTTCCTTTGTTCTTCGATCGTGCCTCACGATAGCCTGCTTGCAGCGTTCTAAGTGAGCTTGCGCAGAGCGTAGTTGCTGTTCTTGGTCACTCAGATTACGCCTAAGGGCTGCTACTACATCCCGCTGTAACCTAAAGACGCTATGCATTAGGCCTGTAGTAGATTACCCCAGGTTTGGACAGCCTACCTAATTTGTGATGCTAGATCGGACTTCATCCGTGGACTTCCGTTGTAGGCTTGGACCGGCGCTTGGCTCGGTTCGCCCGTTCGGCTATAGGAAAGATGAATACCTCGTCGACGATCTGTCCGGTCGATACAGTAGCACCGCTTTACATTCTTTGGACGCTGCCCATCAAAAAGTACCGATGAGGCTTCCTCGAGTCTTTCAATCAGAAGCATTTGTTCTATGCCATGGTTGATGATCAGCTGTCGTCGGACCAATTCGTTATCTATCTATAGCTCCACGGTTAATACAGTCGCTCTCCAAAAAAGGGTAATAAAGAGGAGAGCAGAAAAGCCAACCTACTTGAAGGACACGCAGGGCTGTATCAAATTGAGGGTCTGGCTCATGTTCTGATGTATCAATATGGCCATCACTCCCAATGAAGATGGGACACACGCTGATTTGAAAAGGGCTTTAGACGGACATCCGTGTAGAGTACGTGCAGATGACTTACCAGCCAACTCTTTGCATGATATTTGAAAGCATATTCATGTCTCGCTTGGATGTCACAATGAAGCTATTCAAAGTGGCGCCAAGAGAATTTTCCAATATAGACGACCATTCGGGTTTCAGCAAGCGCACGTAATTTCCAATAGGGCCCACAGGTGACTTCGAAAAAGACCGCTCGCCCTGTATCTCTCTGAGGAGGGCCGGCAGCCTCTCATGGAACCCAGTGTTCCTGGATCCCTCTCTGGTTAGGCTCCGTAGATTAAGCTCTGCCTGATCAACGTCTGCCTTCATCCTGCCTACAGGGACGGCGGCTGATTTGACTTTTTGTTCAGCATCGTCAGCTTCTCGATGAAAATGATTTAAATTATTACGGTGCTCTTCAAAGTGTCTCTGAGCATCAGCAACCTCAATCTTTGCCTGTTCGACTTGCTCCTTTTTCCGAGCATAGCTGCCTCCACTAAGATCAGCCAAGCGCTGATTCTCCTCTTGGATGTGGTTCTGGACCTCACGAAGTCTTGTCTCTGTCGTTTTCTGGTATTCCCTGATTTGACGTTGTTCGGCCTGCGAAAAATGATTAGAAATGGATATTTTGGGCTGAGAGATGCGTGATTACCTGTAGGTCATGACGTTCGCTCATTTGTTCGTCCCATTTAGCCTTGATTTCGTTTTTCTCGCTCTGTGCTTGATCAAGCCTGGAAGTGGCTTGCGAAACGAAATCGGCGGCAGCTGCGCATTCATTCTCGGCGTGCTGAATGGTCACATCCACTCCACTCAACTCAGTCTCAGCAGTCGCTAAGTCCTCGTCAATTCGAGCGAGCTCGTGATCCAGGGAGTCTCTGAGCTAATATTGCATCAGACTCCAAGACAGCAGATTTTACAACTCATGAGCCCCTACCTGTTCCTGTTCTTCAACCTGCGCCCAAGCCATCTGGTTCCGGACATTTCGGACCCGAGCCCTTAGGGATTCTTGCTGATCTGACCTCTCCAACTTTCGATCCGCTGTCTCCTTGAAATCCTTCAAGATTTTGATATCTTGCTCCCTGCTCCTCAGCTTTTCCTCGATCTGATCAGCAGATTCTTCGATCAACCTGTAATCCTGGTCCAACTGTTCTAGCTGGACACCCTTCACAAAAAACCTGTATTTGTCGGCAGGGCTAGATGTGCTGAGAAACTGACGAGCCATATCTTGTGAGAGAACATTCATGGGGTTGTCAAATTGCAGTGTGAAGTAATCAATAATGGAATCCAATTCCGCCTTCTTGGTGGAGATTATGCGTCCATTTTCAGCTTTAATCTTGAATCCACTCGTGCCATTCTTTGAGAAATGACGTTCTACTATGATTGAGTTTCCATAATCATCAGGCATGTAAGCTCCATCACCTTGATTCTTGATACGGACAACAATGGTGGCACTCCTTCAATAAGAAATAGTTGTTAGAAACCAAGCCCAGAAGAGGACCAACGCAGAGACTTACTCTTTGCCTTCTTTAATAAAGCTTTTGAGACTTTGACCACGATTCGTGGCAGAAGCTTTACCACCCAAGCAGAGAGTTATGGCCGTAAGGACTGCGCTTTTACCACTGCCATTCTTACCCACGATGAAGTTTATCAATGGGCCCAGTTCTACTTGGAAGTGATCGTGGCACATAAAATTGTAGCACTCGACTCGTTCGAGAATACCGTGCTCCGCAGGGACGTTCGCCTCGTCGTTGGCGAAAGAGTGTTTCTCATGGATCCATTGTGTATTCCGCAACACTAAGTCCTCCTCGTCGTCATTCAAAGCCTGCGCGATAGAACCGGGCCGGCTTGCCTCATCATCGCTTGCTTCACTCTCTCCCTCCGAAGGTGCAGTCTCAGACCTGCGGGCACGTTTTCGCTAGGTCCGTAGGTCAGCTACGCTGCACTGCATGCTTTCAAATCGTTACACACCGAATGGGCATTTACCACGAGTGTTATTGAGCCATCTTCATCATCGAGGCTGTCTGGGCCCGCAAACGGCTGCGCGCGCTTCATTGACGGCATTTCTTCAAATGCGAATGAATCATGGAATTCCGGGAAAAATCAATCACACTCATCTCGAGGCGCAGTCTCCTTCAGCGTAAAATATGTCTCATGATAGTAAGTTTCGTCGATCTGGGATCACAAAATAGATAAATGAGGTTTTCGTTGGATATAAGCCGATCGGAGTGTTTAGGTACAATGAATTGATGATGCGTCGCGTCGGCGCGCGTCTTGCGCCTGAACGGGATCCACCATTGGTTAGGTTGTTACATTAATCTTCGAACATGGGCCATGTTCATCCAGTGGACGTTGTTATTGTCTGTCTACCAGCGACCTCTACTTACACTTCAGAGATATATATTAATACACTCAGAACGATACGATATGTTTTACTCGAACGCATAGGTTTTGTTCTTCTCCGTCCTCAAACCAGGGACCAGCGTCTAATTTAACTTAGTATGGAGGAACTACTGCCATGTTATGTTCAACTAGTGGATCTTGCAAGATCAAATCTATGTGGTAACACAAAATGCCATAAGGATTTGAGTTCGAGAAGAAGGCTAATGGCTCAAGACATCAACCTATAATGTCTGCAATTGGAATGGTCTACATAGTGAATCATCCACATGCTTTGCTAACACTACATGGAGGGCATCGGGCCGCAGTCAAAACTCAGCAAGTACAAGTGGCCATCGGACATGGGTGAATGCTCATTCAGGCCTAAATGGCAGGTTCCTCTGCAACATAGTGGAGATAAGCACCCAATAACTTGGTGCCCTCAATGTAATTCCTCTTGTCGAGCTTCTCGTTGACGGAATGGGCAGCATCAGTTGAACTGCCCATCGGGAGAAGCAAAACATTCTTCCCTGTCGCTTGCTCGAAACTCAATGTAACAGGAATACTAATACTTATGTTAGCTTCTTTGTATCCTGTAAGACATTTTGTTCAGAAGGATGAGGCCAATGTACACACCTGCCACCTTCACGAGTCATATCAGGCTCAACGCCAAAGACCTGCTTAACAGCCTTGCTCGCAGCCGTAAAGTTCCAGTGCTTTGGACTGGCAACCCACCACTTTCCATCATGCTGAAGCCACACGTCCAAGGCGTTTTTGCTGTTCAACTTGGCGAATTCTGCCTTCACATGCTCGAAAACAAGTCTGTTGACATCCTCACTTTCCATGTTTGGAACGGTTCGGATAGAGAACTTTCCGATCACCTTGGCTGGTATAACTGTCTTAGCGCCAGGAGCGGAATATGCGCCTTCGATGCCGTGAATGGACAAGGATGGATATCTCCACCGGGCCATGAGTGTTCTCTCTTTTGTCGCATGGATGCCCGTCTCACTGCCGAGCGACTCATGGAGATTGTCCATTGTATAACTAATATTGCTATACAAAGTCTTCTCCTCCTCTGAAAGGGGAGCAACAAGGTCCATAAGTCCAGGAATCAAGATGTTGCCCTGAGGGTCAACGAGCTTCGACAGTACGTTGACCAAGTCCGTCATTGGCTCATGAGCGGAGCCGCCGAATACACCACTGTGTAGATCCTGAGCGGGACCCGAGACACTGATGGAGTAATAATTGCAACCTCTCAACCCATAGGTCAGACAGGGCTTTTCAGTTCCAAGCCAGTAGTTATCCGAGATGCAAACAGCGTCGGCATCCTTGAAGAATTTCTTGCTCTCGGCCTGGATGAATTCCTCTAGACCTTCCGAGCCATACTCCTCCATACCTTCAAAGCAGCAAAGAAGATTGATCGGCAGCTCGACACCGGCCTTTTTGTGAGCCTCGATGACATTCAACCACCCAAGAACTGGTCCTTTATCATCTGTGCTGCCACGACCGAACATTCTTCCCTGCTCATCCACAGTCAATTCAAAAGGCTCGGTTGCCCAGCCATCCTCCTTTAGCGCAGGCTGTACATCGTAATGTCCGTACACTAAGATAGTTCGTTTGTTTTTGTCGTTGCCATACCGAGCAATGACTACCGGAGGAAGATCCAGATGTTCTTTGCCTGGTTGCTTGCCCAACGGTCTCTGCTCGACCTCAGCTCCAAGACCCTCGAGCTCGTCGGCAAGGAATTGAGCCATCTATTGAGAGCCATCTGGTCAACCATCCTATCTAGATATGAAGTCTTACAGTATTCACCTTGAACACATCCTTTCTGTTCTCATCCTGTGCAGAAATAGAAGGGATTGCAACAGCCTTTCGCAACCCTTCAGCTATGTAAGCATGCGTGGTAGTGCAACGAGCTAGGGAGACTCACGGTCGATAAAAGAGTTGGACAGTTCATCGACCCTAAGGGTATCACAAGTTAGCAACCAGTCCAGATGATAGCCTTAGGGACAAACGATAAGGAAAGGAGAGGAAGCTTAGCACGTACTGTTTGAAAAATGGTTCGAGTTGCGGCGCCATCTTATTGTCACTTATGTTTCCGTAGAAAGGACGGCGATGGTACGTATGATTTGATCTTGAATAGCTAACCTGTGATCTCCAGCAGTTCCCTTTGAAAGCCGATATAAAATTCCCTTGGGTGGGTTTATAAACAGAGTGGCCTGCTAGAGAAGTTGCGATGCGACGGAGGGGGAGGGGCATTATTTGGGCGGCTACAGTAGCAAGCACCTATCATTTGTTGAATGGATCATTGGATGATAGGAATGTTTTTACCTAACGTGGAGCCCGGATGTCCCTCAGGTCCCTCACACGCGACCTTGTTTTTTTGCCGCGACTAGGCGAGGCTTACATTTTGAGAAAAGCGGATGGAGTCGGAGAACAGAAATTTCCCTACGTTCTGGAGATTCTGTCCTGATAACAGTCAATTGGAATGAGATCTGAACAATTTCTTAAGTAATCACTCAATAATGACCGACCGCCACTTTGACTTTAATACCTCCTCTGATAAACCGAGCAATCATACCTAGGGTTCTTATGATGTACGGACTAATACTCCGTAGCTAGCCAGTATCAAACGCACTAAAGAATATTAAGCAGCATATGTACATAATTGTTATCCGAATATTATTGAATCCCTACAGCACAATGAAATATGAAGCGTCAATCGGGAGGATAGTTGGAAGACATATAAGAGTACAGATAGAATACAGACAAAATTAAGAGCTTCTTGTACAGTGCTGTAGAATCGGTGTGTGTTTACACAAGGCTCATTCATCCTTTCCCCAGGATTCCTTCCGCAGCTGACGGTCTTCTCTAGCCATCCGTCTCTTTGTGCCCCATCTCGACTGGACGGCTTCCAGGACCTGCTTCTGAATTTCCTTCTTTTGAGGACTGGCTTCGCACACCATACCGATGAACATGGGAGAACAGTCGAAGCGTTTGGCCAGTTTCCATCTGCTCCAAGTCATTGGATCGGTAAGCCGAAGTTTGCGAATTTCTTCTATGTCGGACGGCGTCAGGTGATATTTCTTCTCAGTTGGTGATTTGTATACAGTTGGGAGCTCCTCGGGCCGTTCGTGATTTGTAGACGCGCTGGTGCGAAGAGTCTTCCGGATGTCATCGGCAGGGAGAAATTTTGTTGGCGTATGATAAACAGACGGAGCGCTCGACGGAGGATTGAAAATTATGTGATCCTGCGATCGGTTTGAGGTGAAGCCAAATGATGCATCCGGCTTAACACGTAGACGTTGTTTTGTGCGTCTGTACGTGGATTGACTTCGTCGCAGTTCTAGAGCGACGGACTCGCAGCTAGATGGCAGAAGGAACGGCAGTGTGATCAGTGGCCGCTTGGAAACAAGACTAAAAGTTGCCATGTTTAAATTGATTCTTGAACAGCGGTTCAAGTCCCTCGAAGTGATATCGAAGCTGAGATCTGGTCTGCTTGGACGGATAGATAAAAGGGTGTCAATGGCCTAAAGTGGACAAGCGATCATTAGTAAGAGCAAGAGAGTGTTGGAGACATTTTGAGGATAATTAGAGTTGACATACAACTTTCAGGGCTGACACTGGTCGGGATGGTTTGATTCATCCACTGAGCCCAAGTGGTAGTCTGCCAGCACGTACTCTGTGTATTAAGTCTCCAAGATCAAAAGACTAACATTTTCTTAAGATGAGGTCCCGTGACAGCGAAATTACTACTAGATGCGGAGTAATAATACTGGAATAGCCCGACAGGCAAGTACGTATGGTATTGATACTGTAAGGAGGACTGCCTGTATTGAGAGGGCTGTACCTAGGTAGGTAGGTACATACCTTAGTAGAGTATTGGTATTTGGTGGGCAACTGTGTAATTTTACCGTACTTATTTCTTGATATTTCCGCCTCCCTCCCGCAGATACCAGCAGACCAACCATCCTATACACGTCTCTGAGGATGGAAGGCGTTGTCTGCGTCATACTGAATTCCAAACAATAGAGCTCGTTAGGTAGTCTTGACTAAATCTCTCAGGTCGCCTCTTGGAAGTCCATCTGCCTCATATAAGCTGCGATGTGAGACTGCCCTTCCATTTCAACCTTCCTACTATCTATCGACCTGCCAGTAATGGCATTGAATGTCCTATCCATTTGGGGATCAACCTAGTCATTCTATGTACTTACTCCTACTTGAGTCAAGAAGCGCGCTCAACTGTTATCTTATCATTCCTCTTCGATTTGCCATTCTGTCACGCCTCATTAACTTTCCTGGGTTTGCCTAAAGATCCCGCTGATTGCTTCTTTGCGTATATCAGCCCTCTCACAGACACTCAATCTCACACAAGAGAGATGTTGAAGTGCCCCAGGTTCTCCTATTCTTCATCGGCCATTCTTTCAAGAAAATATCTCTCTGTGCCACCCTTAAAGCTCAATTACACAGGTGGGTTTGACAGCCGCATGAAGTAACCAGTAACTCAATAGCCTCACTTCATTATATATTGAGTGCCTGAAAGCCATCATTATATTGCCCATGACAAATGACGTCGCAGCGACGAAACTGTACTGTGACAGCCAGTACCATCACAGAGGAACTGCCGGTTGCTTAGCCTAAATGCGTAAGCAATCGAGGCTTGACAAAGTCGCGGGAAGATCGAAAGAACCTCGTTTCGCCCAGGAAGAAGTTCCCAAAAAGCTGTTCCTAGTTTGCAAGCTGGCGAGATTTGATCAGATGAGCCTGCAGCACAACGCGAAATGGATGGTATTGAAAAATGACAAGCTTGAAGATAAAGACGCTCTTCCAAATGCTTGCCTGACAGTGGATGGTGAGCAATCAAAAATGCCTCAGAGGACAGCATACTATGCATATGCGTCCTACACCTCGAGATTGGTGAAGCAATCATTGACAAGTTACATGACTCTTTCAACGACACACTCTCCACTCTCATGCTCGATCTTCGAACGCAATTTCCAAGAAAAATTCTACTCATTCATACGTCACAATCCACTCCTTCACACATTAGTATTGAAAACCATGTCCCCTCTGTGCTGGAAGCATTCTCTGCTGCGACTACTGATGGCCATCCTGACCTGGATGCCGTCGAGATCGTTACGCACAATATGCACCATTCTGCCACAGCTGGGCTATCTAGTCCTCCCATCACAGCCCAGACCCTCCGGACTTTTTCGCGTGAGGAAATGGGGAATACATTTGGGAATCCTGAAATGCCGCCCTTGCCTCATCAGACAGTCGAATCTTCTGATGTACGACGTTTGAGCTTCGTATCTTTCGCTGATGTTATCAACAATGAACATGCGGTATTTACCGAAATTACGTCCAGCTGCGTCCTCTCCGGTCATCTTCTTTTCAGAGAATCAATCGGCCCTGGCACAAAACAGAACTTCGTCGCCGTGTTCCCCATTATCGTCGTATAAACTAGGTATATCTCCTTCCATGAGCATATCCGACTCAACAGGGCCATTGGATGGCTCTACAAGTTTGGAAAACTGTGCTGGAACAGCTATGCAGTGGCCGAATTCACCAGGTCTCGGTGTTGATCTGAACATAGAAACGATGTGACAGACACTCAGAAGAACAGGCGGTGGAGAACTGAACACCTTTTGAAACCGGATGTCTGCTAGATCATTTCATACCATTGGCCAAACAATTATCAAGATTATTATTGGACATGCGGCTGTCCTTTATGCCTTCGACGATCCACGAACAGCATTCCGATACTGGGACAATGGTTTCATTCCAATATGTTCTATTCCTCTATGTCGTTCTTCTAAGTTATCCACGCCACTGAGTCTTAATCCTAGAGGTCTGGTGCCTCCAAGAAAAATCCAAGTTTGTCGGATTGTTCAGGAATAAGCTTGATTGAACGGGATCATCTCCTTGGCAAGCTTTAGGCACGTGATCCGCATGTTCTGAGTGTTGGTTGATGATTCTCCTTGGCTACCGACTGCCTCTGGTTGTGAAGGAGATTTATGAGCAGTGCCTTGTGAACCAGAAAGAATAAAAGTATGACCATAAATCCCACACTTGCGATAATCAAGACTGATCTACGCCCTAATCTGGCTAACAGCGCCCAAGGCACGTTGGACCTGGTCGCAAAGAACGGATGCATCCTCCAAACCGACGCTTATTCTTACCAGGTCAGATTCGACGCCGAAGGAACCAGCCTGCATTTGGAAGTCAGTCAAGATTGTCCATTCAGGAATGTGTTCAGAATATCAGGCTTGGAATGGGTGACGGCAGAAGCTAGAGTTTCCACAGTATACTGTCACTTACCCATTCAAGTTCGTTATAGTGTGCAAGTAAGGTATATGGTGAACTGTTTCATAGATGTTGGCACAGAAATTAGTGAGGAAACAACAACGAATGAGCTTTAGGTTCACTCACCTGAGCGTGAAATTTGTTCCAAGACTAGGACCCTTGAGAACATCAAGGTGATCGAAGAAGGCGATTGCTTCAGCGGTGCAACGAAACGTTACGGAAAACAGACCGCCATAGCCGCCACAAGGATTACGGCACGCCTCGTAGAAGGATCTGGAAGGGTTGTACTTAGGATAGTAGACATTTTTTACTGTCTGAAATCAGTATTAAGGCGAACCTTGCCAAGGAGATCGGATCACCCACCAAGTGGAGAATTCTTCAACAAGGCCGTGACATCTTCGGTGGTTTTGTTGATTTTCTCAATTCGAGACACGAAGTCACGACTGTTCCTTTCCAGAAAGACGGCGTCTTCCGCCCAGAGGTTATCCTCGTATTCGCGACTGAACGTGTCTCGAAGACTTTGATAGTAGCGGCCATGCGGATTAAGCACAGAACTTCCCCCCATAACATTGCTGTCTCCACTGAAGACCTTTGTAAGACTGCTGACAACAATGTCTGCGTACGGGAGCACATTGATATTCAAGAAATTGCCCACTGTCTCATCCACCACGACTGCAAAATCATATTCTTGCGCAAGAGCATGTATTCTCCTCAAGTCGGGTGATTTGAGCAACGGATTTCCAGGAAATTCGGTAAAGAGTGCCAGAAATCTTTCACCATTCTTTAGTCGGGATTCTAGATCGTCTAGATCCTCCGAGGAACCGTGGCCGTAGAACAAGCACCCAGGACCCCATTTCTCAAGTGTCTTCAGTGTGTCTATGTAGGGAAATCCGAAGCAAATGCTTTTCATCGGGCCTTTTGCAACGAGAAGCATCTGGTGAGTGTTGAATATTGAGCTCATACCGGTAGGGAAGAGAAAGACATCAGACTCTGTCAATCCTGCTACTCTGGCTTCTCCTGAGATCTCCTCAAGAGCATCCGCCAATTCAACATCAGCAGTAAGCACACCTGCGATCCGTCTGCGTACGGCCAGCTTTGCTTGATCTGCCAGCGAGACACTCAAATTTCTCCCAAAACGTTCCTCAATGAATTGACCATATTCCTGACCATCCTGTATTGCATTGGATTTCGTCACGGAACTGGGTGTCGCATTATGTTGCGCCCCTCCTCGACCTACCCCGTTTCCTGAGCCTCTCCCCTGATAGCGCCGTGGACCTTTGAAATATTGTTGCGAGGACTGGTCAACCTTTACAGACTTCTTATCTTCGATCAAGAATCCATCTCTAAGCGCGCTCAGACAGAATTCGCCCCGACGACTGGATATCCCGTTTCCACTGTGTTGCCATACTTGTTTGGCGATAGGGGCATATTGCTTCGGGTATATAACGCACGACAGAAGCGACATAATTGTCGGCGATTGAGAGTCAGTGTGATGGGCTGGGACAAAATTGACGACCCTGACTTTGTCTGATTCTTGGGAAGGTATCCTCGAGATCATGAAAGAGTGGCAGACATTTGCGGTCTTTGGTGTAGGGAACAAGGTGGCCGCCTCTGCCTCAGGGTTCCCATGAAGATCCACAACTTCCCTTGCAAGTTCCTGTATAATTGGATGGGTAAAGAATCGTGGGTAGCCACACTGCATCTTCTTCACGATCCATGGCTCTCCTTCTTCGTAGGCCACATTCGCAGTCCATGTTGGTAGTGATACACTGACTGCCTTCACTTTCAAGTTAGTTTCTTGATACAAGGTGTTCGTTCACATTTCAAGAATTCACAGGCAATAGAGACGAGCAATTTGAAATTATTACAAAGCCACTCATCAACAACCTGTTGTATTGCGGTTTATGTTCTCAGATAAAAGGATGTGGAAAGGAAAACAGGCGGGGTTGAGAAACACATCATGAGGGGGGAGGGGGGAGTGACTGCACCGCACGTACATGGTCAGTATTTGGAGGAACAGGGCCCCCAACCTCTTGGAGCATGATGATTCGAAAGTGTAAGGAAGTTTTCCTTGACTGTAGTAGGTAGCCTACAGTCTATTCCCAGTGCAAAGACTGGTCTAGTAGTAGTAGAGATGCCTTGGTAATCGTCCAAGGACACGCGAAAGAGAATCGAGGACTTGATTTCAAAGAGTTGGTACCCCAAATACTTCTTAGAGATTGTACCTAGAAATGCGAGTGAGTAATACTCACTAATATCGGAGAGCGATCTCGGCGTGCCCACCCCTTGGGTACTGCCCTGTACCCACCTCCACTGTGCACAGGCATACACGGATAGTATGTACTTGCAACCCAGCTGACTACCATCGTATGGAGGGAAGATCAATTCTGGACAGCCAGTTGAGGAAAGGGGTCTATGAATTTTGATGCTTCTTAGAACTCCTGACCTACCTTGCGCTTTTGGTCCATACATATACAGTTGGGACGTACTCCGTACCCCCGTATCTAAGGTCTGTCGACACTTGGTAACCTACCCATACGGGTACACTACCTACCTTAAGATGTGGAGGTATCCATTGATTCCATATATGTATAGGTATATGATGACTTGAGGGTAGGAACTTTTAGCTAACTACTTAGGTACCCCCCAGGGCTATACCTAACCATTATTACAATATTAAGCTACCTATATACCATAGGTACTGGGTTTTCAGGTAGGATACCTAGGGAGCTACCATCTTAGGTGAGGTACTCCGTACCTTGCAATATAATACGATAAAATAACAGAGAATACTCATAAATACGGTATGTAACTTACAATGAGGTTCAATCACCATGATTGGCTAAGAAGTCGTATAGTCACGTGCTACAAGAGTTGTCGGGGATCGGAGTTTATCTCATTTTAGTGTCTTGATTTTTGAAGATTTGTTTAAAGAAATTTTGTTGTCTTGGACTCAGGGTTGCTGCAGTTATTAAGGGCTGCGTATTCAACACTTCCTCATTCGCTGAGGACCCAGTTCTCTGAATTGAATTCTACTGAAGTTGTTATTTCTGTCACTGGAGTCCTTAATTAAAATTCTTGTTGCAAACTTTGTACAGTGATATGTCAACTCACACTGCGAAAAGAAGGAAGCTTAGTCCTTCCCGCGACCATCACTCGGTTCAGGAATTGGGCGAGGTATCAGGCGCAAATGTCACCAATGGACAGTCATTCAAGATGAGCAGCATGGGAAGAAAAGCTCAAGGCGACCGCTCCGGAGAACTTGCCCTCGCAAGTGGACTTTACAAGTCTAGCTTCTTTAAGCTCCAATTAGATGAACTGCTCACAGAGTCGAGGCCCAACTACGACAAGCAAACAGCGAGAGCTCAAGATATCTTACATAAACTGAAAGATCTCATTGAACGACTACCCGAGAGACCTGCAAAACCAGCCTTCGAAGCCGGAAAAGAACTGCGCAGCGCGCATGCCATCGTCGTCCCATTTCCCGAGCCACGACCCTCCAAAGACACCAAATATTCTGTGGGTTATGCTCGACCAAGCGATATCAACGTTGTAGGGAGCTTTGCCCTGAGAACAGGTGCCAGAACAACAGAGAAGCACACTATCGATCTGGCGGTCACGATGCCAAGTACTTTGTTTCAAGAAAAAGACTATGTCAACTACCGCTTTTTTCACAAACGCGCATACTATATTGCATGCATTGCTGTTGGCATTCGTGATGCGCAAGACTTAAACTTCAACGTCAAATTTGCCCTGCAAGATGGTGACAGCCTTCGTCCCGCCATCATTTTGGAACCGCGCAGTTCAGAGAAGGATGGTTCGATACTCACAAAGTCACGAATCCGGATCATCACTGCTGTCGAGGAGAATCTCTTCGCTCTATCACGAACTCTGCCATTGAAGAACAACATCCGTCACGGCATGGGTGAAAATCCAGGTAGTGATGAGCCTACGCCGTTCTATAATGCAGCTCTTCGCTCAGAGGCCACTGTCGCGTCTTACCACAAGCACATACACTCGACAATTCGACACTGCGATTCCTTCCGAGACGCTTGCCTCCTTGGCCGGATCTGGCTTCAGCAGCGGGGATTCGCCTCTCCATTCCAGGAAAGCGGATTTGGAGGATTTGAGTGGACTTGCCTCATGTCTCTCTTATTTGAGGGCGGTGGTGCTAACGGAAAACCTATTCTGCTGAAATCGTATAGTAGCTATCAACTTTTCAAAGCCACCCTGCAATTTCTTGCAGGTCGGGACCTGACCAAGCCATTGATTTTGCCCGCTGCAGCTGGGATAGAATTCCCTACCGATGGACCGGTCTTGTTCGATGGAAAACGTGGACTCAACATCCTCTACAAGATGACATTGTGGTCTTACGCTTTCCTCCGTCATGAAGCGACGGTTACCTTAAAAATGCTAAATGAATCTCGGGATGACAACTTTGATAAAGTTTTTATTGTTAAAGCCAACGAATCCATGCTGAGGTTTGATCGAGTTGTTGCACTTCCGTCTGCTGAAAGTGATAATGTGCTTCGGGCGATTCGCAATCAATACGCTATCTACGATGTCCTCAAAAAAGCTCTTGGAGACAGAGCCAAGCTCATCCACATCTCCTCCAGCCCTCTTGAACCCTGGTCTGTCCAAGCGAAACTGTCTTCCCAAAGGGCAAAGGGGGGCCTTTCGGTAGGACTGCTTTTGAACTCAGAGAACGCATCACGCGTTGTCGACCACGGTCCTTCCGCAGAGCAAAAGGAGGAAGCGGCATCGTTTCGGTCATTTTGGGGAGAGAAAGCCGAACTCAGACGCTTCAAAGATGGGAGCATCCTTGAGAGCTTGGTGTGGTCTGATCAGCCGTCATCGAAATCGATAGTGTACCAGATTTTGTCCTATATCTTGCGACGACATTTCAACTACGCTGAGGAGGATATTCAATATGTTGGCGATGAATATGAAGCGCTGCTCAGCAGCTGTGGGGATGGTATAATATCCTATACAAGCCCCTCTTTCCAGGTAGTCTCGGATGCTTTCAATTCGCTGGAAAAGTCGATACAAAACATGGAGGAAGTGCCATTGACAGTGAGACACTTGGCACCTGCTGGCCCGCTTCTCCGATATGCTGCCCTTCGCGTCCAGCCTGCTCCCGGTGTGTCGAGTGAGCGCGTCGATGTCATTCTCCAGTTTGAGAGTTCCGCTCGATGGCCAGATGATCTGGTGGCCATTCAAATGACAAAAGTGGCCTTCCTGATCAAAATTGGGGACTCGCTGGAATCCTCTGGGGTGGCTACTTCGTGTAAGGTAGGGTTAGAGAATGAGTCAAGTCGGATTTTGAACAACGCGTTCTTAGATGTTGTTCATGTGTCCGGGGTCATATTCCGTCTTCGCATCCATCATGATCGGGAACAGACATTGTTAGAACGCTCTTTGAAAGAAAAGGGAGTGACTGCACAGGTGAAACAAAATATCGCGTACGCACTGTCACTGTACAAGCGGACTTTCCTCCAGTCTCCTCGTCTGACCCAAGCGATTCGTACCTTGTGCACACGGCATCCTTTACTATCACCCACAATTCGCTTGGTCAAGCATTGGTTTCATTGCCATCTGTTCACAGGCCATTTGAACGAGGAAGTGATTGAACTATTTGCTGTTCGAGCCTTTACGCAGCCATACCCATGGGATGCTCCGTCAAGCCTCATGGTCGGCTTCCTTAGAACCCTGCACTTACTCTCGCGCTGGGACTGGCAGCAGGAGCCATTGATGATTGACCTGAGCGGCCAGCTGGATCAGAATGCAGTTGAAGCCATACGCACTCGCTTTTCTGCTTGGCGACAAATTGACCCAGCAATGAATAATGTCGCGCTATTCGTGGCCTCGGATATTGATCCAGAAGGGGTCTCTTGGACACAGTATGAGATGCCTTCGAAGGTCGTAGCAGCTCGCTTGTCTATCCTGGCCAAGGCGGCTATGAAAATGATGCGCCAAAAGGGACATACTCTCAATCCGTCCGACCTGTTTCAAACATCTCTAGCACCTTACGACTTTATTTTGAACCTACGCTCGAAAGGGTTCACCGATCTCCTGGCTTCGTCATCTCGGTACAAAAATTTACAACAGCAAGTGATTCAGGATCGAGCCGATAAGCTCTCGGTAGTCAAGACGTTTGTCCGCGATCTGCAGGCCTGCTTCAGCCCAAGTGCCCTGTTCTTCCACGGCGATGAACACTGCAACGTGGTTGCCGGCCTCTGGAACCCCCATACGGTCAAGCCCAAGAACTGGAGCCTAAAGATGACATACTCCACGTCGCCACTAGCTTTGATGAATTCCGGATCGAAGGGCAGTGACGACGTCTCCATCAACCAGACGGCTATCTTGAACGAGATCTCCAGACTAGGGGCTGGTCTGATTGAGCGCATTGAGGTGAACAGCCGAGACACAGCGACTTGTACTTAGTTATGTTTTGTAAAGTATATCATTTTACCTGGTAGCGCCGCTGCAATGCAATGGTCAAAATCGAAAGACAGAAAAAAGAAAATAGAGAAACAGAGTCAACACAATACATATAAATTGTAGATGAGTCGAACAAGCCAACAGGAAATAATGATATCATTCATGACCGATTAATTCAGGATCCAGTCACCAGTTTCTCGGACTTCTCTATTTGCGCCTGAGAGGAGAAGGAACAGAACTTATCCTTGATAGCAACGACTTCGTAACTCCCCTCATCGGAGGTTTTGATCGTCTTCTTATGCTCGTAAGATATATCATGTTTGATATCGAGGACTTCTGCTTTGGCGCCCCTCCGAGGGATTGAGCTTCGGATGTACCTAATAACAACAACAATGAGATTTCCCATCACCCTCGTTCCAGAAGGGACCTGGAGGCATAAGAAAACAGAGGAGACTTACGTAAACTCGAAAGGTGGTGTGCCCCAGAACTCAAAGTGAAGTTCGGCCTCTCCACCTTCATGTATATCAACAACGGAGGTCTGCCCTCTGCTGATCCTGACACTTGGCATTTCATGTATAGTTTTTGTGATGTTCTTGTGCGCTTTGCATCTCCCGCTGGCGCCGTCGCTTACAGCAGTGATGGTGAAAACGCCTGGTCTTTCTGCGATGCGACGGAAGTTGGTCGTGCGGGAAGTAGCCTTTCTAGAGACACCATCGAATGTGTAGAATACGTCGAACGGAGAATGGCCCGACAAAGAGAAGGACAGTCGTTCTCCAACGCAATAATCGACCTTGGACTCAAGCGGAATGATGGTTGGCACATCAGATACAGCAACTCGAACCGAGGAGCTATCGTTGTCAAACGTTCGCTGGCATCCTCGTACGTCCCGAACCTTGTGAATACTGACAACATGCTGGCCTAAATTCAAATGACGGCGTGGAATGGGTAAATGATACCGATTGGAATTGATGTCTGGGACAGACAGAACTTCGGGCTTGGCATTTGAATGATGTTTGATCGTGACCTCGAGATAGAATGGCGCAATACCTTCCAGGGTAACGGGGATAGATTCCTCCCCACTGACGTCCTCTTTGCAAAATCCGTAGATGTGGCCGGGAGAATCGAAACGGGCAGATGGCAGCGGGTTCACTCTTTGAGTCACAATCACCGGGCTGCTTCTCGAGTCATGGTCATAAAGATTGTCGCCCACTTCCTTAAACTTATAGGTATGAAGCCCAGCTTCAGACGTATCCATTTCCATGGAGGTTACATGAAGGGCAGTCTTGAGGCTTTTTGACCGGATGAGTGATGTGCCACGGGCCGTTTTCCGTTGCTGCTCGCATAAGATGCTATACGGAGGATTGCCCTTCAAACGAAGTTCAACACTGTCATCATCGCCCTGGCAAACGTCCGGCTTCTCAAGTGGAGTACCCACTACCACAGTGGAACCATCCACAGCAACAATGTGGGGACGAGGAATCCAGGAGACTCTAAATTCTTTGGCTGCTTGGTCTATGGTTCCTGGGCAAGAGCTGTCTGTCACTCCAATGAGCTCATAACGCCCTTCCTGTGCCACAGTGAGAAGACTGTTCTCTTGCCAAAACGTCTTTTCAACAGCGGGAGAGTTGTCGTCCAGATTTCTGTAATTGACCGTCCATGGGCGTTCACCGCTCAACCGTAGCGGTATATCGACCTTGGCACCCCGCAGAGCGGAAACAGTGCTCTTTCTCTCAACCTGACCAAACGACGCGTGCGGCGGCTTTGCCCGAGCATCAATTCGGATGCTGTCTTTCAAAGTGCGTTTGCAATTCGAACGATCCTTGATACTCGTCAATACAAGATTATATTCACCACCGCTCACGAGGCGCTCTGTCAGAATGGTGGCGACGTCACTGTCAGATTTCAAGACGTGCTTAGACTTCTTGCCATTGTGAACGAGTTCATACTGTAGAATCCATGGCGATTCTCCCAAGAAGGAAACGTCCACGGAGACGGGCTCACCAAAGCAAGCCCTGCGCAGCTCCCGAGAGCCGATAAAATGAGCAGAAGCCGGTGGCTTAACGTCTTGCTCGAGGATCGGCACCTTGTCCTTCAGAGAACGGGGTGCATAGACCATATCTGCAATGTCTAAGAAGCGGTATCGATAGAACCCTGCCTCCGAGGGCGTGAAATCAAGTTGTGTGCGCAAGCCATCGACCGTTAGCGATTTCGTCTCAACTCCTTTCGAGTGCTCGATACTGTATCGGAGACGGAATGGAGGCGATCCGGTAAGATCCAGGTCAACGAGCAAGCCGACTGAATTATTGGCGCATTTATCGAATATCTTTTCGTACTTCAGCGCCAGCTCAGGCTCAGGGGGGTTGTAGAGATAGCAAGACGACGGCTCCAACACTTCGCCAGAGCAGAATTGACTAGAGATGGAGTTCAAATTATACCAACCAGAATCTTTGATCTGAGGTTTCTGGTCAAGGGTTTTGAGCGAAAGCTGGCGAGCCTTGTCCGACAAATCTGAATCGTCCACTCCATTAGCCTTGAACGAGTACCCCAGAGTAAACGGTCCATCCTTGTCAAATCCCTGTCCAGCAGGATGGAACTCGATGGGCATATCCACACTTTCGCCCCTTGCAACCTCGATGAAGTGCTGGTCATCGCATCCAGATAATGAAATTCGAGGCCGTTCATGGACAGAAAATAGGTGCCACTGAGAGAGCGACTTGGATGATGATCTATCAACATCGTCAAGTAGAGCCGAATAATTGGCGACGTTCCCACAGCCGTCATGAACTTCTTCAATGCTGTAGAGCCATTCGCCTCCCACATTCAATGATTCATTAAGTGGGACTTCGATGGTTTGGCTCTGGGCCCAAGTGATGTCCGGCTGTTGTGAACTGAACAAAATGCTTGAGGTCCTCTGGCCTAATAATGGCGAGCGCAGATGATCGGGCTGGATATTTTGGAAAGAGAACCCACGATCATGCTGGTTCACTTGTCTGCTATATTTGATCTTCAATGGTGGTGTTCCTTCAACCTCCAACACCAGGTTCGACAGTTCTCCCTTACACTTGTCAGTGTGAGAGCTTTTAATCAGCGCTCGTGGACAAGACACGACAAGCGCGTCGGATGATCGCATGCGAACATCGAGATTCGACTCATCCACAACCCTTTGTAGTCGGTAAATGCCAGTACGACGGATGGGATAAAGCAGGTCCCGGTGGAGAAATGCGCCTGAGCCCGAGTGTTTCTTGTCTGCTTGACGTTTCATCTGCTTCAGTTGTTTGGATGAGATCGTGATGGTTTCGTTTTCACCGTTGTTGAAGTCCAGGCGGAGAAGTTCGATGAGAATTGGGTCTGTTTGATTGATACGGATCGGCAGATTGGCAGTATTTTTCTCAATGTTCAAGCAGAAGGCTGTCTGGTCTGGATTCAGCACGGCAGATCTGTAGCCTGTTAGTATGTTAGGATTGCGAGTCACAGTTGAGAAGCTTACCCCTCCGGCAAAATATGCACAATCTGTTTTCCTAGAATGAGGGAGGCGTTATGGATTATGTCCCCGGGCTTGACGCTACGCTCGGAAATAGACAACTCCCTATCATAGAGTATTTTGAGAATGCCAGTGGCCCACGCGCCGACCGGAATCTAACAAGAGTGAGCAAAGCGATGATTGCATTAAAAAACTGTGGCCCATACCGGAATGCGAAACATGAGGAACATGTTGCCCACGACATGAAGCAAGAAAATCGCGAGCGTTGTGGGAAACGCCCATTCGAGCCATGGTATGCGCAAAGCCTGAAGACCGAAGAGAAAGATCCCATCAATGGACGCCCATTTGAGGAATAGCCAAGTCGAGTCCAAATCGTCTGAAGCTGTCCACGATTCATAAATACGCCATGCATTGAGCGCGACATAGAAAGCCACCACGTAGAGCCTTTGCGACGGGGCATCTACCACGTCGGTTGGAATAAGAGGCACATCCTGCTTCGGCGGCGGTGCTTTTACCGGCGATTTTCGCAAGCCGCTTTCCCGAAATTTGGGTCTTGAGGGGGTGACGTTGTACTCTCTGGTCCTTTGCATGGGCTGAGGAGTCTGAGGAAAGGCAGACCGAAGTCGGGGAGTGCCGTTCATGGCATGCTGTGGTCGGAAAGATAGCTGCAAGAAGGGCACTCTATTGGCAAAGTACCAGATCATCAGTACTGAAAGGAGGATTGGTAGCTATGTCACTCACCGATCGCAAGTTTTTATATCTTAGATGGTTGCCTTTCGGATTCAAGTCAGTCCGAAGACAATATTCAAATGGTTGCAAGCGTATTGATACTGATCTCTCAGCGTAGACAGTTGAGGAAGCCGAAAGACAGAAAACTGGGAAGAGAAGAGCTTTGCGGTTAGCGGGTTGGAAGTTTAGCTATGTTTAAGTGCGCAGGGCGGATCACCTTCAGCGTAAGTACTTTAGTAGACAGAAATATAGAGAAAATGGTTTATCTATGGACTAGATACCCAATTTCTTGATGTGAGCTTAGTTTCTGGTCTCGTTATGTCCCATCTTAAGCTGCTAAATGTCTCATTCCTTTTCACAGTACGTCTTAATAGATTATGTATGTACCTGTACTCTGTAGACACCTCAGGTATCCGCCCTTATTATTAACGCGTTACTACAGTCGCGTCAAAGCAGAAGCGTCATCCAATCAGCGAAAGCCATCATGAGCTACAAAGCTCTAAGGTACCTACCTACTACAGTACCTAGGAGGTAGTCCCCTACTTAGTACGTACCTAGTAGTACCTAGAGTATCACTTATACTCCTATCTGTTATCGAATGGTCTAAGCAATTCATTGAATTTGACATGATAATAATATGAAAGCATAATGATCATCCTTTTTGCATCACCAGCTTGATACTGTATTCGCTCTCTATCTTGGTCGTTCTCGCTGCTTGTCTACCGCCCAGCTTTGTGAATCAAACACGCCAACCAGCCCCGTGGGAAGTCTTCTCTGCGCCGTAGGACTTCTAATAGTGGGTGCTCATCCAACGATCTTGATCCCTGAGCTAGCCTTTTTGTCACCGGGCTTGGCTTAGAGTATTGAAGCCAGAATGAGCCAGCGCAGCAAACGGAGACGTCTGAATGACAGTCCAGTTGCGGCATCTATTGAGTCGAATGCGACAGCAAATCCTATGACAAATGAACCTGGATCCTCCATTGACGGGGTGAGGCGAAATTGGAACGGCTTCTGTGAGCTTGAATCTGAACCGGTAAGAGTTGATGATCTACCCAACACCCCCTTCCAAAATAACAAGCTCATGCTGGTACCTAACAGGCTATTTTCAATGTGATGCTTCGCGAATTTGGCGTCAAAGGAGTCAAAGTGCAAGAAGTAGTCTCTTTAGACGAAGAAATGTTGGCTTTTTTGAAGTATGAACTTCCGAAATTGCCCCTTTCCAATGTTTGTTCTTGTTCTTGATATGGTCTAATGAAAGCTTACTTGCGAGCAGTAAGCCTGTTTATGGTTTAATCTTTCTCTTTCGCTGGCGAGAAGATGACCCTGACAAGCAAGAAGCAAGCTGCCCGGAAGGGCTATGGTTTGCGAATCAAGTCAGTTTGTTTTCCTCTCCCTTGGAATCATCATGTGCCCCTCTGCTGATTTTTGACCTAGACTGCTAGTAACGCTTGCGCAAGCGTGGCACTCCTGAACATCGTCAACAATATAGAGGGATTAGATCTCGGTGAGAATCTACAATGTTTCAAGAATTTTACGATGCCATTCACGCCAGCACTGAGGGGTGATGCGATCAGTAATTTTGAATTTGTCAAACGCATACATAATTCCTTTGCGAGGTAAGTGGTCCGATGCCGTCCACTCCAAGGCTTTCCCCTCCCCATATTGCCGGTGTGATCGCAATGGTTTATCTCATGTCTCGAGGAACAGGAAGATGGACATGCTTAACTCGGACCTGCAACTTAAAACGGAGGCAACATCTAAGCGTTCTCGGACAGGCAAAACCAGGCGTGATGATTATGAATCGGATGCAGGATTTCATTTCATTGCATTTGTCCCCGCATTGGGGAAGATCTGGAAGTTTGACGGCTTGGAACGACAGCCTCAGGCTCTCGGTGCGTATGGTGGAACCGGCTATTCAATACGTGCTCATCATGATGCAGGAGAATATACGCCCGAGATAGACTGGCTAACATTGGTACGACCCAATATTCTCACCAGAATGGCAGAATATGAAGAAGATCAAATCGAATTCTCAATTCTCAGTGTGGCCAAGGATCCTTTGGTAGAATTTGAGGAGAGATTGGCAGCCAACGTCAAATGCTTGGAATTGGTCAACCAGCGCCTGGCTTCCTCAAAGGCAGAGGAAGCCAAGAAAATCGACTCTGTACCCTCATCCGCTGCTGCTTTGCTTGAGAATACAATAATCGGACCCGATCCCTCCTTTAATCTGACCAGAGACCGGATCGATGGCGCGATTATCCCGCCCGATGTGGAAAGACTCTATGGCCAAGCTTCGCTAGAGGAAATGAGGCGTTATCAATACCAGCTCGGTAGTGAGCAGCAGGAGCTTCGAGCTTCGATGCGGGAAGAACAGCAATCCCACCGATCAGATGACGACTACGCGGTCGGGCGGCGGTTCGACTACGGACCAGCGGTAAGAGCCTGGGTACGCCTTTTGGCGCGCAAGAAGCTCATCGAAAGCCTTCGATGAGAATGGGAATGGATGGGAGGGGTATCTGGGCTGGGAGTCTGGGATATCTGCCTTTGCCATGGCTCCGACTTTTTTTTTGCCAACTGGTATCTTCATGCAATGGCGATGAATGAGTGGTACCTGGTAATTGGGTTGGGGCTTGTGATGGTTCCATGGTGTAGATGCTTGCAATAAATGCTATCCAGGATATATCGCCTTCATCTCTTTGGCGAGAATTGATTGAATTTGAGTGCGGAATTGTAACAACGAAAGGGTTTTGACATGTGGTGCTTGTAGTTCATCAAATCCACAAGCCATGAGCCGCAAGCATCCAGGTAAGGTATACTCAATCCTTCACTCCTGTACCAGCGGTAGTCTCTCTTGAAGTCCTCGTGGTGAGCCGATTGGATGAGACGGATTATCATCCTGGGTTCCACCGATAGGCTTCGTTCCAGCTGTTTTTTTTTCCCTGTTGACTCTCTTCCATTAATCTCTATCGTTCGGGACTGGCCGACAGTTTTTTTTTTTTTTTAGATCGATGAATCCTCCTGGTCTTCTGTATCCCCACGCCAAACTGCCGAGTCCTTTGGTCTCTTAGTCAGACGCCATCGATCATTCGTTATCTCGCCCGATAACAAAAAGTGTCGGTGACGTAGCCTCTTCATTCTTTCTTCTCTTTCTTCTCTCCTTCTTTGGGAACAAACGAAGGGAGAAAATACCACATCAGAGTCAGTCACCGCCTGGAGGAAGATTCCTCCTGAGGCTGATCGGTCACACTGACCCTTTTTCTATTCTAACCTGCCCGCCTGTCCACTATTTCTGATAAGGTCCTCATAACTTCATCCACATATCCCTTCGTCGTCGCCGGGTTGCACATAAACCATATATTCACATCCTCCAGAGCGTAGAAGTCGTATCCAGACCTGGTTCTTGCGATTTCCTCTTTTTCCTTTTTGCGGGTGGTACCAACAGAACACCGAACTGCCCAATTTTCATACCTATCATCCTTTCTACTGAACCGCTCCGCCTGCCATGTCTTCTGTCGCTGTTGCAGAGACCCCGGACAAAGCACACGATGACTCGTCTAAATTGAAGACGTTCCTTTCCATCCTTCGAAAGTGTGTTCTTTCTTGAAAGCCTGCTTCACCCTCATACTTCAAACACTATAGGGTGTTTGCTAACGTCACTGTTAAACTGGTTAGGTTTGTTGGAGTAGCAGATATTGCGTCCGTTCGTTTCTCGTTACCTGCACATCTGTTGGAGCCCACACCGAATTTGGGTAAGTATGTATGGACATTACGACAGCCGGACGTATAGCTGATGAAGGCGTGATGATCGGTAGAATATTGGAACTACCTGGACAGGCCGGAAACATTTGCAAGGTGGGTTAGATGTTCCCCTCTCCAACCGCAAAACACCCGGCTCCTGACAAACAGACTTGCAGTATTGGAAAGTCGGATGAACCTTTGGGCCGGATACTTGAGGTTCTAAGGTTCTGGTTCACAAAAGATCTGGTATGACTCATCCTTGACTTGATACGTATATCTGCTGAGTACTTGACAGAAATATATCAAAGGCAAGCCTTGTAAACCATACAACTCTACACTAGGCGAATTTTTCAGGGTAAGTATTTCTTGTGTTGATCATCCACCCCCCTACAGCGTATGGGACGTATCTTAACCTATCTGGCTTGCTAGTGTAGCTGGGACGTCAAAGACAACACGCCTGATGTACCTCTGCCTGCAACCGCAGGCGTGCAGACTAAGACTTGCACCGGTGATGGTGAAAACAGCGGTCCTGTCAAAATATGCTACCTGACTGAGCAGACATCTCACCACCCACCCGTATCTGCTTTCTTCATTGAGTGTCCGGAACTGGGGATCTCAGCCCGTGGGTTCGATCAGCTGAGTGCCAAATTTACGGGAACGAGTATTCGAGTGAGCCCTGGCCAACACAACCTGGGAATTTTCATTAACCTGGAGAAACGAGACAACGAAGAGTATCAGTTGACCCATCCATGCGCTCACCTGGGTGGGTTATTGAGGGGTGCTTTGGCAATCTCCGTTTCAGATACATGTTACATCACTTGCTCCAAAACGCGTATCAAGGTCATTCTACAGTATCTAGAGGACGGCTGGCTTGGTCGGGCTCAAAACAAGGTTGAAGGAGTGATCTTCCGATATGACCCAGATCAGGACACTACTACCAAAATAAAAGATGTGCCTGAGAGCGATATACTTGCCAAAATCAGCGGTTCATGGCACGGTCAGATCTATTTCACCATGACTGGGACAACTGAGCCTCGCCTCTTAATTGATGTCGCGCCTCTGTTTCCGACCCCGAAGGACTTGCCTCCCGAAGCTGAGCAGCTTTCAAATGAATCGCTCAAATTCTGGGCTGGGGTCACAAATGCCATCAAGGACAAAAGGTACGGAGAAGCGACGAAGCTCAAGCAAGAGATTGAAGAGCGGCAACGGGAAAAGGCAGCGGAGCGCCAACAGAAGAACGAATTGTGGCAACCGCGGTTCTTTACCGGAAGTGTTACGCCGCTAGGAAAACCAGAATTGACTGAAGAGGGATACAGAGCCCTGCAGGGACTCCGTCGTGGCGACTACAAGCTAGAGGAGAGCCAAAGGAAGGGCGCATAGTCGTTTCAAACCGACGTTTGCAAACCGCCTATTCAATTGAGCTTGACTGATACTGGCGTACCCGGCGAGAAACTGTATCAGTGGGCGCATCTTGCTCGATTGTCCTTCCTTTGTAACCCATCCCAAATGTTGTGTGCGCCTGTGAAGTGTTTGCGCCCGATCCCGCTTCACCCCTATCCCCTATCTCCTCTGCTTTTCATTTCAATCATATAGAGGCGACGGGACTTCATCAGCCTGTTACCAATGTTCACGCACACGTCAAATCTTCTGTACCATCCCTGGCGCTTTAACTTACCCCAGCGATGGTCGGATTTCACTACTACCCTTGGGCTTTTCTTACCCCCTCCCTCAAGCTTTTGTCTAGCCCGCGATATAAGCCATGGGCTTGCTGCAAGGGGGGTTATTCTCCCTTCCTTCCTCGACATTGTCTTTGGGCGCAAGTTATTACCACAAATCTAATCTACGTGGGTCGTCCTAATATTCAGGAGATCCATCCATTCAATCTATCACATGTAAAATAGTGCTATATCAACCGATTCATTTGCAAAGGTAAGTGAACAAGAATAAGAAGGTAGATAACAACAGGACACCCTGTCCACGAGATAGCCGATGCCAACCGCATATGCATGTTAAAACCATATAAGGCATAAGTGTATATGTACCCTTCTCCCATTCCCAGATTGCGCCATTGTTCCACAGCACACGTTGAACGCCATTAATCCTGACTAAAATAACGAGAAATTGAATGTGACTGTGAGCAACTACGCGCTTGCCGAAACAACTTTGTTGAAGCCCGCGCTGACGGTCTTCGCAATGTCCTCATTCTTATGTGGGAGGAGGGACAAAGCATAGGCCACGTCGTTCCATTGCCGTTCGGTTTCGCAACGTGGTAATCTGGCAGCGAGTTTTTCCGCCAGCTGTCTCGCATGTTTTTCCTAGAAAGAAAGGGGAAAAGGTGTTAGATGAGGGTTGCAATGGGTGAGTGTGGACTGTTTCGCGGTGGAATCGAATATCTCTTACCTTTTCAACGAACCCAATCAAGAACTTGACAATGCGTCTCAGTGCACTCTCTTCGAGGTTTCGCTCTGCACTCAATAGACTGAACATGTCAACGAAATGATTGTAGACTGCATTATCCTTGGTCGCCAGCTCCGTGAAAAACATGCGAGCCAAATCAGCAATCCGCTTATCATCATCTTCCAGACATTTGGCCATCTCTCCAAGCTGACCCTTAACTTTGACCTGGCCTGCCAGAATGAGGAAGGTGAGTGTCATGAGACAGGTGCGTTTAACAGAGACATCATCATCATTCAGTCGACGATACAGAAAATCGGTGTTCTCGTCGATGAGGTGATTGAAACAAACAGCCATGTCACCCAGAGCAATCACTGCATTACTGCGAACGCTTGGATCCTCTGAGCGCTCCATAATGGTAATCAGGAGGGGGAGATTTTTCTCGCAATACTCAGCTGATACGCACATCAATTTGGCCATGCACAGAGTTGCCGCAGCCTGGAGATTGACATCAGGATAAGCATTGCTGTTGGCACATATCTCTGCAGCCAACGGCCCAAAATTCGATAGGAGCGAGTTCTCGCCAAAAAGCAATTCTCGTTCCCGAATGTGAGCCATGGCCTCGGTAAAGTCATCTTCGGTTGTTCCACCGATCAGGTCCAGCTCATCCTCCTCGCCTGCCTCGTTATCTTTTTGAGCTGCGGCGTTGGCAGTCTTATTCTTCTCCTGTTCTGCCTTGCGACGCTTGAAGTCAAGCTCACATAGTTCTAGATGAACAATCTGCTTGATAGCAATATGGCCTACAACAAAAAGCAGTTGAGAGAGTGCGGCAGCAGACGTCTTTTGTCGCGGAGCTTGGCCTTCTGTTGACGCTGTTCCCGGTCGCTCCTCCTCCTCCTCCTCCTCCTCCTCCTTCTTCTCCTCGTCATTGACTGGGGGCTTGGAAGATTGGCGACGAGGTTGAGGCTGAAATACAGACCTGGTCTTCCGCTTAAGGATATCAGAACAAAGGACATCTGGATGCTTCGAGAGCGTATAGATTGCGCCGATGGCTTGCTCTGCTACCCCGTACCATTCCTTGCTATCAGACACGATCTCGACCATGGCAGCAAGCTTGCTCAGAACAGGATGATCATTTCCTAGCTTGGGAATGCCGACATCTTTCGATTTCGCCTGGCGACCTGGTACCATTCGTTTCAATGCAATACACGTATATTTTGCTAGGGAGAGGTCGGTTCTTCCATTGCTGCCAAGTCCAATCCGAAGCATCACTTCGGTTTCCTTGATCACAACCTCAGGGTCAGCCAGAGCGAGCATGCCCAGGATGATGATGGCACCCCGTCGCTGGGTTTTAGAGATCTCTTTGCGTTGAACTCCGTAGACCTGCCAGAGTTTGGCAATGACCGCATCGGAAATATGACCGGCCTTCATCATGGTGCTAAGCAACTGTTCCAGGCATGTTAACTCGGCAGGTGTTGAGCCAAAGGTCAGACTGATGATGTTCCGTGCAATGTAATTTGCAGCGTCATTCGGACCGAATGAATCCGGTGCATCGAAGAACAGGCCCTTGTAGCAATCAATTAGATGAGTTTGCACCCCTTTACCTTCGTCACTGTTGCCTTTAGTCCAGATCAGGCGAAGCATGCGGCGGATACCACTGCGCGAAGTCTCGACTCTGTACGCATCGAGGACCACAAAGAAGTCCATGGCCTCGATAACTTCGCTCTTATTTCGGGATGATAAGAGCTGAGAAACTACCGGAGAGGCAGAGTGGAGGACTTCAATGAAACGGATAGCTTCATTGTAGTATTTCCTAGTCAATTGCAGACGTGCGAGCAGCTCGGAGGTTGCCGCCTGTTCCGCAGCCTTCTGGATCGCTACTGTCCTCTCTTCATCCGTCATGCGTGGCGCCTCTGTTGGAGAGTCCTCCGGGATCTGAGTTGCATCATCCAACAACTCGCTGTCCACATGTGATGCGTCTCCTCCACCAAAGCTGGGAGTCTCAGGAGGTCTCAATGCATTGAGTTCGGCATCAACGTTCTCGAGTCTGGCCGCCCATTCCTTGTACGAAAGCTGTCCACCGTGCATTACACTAAATGGATGGGTTGACACCAGTTTGGCAAGCAACTTGATCGCATTGCGTCGCACGTTGCTGCTCTTGTCCTCCAGACTCCTTGCGGCTAGCTCAGCAACTGCTTGGCGTCTTTTGGGAAATTTTTGTTCCAAATCGCAAATTCTCATGTAAACCTGAATGGCTCTGCATCGGCAGTAGGGATTGATGTCGAGAAAGCGCTCTTCTAAAACATCGAAAAAGGCGTTGATCTGGGTCTTGTAGTTTTCGCTGCGTTCTTCTTGTCTGCTGAGATCGGCGATGAGATTACCGCACACTTCAACAACAGCACATCTAAGGGTATAAGACTATCAGGACAGTTAGTGTCCTGTTATAAGCACCGAAGAGATGAGTGGGCTGATAGTACTTCGCTATCCAATTGTTTGGCCAAGAGAGTCATCTGCTTGATAATTAACCGTGGCGCCAAGTCCGAAAGTTTCACGATGAAGGCCGATACTGATTTGGGTCCGCGTGTATCGTTCGAATTGAATTCCTTGTTGCCAAGTTCCCTGTAACCGGTCAGCCGCTGTTGTAATGCAGAACATGAAGACTGCAATACTTCAGTATCTCGTCCGAGAGCTGTGGATAGTCATATTGCTCCGCCAGTATGTGCAAGAACTCGGCCATGGGCTCTGACAAATGTTCGAAATAAGTGAGGCTCTGGACGATAGATGTTTGGGCACCTTTCACCACATATTAGCTATAAATTCTTGCTCATGTAAGTCAATTCTTACCGAATGCATGACCATGGTGTTTCACAGCAATGCAAAGAACTTTGAATGCATGCATTCGGATGGCCATGCTCTTCACACGTTGTTCGCTCTCAAGAATCAGATACACGGACCGGGTTAATAGGTTAATGAAGGTGTCGCGGTCCGATGTAGTCAAGAAGATCCTGCTCAGTTTGAGTTTCATTACCTTGCACATCGTCTCCATGGATATTTGGATCTGCGCTGTCCAGTCCCAGTTGCCGTCCTTGTTGTTAGCCTTAGACCTGCCCGACTTTCCTACGCCTCTTCGAGCGGGCGCAGCTTCGGCAGGCTTCTCAGCCGCTTTGACCTCTACGGCTGAAAGGGCCCATTGCAGTAAAAAACCGTACATCTCCAGCAGTTGTTTATGATGTTGGATCGCATCCTGCTCGTCAGACTCGAGATCTCCGTGTATTGTGTCCGCTTCCACAGACAGTCCAGAGACAATGAGGTCAAGCAGTTTGCTGAGGGATCTCGTAGGTAAAAAGGACGTATATCTGCAAAGTTTGAAAAGTTCAGAATGGGATCCACGAGGGCCCGAAGACTCCGAAATTTGATGGGGGGTATTGCGCACTTTAACAGGAATTGCAGCGAGTCAAAAACCGACTGTCTAGCCAACGCTTCAGGGTTCTCCGCCACTGCATCTACGATTGGATTGAGCACGTTATCGATCAGTGCGGGCGACAGCTGTTCGATCTCGCTTTCGCAATCCAGTAATTCCGAGTCGGCATCGTGAGTGGGAACGGAGACGGGATCACTCAGATAATACTTCAGCGACTCGTTGATATCGAACTGAATCCTGTCCTCCATCCTGAGCGACCGCGAGGGGAATCCTCGAAGAAGCTTCAAGAATGCTTAGCGACGGGGTAATGCTTCGCTCGGTGGTGGTGGGGGGTGGATGCGCTCCTATGAGTCCAGAAGAGTGGAAGAGGTTGATAGATAAACGGAGGGGAAGAAATGATGATTGTTTGGCGGAAGTAGCCATTTGTTTGTATTTTTCCTCTTTGAGTGATTTTGCCACGGCGGTGTAGGTGAGTCGTGTATTGTTACCGAAACCCTACCTATACGCAGTACATACGTAAAGTACGTACCTAGTAAGTAACGGAAGGTAGGTAGGTACCTACTGACTGTATATTACAGAGTGGCTAGGAAATCATATGCTGCCCATGGTTGATCAACATGTAAAAAAAAAGAAAGAAAACAAAAACAAAATGATAAATCCCAATAATTAAATACCATATGCATATTCCATTGTATTGCAGTCCTCCATGTGATTAATGTGATACGTGTGTATTCTTTACTACTGGTGCAATCAAGATAAACAAACATCACCATTCCGAATCAGGACATTTTGCATGCTTCTCTAGATTACTATCATCTCAATGAATCAACCACCTCATCTATGCAGAATTACCAGCGTCGCCCACCGCAAATTCACACATCTGAAGGATATTGTATGCGCGCATCTCGTGTATAATCCCTCGAGCATTCTCATCTCTCATTGCTGCCACTTTTCCTCGACCCCCGTATCAACCAATTACGCGTCTACATGCAAATTTGAGAGACCCGGTTCTGAGTCTGGGGCCATTTGAGTTGGAACTTGTCTTGCCAACATTCGCCACTATGTCTACGGTGCATCCAACATCAACCGCGGCTTTCACACTGCAAAGATCCGGAGCAATGGAACAATATCGCGCACAGCGGGCTGGAACAGAGTTGGAGGATGGCCCTACCACGGACAGCGATCCGTCAGTGCGAGGAGAGAGCGATTATGAGGATGAGGACGAGGAAGAGGACGTCGAGGATTCAGTCAGAGAAGATATGAAGAGACTTGAGGATACGTTCCCAGGAATTTCCGATCGATTTCGTTTGGTGAATAGAATTGGAGAAGGTAGGTTTCGACTGTCTTGAGATTCTGCACTATTTCCTCTTGTGCAGTGTTGTGGCCTTCCCTTTGAAGTGTACGTAATTAACGGTCGCAATCGAATCGCTACAGGTACTTTCTCCACGGTTTACAAGGCGGAAGACCTTCAATATGACGATTTCATCAACGATTGGGACACATTTCAAGACAAACAGAGCGACAGATGGTCGAGCCCGCCAGCAAAAAGACGACGAGTGGAAAGCGAAGGTAGCAAACGAAGGAAACCACGATATGTTGCGCTGAAGAAGATCTATGTAACCAGCAGTCCGCTGAGGATACAGAACGAACTGGAGCTGCTCCACGACCTCCGGGGGTGCCGCTCAGTATGTCCGTTGATCACTGCGTTTCGACATCAGGATCAGGTCGTGGCAGTTCTGCCCTTCTTCCCCCATACCGATTTTCGCATTCAATACCGTACATTCATGGTCGCCGATATGCGACACTATTTCAGATCGCTTTTCACTGCTCTGAACTCTGTCCACAAGCACGATATCCTCCATCGAGACATCAAACCAACGTGAGTCAGCCACTGCAAGGTTCGATTTCAAGCTTTCAATGTTCTAAGCGTCTCAACAGTAACTTCCTATATAATCCCGAGCTTCGCGAAGGGGTTCTGGTCGACTTTGGTCTCGCGGAAGTAAGTCTTCGATTCAAATTATCTTGTCGTTGGGCAATTCTAATCCGTCTTTCCAGCGTGAGGGTTCCGATTATACTGGCACCTGTCTTTGCGCCAACCCTACCTTTGTACGACGTAGTAGATTTCTGCAAAGCTATTACTACACGCATTGCTCCACAACTACGTTGTCTAACGGCTATCCCAAAAACGACTCGCGGCCAGCGCGACGTGCCAACCGAGCGGGAACTCGCGGATTTCGAGCCCCGGAGGTTCTCTTCAAATGCACATCCCAAACAACGAAAATAGATATGTGGTCAGCAGGCGTCATTCTTCTTACCTTGCTTGGACGCCGGTTCCCATTCTTCAACTCTGCCGATGACGTCGACGCGATGATAGAAATGGCGAGTATCTTTGGCACTCGCCGTATGAAGACCGCAGCGGCTATGCATGGACAAATCTTCGAGACGAACATCCCTACGATAGGCGAAAAGGGTTATGGCTGGGAGAAACTAGTGAAGTGGGCGAGCTGCGTGGAGGAGCTAACGGAGAGTGAGAGACAGGCCACTCGTCTTCTGGCCGGCCTCATGGAGCTAGATCCATACCGACGATTGAGTGCCAGAGAGGCTTTGACTCATGAGTTCTTCACCAACCCTATTGAGCACGATGTGGAGTGGGGAGGGCATCCCGAAGATAGCGGAGACACTGGGGAGGATGATGAAGGTGACAAGGAAGATGACGAGGCAGACGAAGTAGCAATGGTATAGAGGATGTGTGAAGTCATGTATGATTATGATATCTCGTTACGATCGAGTGTTCCATTTCGTGTCAATATAACGTCTGCAAATGCACTACGAAGATGCAAGTCAATCCTCCTGCTCGTTGAAAAGCTAAGTTTCCAAATCACGCGCCATGTGTGCCATGATATACTCAATGTGTAATATAATCAGAGGGAAGATTCGTTTACTACGCTGTTGTCTAGATAGCATGAAATGTCGTCGATGTGGTTCAAGAGAGGATAAATTCGGACGAAAGATGCTACGGCTGATTAGCCAGCTTCGCCAAAATCGTAATGTCCTGTTTGTGTTGCGTGCTGCGTGGCGCCCTTCTCGCCGACGAAAATGCCGCCACAGGTATTGCAGCGGATCCGAAAGCCTGCAGTATCTGTGTAATAATGCTTGTTTTGCAGAACTTGGCAAAGAGCTCGCGACTTTTCTAGAACCAGGGGATCCGCCGCATCGAAAACCTTGGTATCAAACTCCGGAGGGGCATAAGCATGTGTATATGGCGGGTCAGAGGGCGATAGGGCAATGGTGTCATAGTGAATTCCTGAATACACCAGGATGCACCGGGTACCCGGGCCCTCGTTGAATCTATCCACCCGCAATGTCTGCACATCGATCGAGCAGATCTCAATATCAAAATGTTTACTCAGGATGCTGAGTTCGATAGCCCCTCCCCATGAGTCCTCATTTTGAATCCAGCGGCAGTAGTCGTCGGGCTTCTTCTCAAGAACGGCTTCCGAATAAATATCCGGATTTGCCTGGATTGTCTGGGCGACGATGGACCGGAGCTCGTTCATGGTGTCCATACCTCCCATGATGGCGCTTCCCACCGCACGAAAAAGGCAGGAATTGTCATCAGGCATGATGCGTAATACGAAGGTCCCTGAATGTTCCGTGGAAGGAATCTCTGGAGGATCATCCGATATACCCTCATGCGACTTGCGCGACAGAGATAGCTTCTGAGGGACCTCTTCGTTCGGTGCTTGTGTGGGCGGTGGCGGCGCTGAGTCTTCCTTTCTGGTGATAAGCAGCTGCTCCCCGTTGAGATTAACGCTTATGTCTTTGATCTTCTCATCAGATTGTAACGCATCCAAGTCTAATGACTTGAGACCAGGATATCCATATTTCACGTCGTATGCTGTCAAGCCGGTCTTCTCAACAATCTTGACCCGGAGGTCGTTGATTGTTGCCGTGTCATCAAGCGTGACGGTGGACTGGCCAGTAGGTCCACGAATGCGAATCCGCATCATCCACTAGATATGATCAAGGAAGAAAAAGCGATCGTGAAATTTGTGTTCGTGATGGATGGTAGTTATAGATAGCTAAAAGGAGGTAATAACATGTATAAATGAGGCCGCAAGCACTCAGGTGTCCTGAACGGGACGAACTAATGACGATGAGGAGGAGTAGCTGGATGTGGGGCTGACGGCGGCACATCATCCTGCGAGCTAAGAAGATATCGATATACAATCAGTACCTAGGTACATTCTTATGATCAGCGAGAGGAATCTTTGAGCGTGTCACAAGAGAAGACCTTGAACCAAACCCGATGATTCCAAGTACCATCATCAGGGAGCTGGGTCCCTATATCAAGTCAAAGCAAGCGATTAGAATGATTGCTTCGAGAAAGAAAAACTCAAAAGAGAGTGAGTCGGAAGATTGAGCTCCCCCGCATTGGGTTATGGATGGATGCCGTTCATGATCAATTCAACGCTGTGATTGCCAGTTGAACCGTTGCTTCTCCTGGAGATGGGCACATCTTAAGACTCCTTTTGGCCTCAAGGATTTTGCACAGTCAAGTGTTATGACTTTCAACAAAGGTTATCCGTCAACATAGCTAGATACCGAATTTACCTATACAAGGTACCTTTGGAGGTTCTTGGAGTGGGAGACCGAGAAAGGTATGTAACGTTACAGTTGATAAGGTATTAAGCAGTACATGGCGATATGGTTACGTTACCTTTGTACTTAGGTAAGCGGAGATAGCTCGATAACGGGAAACACCAGCGTACCGTAATATACATTTCCATTCTTCTTGTAAGTTACGAGATACCAGCTGAGTCAGCAGAGTAGCTACACGAACGTCTTCCTTCTCATTTGGTCTTTTTCTTTGCGCACCTCTCATATTGAACGGTCTGCATTCCCATGAAGGTTTTATTGACCCTTCTCAGCGTCTTGGTCTGGCTTTCTGCGCGCTGTTCTTGAATTCAGCTGTCGGGGAGGTCCACAGTATGGAGCAAGCGACGGAGCCGTCGCAAACCCAACCCGTTCCTGAGGAGCCGGTCAAATCGATCGAGGAGGATGGCAAAGCTGACGAGGGCCCTGTTCAGGGTGGTGTCACTGATGAACAATGGAGGTTGATGATGGATGTTGTCTTGGCTATCTATGAATTCAGAGAAGAAGAGTAAGTTTCATGGTCCTGTGTCTCTTTTGGCCGTTGCCTGCAGTCCTGCGCACAACAAGGCGACAACTAAAACGTCGGAATAAAGTGAAAGCTAACCCTGCCACTACCTTTCTCCCAAATTCTAGTGGCCATGATCCGTCCCGATTATTTCAGAGAAGCGTCAACAAGCGCAATGTGCCCGACTATTATGAGATCATCAAAGAGCCCATGGCTCTCAGCATTTTGAAACAGAAGATCAACAAAAGGGAGTATAAAAACTTCGCCGAATTTGTGCGAGACTGCGCTTTGGTAATTATGGTCCTACCCGTGCCTTTGTGATTTCCAGGTCATTCCGGCTTGAAGTGATGAAAGCTAGCCACTGACATTCTGTCCTCTTCCCGCAGATCCCCCACAATGCGCAAACCTACAACCGGCCAAACTCTCAAGCATATGAGGATGCGCTTGTTATTAAGGTTGATGATGTCCCAGCTTAGATCATGCCGCTTCTCTGCACCATACGCTGACCCATGTTCTCGAGCACAGGACGTTTTCATCGCAGAGTTCGACAAGCTCGTGAAACAAGGAGTCATCACTTCGGAACAAGCTGAGCTCCCGGACTTAGGGGAGATCCCCGAGGCAGATCCCCTTCCGGAGGAAGAGGAAGAAGAAGATGAGGAAGACGATGACGATGAGGACGATGATGACTCTGATGATGATGGCCGACGCAAGAAGAAGCGAGGCCCCCGTCCTGGGTGGAAACGAGATGCTGCGAAAGAAGACGGTCACAAGTCTGCTGACCCAGAAATCAGGAAGAAGCGCGGTCGGCCACCCCGCGTTGATACACCAATGGAGGCCAGAATTAAAGCTGTTCTAAAGGGGATCCGTAAGCTGAAAGGACCCAGTGGGATGCTCAAAGTGCGACATTTCGAACGGTTGCCTGACAAAGCTATGTATCCGGATTATTATGTGGAGATCAAGGATCCAATTGCCATCGACATCATTAAGCGAAAATCCAAGCGCAAGAAGTATCACTCGGTTGACCATTTCATGAGGGATATGGATCTCATGTTCAACAATGCCAAAGCTTACAATCAGCCGGACAGTCAGATTTACAAAGATGCGGTCGACTTGCAGGGCGAGGCCAGGAGACTTGCTGAGATCGAGAAGAGAAAGCCTGACACTGAATATCTCATGGAAGATGGGCGACTTCCCTTACCCGATGGCATTCTCTACAAAGGGGAGCTCTGGAAAGTTGGTGACTGGGTCCACATTCAGAACCCTAACGATGTGACCAAGCCTATCGTAGCACAGATTTATCGAACATGGCAGGATTCGGAGGGCGAGAAATGGGTCAATGCGTGCTGGTATTACCGCCCGGAGCAGACGGTCCATCATTTCGAGAAGCATTTCTACCCTAATGAGGTGGTCAAGACAGGCCAGTACCGTGACCACCGGATTGAGGAGGTCGTGGACCGTTGCTTCGTGATGTTCTTCACTCGCTACAACCGCGGACGTCCCAGAGGCCTTTCCCCTGATAAGGAGGTCTACGTCTGCGAGGCTCGCTATAATGAGGAGAAGCATAAACTAAACAAGATCAAGACCTGGGCGAGTTGTCTGCCTGACGAGGTGAGAGAAAAGGATTATGAAATGGATCTTTTCGACGTTCCTCGAAGGATCAAGAAAATTCCTAGCCCCATAAAACACTTGTTGAAGAGTGTTGCAAAGGAGACCGACGATCTGCCGAAGCCAACATGGGGAGCTGACAATGCGCCGCCCATCGTTGGTGCGGTACATCGTCGTCCGCGCGATGAGAACGTGAGTTGCTCGTCCACTGATTTTTTGTCTGGGCTGGTCCAAACTAACTGAAGATGGGACAGGAATCTCCACCACCTGAACCAACACCTTCTCCGCCTCCGTCACTGCCTCAACCAGTATTGCCTACCGTTCCTCCTCGCCAGCAGTCAATCAGCCAACCGCCTACGCGACCCAGCGTAGATAGCCCCGGTGCTATCCCCTTACCGGGGGCGGGCGTTGGCCCTGCACGTTCACCGGCAGCGCCAATTCCTCCCCTTCAGAACTCTCCAGCTCCCGTGGCTCCGATAACTTACCAGCAGCCTCAAGTCCCACCGGCGCAGGTTTATCAGCCAGCGCTACAGCGACGCCCTAGTACCTATGTCCCACAAACCCCCCATGCCACCGCTTACCAGCCTTCGGCTGTGGCCCACCCCTATGCGGCAGTCCAGCCCTCGCCATATACGCCGTATCAGGCAGGTCGCGGGCATGTACCCCAAGCAGCAATGTACAATCCTAATGCTCCCCGCCCGATTGAGGTCTTTCACCTGAGCGATGCTGCCAACGCGGCCATACCGGAGGATATACGTGATCAGTTCCACTGTAACAACTCGGGGCATGTGCTTTTCTTCTCTACTCCACCACTTGACATCGTGCCATCCCTCCCTCAGAAGCTTGGCCATTCCCTCAAATACCTGGCCGCAAAAGAGGAGCGCCGGAGACTTGTCGAGCAGCGGAAACGGAAAGAAATTGCTGAGAAGACCCAGCAAGAAGAACGTGTCAAGCGCCAGCGGGCAGATGCAGAAACAAATCTTGCAGTCCGCGTGGGAACCTTGACTGTCAAGGCTATTGAGACTATGGCGAGCCAGGTTATGATTGGTACAGATAAGATCTACGACCTTCTGTATCTTGACCAAGCGGAGAAAGCGAAGCACGCTGATGCTGAGGCCCAAGCTCAGCGGATCGCTGCTGATCACCTCTTGCATGAGAGAACGGCGCAGATTCAGGCCCATTCCGACCAAGCCACAACTGTCAGCCTTAAGGGTCATGCCATGTATATGGATGATATTGACCCCAGGATATAGTGCCGATGCCGAACACAACAAACACAAGGGTGGCTGCATCATACTCTTCCTAGGTTTCAGCGTCATTATAATGCCTTTTTTTTTTCTTTTGCTTTATGAAACAAAGTTGTTGGCTTGGGGGGACAGTGGCGCATTCAGGGGGAGTCTGGCACGGGAAATGCAAGCTTCATTATGCTGTTTGTGAATGTAAACTACCCATGAGCATTTGAGTAATCAATCTTGAAAAATAAAAGAAGTTAGATAAATTCACTACACGAGATCCACCTGTTTGTATGAAAAAGGAGGAAGGCTCTTTCCATGTGCTTTATGACTGGAAGTATCATTCGCTCTCATGTGTACATATATTATCACTTCTTAGAGATTAGCTACCGTAGACATAAGAAGCGGTTCGATTATCCAGACTTCTCGAGTGTCTAATCTACTAGCGCATCTTATGATGGCAGCAGGCCGACAAGGAAGCCTCGCGCGATCAATGCCCTATGCCCATATCAACGAGTTGCTCAGGTGTTGGAGATTAAGAAGATAGATCATTGATTCGTGAAAATGTGAGATCCAAGAAAAGGAACTGGCGGGAGAACAAGAAGATGAAAAGGAGGTGAGGCAGGAGAAACATTATACACGGGAATTCGCTGGAAAGAGGTGGTTGATCGATGAAGTCGCCCTTGTACCACACATCCTCTCCCCATGGAAGCGGGATAAGGACCCATCTCATATAGAGGACAAGGGGCGGAAATAACGAGAGAAAGAAAGAAGAGAGAAGATTTTAAAATGTAAAGACCGTCGTCAACAGGACCAAGAGGCTCAACTCAATTAGGATTGATCCATGACTGAGTGACCAGATGGGAGGAAATGCAGGGGAGAGAAAAGAACCAGTTGTGGGAAAATCCGGATACTTTCGACCTTTCTATGCAAACGTCATCGGGATAGGATAGAGGGGGGGAAGAGGGAGGAAGAAGGAAAGGGGAGAGAAAGGTCAAAAGAATCAAGTCCAAGAAGCATCCAGAAAGCTGTTATTGTCGTTTTTGGTGTATTTATGTATGAATTGAAATATAGACTGGTGGCAACTTTTTTGCTTTTTCAATATCCCATAGTTCTTTTCGCTTTTGAACTCCGCGCTCTAATGTTGTCATGCATGCATATGCAAAGGGGTTTGTCCAAGAAAATGTTTCCAACAACTCTATGGCTGGAATCCGGAGTTGCTCGTGGGTGTCGATGCCCCGTCGTTGGATTCCACTTTGTTAGGGCTCCAGGAAGCACTGTTGCGTTTGTTGCTGTCCTCTTCCTCCATTGAGAAGACCAAGTCACTCTGCTCCTCATCGATCCTGCTTGTGCTGACTGGCGAAGAGATGGTACGGTCCAGGCGGTTGCTGTGGCTCATTACGGAAGACTGACGGGTAGGAGCAGGGTGCAGCGACATGCTGCTAAGCTGCTGAGAAATCATCGATGTCGAGGACTGCCTGCCAGAGCCGGAGATGTATGGAGACACATCGCCAGAGATCTGCCGGCTGCCGATGGGACCCAGGCTGGGGCTGGTCCCTAGACTCAAGGAGGACTCGCGCAGAGGGGACCCGATATGCGAGAATGATGTACCATGAAAGTCCTCTTCCTTCTTCTGCTGCCGTTGCTTGGCAAACAGAGCGCCAAACCGCGATGGACTAGACGCGAGTGGGGAGCCAATCTTCGAGAAACTGGTGCTAGTCATTCCAAGGCCACTCAAATCGCGATGGCTGGAACTGAGTTCATGATCGGTACGCGAAAGTCGCCGAAGTTTCTCCTGGGGAGTAAGAACGTCATCATGCAGGTTCATTGGCAGATAATCCTCCTCCATCGGGAAGTTACTGTCATCCCAATCATCGAGAGCCGTTGACCGAGGAACACTCGCCGACAGCATGCGCGGCTTGACTGGCCTCGAGGAATGCAGAAATCTTGGCCCTGGACCATCTTCGGGGATGCCTGGCGGAGAGGAACCTATGAAGGACGAGGGCTTCCTGAAATCGGATCCGTACGCTGTGTCACGAAGGTTCCGAAGGACATCGGAGGGACCACCCAATCTCTGGGCTGGGGGGGATGACAATTCGAGCCCAAACTTGGATGGCATTGACGCGGCGACCGGTCCGTAGCGAGCGGCGTGTGAGATCCCCTGACTATCGAACGATGCAGGAAGCGGTGCGTCAAGAGCCGTCAAGTGGCGGTGATTAGGGGACAGGGGGAATCGGATATCGTCCACAGGCGATCCATACTTCGAACCGGCATCTGAGGCCAACCCAGTATCAAATGTTGGGATAGCATCGTACGGCGGCGGGGCCGGCTGGGCATGAAGCGCAGTGAACTCCTCCTGGGGAGGTAACTGCGAAACATAGCGAGGATCGTGACTGTTCATCCGTTGTTGAGATAGCACCGAGTTCGTCAAGGCAGAATCCTGGTTAACATATGCCTGAGGGTTAACGCGTCCGCCCAGATTGAGATGGCCTCCGCCCATTCCCATGCCCGGGGTAGGACGATTCACTCGACGACCATCAGGCAGGACATGCGCCAGCGCACATTTTGCTCCGAACTTGCAATTACCCTATGAAAGGAAATATATGTCAGTCTGATGCTGTGTTAGGAGAACAAATCCAACACCCCCTCCAGTAAGCATCTGGGGAGGAGCATGGGGAGGATCGAGATTGGTGACCACATCCGGGTACATATCGTACCTTGGTAAAATATTTGCAGGGCGCATAATCAATGGCAGCATCCGTGGAGTGTAAAAAAGGACAGGCAGGCCCGGCCTGGCAAGCTCCCTGGCGAAAGAATTTGCAAGGCACATGCTTCGTATCTAGATAAGGCGCGAGTCGAGAATCAGCCCATTTTGTTCGATCTGCAAAAGCGCAGTAGCAGAGACGCCCAAGAGCAAAGAAGAAAGGTCCCTCGAGCCGTCATCTTGCAGAGGTGATTGTGAAGTGGGGGGGGGATATGGGGTTTTGTCTCACTGCTCTGATTGGGAGGACTCCGGGCAGCCATTTCGAGGCCGGACTGACTGCGGGAATGGCCGTTCTGCAGCGACGGGGTTCCTGAGGGAACAGGAAGAGGAGCGCGACTTTTCATCTCTCACGGGGAAGGAAGGCGATAGAGGAGGAGAGAGCACGAGATAAGTATGGGGAAGAAGGAGGCTGACAAGGCGGAAAGAGATCTCGAGGGGGCCGACAGCTGCATCGGCTGGCGGATGATGCAGAAAGAATAATGAAGAACCGTTGGAAAGTCCGACAGAAAATCCGGAGGGGTTTATCGATGTGCACAAGTGGGGTTGGCGGTGAGAAGCATCGAGATAGGCGTACTGTGCTTGGTACTAGATTGTTGGAAGGACGTGGATGGTAAAGAAAGGTAGGGTAGAGTATCTCTTGAGGGACAGGCTGGGTTATTCAGGACAGATGTTCCCTGTCAATGGTCTGATTTGATTAATTTCACTCGACTCTTGTGACCAGTGAGCAGATGATTCGGTCTAATGGTGAATCAATAATCAACCTTGATCACTCACGGATAACGCCATCTAGATATGTCCGATCGGAGATCAGCCCCAGTTGCTTTTTGCACATCAAATGACTCAAGGAAGAATTGCGGATTATTGCCTTCTGACCAGACGTCGAAGTTGGATTGTTCACTCTCCCAGCTACACCATATATAGATCGTATCGATAGCTCCCCCGTCCTGCACATGACATTGTCGATTCCACAATATATCAACGGATGATCGTCTCCATCTGGCGTCATACTTTCTCCTGACTTCACCTCGTGCATCCTGCATATTTCTTCCCCGCTATCTGTTCGTTTGTGTCTTAGAGCAGTCGCATTCTGTTTGGCTCATCTCCACAGTCCACACTCTCCGGTGATTCGGCATCAAGAGCTCGAGTCCTGCTGTTCATCAGCATCGGGGATATTTAAAGAATCACCACCGCGCTCCATGACGGAAGACGAAGCTAGCGAGTGAATAAATATCCTGCTTTGTGTACCAATTCTTCCCCAATAACAAAGTCCGATTGTATATATTGGATATGGCGATAAATGGTATACGTACCACATACAATCAAAAATGGGGTTATCAACAACCCCTAGCAACCTGGTCTGTACAACGGTGAATGGTCGGGGTTATAACCATCGATGTTGTTACCTCAGTCAGTGTGTGTCTACCGAGGAGTATAGCATATCCCTCAGTTGGTCGGAGATCCTTCAAGGCCCAGGGACTCCTGCTCAATAGGGTCAGCAGGGTCTGTCCTGATAACATTACGCATACTGCAGTCATCCATCAAAGATCGATTTCCTTACCCAAAGTTCTTCGCGATTCATGTTATCTGGGATGACCTCTGAGCACTTACTCCACAGGTCCCGAAATATCCCCTTACGGACAGTTGCTATCTGGTTCCAGCGCTTCCATTCCTTTGCTAACTCTGCTTTCTCCTCAGGGGACACATCGACAGAATCCTTTCGCTCAATCTTTTCGAGGCGGCCAAGGATAATCTGAGTCTCTTGCACTAGTTGGTCGACGCTGTGTCGAAGATCGGAGAGCAGAGGCTTCGCGGAAAGGGCTGCAAGCTCTATGCGCGCTTCCTTTTCGCTGGTTTTCAGGCTGACCAGCTGGTTCTGTAGCTGCTGGATCTTCTCATCAATAGCTGCTGCTGCCTCCTTTGAAGCTTCATCAGACGCCTCTTGAAGAGCATGATAGACTGTCTGTTTTCCTATTCCAGGAGTCGGTGTTAGCCTGAGGACTTCTGATCGCGCATGGTGACTTTTTATTACCCAAAATCCGTGCTTCTATCTCTTTTTTCCGGTGAAGCTCGCGTAAGACCTTGGCTGTTTGCGCTTCAAGACCAAAGCCGATGTCAGTGAGATGATCCAGACGAAAGATTACGAATGTGAGGCATGGCTCACTTTTTGAGACTTTGTTATGCAAATTGGTGGATATGTCAATGGCCTAAGAAGGAAATGGTCAGAAGTATCCGCCAGTGGTTTCGTCAGGGGGAACCAACAGAATATGGACGACTATCCCAGGTTTTAGACAACTATTCCACACAGCTTTCTGCTCTTATAAAGGAAAAGAACTGTCAAACACTTGCGGTGAGGACATACTTCTGCTTCCCTGAAGGATGGTGTTAGTGGCCAGAAATAGGCTAGTGAACCCTTCATTTATGGTTGTGTTTTTCAACACGGTCGTCGAAAGACATCTTTTGGAGGGCACTCACGAAGGTAGTCGAGGATCAAGGTGGTTTCATCATTGACAGCTAGGCATAATCAGATATCCCGCAGGGTTTGCGTTTGGAGAGGTCAATAGCTCACTCACCATCATCCGACACATCGGCTTGTTTTGCTTTCTTCTGCGTCATGTTCACCAGATGAAGAGGGTATGCAAATGGAAAGCGTAGATGGATGAATCAAGAAAGGGGGAAGAGTCAATTCAAATGCAGTTGCTAGCTACAATAGAGATACAACAATGAAAAGGATAGAAATTCCTTATCCAGTCCTCCTCCAGAATCAGCATCACGTGGAATAGCACCATCCATCGACGTCTGGGTATAAAACAAACTCCGGTTCATACATAGAATATATAGTATACCTCGTCTCAAGGCCAAGGAATAGAAGAAAACAACTCATAAATGAGAAAAGAAAAAAAGAAAAAAAAAGAGAGAAAACAGAACGCTGAACGATACTAACATCATCAAAACACCAACCTTCTATCCAGACAAATAAATGGTCATGCACATATAGGAAAGGAAACAGGATGACTTGATTTCAACCCTCAATGGGGGAAACGAAAGCTATTTCAAAGACATCGAAGAATCATTGATTAAGAGATCCAGAAGAGGGCTTGAAACACAAAGACCGGAGAAAATCGTCCACTGATCTACAAGCCGCCTCTTTTGCTTCGAATGGGATAATGTTGGCAAACCAGAAGACCAAAATCCGCCAAGAAAGACACCAGAGAGACAGAGGTTTGACAATGTAGAATGATTTGTTGGGTATCACATGATAATCTAGGATAGTTGTTAGCTTTGTAACTCGACCCACTAAATGCAAAAAAAAAAAGCAGAATGACATACGCAATCACTGTCTTTTTGCACAGTTGGAACACCCATTTCTTCGAAAGTCTTGGGGCCCTTGCCGGGTAGGCCTCCTGGCGAGGGTTTTGTCGGAGCCTGCGCCGTAGGCTTTTGAGATGCTGAGCCCGCAGGAGGTCCGGATGGCTTGGGAGTCGATGTTCTCGAAGATTGAGGAAATGATGCAGCGGGAGGCGAGCCCATGGGCCTAGGAGATCCTGCCGAGCTGCCCTGGGAGTGAGGGGATACTGGAGTGCGGATAGGCTTCCGGTCTGGAGGCATGCCATCATGCCGCTGTGGGCGCCTGCGAGGATCGGGAATGGACGGATCCATCGGCGCCGAGTAACCAATATCAAGCTTTGGTGTTGTCGAAGGACTGTGCGCGTTGACAGGGCTTGTCGGTCCAACCGTAGATGGCGCTCCAGGACCAGGGTTACGGAAGTTCGCCGGACCTGGACCGTAGGACGCAGCCCGGTTGTAATTTGGTGCATTTGTGCGAATGTTGGGGTTGATACCGAATGCCGAGCTTGGGCGCGGGTCTGCTGCCTGATATCCTTGCGGATAGGCTGGTCGGGAGCGCGATCCTACCCTGTCGGGATACGGGGCACCAGATGGTCCATTATCTGCGAGGCTCATCCGGGAGGGATCGGGCATCTCAAGTGTCTCCTGCATGGGCTCTAGGGAGTTTCCGCGCTGGTGAGACCCGTACCGAGACTTGATGCGAGCAATAGCCACATTCTCGTGGTCTTTCCTTGACAGCGTCTTTGAGCGCGAGATGCTGTCAATCCGGCTTGTGGCGTCCTTGTTCCCGCTGGCTGCGGCTTTGGCATACCAGCTTCTGGCCTCCTTGAGGTCGACATCCACGTAGATTCCCACCTCGTAAAAGTAGCCTAAAGCAAACTCCGCCGTAGGAAATCCGCTGAGAGCAGCACGGTGAGCAAATGTGAACGCCAATTTGTCGTTTTTCTCGAAAACACCCTCGTGTCCACAGAGGAACCATTTGCTGATCGCCATTTCCGCCTCCGGCTCTCCTTGGCGCGCAGCCAGAGCATTGTAATGCAGAGATAGAGCCGGATTGAAGTCGCAATCGAGTTGACCAAGTTCATAAGCAGCACCTATCTTGACTTGAGCCTTGGCAAATCCATGATAGGCAGCTTTTTCGATGTTGACACGGGCAGCGTTGAGGTCTAACGGCAGATAAGTTTCTGGGACGTTAACTTGCGGGAGCTCTCGTGCCAACAGCATGCCGTAAACCTATCAAGCGTCTGGTTAGATCCTGCTATTCAGGGATAATGAGGGTGATCATCACATACATAGGCACCTTGAGGAGCGTTCTCATCGCAGGACTGTGCAGCAAGGCTGATATAATCCAAGCCCGTCTGGTAATCTTGCCGCTGGCCGTGCTGGCCCAGAAGAATCATCATGCCCAACCGCTATTCGGACGGAGCGTTAGCGAACAGCCTGTTCTACAAAACAGAATGTGATCGACATACATAATAGGAAGCAGAGTCGGCAAGAGCAACTCCTTTCTCGTAATGCCTGATGGCCTTTTCCGGTTCTCCAGAACTCTCAAACTGCATTCCGATGCGATACTCGGCCCGCGCGTACCCTCCCGCCGCAGCTCGAGAGTATGCGTGGAACGCTGCTTTCTTGTCCACGCGGTACCCAAACTTACCAAATTCCAACCACATACCCCTGATGAAATCCGCTTTGGGATGATGTTGGTCTGCCAGGAAATTCACTATGTTCATCGCATCGACCTTCAATTGCCGCTCGACCGGAGGAGTCTGTGGCCGCGGAGGTTGGATCAGGGAGAGCCGAGCTTCATTCTGCACCGCCACTTCAACGTAGGCGAGAGCATCCTGTGCCCAGGCCAGTTGCATCTCAGGGTCATTGGATGAGAGCACCGCCACCCTGGCTCTCTCCAAGCTGGCTTCGCGCTGCTCATCCGTAGGGGGTACATTTGGCGGGGGGTTTCTCAAGACCGGGAAAGGAGAGAGGTTTGGGCCGTCGCTGATGTCGTAAACTGCAGCTTGCTCATGGTGGGCGACATCATAGCCGGCAGAAAGAGGTGGACCTTGCGCAACCGCGACGGAAGAGGTTCGTTCGGGAAACCGGTTACGATCATACTGAACTGGCGCATGCTGGCCGCGATGAGGACCGCGCGCTTGATGCTCGAGGTGGGCAAGGTTGTCCTGCATATTCTCGGGGACTTCGGGCATTACCCTAGAAGGAAAGGAATTGGGTCAAATCAGCAACGCGGCCACCAGGTATTGTTGTGGTAGGACTGTGTGGGGAGAGTTCATAGGTGGGGGTGCTGCTGTAATGGCAGGAGTTTTTCAAACATGCAATATGCGATCGAACCTTTGGGGCGAGGGTGATATGACTTCTGGCATGTAAAAGTCATCCTGACCCCCTGGATACCAAGTAGCACCAAGCCGTGGCTGACCACGGCCTTGTGGAGGTCGATTCATGATCGGAGATAAAACAGCTCTTTCGCCCCTCTAGTCCTCGTTGCTTGTCCCTTTATTTCTCTCCTTTCTCTTTCTTTCTTTTTTTTTCTTTTTTTGTTTGCTTTTTCCAACCTTACCAGAAAAGGTACGTTGTCAAGGAAGGCTGATCCTCAGGCGCTCTGCTTTTTTCCACGCTTCGAAGTCCAGGAATTAAAAATAGAACATCAGAGGAAAGTAAGGTGGGTTTTTGCGGGAGAAATCAGCCTTAGCTAGATGTATGGACTAAGGTGGAGGAGGGGGATCAAGATTCAAGCAACATCACGCAAAGAGTCAAAGAAGCCCATGTATGATACGTCAGAAATCAACACATACCATAAGATCGGGGGAGTTCGCCTTGCAATGAGACGTGGGGGGGGGGGAGAGACGGAGGACACAAGGGTAAAGAAAAGGGAACAATAAAAATAAAACTACGAATGATAATTAGAATTGACACAAAGGAGGGTACCTAGATAGTAGATAGTTGATAGGGAATTTTGAGTGTCAGAGATGGTAGTTCAATTAATGACTACTACTAGATGGATATGAGGAACTAGTTCAGAGTAATCATAAAGGATGTACTCCGTATTCTTCTTGGTATTTAGGCTACGACATTATTACTCGAGAATAATCCATAGCAGTAGTATTACTTACGGAGTACTATAGTATCCAGGTTGACTAATGTCAAGTTCTTGTAGTGAATGATAGACTCAACTCCACGGTGGTGTATATCACTTCTTTTGGTACTCCGTGGCTATTCCCCGAGTCCAAGAGTGTCACCTGGCTTTGTTATAAAGTCTCAAATATCAAGCACCTCTGGGAGTCGGAGATTACCTAGCCTTACTACAAGGTAGAATTACTGACCTGGGTACTGCCACAGAGATAATGACAATAATAACATTAATCAATAAAACTAACAATGACGGAATAATGGAACGCCATGCTGTGGCTAGGACAATATCAAAGACTTGCGTTACAAACTTGCAGTAGTGGGGGTGGTATAGCTGACCTTGCAAAGAGACCTACTACAGAGTGTGTACCTAGCTTGGTAACGACACGCTTACGAAGCTGGTATTAGGGGTGGACAAGGTACTCAGGGTACGTCAGTAACGTACGGAGTAGTAGACACCTACCGGGCTACATACCTTAGTATTAGGTACTATGTAGAACAATGCCTACAGACACAGTAGTGCCTTACCTATGTACCTTGTATACTTATCGAGGCCCAATATTAAATGTCTACATCTACTTTTCTACCCTACCTAGCAGGCTCTAGGTTGTACTGTAAGTAGTACCTACCAAGTACCTTAAACTTAAAGAAACTGCCTACCAAAAAGCATATGGGCCCAAAAACTTGATTGGTCAACTACTCTATCAATGAAAGATCACTTTTTCTCTTCTGCCCTGGGATTCTTCCGCCTTTGCTGCACAAGAACAATTGATTGTACTTAGGAATAAGTACACTCCTGCCCATTCTAACTCTTTTTCTGACAGGTTTGGGGGCCGGCTCATATGTTGCCCTGAAGAAAACGATATTAGTGTGATATTCATTGATGGAATCTCTCCAGCCATCGTCACTCTGATATCGGTGCATGGAAGCTCAACATGGAGGAACTTCAGTCACGGAATTTCCACCATCCGTACTCTCCATATGATATCCAGCTTCAGTTCATGCGTGCTCTCTACACCTGTCTGGAAGAAGGCAAAGTCGCTGTGTTCGAGTCTCCTACTGGTAAATAAGGTCTCGACCATGATAGTCTCGACCATCTACTGATCAAAGGACACCAGGCACTGTGAGTGATTGACCTTGGCGGTTCTACCCCTTTGTACACGAATTACGGATTTTCCAATATTTTATGGAATCTCTATCTAGCTATAATGACTTCGAGAGCTCGATAATCCGAGAAACTTTCTGACTACGTCTTTCCACCCCTCTTGCACTTCTCTCCTCGTCCGACTCTAAGAAACTGACTGAGAGGCGTCTCCTTCTCTCACTCCTTGTGATCTGTTAACTGTATAACTAATGCCGCTTCGTTCAGGGAAAGTCTTTGAGCCTGATATGCGGTTCTCTGACATGGTTAAGAGAACATAAGCGCAACACATTTCAAGAGACAGTCAACAACACGTCTTGTCAGCATGTCCACTTAATCATTCCACGATCGATAACTGACAGCATTCTTGCAGGTGACGATGATGAACCCGAGTGGATGCTGGAGTTTGCGAGGCGCGAATCAGCCCGTGTCATCACGGAAAAAAGAAGGACGTTAGAGACACGTCTGGCAAAGATAAGGCATGAAGAGGAGAAGCAGAAACTAGCTCTTGCGAACTCATCGGGACCTCGAAAGCGGCAGGTATGTTTGAAACTCAGATATCAACATAATTGATCGCAGCCTAATCGATCATGTGTCAGAAATATGACACCTTGTCCGGGGATCGAGATGTCGAGCATGATGAGCACTTCGTCCTCGAAGATTATGACAGTGAGTCAGAAGACCAAAATATCTCTTCTAAGAGTTTGGGTCATAGCAGCGAACTTTCGATGAGTACTTTAGCATTATTGGAGCGCTTCAAGAAGCAGTACTCAGCTCCCACCGAAGAAGAAGAGACCGTTGGAGACGATGAGCCTAAAATATTCTATTGTTCACGAACACATTCCCAATTGGCTCAATTTGCAAGTGAATTGCGGCGTGTGGAAATGCCGCCCAGCTTGCCAAAGGAGCTCAGCGAAAAGCTTACCGATAGCGAGGCACTTGAAGAAAGAGTGAAACATCTTTCTCTTGGTTCGCGCAAAAATCTTTGCATCAACCCTAGAGTTATGAAGTTGGAAAATGCGACTGCAATCAATGAACGTTGCATGGATCTGCAGCAGCCTGGGATGGCTGTTGAGCATAGATGTCCCTATCTACCGTCGAAGGACGATGAACCGCAAGTTCTTCAATTTCGCGATCATACCTTAGCAACGGTCAAGGACATAGAAGACATGGGAAAGCTGGGCAAGCACATAGGTGTCTGTCCTTACTATGCGTCCCGTTCGGTGATTAAACATAGCGAGGTGCGTTGTGCAGTAGATAATCCATCATTGAAACAATCTTACTGAATACGCTGAAGATTGTGACCCTCCCTTATCCCTTACTGCTTCAGCGCTCAGCTCGAGAGGCTCTTGGCCTCTCGATCAAAAATCATATTGTTATCATTGATGAGGCCCACAACCTTATGGATGCTATATCGAATATACATTCCGTGACGATCACACTCTCTCAGCTGCAGACCGCCATTTTTCAGCTGACAACCTATGCGCGTAAGTTCAAAACGCGCTTGAAAGGGAAAAATCGAACCTACATAGCTCAGGTCATCAGGCTTGTCAGTTCAGTTGCAGATCACCTTCGGTCCATCCAAGGAAGCAATCAGCCACCGGATGGTGCCGTGAAAACCTCGGATCTCATGGCCGGGAAAGGCGTCGATCAAATCAATCCTTATAAGCTATCTCATTACCTGCAGGAAAGTAAACTTGCAAGGAAGGTTGACGGATATGTCGAGTATTCTAAGGACACGGCGAATCGACAGTCCCACGGGAAACCTTCAACGCCGGTACTGTTCCACGTACAAAGCTTTCTTTTGCCGTTAATGAATCCATCCGCCGAAGGGCGATTATTCTACATGAAGGACCAGAATGATATTCAATTGAAGTATCTGCTACTGGATCCGACGAACCATTTCCGAGAGATTGTGGAAGACGCCAGAGCAGTCATCTTGGCTGGTGGAACTATGTCTCCTGTGAGTAAAAGGTTGTTGAAAAACTGTCTCCTTCGCCTAGGCTGATCGGTTCGCTTGCAAGATGAGTGATTACATGAATCACCTGTTTCCTTACGTGCCAGCGAGCCGACTGGACACTTTCAGTTATGGCCATGTCATTCCCCCGGAGAATCTTGTTGCGCACACGCTTGCGCAAGGTGTTATGGGCTGCGCCTTTGATTTCACATATGAGTCTCGAGATTCAGAGAAGATGGTAAGGCGCATATTCCAAGCCAATGATCCTATCTATTCTAGGGCTTTCTGACCGATTGCTAGATTATTGACCTTGGGCGAACCGTTGCTACCTTGTGCCAGGCTATCCCAGATGGCGTTGTCGCCTTCTTTCCGAGCTACGATTATCTGAGCCGAATATTACATATCTGGAAAAAGCCTCTCGGGGCTGACAAAAACCAGACTATTCTGGGTCTCATTGAACGTAAAAAGCCTATTCTGTACGAATCCCGGGATATGACAACAAAATCAGACGATATATTGCAAGAATACACAAGGACCATCGATTCTGGGTCAGGAGCCTTACTCCTCTCCGTGATCGGAGGGAAGCTGTCCGAAGGTATCAACTTCTCGGATCGACTGGGCAGAGGAGTGTTGATCATCGGGTTGCCATTTCCAAATATACGCAGCGCAGTATGGCAAGCTAAGTTACAATATGTTGAGCAGAAAGCTTACAGTGGGAGCTCTGGATCGGAGACTGATAGGCAAATGATTGCCAAAGCTGCGGGACGAGATTTCTACGAAAACGCATGCATGCGAGCAGTCAATCAATGCATCGGGCGAGCGATCAGACACCGCAATGATTATGCCGCCATCGTGATGATTGATAGGCGCTATGACAAGCCAAATATACAAGGCAAATTGCCTGCTTGGATCAAACAGAGCATGGTGCGCAGTCCTACGCAACGGCCAGCTGGAGCGACTGTGCAGAATCTCATCAAATTCTTTGCCGCTCGGGGTTCGTTGGACTAACTGGAATTCAAGAAGAACTATGATAAGTAGAAAATCAAATGATGAACTCTTATGTTTGTATTTCGGTATCATCAGAATTCTTGTAAGCCGCAACTAAAGCATCGCATCCAAAGTGGCAAATCACATGGACTAGTGCTATGCGCCGTTGCTTGATAGAAGTCACGTGATAAGACTGGCACAGAGCTGACCGCCAAGATTTCACAAGGGCTGGACCCTAGCTTAGGGCAAGCGAACGGCTTAGCGCACACTCTAGCCGCCCCCGAGCCTTGAATTCAACATCTGAACGAGCAGCACATACGACCGCATCCCCCCATCGCCAAACACTCAGACCGGTCTTGTCGAGCACAGCACCGTCGACAAGATGCCTACCCGTTTTTCGAAGACAAGAAAAGCGTGAGTCGAGAACTTCACCCTGCCATCCGTTTCGAGTGATTCAATGTTTGCGCTTGTCGGCTTGAAATACGATAAGCTTGACGCACCGAGTTGCGGCTTTGGATGAACTACTTGAGATGTTCTGGATAACGATATACTGACTTGGCTTTTCCTTCAATCCAGCCGCGGTCATGTGTCGGCCGGTTACGGTCGCGTTGGCAAGCACCGTAAGCACCCCGGTGGTCGTGGTATGGCCGGTGGTCAGCACCACCACCGGACCAATCTCGACAAGTACCATCCCGGTTACTTCGGTAAGGTTGGTATGAGATACTTCCACAAGACCAACCAGCAGTTCTGGAAGCCCACAATCAACCTCGACAAGGTACGTTTGAATCAATGCGTTTGTGGGGACTACAACAAGGGGGAATCGGAAGGCATATGAGTGCGAGCGAAGGAGTTGCTGCAATGGACAACGGTGAAATGTGTTGATGGGAGATGCGATGGATTGAGGAAGGGAGTAATTACTGGTTATTGGGCAACAGCGGCTGATTCGATGTCCTTTTTGCACAGCTGTGGTCTCTCGTCCCCACCGAGACTCGTGAAGCCTACCTGAGCGGCCAGAAGACCGACACCGCTCCCGTCATCGACCTCCTCTCCCTCGGTTACTCCAAGGTTCTCGGCAAGGGCCGTCTCCCCGAGATCCCCCTCGTTGTCCGCGCCAGATACGTCAGCCGTGACGCCGAGCAGAAGATCAAGGAGGCCGGTGGTGTCATTGAGTTGGTTGCTTAAATGTGAAGGATCATGATTGCGCAATGAGCAGGGTGAAGAAATAGGGTTAGGTGCCGCTCTGCGGTCGGGCTTGTGATAGAGGGTTCAATTCTTTTCTCTGAAGCAAAGGGAATAAGAACTCGAAAATGGGAGCCGCGGATCGCACACAATGGTCCGTGTATTTACAAAATAAAGGGTACTTGTTTGCGATGAGCATAGCCTGGCCTCCAGACGCCCTTACGATCTCACTCTACTAAACAAAATACCACCTGCGAAGATTTTACTGTTCAATTTTCCTTACACCTTGCCGATCCCGCTCCAACCTCGATATTCGAATGAGTTTTTTTGCGACTTTCTTACTCGGCGCGCAGGACTGGTTCGAGTTCACCAAATGCCTAACATGAATCACTTGGAAATCGGAAGTCTCATCGATCATTATCCTTACGTAGTTGAACACGCTCTTGGAGTTGTACATCGCTGTCGTCGCATACGATGAGTTAAGACATTGCCTATGGTGTAGGGAGCCTTCCAAGCTCATAGATTTATTTTTTTAAAGAAGACGATTATTTCAAGCTCTATATACGGATGTCACTTGCTAAAGAATCAGCTGGCTGCCTTTCCTTAAAAATCATATTTTGGAATTTCTGACGAAGCCGCATTTCGTCGCCGAGTCTTTGCTCGCAGAAAGCGTCTCCCGGATGAAGCGAACAGCCTCGTCAACCATCTTTGGGGTCACCTCGTGGGCAGCGTTTTCATCGATGATGTCTTCAAGCGTGACAGCACCATCGGCGAACCAGCCTGTTGGAGCAATAGCTTTCTTCAACCACGCCAGGAACACCTCCCCGCGGTGATAGGGGACCAGCTTATCAGCACCTCCGGAAAGATTCAAGATCTTCTTTCCAGCCAAACAGCGTGTAAGCGCTGGTCGCAAGGCTTCCTTCTCAGTTTCAGTGGGCTCCGGCAGATGATTGCTCCGGAGAGGCCCAGGGTTCGATTTGGTATCGATGTAACTCAGGAACAGGCTTGCTGGGTCAAGTTTGGAGATGGTGTCTAGAAGGGACGTTGGCAAGGCTTCGGAGCCAAGGATCTGAGACCCTTGGGGGTCGCTATTCGTCCAGGACGGCAGCTTTGACAATCGCGCGCGATCTGCCATGAGATTTACGTAGTCAGGGCATCCGATGATAACCACGCCGGCGCTCATACGGGGTTCATGAAGCAGACAGCTCCACGCCGCATGTCCGCCCAAGGACACTCCAAGGACTAGATGATCGGAGATTTCATGTTCACCACGGGGAAACAGGAAGGCAGGAAGATAGTCCATCAACAAGGACACATCGCGTGCGGTTCCCTCTGTCAGTGTCCTGACATATTAGCTTCTTCAATACTTGTCTCGGCAGCGCATTTGTCTTGTCCGTGAAGGATCGTCCACGACGGTCTCTACAGCACTTACGGAAGATAGAAAACATGTCCTGCGCATGTCGAGCATTGCCTTGTCTCCACGCCTCATTTGCAAGAGGATCAACCAATCTTGTGCCATGGTTTCTCTGATCGAACGAGACCGCTATGAGACCCTTGACTGAACTAGATTGACTTTTTTCAGTAGTCTGATTCCAATCCGCAATCACGGACGCTGCAATACTGGTCATGCGCTCTTGAGTTGCCAGCCTAGGGTGCAAAAGCCAGAGACAGGCAATCTCCGAGGCTTGAGGAGGCAACTCATCTAGGCCGAAGACCGTGGTGAGGATTCCTGCGATTGGATATTTCTTCTGGGAGATAGGAGGAGGATTGGAGTATTTAGAGCCAGGCATCGTTTCTAGAGTCTTTAAAGGGTCCGTCATTTTTCGTTATGTATATGCATCCATTGACAAGCAGAAGATGGTTGTTGTCTCATTATATATAAAATGTCCCACTCCATGCCTCCGCAACAAAAAGCCGAGGATAAGATAGGCGCTGTAATTTCAATTCCGTATTATTACAACATCGCTTCCATACCTTACCCTGACGAAGTTACAAAGACAATCAATACTTGCACAGCCACACTTGGACACCACGTGGTTGATGCCTCAGGCTGGACAAGTTGGCTACCCCTTATTGAAAGAGTCTTGGTAGTTAGGAGGTGATCACCACCAAGACTCCATCTAGTCAACTGTCTAATAAAATGTACCTTCTTATCGTGGCCATGCATTCATGACTACTCCGAGTCAGGTCCAACCGTCCAAGGATCGTCTACTTTTCGTCCCTTCTTTTCTATCCAACCGCCAGTGCTATTAGTTCTATAACGCCAAAGCGGGCCGTCCGTCGAGATTCTATGGGGCGCCGACTCCACAGCGTTTAGGGACAATAATTACCTTACAGCAACCAGCTACCTTCGGGAGTACAGCGTTCTCCTTTACCTCGAACGTTCTATCTTGCCTGCATTGGACTGTCAATCTAGATAGTGTCATCTCCTCTTTCAGCCATCCGTTTCTTGCATACCTTCCTAGAATGATTGTATAGAAAGATCCTAGTCGGTTTCATAAAGGATCAATTGATCCGCACGTATAGCTCGCCGGTTGCTACCCCATTGAACTCGCACCCACGCTGATACCAATCTTCTTCTTACAGACATAATGACCGACTCTGCGCCGACTCCTTCACCTTTGCGGGATTTGAGTAACACTTCGGACCAGCCGAGCTCAACAAGGCCAGATCCTGTGACGGTTTCAAGCGGTACCCCATTGGCCTCCCCGTTTCCTTCTCCTACTAGACACAAACATCCAGAACTCGATGGCCAGGAAGACAAGGCGAAGGTTGTGAAGGGACGGGGGCCCTTAGATGATTCGCAGCTCCTGCAGGAGAATGCTAGTCAGCCCCGGGACAGCGAAGGTAAATCTCGTCTACAGTACGTCAGTGGTGCGGGCGAAGGGTCGGATAATGGTTTGTGGGATCAGTCCGTATCGCCAGGTCTTCGGCGCCCGAATGGACTGGTTGACAGTCAGCGGCCGTCACTGGAACATAACCAACAGCAGCCCTCAACTCCTGGAGCAGCTACTCCCTCTCGTCGTCCGAGCGTTCAGTTCACCCGCGATGCGTCCGACGTTGACCCTTCCGCTGAAGCGTCTCGATCGAGAGCTCCTTCCGTCATAGATGATGAAACAGATGCTGGATTGAAAGGAAAACAATCAATTTTCACCAAGCTGAAAGCTTTAGCTTCGCCCTCGTTCACCTCCCACTCTCGCTCGGCGAGTGGAGCAACTCTCAGCGAGTTGAGGCACACCAACACCGATCTGGCAACCCCAGGTTCGGAGAGAGGTGGCTTTCGCTTTCCAGACACTCTGGAGGAAGAGGGAAGTGATGCCGATGCCGATGCCGAAGAAAGCGCGGGAGAACAACGTGCCCCTCCCCGGAGGAAGAAGAAATTCACGCGACGGCAACAGGAGCCTGATTCTGCCCCTCAGACCGAACCGAACACGCCAAGAACAGCGAGGCGGCCCTCGTTCCATCTAACGGCCTCGTTTGCGCCCTTCGAAAACTATCGCGCCAATTTCTTTCCCCGCAGAGTAAGCACTGGGGACTTTTCTCAACAGCGGGAGGGTGTATCGGAGGATGAAGGTCGAGACCGTCTAAACCGAGACGCCTGGAGACGAAGAAGCGCATGGCTTAATGCGCGCGGACTTTCGTACAGCGGGCGGCAGCAGGAGACTCAGCCAGGTCAGGATGAGAGACGGCCAAGCAATTTCAGACGTTTGACGGGGCTGGCTGGCCCGTCGGATAATCCAGATGGAACTGCACCACCTTGGAGACGGCACAGAGCTGATCGCGGCTCCAGTTTAAGCGCTCAGAAATGGCGACAGATCAAGGCCGGGCTGAAGCTCATCGGACAGCGTCGCAAAGCAGAGAATACTGTTGATTATGCGAAGTCCGCCGAACTGCTGGCTGAATTAACTTCAGGGGTGCCGGCCGCCTTGATTCTGGCCAGCATGTTCCAGCGTGATGAACATGGTAGTAAACGGATTCCGATCCTTCTGGAGCAGCTCAAGGTTCGGGTTACCGACAGCAAAATCGACGCGAATTCCGGTGACCGACATCTTGTCTTCAGGATCGAACTGGAATACGGCAGTGGAATGACACGGATGAAATGGATCATCCACCGCACCCTTCGCGACTTTGCCAACCTGCATTTGAAGTACAAGCTTCATTTCGGAACCCAGAAATATATCCAACTGCGGACTACCGAGGGTGCACAGAACCTTCCTCGCTTCCCACGCAGCGCTTTTCCATATCTCCGGGGTGTTCGGGGTCTGGAGAGTGACATGGAGGACGAGGAGGACGAAGGTGGCTATGAGACTGCCGCAGAAGCAACTAGCGGCAATGAGAGAGCAGGTAGAAGGAGGCATCCGCACGGACAGCGCCGGCTCTCAGGTGGCATATCCCGGAGACAATCAAGTATTACCAACACAGAGGGCGAGACCACCGCTGGGCCTGCGGAAGCCGGTCCGGCGACGAAGAGAGAGCCTTACCCTGAAAGACAGCGGAAAAAGCTTGAAGCTTACTTGCAGAAGATGATCCGGTTCCTGATATTCAAGGCCGACAGCAATCGCCTGTGCAAATTTCTCGAACTCTCTGCACTGGGCGTTCGTCTTGCGGCTGAAGGCAGCTATCACGGTAAAGAAGGGTATTTGATAATCCAGTCATCTAAAGGTCTTGATTTCCGAAGAGCCTTGACCCCAGCCATGGTCAAGAAGCGACATTCGCCGAAATGGTTCCTTGTCAGGCACAGCTACCTCGTTTGCGTTGACTCCCCCGAGGAGATGCATATTTACGATGTTTTCTTGGTGGACCCCTTTTTCAAACTCCAAACCCAGAAGATCAGTTTACGGAATCAAAAAGCGAAGGACCTCGCAAAATCAGCCACAGAGTCTGCAAGGCATCCCCAGCATCACACACTAAGATTGGAGAACTCGGAGCGAAAACTCAGACTCCTGGCCAGGAACGAGCGTCAGCTCCATCAGTTCGAGGATTCTTTAAGGTTCATGGTCACTAATACGCCGTGGGCGAAGCCAAATAGGTTTGACAGCTTTGCCCCGGTGCGCCAGAATTGTTTTGCACAGTGGTTGGTTGATGCGCGAGACCATATGTGGATGGTGTCACGAGCGATCAATCAAGCAAAAGATGTCATCTATATCCACGATTGGTGGCTTAGCCCCGAGCTCTACCTGCGGCGACCAGCAGCCATCAGCCAAAAATGGCGATTAGATCGACTTCTTCAACAGAAGGCCCGTGAAGGAGTCAAGATCTTCGTGATCATGTACCGAAACATCAATTCCGCTATCCCCATCGATTCGGAATACTCCAAATTTTCCCTGCTTGACCTTCATCCCAACGTCTTCGTCCAAAGATCCCCGAATCAGTTCCGACAGAATACCTTCTTTTGGGCACACCATGAGAAGCTATGCCTTATCGACCATACCGTGGCCTTCGTGGGAGGTATTGATCTGTGCTTCGGACGATGGGACACTCCGCAACATCTTCTCACCGATGACAAGCCGACTGGGTTCGAGACGCCGGATGGGCCCAAGGATGTAGACCATTGTCAACTCTGGCCCGGCAAGGATTACTCGAACCCCCGAATTCAAGACTTCTACGACCTGGACAAACCATACGAGGAGATGTACGATCGCAATGTGATTCCTAGAATGCCTTGGCATGACATCTCGATGCACGTAGTTGGTCAACCAGCCCGAGATCTCACACGCCATTTTGTGCAGCGGTGGAATTACATCTTGCGGCAGCGAAAGCCAACCAGGCCGACGCCTTTTCTTTTACCTCCACTTGACTTTGACCCTGCCGACCTGGAAGCTCTTGGTCTAGATGGAACTTGCGAGGTACAAATCTTGCGTTCGAGCAGCATGTGGTCGACAGGTACGCCCGATGTCACCGAGCATAGCATCATGAACGCATATGTCAAGATGATTGAAGAGTCTGAGCACTTCGTCTACATCGAGAACCAGTTCTTCATCAGCACTTGCGAGATAGATGGCAGGAAGATTGAAAATCTGATCAGAGATGCGTTGGTAGAACGCATTATCCGGGCTTCGAAGAATCAAGAAGCCTGGCGTGCTGTCATCGTCATCCCACTGATACCAGGTTTCCAGAATACTGTGGACAGCGAGGGTGGAACTAGTGTTCGTCTTATCATGCAATGTCAGTATCGCAGCATTTGCCGCGGGGAGACTTCGATTTTCGGGAGATTACGTGCCTTGGGCATTGAACCTGAAGATTACATCCAATTCTTCAGTCTTCGAGCCTGGGGCAAGATCGGACCACAAAAGCAGCTTGTCACTGAGCAGCTCTACATTCACGCGAAGTGTATGGTTGTGGACGATCGAGCAGCAATCATTGGGTCTGCGAATATCAACGAAAGATCCATGTTGGGTTCGCGCGACTCCGAGGTAGCTGCCATTGTGCGTGATACGGACATGATCTGGTCCACTATGAACGGCCGCCCTTACCTTGTCGGGCGTTTCCCACACACCCTTCGTATGCGGCTGATGAGAGAGCATCTCGGAATTGATGTTGATGAGCTGATGGAACACTCGCTCGCGACGGAAGAAGAGTTGCGCAAGATTCAGATCGCCGAAGAAGACCCGCGATCTCCAGGGTCCCATGACAAAGTTGACTCCGAGTCTCTGATGCTAGAGAGACAGGATGAGAGGGACATGATTGAGCGTAGGCACCGGGTTCAGGACGAGTTTCTCTCGCGGTCGGAAGATCTGCACAGTTTCAATCATGACGTGGACTGGGAACAGGGCAACAACCCGAATCTCAAGTCGAACAGGAAGCTCACCGCGGACCCAAGAGTGACCTCGAACCCGGAACACAAGAAAGACGTTGACGGGCTTGGGCCAGACCACTTTGTTGCCGCCTTGGAGGCTGGAATAGCGGACGGTCGTGATTCACAAATACTGGACGCTCGCACCGAGGTCCTAGTTTCATCTATTGCGAGCGAGGGAAAGGGCACAATCCAACATCCCAAGCCCGCCTCGCCACAAAACACCCATTTGAGCAGTCCATCTGACCAAGAGAAAAGTCAGGAGTCTCCCTCTCCTGCATCCCGTGACGCAGAGTCGGCTCCAGTAGTGGAAGGGTTGGCAGCTGCCCGTCACCCGGCTATGACTGGGCATGAAGCTGAAGGTGACAACAGCGGCACCGTTCCCCCCTCCTCGGACCAAAACGATCCGGCGAAATATCCGCACCCGCTGATTCCCGATCTGAAACACATTTTCATCGACAAAGATTGCATGAGAGATCCGGTGATTGATATCTTCTACCTGGATACCTGGCACGCGGTTGCGGAGAAGAATACCAAGATTTACCGGACAGTTTTCCGCTGTATGCCTGATAGCGAAGTCAAGTCCTGGAAGGAATACAAGGAGTATGCTAGTTACGGGGAACGTTTCTCGGAGATGCAGAGTCAGAACAGCGTGAAGATCTCTCATCCCAGTCAGCAGAAACCCACGGGACCACCAGGGACAACCACCACGGCCGGCACAGGCATTAATAGGCTTGTACCACATTCGGGGTCAAACAGCGAAACGCACACGCACCACAAGGGAGCGCAAGGTTCCGATGAGAAGAGCGAGCCTCGCGCAGCCGAAGCCGGGCGCGATGGGGCTGACCGAGGACAGGCCGACCTTGCGAAACAAGAAACTCTATCATCCATCGATGAGAAGACCGCTTTGAAGGTCGGTGATACTGCAGGGCAGGGTGGCACCCCGAATGGGCGCAGCGAAGAATCGGGCCCCATAAAGGAGGCAGTCGAGCCGCAGCCCACGGAACCGCAGGCTGTAGACTATTCGGAAGCTCTGAATCGGAATGCGACAAACCTGAACCGACGCCGCAGAAGACGCGCGACCACAATCTCAAAGCGCGAATTCCACGCATCCGACGACGTGATGGACAAACAGCAAGCGGAAGAGTTGCTGAATAAGATCCAGGGACATCTTATTTTGTGGCCTTATGACTGGTTCGTGCTTTGATGGCCGATTCTCCGTATAGTATATTCATTTTTGAGCTATCTACTGACGCAAATCATATAGGCTTGAGAAGGAAGAGCAGGGTGGCAACTGGCTCTACACGCTTGATCAGATCTCCCCGTTGGAAATCTAGTAAGTTATTCTCAGCCAAATGTTGCGAGAAAGCGGCCTGTTGACTTTGAACACAGCAATTAATTTACGACGCTGCTTCACGATGCCTGGAACTCTTCGCCCTTTGGGCAATGTCGAACTCATCCCTGCAACTTCTTCATAATAATCGTAATTATCCCATCAAAAGTTCAAATAAGAGGAGCTTTGCATATGTCTTCTGAGGGAGGTTCTCTTTTTCCTATTACCCTTCTTATTTTGGCCTTTTTTGCTTCCTAGGGCGGCTCCTCTATAGCAAGCGGGCGTTCTGCTACAGCATTCGAGCCACGTTGCGTGTATATGTGTCTAGTATCTATATGCCGAGCATTAATTCTATAAACCAATCAAGTCGTAATTATGGGAATCATCGGGGTCATATATAACAAGAGATGTGGGAGAATCCGGGATGGTACATCGAACTGGAGAGAAAGCAAGCTAAGCAGCTCTCGGGTTGGCAGTTACTGCGCCAAAGCCATCCGGGAGCGAAGTGCCTCGAATTCATCAAAGTTGGCTCGCAACGCGTGCGTGAGGATACTCATCGAGGAACCCTGGTCTTCCGTTTCGCTGCGATGAAGCCGGTCACGGAGACGATCGTACGCGCGCGCCAACGCCTGCTGCAGGTCCACCGTGCGCAAGCAGCCGCGACCCAGGTCATTCATGTAGTTGGTGGGATCCTGGACGCAGAGACGGGCGGCGGCGGGCAGATTGCGGCGGGCGGCGGCGGTGCGCTTGAGGTTGATGAGCGAGCGCTGGCCGCGGAGATGGGCGGGGATGTCGTCGGACGCGTACCGAAGCGCGGCGTCCTTGATTGAGGCAGCAGTGAACCAGCTTGGGGGGTCGACGGCGACGCCGGTAGTGGTCAGGTCGACGGTCGTGCCGTAAGTGCGTAGGAACGCGAGCAGTTGCTCGCCGAGGCAGTCGGGTCGCCGGAACCGGCCGTGGTTCATCTTGAGGAAGGCGACGAGAAGCATGACGAGGGCGTCGGAGCCGATGGACGACCGGTGGCGGCCGTAGCTGTCCTGAGCCTCGAGAATCAAGCGGGCTGTTGCGTAAAGGGGGCGGATGGAAGGGTATTCTGCGTGATAGTCCATGATGTACTCAATTGAGGCTGGCGGGCCCTCGCCGCAGTAGAAGCGTAACCGACGGCCGGTGGGGTGATGAGTAGCCGTGAGGACCGGGGAACGATTGCCTAGGATATCGACCCTACCATCAAACGATGGGGATTGCTGCAGAGCGTGCTCGACCTGGCACAGCAGCTTGTGGTAGGTTGTGAGCATCTTGGGCCGAGTCGCACTGGGCTTGCGAATGTCTTGCACGGACCGGTCCGAATCAGGCACGGGCACCACAAAATCCAGATCCGAGTGGCTCAATGCGAATTGATTCCGCCATGAGCCAATTACCTGAGGTGGGCTGGGGACGATTCCGGTGAGCAAGTCACCCACGTCTGCCAGAATTTGGTCGATGCGCTTCTGTTCCGACGAGGTTGGTATCAGGTATTTCTCCAGTGCGCGGATCTCTGCATCGAGATATGAGGTGGCATCGAATGGGCTGTGCATTGGGTCCATGAGTTCCAGCCACGGTTGCTGTTCGGGTCGACTTCGGGTTTCGTCGACGCGGAATTGCAACTGGTGGTCTAAGATTTTCCGGGAGTGCGATGCGTCACTGTTCTCTGAAGGGATGGGACGTTTCCGCATCCTTTTTATGGGCACAGAAGCCTGGGTTGGCTGTGACTCAATACCATCAGAGGCGAGTCCCTGTGATCTGGAGAGCTCATGACCGGCACGATGCTCGGGAGGGATGACAGGACGATAGATTCCGGTTGGGGGTCTGTCGTCGATGACCTTGCGGATGAGACTGGCTCGATTTGCGGATCGATGGGCATTGAGAGTTTTCTCCAGACTGCTGCTGAAGATGGCATGTTCACTGTACTGGAGGCGAGTGGTATGGAGCGGTCGATGAAGACATTGTGAGGATGAACAACTGGGGGAAGAGGGGAGACGAAGAGCGGAGTAGCGAGAGCGCATGGCTGCGCAATCAACAGGGGGCACGAAACATCGTGAAGCAACAGCCGCGAGCCTGGGCATGTGCTGGTTACGCCAGTAAGCCAGCCAAGTGGATGAGTGGAGGGGAGTAGCTGGATATAATGGGGGATGAGAAGGTGAATGTGACTGGAAGAGTCCGAGTCCTCTTTGAGGATTTTCGAGATGGGAGAATGATAAGGTCACCTGATATCATGTGATGTGCTGATAATGATAAGATAAGATAAGAGGCAGACCAGAGTCTAGAGTCCAGACATGTGACTCTCAGGGTCGGCAGAAAAAACAAAAAAAAAAAAAAAGGTCTAGACTAGCATCATGTGACCTGACATCACTAAGCTTATTTTGGATCAGCAGAGGCCTTTCAGGCTGCAAGGCGATCAGATCAGGCTCCATTTTCCTGGTACCTGAGGCCGGCTATTTTAAATTGGTTGTGGCTTGGATATTTCCGTGGAGATGAGTTCAATATTGCACTTATTGAGGAGTAGTAGTAGTAGTAGTAGTAGTAGTCGTCCGTACTCTGTCGATATCGAACATCGAGTCAAGTCGGGACGATCATGCAGGCGCGTCCGAGTTGGAGGCCGAACAAGAGCTTGATATTCTCCGATCAGAGGGGACATTGTCCAATCAATGAGTGAGTGATTTACCTAGGGGTTCTATCTAGAGTTTCAAGACGTTTAGAACACTCAATAATACTCCTCCTCCTAGATACTACTAGGTACTACTGCTACTAGGTAGTAGGTACCTAGTACTCCGTAGGTACTAGACACAGATACTAGACTATTATTATCTCAACTGTGGATATCTCCATCGCTACTTGGCACTGACCCGACAACGATAATGAATTAATGGATCATGACGTATACTATGGTCACTTCTGTTTTCTGCCATGGAGAGAAATCTCGAGTCTCTCCGTACTACTACTAGTACTCGGTAGTAATAGAAGGGGGGAAAAAGAGAATACTACTGAGGAAATACCAGGAACTCACTAACTAGGTACCTGACTCGATCAATAATACGGAGTATTGGCGGGCAGATTTTAATAGTAACATTCCTTCAGGTTCTCGACTGTGGTAGACTCGTAGATACCTAACTTCCTCCTACTCCTACCAACTACCTAGTAGTAGTAGTTTATAGATAGACCTACTATTGATTCACCGCCCATGATGGGGGTTCATCGTCAACCCCTCTTGGGTACAAAGGATTCGAATACTCCAGAGATAGAAGAATCACTTTCTCTCAGCAGTAAGGAGTCTGAGAAATGTAGAAACCACTTCCTATCCTCTTTAGTCTTTATAAATTTAGAAGAACCCCTGGTTTGCCAACACTCAACAGGACAACCCCAGGACAGGACTGCCTACCAAAAAAAAGACCTCATTGTTTATCCACTTTGACCGATTCCCTGAAATCGAACGGAGTAGTGCGAGTTCTAATAAATTCTAATTATCTCATAATATCAGTAGTAGTAGTAGTAGTAGTAGTAGTAGTAGTATATATATAATATATATAATATACTTTATATATATAAGTATTATCGCTACACCAGACAAACCCCCTTGTCTGTCCTCGTTTCCTTTCACCGGCTTCACTTTCCGCCTCTCTCTCTCTCTCTCTCTCTCTCTCTACTGAGGAACTTACATATTTCTCCCCCCCACCATCTTCTTACCTCTCTTTCTCTTTCTCTCTCTCCCTCTTCTCTTTTTTCTTTTCTATTTTAATCTACAGTACAGTATAGTCCTCGCTGTCATCCTCTCTCTAGTCGCTCTACGCTCTACTCCTTACCCCCCTTCCCCCCCCTTCTCCCTCCCCCCTCCGAGGTACTTACTCTCTTCCTTTCTCTTCTTTCCCCCTCTACACTCCCCTCTTACATTACATTTTCACTTTTCTCCTCTATTCTACTACCTCTGTCTGTCGGAAGAGAAAGAAAAAAAAAAGTCCTACTGAATTTCATTTCTCTAACTTCCCACTCCCTTCCAGATTTCCCTCTTCTCATTTTTCCTGGCAGAATCGCGGCCGTTTTCGTCATGTCCGCTTCCCAGGATTCCCCCTCCGCGAAGGTGCTCGATGGTCAACCAAATCCTGTCATTGTCGGTCCGGGGATGAAGTCGCTGGGTGAAGATGCCTATACGCAAGCTGCCAATGTCACTCCCAGTCTGGATACCGATAAGAAACATCCCGTCGACAGTGATGCGCCCTCCTACTTCGCCAATATTCCCGACACCCAACCCTCCGCTGATGTCAATTCCCCCGCCACTCCCGCCGACGCAGCCAAAAGTGCGAAATCTCCCATTGAGCTCCTCCATCGCTTGAGTCTCAATCGGACTCCTCTCGTGCCCGATTTCGATCCGCGGGAACAATACCCCGGCTTGAATCTCACCGGGAGATTCATCAGCGCCGCGTTCTGTATTCCATACAAGGTGTATTACCGCCCTGGTTCGGACTGGGTATGGTACTCTCCCTTTTGCAGCTTTTTTTTTTTTTTTTCTTCTCTCGACCCATGATCGGACTAACCTTCTCGTTTGTGTGAATCAAACAGGAACTGAAGCCCCGTCCAGGTACATCCGCCCTCTTCGACTCGTTCGCATATCTCGGCTCCGAAGAGACAAAATGGTCGCACACCCTCGTGGGCTGGACCGGGGAGGTTGAGCCGATCCAGGAGACCCCCGCTTCCCTACAGCAGATCCCTGTCAACGCAGGTGCCAAACTCCCCCCGGCGCTCAACGGCGTTGCTGTCCCCTTGAGTAAGGCTGCGGCTCCGGTGCCCGTCGACTCGAGTCAGCGACCCCCGAGCCATCCCCTTCTGGAAGGGTTCACAGTCCCCCAGGAAGATCGAGCCCGCCTCGACGGGCAGTTGGGCTCCGGGCGCTACGGCAAGATCGCCCCCGTCTGGCTGTCCGACGAGTCCGAGGAGCCGGAGGAGTCCTCGACGATTTTCCTGGAAGATCAAGGGAAATGGAGGCGCTATGCCGAAAAGGAGCTGTACCCCCTGCTCCACTACAAGCAACACGGCCCCACGGACGGCCGGTCGGAGCGCAAATGGTGGGGAGATTACGTCCGGATGAATCGCCTGTTCGCCGACCGCATCCTGGAGGAGTACAAGGAGGGGGATATCGTGTGGATCCACGATTACCACCTGTTCCTGCTGCCCAGTCTCCTGCGGCAGCGCATCCCCAATATCTACATCGGCTTCTTCCTGCACGCTCCCTTCCCGAGTAGCGAGTTCATGCGGTGCCTGGCCAAGCGCAAAGAGGTCTTGACTGGCGTGCTGGGCTCCAACATGATCGGCTTCCAGACCTTCTCCTACTCGCGGCACTTCTCCTCCTGCTGCACGCGGGTCTTGGGCTTCGAGTCCAACTCCGCCGGCGTGGATGCGTACGGCGCCCACGTGGCGGTCGACGTCTTCCCCATTGGCATCGATGTCAAGGCCATCCAAAAGGCCGCTTTCGGTCCCGCCAACATTGAAAACGCCGTCGTCGCACTTCGCAATCTCTATGCGGGCAAGAAAATCATTGTCGGTCGCGATCGCTTGGACAGTGTCCGGGGCGTGGCCCAAAAGCTGCAGGCATTCGAGGCTTTCCTGGAGCGGTACCCGGAATGGCGCGACAAGGTCGTCCTCATCCAGGTCACCAGCCCGACGAGTGTCGAGGAGGAGAAGGAGGACCCCGAGAACAAGATCGCCAGTCAGATCTCCAACCTGGTGTCGACCATCAATGGCCGCTTTGGCTCGATCAGCTTCTCGCCCGTCAAGTACTACCCGCAGTATCTCTCCCAGCACGAGTACTTCGCGCTGCTGCGTGTTGCCGACGTGGGTCTCATCACCACCGTCCGCGATGGCATGAACACCACGAGTCTGGAATATATCCTCTGCCAGCAGAATACTCACAGTCCCCTCATTCTCTCCGAGTTCTCGGGCACCGCCGGACCGCTGTCCAGTGCGATTCACATCAACCCCTGGGACACCATCGGCGTCGCCGAGGCCATCAACGAAGCGCTGACCATGTCGCCCGAGGAGAAGAGGTTGCAGCATGTGCACCTCTACAAGCATGTCACCACGAACACCGTCTTGACCTGGTCCAACCAGTTTGTGACTCGTCTGCTCACCAACCTCTCCTCGTTTGACCAGTCCGTGGCCACCCCCGCGTTGGATCGCGCCACGGTGTTGAAGCAGTACCGGAAAGCACGCAAGAGGCTGTTCATGTTCGATTACGACGGCACTCTGACCCCCATCGTCAAGGATCCCCAGGCCGCCATTCCCTCCGATCGGGTGCTGCGGAACATCAAGACTCTGGCCGCGGACCCGCGGAACGCGGTCTGGATCATCAGTGGTCGAGACCAGGCCTTCCTCGATGAATGGATGGGGCACATTCCGGAGCTGGGGCTAAGTGCGGAGCACGGTTGCTTCATTCGCAAGCCGCGATCCGATGACTGGGAGAATCTGGCCGAGAGTAGCGACATGGGATGGCAGAAGGAGGTGGTCGAGGTGTTTCAGCACTTCACCGAACGCACGCAAGGCTCGTTCATCGAGCGCAAGCGGGTGGCTCTGACATGGCATTACCGGCGGGCCGACCCGGAGTACGGGGCGTTCCAGGCCCGGGAATGTCGCAAACAACTGGAGGAGACCGTGGCCAAGCGTTGGGACGTCGAAGTGATGGCCGGTAAGGCGAACCTGGAGGTGCGACCGACTTTTGTGAACAAGGGCTTCATCGCCTCCCGGCTGGTCGATGAATACGGAACGGGTCCGGGACAAGCTCCGGAGTTTGTCTTGTGCTTGGGTGATGACTTTACAGATGAAGGTAAGTTTTGATGTTGCCTTCTCCTATGATGGAAGCGGGGATCGAACATGAACTAATGGCTTCTTCCTTTTCCCTTTCGTTACACAGACATGTTCCGTGCGCTCAAGAAGGCCAACCTCCCAGCGGACCATGTGTACTCGGTCACGGTCGGAGCCAGTTCAAAGCAGACAGAGGCCAGTTGGCATCTTCTGGAGCCAGCCGACGTGATTGGGACGATCTCGGTGCTAAACAATAGCTCGTCTGCGCAAGAATACTAGGAATCACACGTCGCTCTGTAACAGGGGAGGGGAAGAGAGCCTCCTCTGACTGTGCCCTTGCCGTGACGCAAGCATTTTGTTTTCAAATGACCAAATTTTCTTTCTCTCTCTCTCTCTCTCTCTCTTTCACGAAATATGAATACTTTGCTCCAGCGATATTTATATATATATACGCATCCCCATCCTTGCTCTCGAAGACAGCGTAGGAAGGTGTCTGTCGGGCCGTCTGGATGAGGGAGGCACCTCGAGTGGAAGCCATGGGAGCCGATTTTGACTCTTCTTTTGTTTTTCTTTCCGGCGACTTTACTCTTTTCTCTTTTCTCTGCCTTGGATTTTCCAGGGCTTTGCTCTATAGATAGAAGGTGTGCAGTGACAGCACCGGCGTTGAATTTCATGCGTTAGAGGATAGACCACAAACCACCAAGATACTATCATATTATCATCATAATGTAACGAGGAGACCAGCCAGCGGCAGCCATCCGACATCGGGGATTTGGTTCCGACGCCATCAGAGCTTTTTTCCCGAGCACAAGACAACCTCATGCAGGATCATAGGATGAGATGGATGTCCATCTAACATCATGAATGCATGAATTCATGATTTCATGATTCATACTATCGCTGTGATCGTCGTTGGATGAACGTTGAACCCGCCTCTTCTGCGCACTCCTGGTCCTTTTTTTTTTTTTTCTTTCCGGCTGCGGTTCTCGGCTGTTGTTCATTAAAATCCAACCAATCGACCACCATGACTCTCTCGGGCTTCTGTGCGAGCCATCTCTCTATCTCTCAAGGGACAATTTCTTCCAAAAAGCACTAAAAAAACTCTGGTTCCTCACACAGTCACACTAATCTAATAAGGCTTTTATAGTTCTGATTCGGTAATTCGGATGGATCTGGGGCTTCTCTTCGGCTTCTCGTAGCCTGTAGGAGCGTGGAAGGAAGCAGTCACCGTCTGTCTCTCCACCGGGATTTGGCCTGGATCTGCGACACAGGGCTTGAGTCATTCTTCGGACATGAATGCCGTTCTTTATCTCACTGGATCCAGCGTTTTCTGTGTTATATTGCTGGTGTCTACCCCTTCTTTCCTATTTCCGTTCTCTTTGCTCTATGAATAGTACCCCCCTGCAACAAAGAGGGCCTCCATCACCTACAGCTGAGACATCTCGGAACGTTCAGATAACTTCGGACAAGCCAGAAAGGTCTCCCTGACCTGGTCAATGACCACCGAGGTGATGGCGCAAGATCCATACCTCGACGGATGTGCCGTCCATGAAAAGGACCCTGCACAGTTCCAGTCCGAAGAAACCACGAGCGACCAGTTTGCTCCTTTAGCAGGCCTCCCCAACGATGAGGAGTCCGGTGGTGCGGCGTTCAAGGAGCTGTCGCAGACAGCCACCAATACCAGCCATATCGGAACGTTGGCGGCCAGGACGCTGTCGCTGGTCCGGACGAGAGAGTCCGGGAAGGACATCGGTCCTCCGCCCGATGGGGGCCTGTTTGCGTGGTTTCAAGTGCTTCTGGCCCATTTCGTCATCTTCAACACCTGGGGGTACATCAACAGCTTCGGCGTGTTTCAGTCTTACTACACCGAGACCCTGGGTCGCGCCCCCTCCGATATCTCCTGGGTCGGCAGCATCCAGATCTTCATGCTGTTCTTCGTCGGAACCGTGTCGGGGCGTGCCACGGACGCTGGCTTCTTCAAGGTCACCTTGGCGGCCGGTGCGCTGCTGGAGGTCTTCTGCATCTTCATGACCTCTCTGTGTACCGAGTACTGGCAGCTGTTCCTGGCCCAGGGCATCGGCCAGGGCATCGGCTGCGGCCTCATGTTCTGCCCCACCATCGCCTTGATGGCCACCTACTTCACCACCAGACGCGCCCTTGCCATCGGCATCGTGGCGTCCGGTTCGGCCACCGGCAGCCTGGTCTTTCCAGCGGTGGTCATCCGTCTCCTACCCCGCGTCGGGTACGGATGGACGATGCGCACCCTGGGCTTCATCACTATGGCCACCATCATCCCTCCCGTGGTGTTCCTGAAGCAAAGGCTGCCGCCCCGGAGGAGCGGACCGTTGGTGGAATGGGCCGCATTCAAGGAGCTGCCGTATCTGTTCTTCGCCATCGGGATGTTCCTCAACTTCTGGGGCGTCTATGTCGGCTTCTTCTACATCGGCAGCTTTGGCCGCAACATCATTGGCGTCGCAGAGACGACCTCAGTGTATATCCTGCTCGTGATGAACGGCGTCGGCATCCTGGGTCGGGTGATCCCGAACACTATTGCCGATTGGCACACCGGCCCCCTCAACATGCTGATCCCCTTCAGCCTGGTGACCGGCCTGGTGGCCTTCTGCTGGGCCGGCGTGGGCGACGAGAACGGGCTGTACGTCTGGAGCGCCTTCTACGGTCTGGCGGCGGCTGGTATTCAATCTCTGTTCCCTGCCACCCTGACCTCCCTCACCACCGACCTCAAGAAGGCTGGGGTGCGCATGGGCATGGTGCTCAGCGTGGTGGCGGTCGCCGCGCTCATCGGGTCCCCGATTGCAGGAGCGCTGGTCCAACGAGACGACGGCAACTATCTGTACGCTCAGATGTTCATGGGCAGCGCCATCCTGGCGGGGACCTTGACCCTGATGGCCGCCAGGCTGGCGAAACTGGGCTGGACATGGCAACGGATGTAGTCGACGAAAAAAAAAAAAAAAAAAAAAAAAAAAAAAAAAAAAAGAAAATAGGACACGCTGGGCCGTGTTCAATCCCTGAATGTGAAGTACAATAACTCGAGTATATAGCTTAATGATAGTAAATAAAAATGACATACTACTACTCTGACCTGCCTGACGGACTTGCAGTCGAACCACTTGTTTGGCGGTGGAGTCTCCCCGCCTGGGAAATCCTCTGCGTGACTCAACAATCCGCTCCCTTGTTTCGTACACATTCGACTTTTACGATCTGTTGCTCTATTCCTCTATTCCTCTACACAACTAGAGACCAGATTCAATCTTGGAACTCGATCTCAGTCATCTCTACCCAATTTGCGTGCCAGAAGTACGTTCTCCCCATCTCCAACTCCCATGTTTTCGTTCCCCCCGCTCTACCCCTCGGTACAGCTCATCAACACGGCCAGCAGCTGTGGTTGGCAAGGGACTTAGTGAACAGAGACTAACTGCACATGTAGAGTTGGGGTTTTATCTCTTCCAGTATCATCAATCAACCTCATTCGTTTTCTATACATCATGGCACCCCGCGGCCGAGGAGGAAAGTTCTCCAAACCCAGCAGAGGAGGTAGGTGCGGCGTCTACGCCTCTCGTCGGCCCGCCACAGGACAGCAGGACAACAGAACCAGACCGATGCTTACCCTACGCTCTGCGGGAAACAGGTGGAAAGCGCTTCAGCCGGGATGTGCAGCCGGTAGACAAGGATGGGAACCCCGTTGGTCTCTGGCGGGTATGTCAAACCCAGAACCAGAACATAAACGCACAACCCCTTGCTAGGGAGATGCCTACGGTTCTTGTTCACTCCAGTTCTGATTTTTCTTGTCTTCAATCAAAAACACAGGAACCCGACGATGATATCCCCTCGTCCGTCGAAGAAGAGGAATCTGACGACACCTCCGGCTCCGACGAGGATTCCAGCGACGACGATGACAACGCTGGCGCCGCCCGCCCGGGCCCCAGCTCCACGGTGGCGGGCACCGGCGAGGTAACCTCGACGATGACCCGCGACGAGCGCCGCGCGGCCGCAAAGGCGAAGAAGCAAGCGGCGATCGCGCGCCGGACCCGAGTCGCCGCGCAGCCGGGCGACCTGCCGCCCTCGGACTCGGAGGAGGATTCTGCTGGCGGCGACTCGGACGACTCGGACGACGACGAGGACCTCCCCGCCAATCCGAACCACACGGCCAAGTCGCGGTCGCAGCTACAGAAACAGCCCGACGCGGCGGCGGCGGCAGGAGCGCAGAAGAGCGGTGCCACGGACCCGTCGCAGCTGTCGCGGCGAGAGCGCGAGGCCATCGAGGCGCAGCAGGCGCGCGAGCGGTACTTGAAGCTGCACGCTGAGGGTAAGACGGACGAGGCGCGCGCGGACCTAGCGCGGCTAGCGATCATCCGCGAGCAGCGCGAGGCGGAGCGGCTGCGCAAGGAGGCCGAGAAGGAGGAGAGGGAGGAGCAGGCCAAGGAGCGTGCTGCGGCGCGCGAGCGCGAGCTGAAGAAACGCGAGGAGGCTAAGGCGGGCAAGAAGAAGGGCGGTCTTAAGAAGAAATAGGCTCGGGCCAGCCTGAAAAGGGGCTATCTGCTGCGCTGGGGGAGACCCGTCTGTCTTTTTTTTTTGTTGAAATGAAGTGATGAAATCTTCTTCCCCCCCCCCTTTCCAATTGTGTTGTTTTCTTTCTTTTTTCTTTTTTTTTTTTCTCGAGCACATTGCATATCGTGCTCTGGTTGTTTGGGGGGTATACTCTTGTCTAGAAACATCCTTGGGAGAGACCTTGTCTCGGACATATCAATGATACTATAAGCATATGCATCATGGCGCTTTTCTTTCCCTCAGCTCGCTAAGAAACCGGCAAAGAACACCTCGCTCAATGTGATAGACATTCCATCTATATACAGACCCATTAACCATCAAACTATTGTCATATTATGCAGATGCAGCCCGCAAAAAGCAAAGAACGAACCAAACAACATGCAAGTCCCGACGCCGTACTCTCAAATCAGAAAGAAAAAGAAAAAAGAAAGAAAAAAAAAGTATATACAAACCATGCATATCGACGGAACCAAACGCTATCCAGTTTTCCAGAGACACGCGCTCTCGCGCCTCAGACCCCCCAGAACAACCCTACCACGCTATGGCCGTGCATCACCACCCCCCAGCCCGCAATCAGACTCACCAGCCACACGATGACCAGAAACAGGATCGGGAGCAGGAGGAGCTCGGTGTTGTGCAGGAAGGGGAGCGCATTGTACCCCAAGAAGGTGATGTAGGTGTAGTAGGTCAGTGCGGAAAGGTAGAGCGTGTTGCCCAGGAAGGTGGCCAGGAAATTGCTCGGGCTGCGGGTAAGGAGTGGCAGCAGCAGAAACTGGACCACGTAGAGATGGAGATATAGAGGGAAGAACGCCCGATTCGAGACCTAAGGTTAAAAAAAAAAAACGTTAGCTCCGGCTCCCTCGCACCTTGTTGCTACCAACTGGTCGATTTCCCCAGAGTGAGTAGGTCGCCACTCACGTCAAAGCAGTATCCAAACTCCAACTGATCCTTCTCGCCCGGCTGTGTGAAGAGGCCTTGAGCTGCGCCGCGCCTGCGACCTCGCGATCCTCTGAAACCAGTCAGGGACGCGGCTGCGCCCTCAGGCCCGAAGAGGCGCGGAATGGCAAAGTATGCGGCGGTCGACACCGCTAGAGACGACCCGATGAAATGGAGAAAGATGAAGAGGAGCGAAAGGCGGGCGATCGATCCGAATGAGGGCGCATAGGCGAGGCCCCATGCGAGAGCTGTGAGAAGGAGAAAGAAGGACAGAAGATAGGTGAACGACGGGTCTGGACGGTGCCAGGTGTTTTTCGTTTCTGGAAACATAATGCGCTATGTTAGTGGTGTGCTCTCGCGGACCGCCCGACGGGATGTCTTGAGCAAGGATGAAGCGGACTCGACGTACGTTTCTATCGGCGAATTATGGTCTTAGTACGGTTTCCCAATGATGAGACAGGCACGAACCGAGCAAAGGAGACACTTACATGGTAATAAATCGATTTGAAGACCTTCTTAGGCGCTATTAATAGTGATGTCATCTCCCAGATAGCCATCTCAAAGTCCATCTGTGGGAACTTGAACAGCCTACTCCGCACAAACAGTGATCATCAGCCATAAGCTCCAAAGACCAGAGGCGGTGTTTGCGGGATATTCTGATGCGAGCAGCAGTCGAACACCGAAGTTTGACGAGCTCACCTCTTGAAGAAACGCGGCATCCGTATACTCGACCCGCGATTTGCTGGCGTTGTGCCGCCGAAGCTGGCGCCGTTGGCATGTTGACGAGGAACAGAGATGGTTGGGTTCATCGTAGAGGGAGACTCGCAAGAACTATCCCAATTCCCAGGACACTCGAGATGGGAGAATGAGTCAGTACAATCCAGTTGTAGAGGAATGTAAAGTTGTCTAATAAGAACCCCGCGGCGCAGCTTGGATCTGTCAGTATTATTGATCTGGATGGAGATACTTCGATGTTGTTCGGAGTTGCTGCTGCCGTTGGGGCCATTATGTCATCCGCTGTTTCGGGTTAACTTGAAGCCGTTCGGTTTACATCGTCCTAGTTTAGATCGACAGCATCCTCAGTGTCGCTCTATCCTTCTGCCAGACGCAGTTTCTTGTATCATGGCTAGTTTCTCTGTCTATTCTGTTTATCTGTCTTTTTGAGCCTTTATGGGCTGGGTTGGTTCTTTTCTGCCATCGAAGCGCATTGGCAGACCTATCATGAGTACCTCAAAGCCACAGAGACCATCCGCACCAAAGCGGTTCTTTAAGAGTCTATCTCAGAGCAACTAGTGTTCTACACTTCTACTATTATTGTCGAAGTACGCACTGAGAACCCCAACTACTTTCGAAAATCTAGAGTCGAAATGTGATTGCTCTCGCAAAGATTTTCCGCGAAGCTTCCAGGAAAAAAACATCAGATCGACATGACGATTGACAGGTCTCAAACCCTAAAGATCTAAAATCAATATCTCCAAGCATCCTTGTCTGTAAAACGGGTCGTTCTGCGGATCTTCAAGAGTTCAGCTTCACGTTGGGACACCATGATCCAAGATGCCTACGTCGGTCATCTAGATCCTGGACTCTGGGCCCAGCGCATCAAGAAGGTTGAGATCGTCAAGGTTATGATATGTATCAGAGCACATGTTTTGTGTTCATGGTCAGAGTCCAGGATTCAGACACGTCACACGCTGATGAGATTCAACCTTTCAGGTGGCAGCGATGCAGCATTTCGTCTGTCAGTCTGTCAATCGAGCATACATGCCAATCTTACTTCTGAGACCAGGAAACCCGAATGGCGTTCTGCGCACGGTATTGACCTAATACTATTGTCTTCCAGTTTTGGTAGAACTCCGTCTGGCTCGTTTATCTTTGGATGCCTGGATAGACTACGACTCTCCTGATCTCCTCCGTACTCCATCGTCAAAGCTTCTAGTTCATTTCTGGGGGGGGGGAAGTCTCCACATCATGGGCCCATGGGCCAAGGCTGGGAGAATGATCGAGTCGTGAGTCGTGACAATAGACCAACAGACTAACCGAGTCTCTAGTAAGGGGTATTTTGATAATTCGACGTTCATGACTTCCATTGATCGGATACCTCTCAACCATGCGAGTCAGTGACAGACAGGCGAGCATAAACAATAGTAATCTATCGACTCTAGCCCATCGGATTGCATGGATATTGTCTCTGCAGATTTCCCAGACACTCGGTGCCAAATGCCATGCCTATTGCCTCGCCATTTAGCGCCAAGCCCCCATTGAAAATTAGTGGCAGATGGTCTCCTTAGTCTCCTTAGTTCACTCTGCTATAGTTGGACTATAGTTAGTCGTGTTGATTATCAACTAGACTGTTACCCCTGAGAAGATAACTAGTACTCCGTAGAAACCAGAAAGATTTCCTCTGTTCATGGGACTGTCATAGTGTCATTAGTTCATTACTGATGAGAGTTTGACCGATGAATTCCAGACTTGCGAACTGCGACATAGCGAATCATTCGTCTGTCTCAACTATAATAATAAGGAGAAGAAGAAGAAGAAGATTAATGACAGTGCTGGGGACGACAGTCGCATAGTTAGTTCTATCTCTCTTCCTCTCTTTCTCTCACGAATATAATCTCTAGTAATACCAATACCAGATCTGTCCAGAATCCTGACTATTTAATAATCAAAAGTGCAGTCCATCATTTCATTCCTCTGGTGTTTCATCCTTTCTGTAGGTTTCGTCCCTTGCCTGCCTGAGGCTTCCACGATCCGGCATTCTTTCGAATTCCCCTCAAGAATCAAGATCATTATTAACATCCATTCTCTCATTCTTTTGTTCTTTCATCGCTCATTCTGTGATACTTGTTATTTTGCAGCAGGATCATCTCGGATCTTCTCTCCGGCAATCGCTCTCAGACCCCGACTAAGAGGTCTGGATTTACTAAATACGCTTCATCGTCCTTTCCACGCAATTGTCCCTCTCTCTCTCTCTCTCTCTCTCTCTCTCTCTCCGCAAATCGTTCGTCCCGGACCCCTTAAACAATCATAACAAGTCGACGGAATATCGTTCTTTGCCCTCTGCGCCCTCTATCTTCCGCGATGACCGTGAGCTGATCTATTCTTCATTCCCTCTCAAAAGACGGCAATTCGGCTCCGGGGTTTACTACCATAAGCGAAGTTGCAGGAAGGGAAATCCTATTGTGATTGGAGGGACGGTCTCGAGTGATTGAAACCCAACCACGTTGGTTCTTGATAATTTGGGCTTCAAGGTTTTGTTAAACAAGGCGGATACTAGAGATCAGTCGACTCTTACTCTTTGATTCTTCGCAACCGGTGAAATCGCCGGTCTATGGTCGCGCCATCCTGCTCTAACTGTTTCCGATTCCGCGAGCCCATTTCCTAAAGTCCCGTTGTGAATGTATTATTGAGCTCGGAAAGGGAGCATCAGAATGCCTTCGGGACAGGATACTCAAGCCAATCGCTCCCCGCCTCGGACACCTCCATCGCAGGCGTCCAATTACAAACCCACAAAGAGAGGACTTCATCCGCGGCCGTCGTTGCGCGAAACCTTCCTCGACGATATGAACCCTGCCGACAATGCGAACAGCGGCAATGAGTCGAGCGACGAACGCGATCCTCATGATCTATCATTGTCCCCGAAACACGCCGCGCGCACGTCCATTGTCGACAACATGTTACTATCTCTAGACCAGTTCGCTTTCTCCGCGGGCAACTCCATTCTCGATGACTACAGACTGTTCAATTCGGTGTTTGAGTCGGAATTGTATGGCCGAAACTCGCAGGAATCTACAACGCAGCAGCGTTATCGCGGTCATACGTTTTCCTCCTCCTTGTCGTCGGAAGCGGACTTGGGCTACGACGATAGCGCCGCGCGGTATGGAACTCAGCCAGCAAGAGGCCGACGCAGCAACAGCAGCTCCAACTACCATTCCGGTTTGAGACGAATCGGTAGCACCCGCAGTCGAGACGCGCCGGGATCGCGAGGTCAGCTTTATGACTATCGAACTGTCGCTGGTGGTGATCCCTCGGCGATGCGCACGACGAGGAAAAGCAGCAAAGCGAGCGCATCTTCGACACTAGATTTTGGCCCGCCTCTCATCCGAGCCCAAGCTGGCTCTACCAATGAGAGGCGCTCGGCGAGCTTTGATTATGGTACCAGGCCAACGCTCACTTCGACCGACTTCGAATCCACATTCTACGATAGTACAGATGCGGCTCCGACACCCAGTGTTCCCGCTGGTCCGAGGAAATTGCACTCATCATCCCAAAACGACTACTCTGGACCATCAAATTCCCAGTCATCCCGGACACCAGTCGTCTCTCGGCGGAACAGTCCGAAGTCCTCTCGGACGAACCAGGCTCGGAAGTCTCGACCAGAGAACATCAATAGCGGCGCCAACATGCGGGGCGCGGACAGCGGCATGAGGAACTTGGCCGATGACGGCTTGGATCCTCCTCCAAATATCTCGGCAACACTTGACCCTCCAGCTCCGAGTCCCACCATCTCGTTCAACAAGCCAACATTGCTACCTCCGCCGGAGCCAGCGCCAGTCAAGGAGCGACCGGGATTCTTCCGACGCGTGTTTGGATCATCGAGGAGTTCGGTTATCGTACCAGCAGAAGCAAGTCATTATGATAGCCCAATCTCCCTGGAGCACGATACCAATCAGGTAAACGCAGCGAGCGGGACCCTCAGAGGAAGCAGACAGCCTCAGAGAAATCATAATGTGTCCGGTGCCAGTACGCCCAGAGAAAGGCCCCCTCAGGTAGTGAACAAAAAACCATCGTTCTTTCGTCGTCGGAAAAAATCAATCTCCATTGACAACAGCGCCCCGCCACCCATCGTGCTCCCCCAGCAACTGGGTCCGAGGACAATGGAAATTCTGAAACCAGAACCCAGCCCTGTCAGTAGCCTAAGAAAGGTCATGAATCCGTACCTTGCTGACGGCGTGGGTCCTGCATGTGATAAATCAAAAGAGCGTCCCGCTCGGGCTGCAGTTGCAGATGATGCGGCAAATAAGACTGCGGGACTTTCCTCCGCCCAGAGAGGCAAGGAACAGGTTTCTGCTGCTCCTGTCAAGGGCGTTTCCAAGTCCAAATACAGTCTATATCCCCCGCCACCTGCAGGCAGCGGTCACGATACATCATTCTTGATGAACAGCAGTGGCAATGAAGAATCCACAGTCAAAGCCGCTGGCTTGGACTCTGAAGCCTCTGTCGATCCACCGCAGAGGAAAATGGCGGTCAGAGACGGCATCGAATCCCAGGACAACGAACAAGTCGGCCAGGTCGCCAGTGAATCCCAGCATACGATCACACCACCGACCATGATTCCCGCTCCAGCCTTGTCTCCAGTAGTCCAGAATCTCTCGCCCGCGAGTGCGACAGCCCAGGATGACGGGTCCAAGGAGACGACAACCGAAGACAAAGTTCACCCCGAGGAAACGGCTGAGGGCGTGCTTCGCTCTAACTCTGGCGTAGGCGGAGATCGTCGAACAGCACAGCTCAGCAAGCTGACTATCCCCGCCACGGAGACCGCTGGTGTTTCACCCCATACCTCGCCATCGGATACCGAATTCTTCACGGCTGCTAACACCCCAGCCGTTCCTTCAGAAGATCCTGAGATCCCAGAGGATATCACAGAACGTCCGGACAGTGCCTCCTCCTCGGACGAGCCTACCAGCTCAGACAGAGAGCACGCGAGAAGATTATTTGATAGCCAAGATCAGGTGGTGGGCAACGAGCCTGCTGCCGCCTGGTTAGGCGACCCCAATCGTGCGACCATTCGAGAAGCATATATGGAGCTTTTCAACTGGTCCAACATGAACATTCTGGCGGCGCTGCGGAGTCTTTGTACTCGGCTGATCCTCAAGGGTGAGACGCAGCAGGTTGATCGAGTGTTGGATGCGTTTTCCACAAGATGGTGCCAGTGTAACCCACGACATGGATTCAAAGCTTCAGGTTTGTTCAGCGCTCTCGTCCTTCTGTCGCCGTGGCACCTTATCGTACCTAACAGTTGCCTAGATGTTGTACACACCATCTGTTATTCTTTACTGCTCTTGAACACCGATCTCCATCTCGCGGATATCGAGCAGAAGATGACCAAAACGCAATTCGTTCGCAACACAATGCCCACAATACATCGCGTCGCCATCGATGCAGCTCCGGATAGTTTTGACCCTCTACGTCCAGCTAATCGAGCGAGACTCTCTGCAATAGATTCGAACTCTCAGCCTACCTCGGCTGATGAATCCGAGAGGGCGAATGGAGATGTGAACCGGCCGACCAATCCTCCGCCGAAGCTGTCGAATCGCTTGTCGCGGACCGATCTCTCAATTAAATTAGGCGGTGATCCTGACAGCGACATTGGTCCCCTGGTTAATGCGCCATTCAATGGGTCAGTGCGGGCCTGGGAGCAGCAGGTTGAGACCGTCCTCCGAGATTTTTACTCCTCGATCCAGAAACAAAAACTTCCGCTCCACGGTGCCTCAGGCGACAGGGACGGACACCAGCCGCAATCGAACAGCCTACTTGGCCCCGGCTCGAATCATCATGGCCTACGCAGAAGCCCCAGCACGATCAGCAAGAGTGGCTCCGATATCTATCCCCGCGGTCGCTCTGCTGACTCTCGATACGGCACCGCGCGTTGGTCCTCTAAGCCTCGCTCACGTGCAAGATTATGTCCCCCGTCGACTATGGGCTCCAGCCGAACTAGCCTGGATGACCAGTCATCTCTATGGAGTCCTTCGGCATCGAGTACCTGGAGCAAGTATTCCCTAGGGAAGCTGACTTCTGCCTCGGTCGATTCCTTTGGATCAGATTATCCACGCGGAGATTATCAGCAGTCGATCGGGTTTGCGAACGCACTGAGCCAGGCGATCATCCGTGAAGATACCGCTCATTCCATCGCCAGCTCAGAAGATGTTGAAGGTACGGTCCATCTGTTAGAAGATGAAACTCTACAGCTCGCCGGCGCTCCATGGGCCAAAGAAGGTAGCCTGAAACACAAACACCATCTGGATTCGGTGGACAAGAGAGCCAAGGATCGAAATTGGAATGAATGTTTTGCCGTGATCCAACAAGGCTGGATGCGTCTGTTCTCGTTCAGCAGCTCCGCCAAGTCGGTCCGGCCGAAACCCAAACCACGTTCTCCTGGCGGTCTTGTGGTGGGAGGCGGAAATTGGACTGAGAATGCCGAGGAAATTTGGAAGTTTCTCCTCCGTCAGTCCATCGCCAGTGCCCTCCCACCGCCGGGCTACTCCAAGTCGCGTCCGCATGTCTGGGCGCTGAGTCTACCCACGGGCGCCGTTCACCTTTTCCAAGCAGGCACGCCAGAGATCGTCCGCGAATTCGTCTCCACGGCCAACTACTGGAGCGCACGACTGTCCAAGGAGCCCTTGATCGGAGGCATCAGCAATATGGAGTTCGGGTGGAGCGATGCGGTCATCAACAGCGCTCTGGTGAACACCGACCACAACAAGACGCCACCGTCGTCGTCCGGTGCCCGACCCAGCATTCAAAGTTCGATCCGCAGTTCGATCGATCAGCAAGGGGTTCGACCTAGACTTCCTGCCGACCGGGTACACATCGGCGACTGGGCCCCGCCGCAACAGAGTATGGTGGCTTCGGGACAGCCTGAAGTGGACCAGCTGAAGGCTTTGCAGACGTATGTCAAGAACGTGGAGGAGGAGCTACAGCGACATAACGAACTTCGACCAGCCATGATCCTCGCGTTCTCGCCACGCCACCCCAACGCAATCAAGGCGATGGCCAATTGGGAGCGCAAGTCTTCGTACCTGCTGCGGGAAATTGTCAAGTTCCGAACGTATATTGATTCACTCCAAGGAGCAATCGATGCGAGAAACCAAATCTACGCATCCCGTGAGGATGAAACTCCTGAACGAGCGGAAGACTAGCTACGCAGTTGCCCAGGATGACAAGCAATTTGACCATTTCTTGTCAGTCACCATGGACTTAAGCCTTGCTTGTCTATGAGTGCTTCTTTTTTGTTCCTCTTTCCCCTCCCTCGTTTCCTTTTTCCTTCCCTCTTCCCTTTCTTTTTCGATTCTTCCATGATCACGTTGCGACCCCATATAATGCATCCGATATCCTTTGGGTGGAAAGCGAATGCTTTGGTGGTAACAGACATCTCGGGTTGCATGGAGCTTGGGCGCGACTTTTTCATGGTTCTATACTTCCATATCTCTGTATCTACGTACTTTCTTTCCCCTCCATTTTTTCTCCCTGTTTCCTCCCCTTCTCTGGGAGTATGTGATGAGCCTTATGCTACGGATATTATGACCTTTTTTTTCTTCTTCTTGTTGCTCTTTTCTCCCAGGCTGGGAATGACTGTCCTCTCCATGTACGAAGTAAGATACCCCGATTTAATCGACACGACCTTGAGTTTTTCTGTCGATCTGAGGCAGATTCTTCTTGAGAATATTCGAATATCTCGTAGTGACATTTCAACATTCCTTTTGCAGATGATCCATCAGTAAACCAGCTCAGTTGGTGATGTGCGCCGGCCTGACTGGTCACACTCGCATCCATGGTTGTTATTTAACTTCAGCCCAAGCGAAAGGGGAGTTGGAAGTAAACAACAACCACCTCCAACCCGTCAACCCACCAACTCCATCGACTCCATTCCGTCTTCCTGGCTTCATCCTTATCTCTATTCTCATCGCTCTCATTGTTTGCACTCTCAGTCAAGTGTTTCTAATTTACAGCGGTCGATGGTCTGATGATCCTGTCTCGATGATCGCGGAGGAACAGCCCATTGTGGGAGGCCAAGTCCGATCATAATCATCAAAGACAGAGGTAGAGACAGTACGCTAAACACGAAGCCTAGCTCCATGAACATACCTTGAGAGCTCCGAACCAAGCTAATTCGTCTAGGTGGTTGTGGAGCAAAGCAGACGGAGCGCCCAGACGCCCCAACGTCAGTCTAAGCTAGACTAAATAACAATAATAATAATATGTCACGGCCCGTCACCATGTCGACGGAATCTGCGCCCTCCTCTCCGTCCCAGATCTTCAATCCAATCGAGTGCACACACTTAGAGCACCTTCCGTCTTGTGTTTCGATACCGGACGACCTTGACTCAGAGGACGACTTTTCTACGACGGAGGACGTGTTTTGCGACCCTGTGGATTTGATGGTGGTGGAGGATACACGGGGGGATTCTCTCCCCGGCGGCAGTACGACCATGGACGACACTCACGATACAGAGAGCGAATTCTACCACACGCAAGACGAGACGACCCTCGATTTAAATCAATATGACGAACCCGCATCGACGATCGACCCGTCAGATCACGAGGATTCCATCATGTCCCACCTCCCTCCTCTCCCTGACCACGACGATAGCAGTCTGTTCCTGTCCAGTGATGACGGAGATCACGAGCGCGCAGATAATCAGACCTTCTTGGAGGAGAAGGAAATGCGAAGGAAGCTGATGGATATGGAGTCGAGTTTCTTACCCGAACCGTCGACGATCGAGGTCGCTACTCGAAACCAGGCTGCTGGTGTTGACGATACCTTTTTGATAGGGGTACCCAGCGAAACTGCCCATGAATCCAGTACATCCGAGGACAATCAATCCGCCTTTGCGACACCAGACGATACGAACCAAGACTCGAGATCGACGAGCGACCGGATACCTATCCCGCAAACACCGACTCTGGGTCGCGGCGCAGCCAACCCCCAGGACTTGGATGTTACGCCCTCCGTCACTTCTGGGCAACGCGAAGACAAAACCACTATGCTGGAGATAGTGGCTTCATCGCCGGCGGCCGAAGCTGCAACGAGGTCGCTGAATCGAGTGCAATCTGGGTTTTCGGCCGATTTGCATTCATCGAAAGACATTACCTCCGAGGAGACTGGCGCGTCTGCGACATTGGATCTGGATCGGTTGACACACCCATCTAATCTAAGTATACAGACAAGTTTTCGGAGCTCGGATCCAGAACGCTCCAGGCTTTTCCAAACTGACAATGGCCGAGATACAGAGACATCGTCCCGGGCGAACAGTCACAGAGGGAGCCGGCCGAAGTATTTGACGAGTCGCCAATCCTCCCATCGCCTCTCATACTCATCAATTGCTAGTAACAACACCGAGACAACCAACAGCGACGCGACATTGGGCGCTGACTACGCACTTCAGTCCGGCGGCGCGGTTCCGGAGAACCCTCATACTCTGCAGGTGGACCAGCGCGACAACCTTACGAGATCGATCAGCCTGGGTAGCATGGCTTCCGGTATATCCGCCCTCAGCGATGAGAATATCTTGGAGAAGAGAAACGCCAGTGGAGTTGCAGAGGGGGGTTTGCAAACTTTGGCCGAAGAAGAGAGAAACCTCCAATCGCGACCAGGCTCGGCTCAACAGCAGCAGCAGCAGCAGCAGCAAAAGGACGGAGAACAACAGGAACAGCGGGGCTTCGCTGCTGGAGATGCTCAGGACCCAATGACACCGAGGGCCAAGTCTCGCGAAAATGCCTTTCCGACGGACACCGCCATTGCAGAGCGCATCCGAGATGTCCAAGTACCAAGTGCATTTGCCAGAAAGTTTCAGGAAGATCTTGCTGGTCGCTCACTCTCGCCTGACAAGCGTGCCGCCATCGCCACTCCCGGTTTTGCTCGGAGTGGCCGTACCATGACTCTCAAGGAGCAAAGCAGCACGATTGACCGTCTGTCGAAGGAGAACTTCGACCTGAAGATGCGGATACACTTCCTCAACGAGGCCTTGAACAGGCGCTCCGAGGAAGGGATCAAGGAACTGATTTCGGAAAATGTCGAGTTGAAGTCGGATAAACTCAAGCTACAGAAGGACAATCAGAGTTTAAAGAGAAAGATTCGTGATCTAGAGAAGCAACTCAAGGACCAACAATCTGATAAGGAATCGATGGCGAACCACGATCCCGAGGGCTCGGACGAGGACTCTCGCGATGCAGCTCAAGATGAGGAGATACTCTATCTACGGGAGAGGATGGAGACGTATGAACTCGAGATAGAGAGGCTGCGGTCCGAGAGCATGGTCAAGGAGAGCGAGAAAAGGAGACTAGCTGAGATGGTGAAAGCATTAAGCGACCGCCCCGCAGGCTCAGAGGTCGGTGCAAGGGAAGAGAGGGTACTAAACACCAATGTTTCACAATCTCTGTCTCCTTCCTACATTAATGCTGACATGGCGGTTCTACAGGACATGTGGAAAGACATGCTGGATGCAGAAGCTGCAGCGCGGGAACAGGTAGAGGACGAGAACAAAAGGCTCCAAGACGAAGTACTGGGCCTCCGGAACGAACTGAATTTCCTTGTTGCGCCCTCACTATCAAGGCATCGCGACCGGGTGGGATCCATGGTCTCCTACACGACAGTCTCCGACCGGGATATAGGCCGGGTTCCGACTCTTGGTAGCTCATCTAGTGAAACACTCGTGGAAGAGCTACGGCTGCTCAGACAAGAGAACGCAGAATTACGGCGAGAAGTCAGCGCCCAGACTTCCATGCTTACCTCTCGAAACAAGGAGAAGGAGCGGCTCTACCAAGAGATTGAGGAGCTGAAGCTCGGTCAACGCCGCGACGGCGGACGGTCAGTTGCTGGGGACAGCATCTTTGATCGCTCTGCGTCGCGCGCTCACGGCAGATCACCGTCTCGGGTCAGTGACGGCACAGGACCGTTGCGAGGCGATCATGCGGAGCGTGAGGACTTGGAACTTCGGATTGGGGAGCTGCGAGATCAAGTGTCTGCGCTGAAGCTGGAGAACCAGACTCTCAAAGCTCAAATGGAGGAACGGGGCAAGGAATACGAAGCTCTTGACACCCAATATCAGGAGGAGGCGGATCAGCTCGAAGAATGGCTGCAGGCCGCGCGACAAGAGTGCGATCAAGTCCGGCAAGAGGCTGCCGAACGTGTGGCCCACCTTGAGGCCGAATACGCACAATTGGAGGCCGAGGCTCAGGAGGAATTAGATATGATGGACGAGACAGTCCGACAGAAGACAGAGGAGTGCCAACAACTCGAGGAGGAGCTCAGAAGCCAGGACGAGAACCTCCGAGCACTACAAGCCGAGATGCGTTCGGCCAGTGAAGGGATCATCCGGCTCGAGGAAGATGCGCAGAACAACCTGCAGCGCTATGAAGCGGTCCAGCGGGAACTCGAGAACTGTAACCAGGAGATGGAGACTTTGGAAAAGAACCTGTACGAAGCCAACACTAAGGTGCAGCGTCTAACCGTTCAAATCGAATCCAGCCAGAATGAGATTGCGTTCCTGCGAGAGGAGCAGGAAGGTGATAAGATCAGAATCGGCGATCTAGAGTCTGAGCTCAAAACATACCTGCTGAGTCTGCAAAGCGAACGGGACAAGACCAGGGAGTTGGAAGCTCGCCTGGCGGAGGAGCGGCATCAGCGAGAGGTCGTCGGAAGCCAGGAGAAACAAGAGGTTCAGCGTATTGTGAACGAGCTCAATCGGGAAGCCTCCATGGCCAAGGAAGAGGCGCGCAAGCTCAAGAAGAGTCTGTCAGCGCAGGAGATCGAGACGGCAACCTGGCGAGAGCGGTTGATGGACTTGGAGAACAACCTGCGAGAGACACTCGGCGATCTCACCGGCAGTCGTTCCAGCCTGATCTCCAACATTATGAAACTCCAGAAGGAGCTCGAATCGACCGCCTTGGAACTCGAAAGTGTCCGGTCGAAACTCGATGAAACAGAGTCTCTGCTGCGGAACCGCGATGCCCTGCTCGAGAGCCACGGGCTCGAATCGCGCAAACTGGCCGAGCTGCTCGAACGCGAACGACAGGCCCGCCGAGCCGACAAGCAGTCGTTCGAGCAGGCTCTCAAATCCCATCATCAAGCATCTCGTACCATCACCCAGAGTAACTCGCGGATTACGGAGCTGGAGAATGCTCGGAATCAGGATCGGAAGCGGTTTACGAGTGTCGAACAGCAGTTCAGAGAGCAGCTGAACGAGCGAAACTCGATGCTTCTGACGATGTGGAAGCGGCTCTCGGCAATGTGCGGGCCAGATTGGGCACACTCGAACAGTCTCATCAACGGAAATTTGCCCAGCCAGGAGGTGATTGGCAACATACTCTTCTGGCCAGGTTTCAGCCGAAATCTCTTGCTAGCTGTCAAGACGGTGGAGAGCAAGATAGCAGGCTTCAAGAGCGACATCAGGGGCGTCGAGCGCGATCTGACCAAGCAGTATCAGAACCTTGAACATATCATGAACCTGCGAATCAAGAAGCTTGATCGTCTCGAGGAGTCGATGATGAGTATGCGGGCACAACAGCATAGCAAGAGCCAATCTGGCATGTCGCCCGAGATGGCCAAGCTACGCGGCGAGAACCGTCTGTTGAAGGCGGAGCTGAACCTGCTTCAATCCAACTCGCGTATCCGCGGCCCTACTTCGGCTGCTGTTGTGGCTGCCGGAATGGGACAGAGCACCCCACATTCACCCAGCCGAACATTGAGCGCGGAGTCCGGGGCCGATGCAGATCCCTCATCCTTGGTGCGCCATCGTTCGATCATCGAGAAGTCGGGGAGCCCGCATTTGTCGAGAATCCTCCACCGGAGCTCAACATCAGGTATCCCGCAGCCATCGCAGATCTCGGCGGCATCCTCCTCATCGCCACTAGCCGACCATGAAGGAGCCATGGTTCCCAGCTCGCGCTCCCGACATGTATCCGCCGACCCAGGCGGCAACGACAAGTGGATTCAGCGCTTGCGAGAATTGGAGAAGAGGTTGAAGGCGGAGCGAGAGGCTCGACTGCTGGACCGTAACGGAGCGCGGAAGCGCCTGGAGGAGCGGGATGCGGAAAATCAAAGGCTACGCGCCGAACTGGAGAGACATCGCATGCGTCGAGGAATATCGGCGGAAACTTCGACTGATGATGATTACGATCGCAGTCGACTGCACAACTCCGGCCGTTCCAACGCAGGCGGTGGCGACGATTACGGCCGTCATCGAGATGAAGAGCAGAGTTCAAGTGAGGGAGAGGGAATCTGTGTTGACATAGAAGTCTGACCCCTTTCTCTGCAGGGCTTCTCGATATTTTTTTTTTTTTTTTTTTGTTTTTGGTGTACCTATTTTGTATCTCCTCCGTCCTGTATCAGGAGTTCGTGGAGGCGTTGTCTCCCTCCAGTCTTGGTTTTCTATGCATTCTAGCGGCTGTTGTTTGTCAAGGTGTTATTCGTTGCATAATTTTATATTGTACCTGTCTTTGCATGTACTATATACCCATTGATTTTCGTTGGTGCTTGGAATAAATACTTTTTTTCATGGTCACTGGGCGGTTGTACAAAAGAGCGAGATGAGAACATCATGCTGTCATATATTTCTATCATCTTCGTACTGCCCTACGACCGAGGGAGCCAATTGAGTATATGTATGCATACTACAAGGCGGCCTACTAGATGAGATATCTTCTCCGTCACATCATTATTCATACAGAGCCGAAAACTTCCATGCCCGTTGCCATGCTAGTATATAAACAAAACGATCTACCTCCGAAAGAAAAGATAAGTATCTACCGCAACGACACTTTGAGGGAGAAATCCACGATGCCAGTGCCCTGGTGAATCGAGCTGGTTGAGAGGATGTCCACATCCGGGCAGGCATAGGAAGCCGCATTGGACTCATTCAAGCCGCCGCTGACCTCGACGAGGAACGACTTGCCCTTCCCGGCCCAATCCTGCTTCAGCTGCCGGGCGGCGTCACGGACACCGTCCGGGGTGAAATTGTCCAGCATGATGACGTCCGCGCCAGCGTCGATGGCGGCATTGGCCTCCTCGAGACTCCGGCACTCGACCTCGACCTTGGTGGAGAAGCCTCCGGTGGCCTTGGCCGCGTGGACGGCGCGCGGGATCGCCGCGGCGATGGACTGGATGTTAGCGGAGGCCGGGGCAGAGCCGCCGTCCGCGGCGGAGCGGTTGTTGGCGCAGGCCCAGACGTGGTTATCCTTGAGCATGGTCATGGAGCTGAGGTCGTGGCGGTGGGGGTCTGCGTTGCCGACGAGCATGCCGTATTTCTCGACGACGCGGAAGCCCGGGGTCGTCTTGCGGGTGCCGGCGAGGATGCCCTTCCAGCCGTGGGCGCGGAGGGCGGCGACGAGCGTGGCGCTCTTGGTTGCGATGCCGGAGCAGCGGGCGAGGATGTTGAGGGCGACGCGCTCGCCCAGGAGGATCTGGCGGATGGGGCCGCGGACGGTTGCGCAGTGCTTGATCGGTTCAATGGTCTCGCCTTCCTTGACGTGCCATTCCACCCTGTTTCCTTTCATCAGTCTTGTTTTGCTCTTGGATCAAGAGACGGGGGGGTGGTCCCCAGTGGTTGAACCGAACATACGTGCATCCTAGCTGGGAAAAGACCTCGTCGAAGAAGGGTACACCTGCAACAACGCCCTATCTAGGTCAGTTTATCCCTTCCAACCCACACACAGGCTTATTGCGTGATATACCTTGCTTTTCCCCAATAACCGAGCCTCTCCTTCTGACTCACCCACCACAAAGCCACCATAGTCGAAGCTGGGACAGTCCTCCTCCAGCCACGCAGTGACTGACCGTTTATAACTGCTCGGCAGCAAGTGACGCAGATCTCCATAAGCCGATGCCATGTTGAATCTTTGTAGAAGAACCGAATTGACCGATGGATTGGGGTTCTGTGAGCGATTGCGAGGCCGAGTTGCGATAGCGCGCGGGGCAGGATTCTGTCAGCGATAAAAGAGAGGGTGTAGTGCAAGTCGCGAGAGGTCAAGTATGCAATCAATAGCCTAGTACAGTACCCTAAGAATGAAGTAATGCACTTTGTCGTAGTGGAAAGACATGATTCTGCAGATCTGAGGCCTGCAACACTGCTATCAATATCGGCTTAACCCCACGCGGGGCATCGGCCAGATCCGGGGCTCATCACGTGGATCGGCTTGTATCGGAACAGTCAGGTGACTTCGGCATATTCCTCGTGGCAGTTTAGTGTCGTCAAGACTTGAGAAGTTGAGAGATCTGCGATGTGATGGACATCTCGCTGGAAGCTCTTCAGAGTGTGTATTGCATACCCATGAAAACGAGTATTGAACAGATGGCTGATGTTTGTATAGCCCGGTGTCAGAGAGTACAGTATTACAGTATTAGTGTCAGAGCCTCCCATTAAAACTACATAGTAAACATTTACTCCATATGAGATGCGACCAAAAAAAAAAACACAAGAATAAGATCAACTCGAGGCTCGAGCCAGGGATTTGACTTTAAGTCAAGAAAAAACACTGCCACGAGGGACTCCACTGAGATGTCAATCGTCATCGGATAGGAAGGGCGCAATATACTGATGTGTCAGGCAGCAGCAAACCATTCTGCTGGAGTCTCGATCTCCGATGTTCTTTAACTTCTACTTGTCTTGGCCATGAGTCGTATTCGCTACGTCGTACGAGGAACGGATCTCGATCAACGACAACTTACAAGCCACCGATGCAGCTCGTACCGTTTCCTCTTGTGGTATGGAGTATGGACTATGGAGCACAGCATCGCCATTGGAAGTCGAGAGCATGTTCGATCTCTCTGCGGAGCATGAGTATGACATCCATCCACTGGTCCACCGGGCTCTCGAGTAGAGCTAGCTAGAAAGCCTATACTCCGTATACGAATATTCAATATTGCAGCTGGCCAGCTGGCCCGCTGGCCGTCAGAGTCAGACCGCTCCTGGTAGTTGGTAGTTGGTACTGCCGAAGCTCTGTCCTGAAAATCAGACAGGCCGGACACTGACGACTCAGTCACTCAGGTACACTGCCTCTTTTGATTTGGTATCTCTCGGCGCTCGGCTCGTTTTGAACGGTGCCACGATATATCTCGTGGATTGTCCTTCGGGTTTAGGACGGATATACCAAACCCTGCCCTATATTATTGAACCGCTGACCAGGGATAAAATGTCGCCGGCATATGTCGCCGGTCGTCCGCACTCCGCAGCGATGGGCTGACCAAAGTCAAATACCCAGTCCGTGGAGAAAGATATTTCATCCCGCCACAACACGGGGTAGTTAACTAGTTCGTCGAGAAGACGCCGATACATCTGGGAAATCCCCTTCCTCTGTATCGCCGTTCAACGAGAGGACGACTCAGAGTCAGGGAGTCAGAAGAACCATGCCAAGCTCTTCGGAAGGTTGGGAAGTCTCCGTTCCGAGCCAGCCAATCCCTCCATGACTATGAGAGACGCTATAATTGTAAGTAAGACGGAATGAGTTGTGATTAGACCCTCCGGGATACAGAGTGTAAGAGTATAATAATAACTACACAGTATTTTGTACGGGTATTCCACAGTCCCGGCAGCTGTACGGTATGGTATCTGGTATCAATACGGTATGTATTGAAATATGGTATTTGGTAAGAATATATACGGTTACAATACTTACCTAGGGTATCCCAGGTTCATCATCCTGATCCAGGTACGAGCATCTACTGAATGAATGATTCGCAGCATAATCGTCATTTAAGTAGCGAAAGGAACTCATCTGTTGTTGATGATGATGATGATCGGTTACTCTTTTTGAGAGGAAGATTATACTACAGACCGGCAACTGATGAGACTATCATCCTCCATTTTCATCAATTTCCATCGACACTCGAAAATCCAGCAACTTATGCATACTGTAGTTGTATACTAAGTTATGCGACCAACTGAGGATCCATTCATTCCCTTCCCCCCCCCCTCCCCCCCCCCAAAAAAAAAACCTCGACAATTTATGAAGAATGATATATAATCCAGAGAACTCAGTACCACAGCATCGAACCAGTATAGCTGCTGACTGTCAAGCTGTTCAACCTCCAAGAGTCAAGACGCAGAGTCGGGTCAGGCTGACAGTGAAGGACTCCATACTTAGTCCGTTCTCCGTATCTTACTTTTGACACTGTTGCTCACTAACGTACTGGGTGTCAAAAGTGTCAAAGAAATGCGACGATCCCTCGACGCTAGAAGGATCATAGTTGGATTCTCGAAGCTCTTGGCAATCCCAGAGAATCAATGAGCGATTTTCAGGTCCATGTCAAAAAACAAACCGTTAGTACGGAAACTAGTTGGGAACTTGGGGATACCTCTGACTCTGGTCTCTGAGTCCTGACAAAGGGACAAGATCCTCCCAGCCCAGAACTGCTATGTAATGGGATTAATCTCGTTGCTTGCTTCTTACTCTTTTCGCTCTTCTAACTACGGAGTAATTAACTACTCCGTACTGTACGGGTAGTGTCGAACCTAATGCACGTGCGGCTCCAGGGCTTGACAGATGCCCATCAGCCCTCAGGTCAAAGGTCAAGCAAAGAGTCAAGACTCAAGATTCTTTTTTTTTTCTTTTTTTTTTCTTATTCTCTAGACTGAAAGGAGTGGATCCCCGTGTCAAAAGGCTCAACTCGGGAATCTGGATACTGGGAGTGGGAAGTGGAAACTAGAACTACATAGTACATACTACATAGTACATACACACAAAAACCATGATCATCGAGTCAGCATCTCAAATTCTCAGCATCGGATAGTCTAGCGTCTTCCAAAGTTGTACTGGAAGTCTGGAGTCATGAGTGTTTGGCTTTAGTCTGGAACTCTGGATCATGGCTGATGGCTGATGGCTGATGGCTGATGGATGAGTGATGACGGGTCCTTCTCGGAGCCCTATCCACAATTCCACATGTCCACGGAGATAAGGGTATTCGGCACATAATAGTAGTTTTAGCTGGCAAGCCTGGCAGAACTGCATGAGCATCGGACGATGTTTGGCGGGGCACGAAAATTGGCGAAAATCGCAGGAACAGAAATTACATGAGGGATAAAAGGAACGAGGGGGGAAAAAAGAAAAAAAAAAAAAAAAAAGTCAAGGATCATTGACTCAAGCCAAAGCCGATATTCAAGGCTTTTTTATATATATATATATTATTTTTTTTAATTAATGGGCTTAGTTATGTATACAGAATATTGTTTCCTATCAAATGTTGTTATTGGATAACCAACGCTCATGCCTTCCAGGCCTTGTATACCGTCTTGCATCCAAAAATCTGTCCCTTCTTCAAAACTACCATTGACCGCCATGCCGGCTCGTTGACGGCATTGACGTATCGGCTGGGCTCTACGCAAAATCCCGCGCCGGGGCCGCGTGCTGGCAATCCGTCCATCGCGGGCACGTCGATGTATTTGCCCGTGTATAGTTGGAATGCGGGCTCGGTGCTGTGTATCTCCAGGTGCAGGCCGGTGTCTGGGTGACTGAACTGTCCCAGCAGCCTCAGAGGCTGGGTGCGCGTGTCCAGTGGGATCTTCGAGGGGTCGGTCTCCATCACGAAGACGTCGTCAATCTGAGGCTCGGATGGGCCGAGGTTAAAGGGCTTCAGAACATCAATCGGGAACTTGCTAAAGTTGCCGAGGGGGATGCCGGTGGGGTCGATGGGCAGGTAGTCTGCGGTGGCGAGCTGGGCCTTAGTGCCCTCAATGGTTGGGCCGTTACCAAGGTTGAAATAACTAACATCCAACCCGGTCAGTTTGATGTTTGGAGCTAGATGATGATACCGCTGCACTACTTGATCGAAGCAGCTAAGCGTTTTGGCTTTCGTTGTCAACACGTACCTGTGGTTGGTCAGGTTGACCACCGTCTCTTCGCATTCATCACCCACAAACTCAACCTCGTACTCGGCAGTGAGAACGGTCTTGGAGCTGGGGCTATCTACGTCCTCCTTGCTAGCCGTGTACCAGACACGCAGCTCCACTGTCCCCGGGAAACCCTCCTCACCGTCCTTGCTGAGGTACTTGAACATCAAGGCATCGTGACCGTGGCGTCTGACGGTATGCGGTCCGTCGAAGACACACTTGCCCCAGCCTTTCTCGCCTCCGTGCAGGGAGTTGGGCCCGTCGTTCTGGGCCAGGGTGTAGTCGCGGCCGCTGAGGTTGTGGATGACGGCGCCCTTGAGACGGTTGGCCACGCGACCAATTGTTGCGCCAAAGTGCGGCGAGTTATACTTTTCGTACTGTTCTTGGGTGTTGAAACCGAGCACGATGTTCTTGCCCGCGATGCGGAACTCTTGAATGATGGCCCCGAGAGGCAGGAAGGTGAACTCGGATTCTCCAGACATGATGCTCGTGGTGCGTCGTTCCTTTTTCTTTCCTCTGTTTTCCGTTATATGACACGATGGACGGGGATGAGGTGAAGCTGCTGTTCGCAAGAGCAAAGTGTGTTGTAGAAAAGCAATTGATTCTGGCGCGAGGGGCCGACGTCGCAACAATAAATACGTGACCCCGCAACCCGGCGATCATTTATATAGTGGCAGGGTGGAAAAACAGCACCGGCGCCTGAAATGCGACTGGGTCGATTCTCCGTCGAGCAGTGGTTTCTCCATACTGGGGGGGCCCTATCTTGTCCTCTCGACGGCTAAAATGGCCAGTAGGGGTTGTCCGCATTGTCTGCTCTGAATTGGCGCGTGAGAGCTGGAGACACCTTCGCGAGGGTTGTTGTTGGTAAACGGGCACTTGCTTTAGGCTAAAGGAGGTTGATAGGTAGCCTGAGGTTGACCAAACTCTGCCTAATTTAGTAATCTTCCGGCCTGTTGATGCCCCAGGCAGAACAATGACTTGGGAAGACAGAAGCGCACGTCTGCGGAGGTTCCAGACGGTGCTGTGGTTAGTTGGGGAGATCTTTTGAACCTTTAGTAAGATGATTCTATCGTGCTGCACGCTAATTGAGTACAGACTACAGAGTAAGGCATATCTCCTCACTCCAGATCCTCTGGAGTATAAATGACCCCGGTTCGGGGCTCATGGAGAGCGTCCTCCGCCGAAACCCCGAAAGCCGAGCAGAACTATAGGCTATGCAGTATGCAGCATATTAATGCAGGTTCGTCCTGATGAGGTGAGCATTCGTGATTCAACGGGTTCAGCTTGGCCAACTTGAAACAGTGTTCTAGGTAGTTTTGGTCTATGTACATACATAATCTACCTCGAAAAGAGCTCTGATTGTATCATTTTGATTGATCGTATGAGGATGATCAGTAATCGCTTAATAATCCTTCCACATCCTTTGCGAATCGGGGAATTCCTAAAGGAGATGTTGACTCCGGCTCCCAAAGGGGGTAGATAGTTGATACAGTAGCATCTTATCTCGAGGTTTACTAAATTCTAGACAGGAACCAATCGCATCTACATGCTTGACCATGAGGATTAGTCAAAAAGAATACTGTTGTTGTCTGAGTCAAAAGAGATATCAAGATCATCCTACTCTGTAGGATTATATTCATTAGGGTACACTCGGTATACTAAATATGTAGTTAGTATCTAGTGGTCCAACCTACGCAGTACGCATAGTCGCACAACAACACAAGGTCAATTCCCAAATCCCTTGAAATCCCTAAAACAGGTACCAAGTTCCGATGGAAAATCGGGAACTGGGAACGAGCCATGGCCCATGGCCCATAACTCTAAAAGCCTTTCGAGTTCCACAGCCATTCCATTATAGTCTCGTCTCGAAAACCGATGCCGGGAAATCATCGTGAGTCTCGCTTGTTGTCCGGGACCTAATAACACTCTGAGACTCAGGTAATATTCGAAAAAGGATTCGAGGGTGCCGACCTGCCGACTTCTGGCTGAACCGTGGAGACAGGCTAGAGACTTGGAAAGTCGGCGCTGGAATACCTTCAAGGTGGGGATAATTCGAAGTATGTACTCCATAGTCACTAGTCAGTAGACCGTCGTATTTTTTTTTGCTCTTCTTCTCTCTCGTCTCATTTGCAAGTCAGCACTCAGACCGAAGTGGCTGGAATGTGATTCGATGGAAATGATAGATACAAACCAAACAACCATGAAAGCTAAAGAAAAGAAGCAGCACCAGGATGAGCCTCTTGATGCCATAATCATAGCCTCATTCTGTGTACTGATTAGACACTTTGGTAGCGGATCCTCCTCGATCATCAAGTAATCACCGATTAGTTCGGCAAAGAGAGTTAATCCTGGCTTGTGAATTTGTGATTGACCGATTCGAAAAGTGGCTAACGACTGGCAAACACCTCTACGTTATTATTTCCTTCGTAGTACCTCTTGTAGTTGTACGAACCATCTACTCCATGTCTCCACGAAGTAAGAGTAGGAGACTAGGAAGATTAGATGCCAATGGTAGTGTGCAATCTAAAGTTCTTAACTGTATGCGGTGATGGATGACGTTGTTTACTGTGGGATTAGTCATGGATACCCGATCTCAACGTCACCTAAAATCTATGATCGTTGTGATCTCTCCTCCTACTACGAAAACCACAAGAGGTGATCTAATCATGAGACTATTCGACAATCGACATAGCTTCCTTGAGGAGAGAGGTGATCATTCTTGTATCAAATCGGATTCGGTCACTATGGTGTAACGGTGATAGGCATGATGATCTCGCATCAAACACTGGCACACCAACCAGACGACCAGAGATGCATCAAGCGGGAAATAAAGCTGAAATCCCCCAGAACAAAAAAAGTAGATCAAAAAGATATAGTAACCACGCCGGGTAACAGTTCCCTGAATCAATTATACCTCCCGGCTGTTTTAAACCCTCAACGCCAAAACACCATTCAGATAATTGAATGAATGATAGAAGAAAAGAAAGGAAGAGCACTGTACATTATGGGGTAGTTGACCCCACTTTTCAACCCTAGGATAGTCTCCATTCGATGGAACGTCAACGGGAAACAATCCCTCTCAAGGGTTGGAGTGGTCGATGAAGAGTAAGAAAAGAAAAAAAAGGCACATGTAAAAAATGCGATACATGCGTCCCGTCGTCATACGGCGTGTCTAAAAAAAAAAAAAAAAAAAAAACGTCGACGGTCTCGGGTCTCTGCCGGAGAGTTCTTCCGTGAGCTGCATTTCAGATGGAAGTGATCTCCGTTGGATTCGGATTCAAAAATTGGTTGAAATCTTCGTAATCGTTCTTCGTATCCAGATAGGATGCCGATGTCATGCAGCTCATTGGAATCTGGCGGTTGAACATCGGTGATGATATTTGGTCATCAAATGGAAGATTGGTGAAATCGGAAGTGCCCATCATGTCGATGTCGTCAAAGGCATTGAAGCTGTTGTTGGTCCATTGTGGGGGGCCCTGCAGGGCAATGGGATTAACCACGCCCTGCATGGATAAGGGCGCAACATAGGCAGGATGGTGAGAAGGCAGCTGCGATTCCGATTTGATTGTCGGCGCCTGGGTGCGTGACGTGGGGCTGAAGTTAGGAGGCGTAGGAGGGAGCTGATGTCGCGAGAAAGGATCCGAGAAGCGGGTGGTGAGTATTGGTGACTGCGCGCTCTCTGAGCTTCCGTCCGACGAATCCTGGCGTGACATGCTGCCGGCGTTCTGCTTCCATAGTTCCTGTTGCATGACTTCGGTGTTCTCCTCGAACCGTTCGCCTTTGGCATGGTCGAGAGCACCCAATCGAGTGAGCAGGTCGTGTGTAAGCGGATGACCATTTGATTCGCATTTCAACGGTTCGCCAGGCCAGCCTTCTCCCTCGTTGGAGCGTCGATATAGTTCCTGTAGCCCATATACTAGCCAGGCCTGCTGTTGCTCCAGCATCTCAACATATCTATACCAGACACCGGCGTTAGCAACCACCATGTTCTGTACACACACGCAAGGCAGGCAATGGCTAGATTGCCAGGAAAAGAAAAGAAAAGAAGAGTGAAAGAAAAAGGAAAGGTGCAAGCTCACCCCTTGGGGTACACTTTATCGTGAGCCTTCTTCCTCTCGCCGAAGACGCAAATGGCATTGTCTGCCCTACACCGTCCACAAGGATTGGCGCCGTCACACTGCACCGGGTCAGTGCATCAGGACGCACTGATGCGGGAACCGTTGATCTTGCTTACCTTGGATTTCTTCAGTCTACATCGATCGCACGCCTTACACACTCGCTTGCGAACATTGCTGTCCGAGTGCGAGTGTTCTGATGTAGGTGACGATTGACGTGCCGTCATTATGGGGGGAATATATATAACAGTATCAAACTATTGGAAGAAGAGGATGGTGATGGCAATCCCCAATGCAGCTCAATCCCCAGTCCGGGGAAGGTAGCACAACAGCCTAATAGTTGAGGTGAATGTTTTGTGTGTGTGTGTGTGTGTGTGTGGAAGGCGGCCGATAGTATACCGAAAGCTGTCGAGAGTTCGTTGGGAGTAGGGGGAAAGCAAGCAGCTTAAGTAAAGAGAAAAAGCAAAAGAGAAAAGCGAGTTAGAGATCGAGAACCAATCCTATCGTCCGAGGGGAAAAGGAAGATGTAATAGAGTGTCGACCAGAACAGAAATGACACCCGAATCCCAAGGATAGACCAGACCGACAGCACAAGGTTGCAGTGTGACAATTATATAAGACAAGGTTCTGGGTCGATGGGGTTATAGTTATCCACTTGAGGTCAGAGAGTCGCGAAAGGAAGCTAGAGAGGATTTCCAAGGTCAGCTCTGATGCTGATGGAGGGAGGGCTGACAGCTTTAAACTATTTCGATCCTAAGGGTGATGATGATTATGATTATGAGAGAGAGAGGGCGTGATTAGTATCTGATTAATATTCCCTTGATTTTCTTTTTCTTTTTTTTTTTTAAAAAAATTAAATAATAAAAATAAAAATAAGATAAAAAAGAATGAAATCTAATGAATAATCAGGATCTAATACTTACTTTTTATGTGATTATTACACAGTAGTTAGTCGTAGCTAGCTAGGGAGGGAGTTAACTTAGTACCTTAGTCAATAGTCCTTAGTCCTTAGTATTGAGTCTACTGGTTAGTGGTGGTTCTTGACTCTTTTGCTCGAATTGACGCAGTGCCCGCTTACCCAAAGAGGGAAAAATGGATCTGGACTAGCGTTGGTGGGTGATCTGTGGATTGTATGGATTGTATGGATTGTATGGAGTGTATGGAGTGTATGGCTCCCCATAACGAGGCATAACGAGAGGTAACTTAGGTAGTCATACCGGTTGGGTAACTTACCTGAATCCCGGCTGTATGGTATTGTATGTTAATTCCCGGTACTGGTTTTACCATATTATTTGGCTATGCTCTGAATGATGAATCTGATATCCAAACCTAAGGTGTACAGTACCGCCTGGGCATAAGCAGATTAATACCAAACAACCGATGACAGTAAACATACAGTATTCGGGATCGGAGACTTGGATCGGACCTCGGAGAACTCACGGGCTTCGTTGGTTCCTTGATTTTAATGAAATTTCCTCTTCCAGGAATTTCTGCTCCCTCCAGATGGACAATGGAATACCTGATCCTTCGGTGTTCTCTCTGCTTTTGTTTTCCTTCCTTGTTGGCTTGTCTTTTTGCCAAGTCAGTCGATGGATTGGCAAAGTTTTCTCGGACACACGATTCCCCCATGTTCCGTATATCCGAGATGGGGAGGAGTCCCTATCGAGTATCAATCATGAAGACTCTGGGGCCCAAACCCAAGTGTATAGACGCAAAACACTCTGTTCGGTGACATATCTGTCTTGATGCACCCAGATCCTCTCTGGAAAGGAGCTGAGAACTAATAGCGTAAGATACATGCCGTAGTATGCATGCTTACTCCTGCATACATCATCCTCATAGTAGTCTACAGTAGGCACTAGGCATAGATTGTAGGATCCAAAATTATGCGTTCCACCTCTGAGCATAATTCTTGTGGTAATGTTCATAACATGGGTTCTGTTACTGGTAATATTTCGGCACATACCAACCGATGCCAACATCCATGCATACTCTGTACAGAGGTAAACAAGACAAGCTGCATCTTCCGCTGATTCATCGTTAACCAGTCACGACTCCCGAGTTCATTAGGATATTCGGGTCATTCTATGGAAGCTTAGCGGCAGACCGGCTCAGGTTCTACTCGGTAGGTATTTAGTATCTACTATCTATTATTGTCTGCTGAAAGGTCCAATCTGTCAGTGTATCCTACCGACCCGACTGTACCAGATATTACTCGATATGGACACGATTCGAGTCAGTGGTTCTATGGAGAGAGTCTAGATGCCCATGATTCTGATCATTCAACGGGCCACTACGACTAGAAGACCCGAAAGTTCTTTTGAACTGGCTATCGGCCGACCATAGATTGCTTTAGTTTATTTTATTTTATTTTATTTTTCTTTCTCTTGTTCTTTCTTTTTCTGTAATCTAGAGTTCGCCGAGCGGGATTCAAACCCGTGCTATCTCAAGTCAATGACGTTGATACGAAAACCGAGATCACAGGTCATGTCATGCTAACGATCTGGATGATTCGCCAATGCTTCTTTCAAATGTTGAAAGAAAGAACCCAGGATTGATCTTGAATCATATTGACAACAACCTATCTAAGACACTGTGATCCTCTAGTAAAGCATTTCCTAGCGGTATGATTTGTCACGCTCAGCTCCTGACAGGCCAAACACATGTCAGAGTCACGTACTCTGCTGGACTCCCTCCTGGCTAGCTGACTTCATATTTGCGCCACATTGTCCTTTGAAGGGGGGAGGGAGGGGAAGTTGATAGTGTTGCTGTCACTATTCATTTGGGGATGGATGGTGATTCGAACAATTCGTTTTTCGTCTCTCTTGTCGATGTCTGCCTGATTCAGCATCCTCAAGATGCAGCTCTATCCCGAATGCATGAATCTCCACATTTGGGTAGTCCATTCTGATCAAAATGGTTGATGTTAGGTAAATCAGGCTTGTTTGGTCTTGACAGAAGAACAAGTGGGATCTAACAGGCTTGCAGGATAATCTTGTCTCTAGGGGACCGTCCTTGTTGGACAACTGAACAAAAGAATCTTCTGATGTGCAGTTGAAACTATCTTACAATAAAGTAGATCGACAGACTCCAAGTTAGACTGACATGACATGACTCGTGAGCTACCAACGAAAGTGCTTGTTCAACGAAGAATGCCGTGGTCGTATTCCGTCCATATTATCTCCTAGCAGATCGCTTTTTAGGGGGGGCCAAGTCGACCTCGTCATCTCACTCAAGCTACATCCATGCTAGAATACCGTTGAATATGCCGAGGCTGTCAACGGATTTCCCCTGATGATCTCATTCAGGGCCTGTGCCACTCGTGAAGATGATGTTGATTGCATTCCACTGTGGCAATGCGAGTTGTTGCCCTGATTTCCAAGTTCTTTAGCTTACATGGAACCTATATCCATCCTAGGAGAAGAAGGTTCAGAAGATCCTGTGGAAGTATGTACCAAGAAAGTGATCTAGAATACATGGTAGGTCATTGCGACGAAAAAGGCAGATGGCGGGGGTATAAGGAAACCAAAAAAAAAAACAATGCAAGAAAAAGGTATGATACAGACTGCAACTCACGTCGATGATCACCACCGTCTGATCACCAGCAACGCAGACGTCTCCAGAGACTTGGTTTCTTCTTCTGGTCATTCGGCGTCGTTGCCGGTGCCGATGCGCTTTCTTTCGACGTGTTTGTCTGGTCGTCTTTTGGCGCTCCCCGCTTACCCCCCTTCGTTCCGAAAATAGAAAGAAGGTTGTGCCGGGGCCGTGTATCCTTGGGTGGCTGCACGGCTACGGCGTCATCGGCTACCGATACGGCAGGTTCCTGCACGCTTGAGGGTGCCCCGGCTATAGCGGGATCAGCAGTGGCTTGGTTCTGCTGGTAGTGGAGTCGACGTGCTTCAACAACGCGACGAACAATGACTTGAGAGCACATTAGTTCACTTTTGATCTTTTCATAGGGTGTGCCACTCGAGTGCAGGAGGGATTGGACGCACGGGCAAAGGTTTCCTCGATATTGACCATATCTCTCGCGCTTGTCTCCATGAAGCCACAGCCATGTTGACGGGCATATTCCAGCCCTTCTTTGGCGCCAACCGTTCGACTGTCTTTCAAATCGCACTTGTTGCCCGCGACAATCTTCACCGGGGGCGGCATGCCGACCTGCAAGTCGCGGGCACTGTCGCCTAGTTCTCTGAGCAGGCGGGCATTATCCTCTGCGCGTTGCTCTGCCTCGATGTCGATCAGGTCCATAAAATAATCCAGCGCGGTCAGACTCGACGTGTTGGTGATATCGTAGACAAGCAAGAAGGCATCTGATCTCAAGTTGGACAGCGCGAAGAGCCCGCGGTATTCCTCTTGGCCGGCCGTGTCGGTAATGGACAGACAATAGGGAATGCCATCGACCACACGCGTGACTGAATATGAATCCTCTATCCTCCGACAGAGCCGGTCTTGGCGTTAGAATTGCTCACATTGAGGACAAGAAAAGGGCACAGTGCTTTACCGATGGTTGGGTCATATCTAGAATGCCGCCGCATATTAGTATTTATATAGTTCCTGGGCCTCCCTGAAAACAAAAACAAAAACAAAAACAAAAAAAAACACCCCAGTTTGTCAACTCACTCATGAACCCATTCGCTGCGCACCAGTCGCAAAGTAATCGATGATTTACCTGCAGGACAAAAAGAACCAGTCAATGGACGAGGATTTCACTCCAAAAAATGAGAATTCCTTTTCTTTTTTTTTTTCTTTTTTTTTTTTTTCACAAGACAAATCGGCATTGTGAGACACTCAGACAAACAATAGACATACCGCATCCTCCGTCCCCACATATCGTGATGGAGATTTTCTCAGAGTCTGGGGTGTCTGCCATTGTAGTAAATGTTTTTGTCTTTATTTTAAACTCGTGTACTAAACCACGAGGGGGGGGATCCGATCCAGCAAGGGGTTTATCTGGCGAGAAGCTTATATCGGTGCGAAATGCATCCCTGAGAGTTTGGATCTCTGTTGCTGCTCGAGTCTGCTTGGCGTTGAGGGTTGAGGATCTATTATTGGGTCACACAGGTGCTACTCGACCATAGCAAGGATAGCAAGGGGGACGACGATTCGTTGAATGTGTAAGGTAAGTGTATATGCTGAACAGCTGAAGAAAAACGAGGCGACAGGAAAGTTCCAGCGATCTGGGGACTTTCTTTAGGGGGGGAGAGATGGATATGCTCTCTTCACCGACTGTGTGAGAGAGAAAGACAGATTGCAAGAATACTCCTGAGATTGGAAAAGGAGAGGAAGTTCTGATCAATATTGATTGATCGCTTAGGCCGTGCGACACCAAATTGGAGCCCCTTTTGGTCCGAATCTCATCTACGTATCTTATCAGGGGGTCAACTTTCAGGTCTACAAGTAAAGGAGGTTTCGAGGTTTCCAGGTGAACAATAATGGTCTACAACGGTCTACAACGGTCTCTATCACCCGTAGCTGCACAAGAAGAATAGTCTGTAATAGGGTCAACTGGCTCTGATGCCACCAACTGGCGTACTCGCTAGCTGTCTGTCTCTAGTCTACGGAGTATTTATTCTCTTGCCAACAGAACACAAGTACTTAAAGAGGAACCTTCGTTCAGCTCTTCTTCTTACTTCCCGTAATTGTCTAGTCTAGTCGATATATCCATGGGATATCCCTCTGAGACGCTGCCCTGCGATTGGGAGGATTGAAGACATGTTTAGCGCCCCTTTTCATCACCAAATGCGATGCATCACACATGGCCCAAGTAACCATGATGATCTATCCAGTTTTATGCTCATGGGATTCCCACGTCGTTTGCCTCTTCGCATCATTTGTTCGCGAACAATTGGTTCTTGAAGGGGGAAAGTTGCCTTAGAAGTTAGGACATCGACTAAACTTGAATGATTGCGGTCCGCTTGGCCACCCGGACGATGACTTACACAGTACGGAGTAGTACTATAGTCTATAGACTTGTAGTCCTCTATCCTCTATACTGATTTTAGCATCGGCTGTCACATTCTAATTATTGACAGCTCCCCGTCGCTCTGAATTGGACAATTCTCGGAAACTATTCCCGTCGCTTCAGCACTAATTCTTGCAGTTCTTCTTTCCCTTCTATCTCATCTCTTTTTCCCCTTCTTATCCCGCTCTCTCCCTCTCTCCCTCCCTCTCTCTTTGCTATCTACCTATCTACAGACCGCGACGAAAGAAGAGAGAGAGAGAGAAAGAAAAAAAAAAAAAAAAAAAAAAAAGAAGAAGGAAATCAATACTCCACTCCTATATATAAAATAACTATACCCAGTCGGGGACTCCCTCGCTGGCCGTCTCCGCTTGTCAGTCTCAAAAAAACTCCACTCCCACAGTTCCCGTTCTTCGCCTTCTCCAGACTTCCCAAACCTTCCTATCATCCTATCGCCTATCGACTATCAACCTTAACGGCCTTGAATTGAAATCAGTCAGTCAAACGGAACAGGGGAGCAATAATAGGTCCCTCCATTTCGACTGATTCTACCCAATAACTGTCTTCGACCAGGACTGTTTGCTCTCGTGGACTAGTCATTCCAGTATTCCACCCTTCTCTGCGGTGTCGATGCGTTTCCGTCATTGGCCGGAACGCTCCTCATCGAATCGATCGGACGCCGCCTCAATTCGGCAGCAATGGCCAACAACTACAATAATGACGCCTATTATGGCACTTCCCCTCAGTTCCCCTTGGGCTCGTCAACGAGTTCTAGTCAACCCAACGAGTCTCAGCGTGCCTTCGACCGCTCCAACCCCGAGATGATGACCTTTGCGCCGTCGGATCCCCTTCGCTTGGGGGACTATGCCTTTTCACAACCTCATGGATCGGACATGCTGCTGAGCAGCGTGCCGCCAGGTGCACTCGAATCGCACGCCAACGAACTGCTTCCTTCATCCGCTTCTAACCTTCCCGTGAGTACCGCGCATCTAGCGGACCGGCTGTCCAACGCTCTGTTTGCCTACGATCCGCTCTCAGGCATCGGGAGTTCCATGTCCATGGCCTTGGACGCTGCCAGTGCGTTTGCTTACGACCCTTCCTCCGGATATTCTCAAGCCACCGCCCCCTTCGAAAATCCCTTCAATCGGCAAGCGATACCCCAGCGACCGTCCTTCCACCCCCCGACCCTGGGCCTGGAGCCCTCGGTCTCGTACACACAGGGGTCGACCCGCAATTCATACTGGGCATCGTCGTTGGAGGCAAAGGAAATGAACACCACGATTCAAGCCGCGGCCATGACCAACCGATCCAACTCGAGTAACTCCAAATCGACGGATTCCTCGCGAACCCAGCAGTTACCGCACCGGCGACGACCGGACCCTCCACCCCCCACCCAGGTGTCGAGCCATGGGGCTTCTCATCGATATATTCAGCCGAAGAGGCCGTCGCCGATGAAGAGTTAGTCCATCATCCCTCCCAACCGTTTCTTCTTGAGGTAGCGAGGCTTTACATCTCATACGTGGAAAAAATAGACTCCAGTGGAAAGTCGGCGACTGGCGGCGAAACCACCCCTTACACCAGCATATATTCCAGCAGTGGAATCAACATGATGAGTATACTGGTATGGCCCTGTCTCTTCTCGCGCGCGGGGGAAACCGCCATCCCAAAGCGGTGTTGTTGACCCTTCTCCGCAGGCCGAGGTTGTATCGAGACCGGACCCCAAAATCAACATCGGTGCTGTAGATCTATCGTGTGCATTTGTCCTCTGCGACATTTACCAAGAGGATCACCCCATCGTATACGTGTCGGATGCCTTCGTGCGGTTAACTGGATATACGGAAGACGAGATTGTTGGCCATAATTGTCGTTTCCTCCAGGACCCCAACGGTCAAGTGCAAGCGGGCACTGCCCGGAAATTCGTCGATCAACAAACCGCCTTTCGGTTGCGGTCGACGATCGAGGACCGCAATGAGATCCAGGCCACGCTCATCAACTACAGAAAGGGCGGCCAGCCATTCATGAACTTGATCACAATGATTCCCGTTCGGTGGACTTCCCCCGACTATCGATTCTATGTCGGATTTCAGGTTGACCTGGTGGAGAAACCCGATGCGATTACCAGAAGGAATCCAAGTATGTTTGTTTTTGGCCAGATCCGATCCCAAGTAGAGAGCTGACCAACGGTTTGACTAGATGGTACTTATATGATCAACTACCAACGCAACCAACTGCCCAACTACGTGGTGCCGCCTCCTGATATCTATCGAACGCACCCGGATCTCGCTACTTACTTCAGTCCCGACCAGGTGTCGACGATTCTCGATAACTTGGCCTCCTCCGATCCGAATCATCAGCAGTACCTCGACCGCGTGCTGGTCGAGAATACCGATGACGTCATTCATGTCCTATCCCTCGATGGTGAATTCCTGTATCTATCCCCGTCCTGCCGCAAAGCGCTGGAGTACGACTCGTACGAGCTGGTGGGTAAGACTCTATCAACCGTCTGCCATCCCAGCGATATCGGTCCGGTGATCCGCGAACTGCGATCGTGTACTAGTTCGGATCCGATCAGTGTAATGTACCGGATCCGGACCAAGTTCAGCGGCTACGTCTGGTTCGAGAGCCACGGCGCGTGGCACATCAGCGATCGCGGTCGGCAGTACATGGTCATGACAGGCAGGGTCCGCCCGGTGTACCATCTCGACCAGATTGCGAAGATTGGAGACGGGGGCTTGGCGGAGAACGATCTTTGGGCCAAGCTCTCGATCTCGGGCATCATTCTCTTCATATCTTCCAAGGCTCGTCCGGTGTTGGGCCGACTTCCGGATGATCTCGTTGGAAAGAGCATCCAGGACTTGATCGGGCCCGACTCCCGGCTCGAGGCACAGCAGGCGCTCGAGGTGGCTCGGACGGGTCAACAGACGAGCTTCAACCACAAGATCCGGCACAAGAAGGGTCACATGTTGCAAGCCCAAACCGTCCTATACCCGGGAGACACCAAGGAGGGCACGAAACCTTCCTTCTTGGTGGCGCAGTTGCGCTTCCCCAAGTCACCCCAGGCTGAAGATGTTGTTTCCACGGACTTGCCAGCTGTGATGTCTACCGGCGACATTAGCGTCGTGGGACGCAAGGACGGCGCGGCGGCGGATCAATCCACGTACGATATGTCAGCGTTGGTGGGTTCGAACTCCCTGCCCTCTGGCAATCAGTACATACCCGATCTTGGGGAGTCATCGCTCTTCACGGAGTTGAGCCCGACCCGGGGGTCGAGCTGGCAGTTCGAGCTTCGCGAACTGGAGAAACAAAACCGCATCCTGTCGGATGAAGTGCAGCGGCTTCTCGCGCGGCGCAAGAAGCGCAAGAGGAAGCAGAGCACGGTCCCCGTGGAGAAGAGCTGCGCAATGTGTCAGACGCGCACGACGCCCGAATGGCGGAGGGGACCGAGTGGCAATCGCGATCTCTGCAACAGCTGCGGGCTACGGTGGGCCAAACAGGTCCGCAACGCAGCCCAGGCAGCGGCGTGAGCCACGATGCCAATCTGTTTGTTGTTTTTTGTTTTTTTTTTCCACTTTCAAGCGTTCAAAATTCGGGATATGTGTTTTTTGGGGGGTGGTTTTTATAGGCGGGATAGGGGGATTCGTCTTTCTGCAGGCAACAAACGATTTTTTTTTTTCTTTCTTTTTTTTTTTTTGAATTGATGGGCTGGTTTTGGATACGGAAGGATCAAGGATCGAGCTGAGTGAACAAATGCCGGCGTCAAGGAATAGGAGGGACAAGGACAGGGACAAGGAAACCGGGGCCACAAAGACGGACGACGACGTTAATTTACGAGATGTACAGTATGACGGGGAGATGTCCTTGGACCGCTACGACTGGCAATATATATAAGCCGTCGGAATATATACCACATAATCAGGGGGTTTGGAGTGCCTAGGATGTACAGCTCTAGAACAAGACGAGATACTGCCGGAAGGGGCTAAACATCGGTGTACACGGAGAGGAAAGTAAATGTGATTTCAAAACAAGCTCGCATCACCATCACCATCACGACCTCTCCAACCACTTCTCCAACCACCGCCTCTCCTCGCGTTCCGCCTCCCACCCGTCCAGCCCATCCGCCACGCCCACACCACCGCGCTCCTCCACAGCAATGCGCACCTCGACGGCCTCCAACGCCGAGACGCCGCCGGCGGCGGCGCGCAGCAACCGATCATCCAGGGCCAGGTACTCGGCATACCGCCGCAGGCGAGGGCGATACACGGCGCCCACGAGGACAGCGGGACGGACATGCGAGCGCACCAGGCCCAGGGCGGCACAGGCGCGCAGCACGGCGGCATCATCGGCGCGGTCGATCCACTCGCGGCTGGCAAAGTCGGCCACCAGCCGACGGCGCTCGGCATCCGACCCGGCGGCCAGCGCCAGGGTCTGCGGGTCGGCCGCGAGCGCGGCGCGTTTGCGGGCGGCGCGCAGGGCGCGCTCCTTCTGGCGCTGGCGCGGCACGCGGCAGGTGAAAGGGGTGACGGCGTTGCCGAGGGCGAGGACGACGAGCGGGGTGAGTTCGCCACAGACGAGGAGGAGGAGGGAGAAGGGGATCATGCGGCGGAGGTCGTAGGCGGCGCGGCGGACGAGCTGGAAGCTTGCGCGGGAGAGCGGGGGCGTGAGGGCGCGGGCGGAGTCCTCGAAGGAACGGGTCGCCGGGGGCGAGGTGGGGAGGTATGCGGGGAGGTGCAGGGCGCGGCGGAGCGGGATCGCGGCGCGGTAGTTGTGGTAGACGTTTTTGAGGCCGGTCTTGTAGAAGGCGAGGTAGGCGCGGCCCACGGCGATGTAGCGCTTCAGCTTGTCGGCGGGGGAGGCGGCCGGGCTGGCGGGCTCGGGGAGGTTGAGGTCGGCGGGCCGTGTGCTCGGTGGCGGGTTGACATCGTTGGCGAGCGTGGTTGTCGCGGTCGAGGTGGTGGAGGGCACGGTGGGTGTGTCTGGCTGGCCGGCAGAGGGAGGGCGGGAGTGGGATTTGGACAGCGACGAGCGCGTGGCGTAGCCTCGGGCGAGCAATCTGGAGCTGGAGCTGGAGCCGTAGCTGTAGTCGTAACTGTAGCAATCGCGAATCGCCGCGGGTTGATGGTAATAGTGATAGTGATGGTGATGCTGATGCTGATGCTGACGCCGGACAAGCACCGATGCCACGGAGGTGATGGCGGGACGCTGAACCCGCGTACGCAGGCCTTGGTGGGCCGAGACGGAGAAAGGCATTATACGGGCATTCCAGGGGAATGGAAGAGATGTGGAACAGGCCCAATCGATGGGAGGAAGCTAGAGCACGGGTGTTGGCATCGTCCAGTGTTGATGATGGTCCCGATGTTGACAGATCGAAATAATTAGGTGCCTCAGGCAGGAATCTCACCTGTGAGGCACCAACGCACCAATCAGCGTGCCTCGGCAATGAGGCTTCCTTCTCTGTAAAGGGACTGACTGATACTTCAAGAGAAAACGAATCGGACTTGGTTGAGTAGTATGAAAAGAATACGATTCAAGTGATATTCTACCAAAGACAAGCTAGGCAATAACTGGGTGATCCTCCTCCACCACCACCATCACCACTACAGCTCAACCTCCACGGCAATAACGCTCTCGGAGAAGAAGCCACTCACAAACAACCATGCTTTCTTCTTCTGTCCAGTTTGGGTCTCAATCGGCACCAGGACGGCCGAGCTAGCGGTCCGGATGAGAGTCCCATCGTCCTGAAAGATGACGCGCGACTCCCATTCTGTTGCTGCTGCACCTGAGCCAGATTTGGGCCGCACGTAGAACACAATCGCCCCGTCTTTGGCCGCGGGATCACTGTGGTGTTTCGCTAGGTCAACGGGACGTGCCATGCCCCCCAGCACGTAGCCACTGGCGTCGTGGGACGCGGTGCGATATGGATCCGAGTAGTAGCTAGGATTGTCGAACTGGCCGCCTGGGCGAATCGCATCTCCCAGGGTTATCGTATGGTTGCCGCTGTTCGCATGGGCGCGATACAGCGTTCCTCCCATACAGCTGACGACCAGCATCTCGTCTTTGGTCTTGCCATGGCCCAAGCCGTTGTTGTTGTACAGTCCGGTGAGCGCTACGGTCGCGTCAATGCCAGCGGCGGCATCTTCGGCGTTGAAGTCGTGGATCTGCACGTGGATGGTGCTGGACCACTTGGCCAGGGGAAGGACATCCTCGATCATCCGTTTGTAGCCCGTACGGTAGAGATGGTCATTGGTGACAAAGAAGGAATTCGGGCTCTCCGCGTAGATATCATTCGGCGTCGCGATCAGTGGGTTCCGGATAGAACGAACATGTCGGGCCGTGCTCGACTCCAAGACATGGTGGAAGAGCTCGACCTGCGACCGTGCGCGGGGGACATCCTCGCCGACCGCAGCGGCCTGGTAGAAGTCCGGATTGGACAGATGGTTCACTGCAAAGATATACACGGCGTTGGGGGTTTCCGGATCCTCGATGACATCGAATCCATGCGTCACAAAGGGGCCCGCGAAGTTCTCGAACGCGAGCCGACTCGCCTTCATGGTCTACGCGGAGTATCAGCATCCGCACGCACTGCACCGTCAACAAGAGCCATACCTGCGGATCAATAACATGGATCGAGCCCGTCGTCGTCGCGGGCCCTTCAAAGTTCCCCACGGGAGGAAACCACTTGAAGCGCGGCAGCACCGAGTCCTCACAGACCGCAAAGACCTTGTTCGTGGGCGACCAGTAGTGCAGATCCTCGCATTGCATCGTATCCTCGATCTTGTAGAAGCCCTGCCCCTCAGCAAGGACCAGAGGGGCGGGATGTCGCAGGACTCCGAGAATGGTAATCTGGCGAGACACCGGGCCGTAGAGCATCGCGACCAGAACGGCCAGCAAGGCCAGGTTCAATAGACCCAGCATTTTGTCGTGTCGACGGCTCGTCGCAGTCTAGGGATGGGTTGTGGCGAAGTGAACCGTCCAAGCCAAAGCTGGGAGTTTGTATTCCTCAGGTGACAGAGGGCTGAGAAAACGCTGAGAGAGGAGAGAGACAGCGAGACAGAGGCGTGTGCAGGATATCATATATATATATATATATTTCTTTTCTTTGTATATTTTCTTGCTGCGGCCGAAAGAAAGGGCGCTAGTAGAGAAAAGGATCAAGAGACGAGAGATCCCAGCTGAAAGTCAGTCAGTCAGTCAGTCAGTCAGATTCAGCCGTCGCAGGGTGGAACTTTTATGGGATGTGAGTGTGTCTAACTGGTTTCTGGTGATGGCATAGAAGCGGAAGGTCCAGAATATCCGACCGAGGAGAATGACTATTCATTATCTACACAAGGACCAACTGACTGGATTTTATTGACAAAAGGCGAACCGAAGCTGACTGACTGACTGACTGACTGACTGACTGACTGACTGACTGATGCCCCCGATTCCTCCAGCGAGCTTCATCATCAAGCATGATGGATGCATTATGGCCTTATCCCGTGTGATTATGGAAAATACATCAGAACAGAGAGAAAGAAAAAAAAAAAAAAAAAAAAATAGAAAGTACACTCAATATTCATTCCACTGGGTTGGATGCCAGCCAAATGAAGGCCAACAGAGATGGTCACTCAAATTCAACTTCTCCCAATTTCCGTTTCCATCGCGCCCAAATGCTCAACAACAAAACAATCAACAGGTACAACAGATGCGGGGGCAAATCCGAACCAGCGCGTTCAGTGCTGCGACTGCTGCGCTTCCAGATAATCTTGGTCGCTGGCATCCAGCACATCGTACTCTTCATCCGTGAGGAACCCGGCCTCTGTCTGGTCATCTTCCAAGGTCAAACTCTCCACGTCCTCCAGAATATCTTGCTCCGACGGATTAGTCACGGAGGGAGCGCGGGGCACGGGGTTCATGCCTTGATGAGTGCTCGAAACCGGCGACTCCTTGTCCAGAGTAGGGAAAATCATGCGACTTCCCATTGGTTCGGAGCCGTCGACCTCAGCGACCTCAGACTTCTGGTCATCCTCGGGCGCCGTCGGCTTCACCGATGCCAGTTCAGTCGACAATGGCTCCTCTTCCCGGACCTGAATGTCACACCAGAGTCGATGGCCAAACGGCATGCCGTTGGGGAGTTTCAGCCGCCAATACGAGATAGCAGTGCCCACCCGGCTGGGCGCCTTCAGAGTGACGGTAAAATCGGCACGTTGGCCAGGTTCCAGCGGCTCAAGCAGCTTGTTGCTCTCCATGGCCGCGGAAATCGAATCGAGGCTCAGGGGGCGGTTTGTGTCCACATTGAACATGGAATCACCCCCGACAAAGCGCACATCGCTTCCCGCAGGCCAGGCAAGAGGACCTGGGTTGTACAGTGTCCACGTCTGCAGGAATATCTTGTTCGGCGACATAACCGTACCGTCATGAGTCGTGTCACGGATGAAGAGGGCTTGATAGCTGGAAGCTGGATCGGTAGTAGGCATCTCATACACCTTGGCCTGTTTCTCTTCGGGAGCTGGTTTAGATGGCTCGGCCGTCTGTGCCTCCTCTGCCGCAACCTCCTCCAGATCGCATGGAATTTCGGTGGATTTCTCAGCTTCGAGCGAAGTATTAATCTGTGTGGACGTGGATCGTTGAATGCGGTCGCCAGTGACAACGACAGGCCCATTGCGTCCATTCTCCGTGACAGAGTTACAGATCGTGAGGCTGCGAACGGGTGTCTTCAGCATCAGCATTGGGTGGGTGCGGTTGTGAGTATTCGTCGGCAGAGCCTCGCATTTGGCGCAGAAATCAGTATCGTGGCACACGGAGCATTTGTACCGGACCCCGGTGATGTAACCCGGGCACGGCTTGTCCTGGCACAGAGGGCCATCGCAGTAGATGCCGTAGTGCACCTCATGGTATTGGAGTGGCTCCGAGATCGCCTCGTAGAGGGGCACGAATCGATGGCCGGGATGGCTTTGCGAGGAATTGGCAACGCAATTGGAGCAATAGTCCCAGTCGGGGCAGGTAAGACACTTGTGGCGGACACCAACAATACGCTAAAAGGAACGTCAGCTTCTATGCGATATGAATCAAAGGTGTGGGCGGGTTGACCTTGTCGCATCCATCGCAGATCGCGGCGTGTTGATGGTGGCGGCCTGGGTTGCAACGGGATTCGACCAGGCTCTTCAGGCAGAAATCACCATCGTTGAGCAACGAAAAGCGATGCGCTGGGTGGTGGCCATGTGCGTCCTTCAACAGGCAGGTCATGCAAAGATCATAGTCATCACAGTCGGTGCACGTGACCATCTTGGTCTCATCGAAATCTGTCCGAGACATTAGAATTGCAAGTTTTGATGGGATGAGGAATCGTAGGACGCGAGGCTACGAACCTTTAAGGCAGGAATTGCAGATCCGCTCCACAGAATGCAGAGAATGATCTTCTACCGGAGCTACAGAAGGCTCTGGGTCCTTCTCGGGAACGAGCTCCGGCAGAATCTCAGACGCTGTCTTGACTTCCTCCACTTCTTGTAGCTTGCGAGGTGCAACTTTCTCCGTTGTGCTATTGGTGACAACGCCGTCATCGACGAATCGCTTGATCAACCAGTGATCCTCGGCTTGACACGAAACGCCCGAAGTGACACACTGGGGGCAAAGATCGTAGTCCCCATCATCACAGATGCTGCAGTGGAAATGCTCATTGGGGATTGAGCGCCCGCAGTGGTTGCAGTCGATGCAGAATACACCCGTGGGGGACCTGTGAGAAACAATGGGAACATCGACGCTGTCCGGGTTGAGGACAAAGTCCCGATAACGAAGTGGAGCGGGAACAGCGTCGTCATCCTTGGTCCACTGGACGGATTGAGGACCAGCGGAGGTATCTGGAACCGGCTCAGCTGAAAGATTGGGCACTGACTCTGAGATGGCTGTAGGAACGATCTCAGCCTGGACTGCGGGGGTGGGAGAGCTCAGGACAGTCTCCAGGTAACTGTATCGGGCCGGGCTTGGCTCTTCGGCAGCATCCTCGGACATGGAAGGCTGTGAAACAGGCTCGTTTACTTCATCGACCACAGTAGCCTTGATACGCAGCTTCAATTTGGCCTTGGCAGCACGGTAAACCTGCTTGTATACGGCCTGGTTCTCGCTATCCAGGCGGACATAGCAGCCGGCGCTGTCGGAGTAACGTTCGAAGATGACGTTACTATCCGCTGGGATGCTTAGGAGTTGATGAAGCTAAAAAGAACAAAACATCATTAGTATTATGATGAGAGTTTGGTGATTTAAAAAAAAAAGCTATCTTGTGCATGAGTCCAAGATGGAGTGAAAACGATAAGAGAAAGATACGTTTGGCAGGAAACGGTGGATCATGGAATAGCTCGCCAGACTCCAGGATGTAGATGGATGGGCAAGGTTGAAGGAACCAGGATGCTCGAGATGGGGGGCGGCTTTAGCTCCGACCGGAGAAGCTAGCTAGGGTGGAGACTAATCTACCTACCTTCTGGGGAAGGACACGAGCACCCAGATCCCTCAGAGGAACCTTGAAGCGTCGAGTGCTATCATTCAAGAGCACCTTGACAGTGATCAGAGTCGCCGGACCGACCGGATTAGCCGGCGGGAGGGTAGTAGACATGGCTGTAGACAGGGAGGTCCGACTCATCAAATGGGTGGTGATGGTGGTGATGGTGGTGATGACGAGTGAGACAAGCTAGAGAGAGATAAGACTATCTATCAGAATAGAGGATGAGAGGAAGATGAGAATCAGAATCCAAAGATGATGAAAGAAGAGAAAAGAGGGAAGTCTCTTTTTTATTATTATTATTATTTAAATAGTGATGGATGACGATGATGGAGATGAGGAGAGGATGAGGTAGATGGATAGAAATTGGGGGGAAGGGGGATGAGTGGAATGGATCGATTGATTAATGATAGAGAGAGGGAGAGGGAGGGAGAGAGAGAGAGAAGGAGAGAAAGTGAGGTGTGCTTCGTAAGGTGTGTGACTTAAGAGGCTGCCTAGGCATAGGTACACTTCATATTATTATTACAAGGAACAATACAGTAAGTAATACTAGTGATTGTACTAGGTACTTGCTGAGGTACCTAGTACCTACCACTACAACTTACAAGGCTACAAGGCTACAAGGCTACACTACCTATAAGCTACCTTAAGTCCGGAGTGCTTAGAGAGGTCATCTGCTGTGCTGCATTCGGCGTGCTGGAGAAAGCGATGAGGGGCGGTGAAGCGATACCCGGACGCTGTTGATCATTGGTAGAGTCACAGAGTGCTTGCAGCATCTCCCGAGACCGTCGCTTCTGGTAAACGAACTTAGATGAAAGACTACTGGGTATGTAGAAGGAAAAGTATGGAACTTAGTATGTTGCCGCCTCGTTTGCCTCACGTCGAGCTGAGACCGGCAGGCCGATCCCTCCAGGATGCGTGGATGTATCAATCTTTGTTGTCCAGCAGTTCGAAAAGCAATTAGATAACAGGGATAACCCTCCACTCCTACTGCATCCAAGCCTGGCTGCCATACGATACAGACAATCCAGAAGTAGATAGATACTTCCTACTATCTCTATTGATTATTCTACAGCAAGGAAAAGGAAGGGGGCGGGAAATGCTAGGGATTGAATTATTGACCTCATCATATCTCAATATTTTTCTCTCCTCTGTCAGGATCCCTCCCCTTCCATAATCCACGCGACAACATGGAAACCATTCATCATTCGATGCTCAAACACGTCAAAGGCGTGACAATCAACGGGTTGGGAATTATCTAAGGAATTGATGCTGCTCCAGCGCAAAATATACGATGGTCGAAAATTCGCCCTCAACGGCCGCCCTTCCTCGGGGGTACTGGAGGGAAACCATCGGGACCGTGCAACGAAATCAAGGAAGAACAAAACAGAAATCTCAAGAGTCCTGGCCGAATCGCTCCCCAAACAGAGGAAGAAGCATGCGGACACAAACAGGCTGACAACACAATGACAAGACAATCGCTAAGGATGCAAGGTTACCTGGTGAAGACACAATCCGGGAAGAGAGAGAGACAGGAAGATAAATGGCATCACGAAGGGTTCCATCGAAATAAAACATCGAAAATAAATAGACAGCGACGATAAAAACAGTAAACGGATAAAAATGAAAAAAAGAAGAAGAAGAAGAAGAAGAGAAAGAAAAGGGAATGGGAACTGGGATGAAACTGGAAAAACAAAAAAAAAGAAATCATAATAATCAAATGCAGGTATTTTTGGACGAAGCTCCCGATGATATAAATGTCATGAGTTTTTGGGAAAAATGTTAGATGCCGGCCATCATAATAACGTCAAGGTGGAAAGACGAACGCATGAGGGAAGAAAATCCGGAGGAAACAATGGGGAGAAAGACCGGGACTGTTTTTTTTTTTTTTTTTTTTTTTTTTTTTTTTCTTCCTCTCTCGAGGGACATCAAGAAATAAAGAAAAATGAAAGAATTCGACGATGTCATCCTCACTGTGGCGCATAGTAGACACCTCCCTGAGGCTGAGGATAGAAGTACGTTGTGCCAGGAGGTGTCATCATTCCGCCCATGCCAATGACACCACCAGGTCCAGGTGCAGAAGGCATCGAGTACGATCCGTTCGGATACATTTGCGCAGCATCATAGAAATACACTGTACCACCCGCCTCATGCGCAACGGTGCCGGGTTGCGGGGCCTGGTCTGCGGATGATCCTGGAACCACAAAAGGAGCGTGCTGCCCCGGAGGAGGATACGGCACGGCCGATGGCCCGGGCATCCCGGCTCCATTATAGGACGGATATTCTGCTCCAGACACCGGGTAGTACACTGCACCAGGAGGGTAAGCGGTGGGATAGAATGGCTGAGCTTGTTGGAAGCCGTAGGGTTGGAAAGGTTGAGCATGAATGGCACGCTCGGGGATGTGGGACGACGGCGTCACAGAGGCATGGGCAGTGTGAGAAGGATGGCCCGAAGCATCCGCACCGTAGATAGAAGCATTGATAGGCACAGGGACCTGATGTTGGAAAGGTTGTTCTTGCTGTGGCTGAGGAACGTTGAAGGAGAGGGATGCAGGGGTTTCGATATCAGCGACGGAGACTGTTTTTTGCGGACGAGGTTGATGCATGGGAATGGGCGCGGGACGGCTCTCGCGGTACGAGGGATGCTGAGGCTGTGGGAAAGGCATAGGCGGTGCCACTGGTGCGATCACAGCTCCTGGGCCTGCAGCGACGCTTGCTGGAGGCACACCCCCAAGGGGTCGAGCAGAGGGAGGCAGACGCACAACGGGCTTACCATTCTCCGTCGTGATCACTGTGTGTCTCGATATAACAGAAGCGGCCGGCGAGGGAAACCCCTCTTGAGACGCTGCCTTTCCTAACGATGATCTGCGGCTAGCAGTGACACTTGGAGTGTACACAGAGCTCGCGTATATACTTGGACGCCGTCCTCCATAGAATCCACCTCGGCCCCTCCCCCGATATCCTTGCTGGTTGGGTCTCAATGCCCGTGGGATGAAGATGAAGGAGCGCTCTATCGAAGGGAATATGTACCTTGGAGACTGCCCAGGGACTGAGATGCGCACGGGCTTGTCTCGGCGTAGAGGAGGACGGTGGTGAGGGAGTCGGGTGTGTTGCTTCTTTGATACAGCGGGGAAAGGCACCGGCCGAGCCATGCCTGGCAGAAAGACTACCACAGGTACGTTCCCAATAAGAGTGGTGCTTGAGAATGACCTGTTGGGAGGGGCGGATCGAGGAGCAGTGGGGACAGGCTTGGGGGCAAAGTTCGACACGGCGACTGGTGCAGCAGCAGACTTGTTGGATGGTGCATCATCGCCTGCCACTGTCTCATGCAAATCGTGTGTCCACTGCCCCTCACTAGCATCCGTCTTAGAGGACCTTCGAGCGCACATGGTTAGCAATGTCGACCCATCAATAATGGCCAAGCCAGAACGGTAAGAGTGACATACCTGCGAACATTGCCGTCGACGATGAGGCCGTATGGTCTCGACTTGGACTTGTTGAACGGCCGGTAACCATTCGCTCCCAACTCTGTTGAACGCTTGTCATGGAGGAAGAAGCTTCCTCGAGTGGGAACAAAGGCTGGGTTTTCATCCCTCTCTTTCGCATATTTCTCGTGTTCGCGTCGTTTCCGTTCCGCAAAGGTTTCCCGCTTAGTTTCTGTCGGTGGTGCCGAGGGCGTCCTGCCTGTCTGTTGACGACTCTCTCCCTTCAGATCGTCAAAGTGGATCTCAGCAACCTCGCTCGTCTGATCGGAGATCGTCAGCCCATTCATCATAGCCTCCGTATCAGATACAGCAGTAGCTAAGAGTGCTTTCCCAGGAGACGCAGAATGGCGTCGTCGAGACTGCTGGCTGCTCTCGGGTATACGACTGTTGACTTGGTGGCCGTTGATCCTGTCGACACGCGGCGATGAAGTCGTCTCCGCATCGCTCTCATCACTTCCCTCGCCATCAGCATCATCTTCGTCCGGATGACTGATGACTGATCCTTCGCTCATCGAGTCGTCCTCCAATTCCCCCTCAAGAGAGGCATCATCCTCGCCTTCCTCGTCCCTCCTTCTCCGTCGACTGGCACCAATATTGTGACGGGATGAGACCATTCTCGATCGGCGAGGATAGCTGATAGCAAGTATAGGGATCAAACACCGAAGGTATTGCCTCCTTGTGTTACGGTGGTTTGGAGGGGGACCGACCAGGAACAAAGTGCGGCGAGATCAGCGAACTTGTAATGACCGGGGGGCGGGAACGATGAGCAAAAGCGGCAAAAACTCGAACACGTGTACGGTGAGAGGTCGGTGGATGACGAGGTGTATAATGAAGAATGAAGGGGAGATGCACCTCGAGAACGAGGGCAAGAAGGGTGGGACGGTCGGGCAGGTTGATCGAGATGATACTGCAACGCGGAACCTCCACTATCAAAGTTGATGGTGGTGAACATGAGCCATGACATCGAGAGCGCTGTGGACTACCTAAATCGGGTTAGCGCCACTCAAACCAGCTCAGTGATTCTAGAACTATTATACGGATTAGACTCAGGAGTATTTATCGCGGTTGTTGTGTGGTATAGAGCATCAGTTGGAATCACAATGATTATTATCAGAAGTGACCCTGTGTGATATTAAATCAGACTAACAGTACTACTGAATCCTTGGAAACCCTGACAAAAAGAATGTCGAAGGTGCAAGTACTCTCTACTCTCTAGTTCTAGGGGGAGCAAGCTACTCGAGCTGATAGTACCGAGTGGCCATAGCTTGGGTTGTTGTTTATGTGGACAGCGGATTCTTACCTCGGTGTTACTCAGCACTCATGTAATCACCCTGATTGATCGACTTGCTTGAAACTATTGTTGAGAGCACACTATCCAGATTTCTATCGATTTCGATGTCACCTATATACTATTGTGACGCTAACAGATTTAGGAAGATCGCACAAAAAATGGCTGTAGGGATAACATGTATCTGTGATCTCAAGAATCACGATCAAAACATCTGCAGCTGCGGTGTACTGACCAAGGACGTCCGTCTTCAACAGGCCACAATGTAGGTCATTTTCCCACGCACGCGGCAGAAAATGTCGAAGCGCAGGTACTGGATGGTAGGAAGACTCTCCGAAGCATAGTTGACGGCAGTCAGTGGGCTGTCGAGGAGCAATTCTCAACTTGTACGGCCAGCATTGCGCCAGCTTTAGCTCACACTGGCACTGGAGACTTCATGTAGTACACAACGGTCTATTGGTATCGAGACACTTGAGCTCCACTCTAACAGACAGTATTCGGGAATGAATCTCAATCAAATGTGGTCTTCTTTCCTTGGGACTCGACAATGGCACCGCTGAGCTTCTGCACGGTATCCTGGTCGTATCTCGTGTAATCCGGCTTGCTTCGCTTCGGCTTCTCAAACCGTGGCCGCTGGGGCTTTTCTTCACTTGCACCCTGATCAAAGGTACCATCTTCAACCTCAGTGATATCCGAGGTTGTCCTCTTTTTGCCTTCTCCATCCTTCCCGTACCGCTTCTTGTACCGCGTTGTGGGATCCTCGGCAAACTCCATGCGCATTCGTCGACCGAGCAGCTGGTTCACCCATACCCTCCTCTTCCTTGGCTTCTTCGACTTCTTGCTCTTTTTAGAATCTTCCTCTTCAATGTCCTCGTCATCTTCATCATCCTCGCCGACCATGACGAAACCCTTGACCGCTGCTTCGGCTGATGCGAGATCCTCAAACGTCACCCACGCATAACCCTTGCATTTTCCAGTATCCTGAAATGTGGCCACATGTACCATCGCTACCGGGCCACATTGCGAAAAGTTTTCCTCGAGTAATTCCCTTGTCGCATCGAAATCGAGGTTGCCGACGAAGATTCGTTTTGAGGGAGGCTTGCCGGACGCTGCCGCGGAATCGTTCTGCCCTTCCTCCTTAGACTTCTCAGGTCGGCCAGAGAAATTCTTCGCATCCTTGATCAGGACGCGGCGACCAGAGAGGAGTTGCTCGCTGGCTCCCAATGCCTCCTGCACAGCCTTCTCGGTGGCAAGATCGATATAAGCAAACCCTTTGTTCTGAGGTTTGCCGAATTTTTCGGGGCCCTTGGGCATGTGTATGCGGGTGATGGTCGTATCTGCAAAGGTGCAGTTGCTCGTAATGAACTTGCGCAGGTCATCTTTGGTCACCGTGAATGGCAGGTTCCCGATCCAAATGCCATACTCTGAGCGTTTCTTTGACGCATCTTGCTCCTTCGCCTCCTTCGCGGGGACTGTTGTCGACTCTTGAGTGGCAGTCTCTGTGGTCGAGTCGCCGGACTTCTTTTTGGCTTTGCGCAGAGCCTTCTTCGACGGAGGTTCAGGAGCCGAAACATCGATTTCAATTTCGGGGACGTCTGTCAATTTGCGCTTTTTATGACTTTTTTCAGTGAGGTCAGCCATGTTGGGCGGGAGTTGAAATCTCGCCGATGTTCTCTAGATCAGACAACCCAAGTGAAAAGTAATATAATATGCAACGCCAAGTCGCAATAAGAAACAATTATCGTAATATGACAGATAATTATATTCAACCAGTTACTGTATTCGCACTGAGGACTGTCGTAGAGTGAGGAAACATTTTTTTTTTTTACGGTGGGCAGAATCACCCGGGCACGCAAGAATCGACTCCGTTCCGCTTCGCGGACTTGGCAATTATCCTATCCAAGCTTCGAGCGAACCGTGGCCAGCCATCTTCAACACCAACAATCATCAGGTTCGACTCTGTCTTATCGTCAGTCTCGTTACTCACTTATCCCCTGTCGCTAAATTACAATTAGTACAAAATGTCGCAGGAACTTGATGATACGCGCTCTGTGCCCGATAGCCTGCCAGACGAATCGGCCAGTGCCCCTGCTAAGCAGTCATACCGTTCTTTCAAGTAAGTTCTTCGGCATGCGATATGTTTAGATATGGAACCTAATCCGTCGACTTCGCGGTGCTCCAGGAAGAAGTATGCAAAGCTCAAGGTCAAGTTTGAACTGGGGATGAGAGAAAGCGAAGCTCTGATTCGGGAAGAATTGCGCATCGAAGATCTGTCAAAGAGAATCCAGGAACAGAACGAGTAAGTAGATTTCCCAGAGCGTGTTACCGATATTGGAGTTGGTAAATACTGACTCCATCACAGTCAGTTGCTAGAAGTCCTTCTCGAGTTCAACGAGAGTCTACACGTCCAAGGCAGTCTGCGATACAATCTGAGTGCCCCGGGAGACACATCCTTCCTGCCGACTCCTGAACGCTCTCCCGCGCACCTCACCTCCGCGACAGCCAGAGCCATTCTTCAAGATGCGAAAGCACAAATGGGGGCCGGCAGCATGTCAGTCGGAGCCTACCGCAGACTGGAAGATGATGTGAAACGAAGCAATGCATTGCCGCCGCAATTGAGTTATACTACTCTGACTCAGGTTCCTCATACGGCGCCACCATCCGAGGCGCAAGATTTGCCTACGAATGTCAGCCTGGAGGAGAAACTCGGTTTCTTGACTCCTGAACATGAGACTGAGTATTACCTGGGCATGGACGCCAAGCTGGGTGACGAGGGGGCAGCTGTTCAGTTGAGTCGCATCCCTGAGAAGCCTTCGCTTGCCGAGCGGGAGAGAGAATCTACGTTACGAAACCCAGTCTCCGTATACAACTGGCTCCGCCGAAACCAACCCCATATTTTCCTCCAGGACAATGAAAATGCTTCTGAGAAGTCGGGTTCTCGGCCCTCCAACTTGCGGGTCTCGAAGCGAATGTCTACCCAACCACGGAAGGAGGAGGATACATACGATGAAGACGGCGTTCCAATGGACACCGGACCAGTTCCCAGTAGCTCCAAGAGCAAGCGCAAGCGCGACGATGACTCGGGCTACCGACCAAAGGGTGGTAGCAGCCGTCCAAGCAAGAAGAAGAAGGAGGACAACAACTCCAGCACAAAGCGCCCGGCAAAAAGGCCATCCGGCGTAGGTGCTTGAGTGCTGATAGTCTTACTGTTTAGCTTGCTTTTTCCTTTTATTTATCATGTATTTTTACTATCCCTAGCTTTTCCTACATGCCTCTTCTGGCGAATTTTTTTCTTCTCTGGTTTTGGTAGCTATCTGGTAGTTTCTCTATCTTGTTTCCTGTAGAGGGAGGTGCGGATATAAGGAAATTGGGACATGACACTCCAGATGTTTTCTCCAAAGTATGAAGCCGAATAATTACTACTGTTATGCTCGAATATTAATCACTAGATACTTGATAGTTTCTTACAATCTCAATCTCCTGTTTTCTAGAGTTGTTTCGTGAACTGCAGAAAGAAGACTGCTTTCACGTGCTCTCCGCATCCAGTTTGTTCTGTTTGCTCAAGAACATTTCAAATGCCAAAGCTTTTGCGCTGGTGGACGATACACCACTGCTTCGGTTCGAGCTTCTCATAATTATCAATTCGTATAATTTTTGATCAGATTTTTTTTTTTTTGGTAAAGACAATCATCTTCAACTACTGGGAATGGCGATCACTATTCTCCCTCCCGTTGTGGAGGATGTCACTGTCCCATATCCCGATTCAGACCTCGATTCGATGTCGATAGATTCAGACGGCGGAGTCGGGTTGGCCGCAGAACGGGCCTCTCGCCCCAGCAAACGGCCTCGTCTTGTGGAAGGAACAAAGGTTGGCGCAGGGATCGTGACTCCTGGTGATGTCGTGACGGATGATCCGCAGTGGATGAGGTAGGTTCACCAATTTCTAAAGTTCTTGTCGCGCGATGTTCCTTCAGCCTTTGACTGACCCATCTGCAGAGGTCACGGTACCTACGCAAACCCTCTGTCGACGTCCATCATTGCCACCGTCGCCGGTACGGTACAGAAAACCAACAAGTTACTCTCCGTCCAGCCTCTGCGAGCCCGGTATACCCCCGAAATCGGCGATCTGGTGGTCGGGCGCATTGTGGAGGTCCAGTCACGACGATGGAAGGTCGATGTCGCCGCGCCGCTGCTTGCCCAATTACCACTCTCTGCCATCAACCTGCCGGGCGGTATCCTGCGTCGGCGGACAAGCGCGGACGAGTTGCAGATTCGGACCTTTTTCAGCGAAGGAGATTTGGTAGTTGCGGAGGTTCAGAGCGTGCATTCAGATGGCGCCGCATCGTTACATACGCGGTCGTTAAAATACGGGAAGCTCAGGAATGGTGTTTTCCTGGCTGTTGCGGGCACTGGTGGAAGCGGCGCTTCGAGCTCGACGGTGAAGGGGGCTGCCGGGACGGGAACAGCACCTGCGGGCACATCGGGGACTGGTGGTGTGGTGCGCTCTCGACGACAGGTCTGGTCAATCAGCACCGCCAACGGCGGCGGCGATGTCAATATCATCCTTGGGGTGAACGGGTACATCTGGATTGAGAAGCTCGCCGATGGGGCAGCCGCGGCATCTTCCACGACGGAAAGTGTGTCGATCACACGAATGGAGGAAATGGTATCCAGCTCGATCTACTCCAGCCAGAATGATGAGATCCCGCCGCAGACCCGACGGGAGATTGCCCGGCTGGCGCAATGTATCCATGTTCTGGTCCATGGGGGCATCCGCGTGGATGAAGACACGGTGATGGCGGCCTACGAAGCTAGTTTACAGGTGGATCTGGAGGTTGGAGACGATGAGGATGAGGATGACCGGAGAAAAGAAGGACGGGAGTATCTCGAGGGCGACAAATCCCAAAGAATTCTCGAACTGGTCATGGCACAGCAGTAGGAGTACGGCGCGGTATGGTGCTTTTACTTTGGGACACAAAAGAAAACGATGATTCCCGTTAGATAGATACCCTTGAATTCATCGAGGTCGTTGACCATGACCACTTGAATCCAACCGGCGTTTGAGAGATTTGATACGAAGTACTCCGTAGACACAAGCCATTCGACACTTATCTACATCATCGCTGCTCTTGGATTGATCTATTCGCGATAATATCCACCCGAGGGTCTCTTGGCGAGAATCAGGCCACATTGAACGATGTCTATCTATCTCACTGTATCATGGAAGTTTGTAACTATTCACACGCTGCACAATTTTATGCAGATGAGTGGGATAAGCACCCCGCATCACGTGGCGATAAGACGCCCAATCATCGGCGGAAAATTTGGAATCAAACGATTTAATGGACTTTGAGAAGAGTCAACGATGGAGGAAAGAAACTGAGGTGTTGGATGGGGGACTTAGAAGGTGTGTGTGTATATCGAAAGAGAAGACTTGTAGTCAGAGCAGAATCCATGACATGACATCCAGCCAAGAGAACCCATCAGGAGATCCCTTGTCCGAACAGTCTGACGTAGTCATCGGTTCTTGGTTTGCCTCTCCCAAGACCATCTTTCTTCTTTTTCTTCTTCTTCTTCCTCTCTCTCTCTCTCTCTCTCTCTCTGTTTCATCGTAGGCATCAACTGAGCCTTCGATTACATCTTCAATTCGGCCCTTCTCGTCTGCCTAGACCATTCCAAGACTTATCATGTCCATCGTCTTTGTAAAAACATTCTTCCTTCCAACTCCCTTCATACCTTAGTATCTGAGACACTCAGTATCTCTTAAGAACTCTTAAACCATTTAAACCCTGCAAGAACCCACCATCAATCATCAGAATTTATCATAAATTCGACTCTATATCAATCTTCTACTCGCACTATCCCATCAATACGCCGCAACCATGCCTGACCTGCGCCGTCAAATCTTCGAGAGCGGCAAGACGATGTCACGCAAGGCTGCCTCTCGTGAAGGCTCCCGTCGTCCGTCACGAGCCACTTCCGCTCAGAATTCCACAAATTCCTCTCGCAATGCGAGCAGACATCCGTCCGACGAAGAGGACGAGGGAAATCTCAGCGATGATACCGCACTCAGGTGGGTTCTTTTCTTTCTTTTTTCTTTTTTTCTTTTTTTTATTTTATTTTTTATTTTTTCTTCTCCTTGCTAGTGGCGGGATGATGTCATACTGTCCCTCTTATTGATCTAGAAAAACAATCGCTAACCATCTCAATCTAGTCTCGGCTCTCTCGATGACTTGGCTGACCTCCCAGATGCCGATACCAGTGGCAACTGGATTGAGGAACTAGAGGATGTTGTGGAAGATATCCTAGACCGCAAGCGCAGCAGCGTCTTGGCCCGCGAAGAGGCCTATGCTGCGTTCTGCCGTCTCGCTAAGTCACACTATATCGAAGAACGAATCCGCAGTCGCGTCCTTGATCTCATGGCTGCTTTTGCCAAAAGCATCAAATTTGAAACCAGCGTGCGGGAGACGACTCTGGCCCTGCGAGCTTTGGGGCTCCTCACGATCACAGCCGTCGATGGCACGGTCTACGAGAATACGGAGGCGTTGCTGACCCGCACGATTCGCGACTCAACCTCCACCGCAGTCAAGGCTGCCGCCATTCACTGTTTGAGCGTATGCACCAGTTTCGGCGGTGCTGGCGAGGACAGTATCCTTGATCAGATGACTTTCTTCCTGGATATCATCGCTTCCGACGGGCAGTCCATTGAAGCTGCCGACGACGCGGCCACAGTCACCGCTGCCCTCCAGGAATGGGGTTACCTGGCCACCGAAATTGAAGACCTGGAAGCGGAAAGCGAGGAAGCTATTCAAATCTTCATGGACCAGCTGAGCAGCAATGATCCCGCCCTGCAGATCGCCGCCGGCGAGAACATTGCGCTTTTGTACGAAAAGAGCTACACTCCGCAAGAGGACGACGACGAAGAGGAGGACGAGGAAGGAGAAGAGGAGGAGTCGGATGACGAAACGGATGGGCCGAAGTTGGTCAAACGCTACAACGCCTACCACAACACCCACGAACTGGAGCAACAGCTGCAGTCTCTGGCCACTGTGCACCACAAGCGCATCAGCAAGCGTGACAAGAAAAATCTGCACAGCAATTTCGCCTCGATCCTGACGACGGTGGAGAACCCACGCCGGGGCCCCATGTACAACACCGCCATTGACCAGGACACCAACCGCCACTACGGCAGCAAGATCCGCGTGAAGATCGGCAAGGAGGGCGTCATGAGCATCGACCGCTGGTGGAAATGGATCCGCCTCAACGCCCTCCGCCGAGTGCTCCAGGGCGGTTTCGCCGTGCACTATTTCGAAGGCAACCGCGCCGTGCTGGACAGCCTGCCGCTCATCGTGCACGCACAATCCTTTGGCGCTGACCGTGCGAGCGCCCGAAAGGCAGCCAAGGCGAAGTACAATCACCGGTGGGCAATTCACGATCAGTCTGATGAAAATTAGACTGAGGGGGGAATCGTGGATCTGTTACTATCCGTGTTTGATACAGCCATGTTTGAGATTACGCAATATATCCACCCGCCGGCTTTCTGTCGAATCTTCTATACGCCAGAGTCTATATTCAAAGCTGCTACTTCAGCAAATGATACCGTTACCGATACCGACGCCAATCGAACCGAATCACTACGCGATAATTTACAATCGAATGAAAATATTTCTGCGCCATTCCATCTTCTACTTTCTTCACATCTATAGTCTCTCCAAGTAAATGCTTTGCTTGCGTAGTTTCCCTCCTAGGAACTATGTAGATAGGCCGCTTCATCAGTAGGTGCTCGGTCGTTAACAGACACAACACAGCATGTTGGCTCTGAGGTCAGATTCATCCAACGTGTGATGTCTCTATTACACTTCGACAACCTATAGAGTACAATATGACCGTGATACAACCAGGTCTCGAAGGCAGAAGCCGTAAGGTAGGCAAGGCAGTAGGCAGTAGGCAGCAGGTATCCGGAATAACATCATAACCAATGGCTGCAACAAAATGCTCAATCATGTTCACGTAAGTTCGTCCCCCCTTTTCTATATACGGAATGCGACTTTGTACACAGTCATAGTCACCCACGATGGATGTACTTTCTGACTTATGGCTCAAAGACAGGAGACACGCCCGTCCACGTCCCCCTGGCGCGCTCCTCCCAGTATCCGTCCTTGCCGGACTTCAAGGCCCAGACTTCCTCGTCGTCCGCCACGCCCATGTCGCCATCCACCGGCTTGAACCACCGCGGCGTCCACATCTCGCCCGCCGCTTCCATCTCCCGCCGCCGCGCCCGCTGGCCCTCCTCCAGCTGCACTTTCACCTCCTCCGCGCGATCCACGTCGCCGTCTTCCAGCGCCCGCTGGTCCGGCCGCAGGCGCGAGTCCGTCGCAGGCAGTTTCTTATCCTCGATGGGCGTGATCTCGTTCAGCGTCGCCGCGAACGCCGTCAGCCCGTAGTGTTTGGGCGCGTTGGGGACCAAGGGTCCGGCCTTCCATACCATGTTGCCCGTGGCGGAGCCGTTCTTGGTGAGCTGCAGGGAGGAGGTCCAGGTGCCCGACAAGCCGAGGGGCAGCTCCTTGTTGTATGAATCCACCACTTTGGTGAGGACTTCTTCGCTGCGACCGGAGAACATGCCGCCGGCTTTGAAGGTCGACACGCTCTTATGGCCCGTCGTTTCGTTCACCACCGTCATTTCGCCGACTGGTTCCACGTACTTCTCGCCCGCAATGATGTTGCGGAGAAACGACGAGGCGGGAGCCCAGCTGAAGTGCTCGCCGGTCGTATGTAGAGTCAATCGGGTTTTCCCTTCTGTGATGATCTCCGCGGACTTGCCCCAGAATTTCTGCGTCGGCATGGGCGATTGGGCAAGACTCCAGTCCTTGCTGTCGGCCTGATATGCCAGCTGCACAGGGCGGTGCGAGACTTTCTCCGCAATAAAACGGAACCCTAGGTCCTCTCGAACAAGTTCGTAGGTTTCCCCGAGCATGGGGTTGAAGGGCTTTCGGATGGCGCGCTCCCGGACCCGATTGCTTGACAGGGAAGAGAGCGCAAACGCTGTCACATACATGAGCCGTTCCACTGCATCGCTAGCACTCGCGGCCTGGTCCAGAAGCGTAGAATATTCCAAGACCTCGGCTGCTCGTTGCAGGAGTGACAACGGCTCATTAGAGGACACGGGCATGGAAATCTGCGATAGATCTTTACCCACGTTCTTACGAAGGAAGCCAATCAGACTAGGCGGCATGACTGTGGGTGCGGTGATATTGGTGCGACGCGATACGCGGCTGAGAGGTAGCGGCGTGAGCGACTTGGGTCGCAATGGGAACAAGGGTGAGAGACGGTCCTTCTCCCCACCATGAGGCGTGAGAGGTTCGGCCACCTCTTCGTCACTATCTGAAGGTGCATCATCGGCCACGTCTTCCTCCTCGGCCTTTCGGGCGGCAACCGTATCCGCTCGTTCGTCGTCGCTGTCGCCCGTGAGGGTCAGCAATGGAGACATAGGGCTGCCTCCATCCACGGCGTCAAAGAACTCCTGCGACATTTCGGATTCCATGCTGAGCCGAGACTGGCCAGTCAGCCCCGGAGGGTGCCGCCGATGCTTGCTCTCCACGATCAAGTTTGAAAATTCGCCGACCACAGAGTCCAGGTCTTGGAGGAGAGCCATCAGATGGTCATGAATATCCTCTATCTGATCTGGATGGCTGGTGATACTACTTGGTTTCCGATCGCCAGCGAGCGAGGCCACATCTGCTCCAGGCGATGGGACCACCAATTGCGTAGCCGAGGAACCCGTCGCCGCGGGGCGCTTGGTCCCCAAGTTCGAGTTGGAACTGGCCTTGCGTCTCCAGAACGGACGGCGCTCGCGCGCGTCGAAGTAGTCTTCCCCATTGGCCTGTTCTCGATGAGGACTGGGCGAGCGACCGCGAGTCCGGTCATGCGAAGACACAACGGAGCTATTGTTCAAGTATTTTGGATCCGTATCCCGGGCCAGTCGACGCACTGCATCACGGGATCCCGATACCTTGCTCACCAGGTGCTCCACCTGGGTCCACTCACGCTCCTCCGCGGCATTGGTCAGAAAGCGCTGCGATGGCACACGAAGCAGCACCTCCGACGCGTGAGCGTCCTCGGCCGATGCCTTGGACGAGGCCTTTTCCAGCGCCCGTTTCCACGCGACGAAGTCCTGATCGTTGCTTGCGCGCAAGTGCCAGATCTCAGTACCTGAATCGATGGAGATTTCGCGCGACTTCTCATTACACGCGACCGCTGCCAAAGAGAGAGGAATCGAACCACGCAGCGCAGACGAGTTGCGGTCATGATAGTAGGAAAGAGTTGATGAGGTGAAATCTAACGAGAAGAACCGCCGGGCCCAGCCCTGATGACGCTTCCTCCGCCGCTTGTGCAGGATACCACTATGGGACGTCGCGGTAGTGGTACTAGCGACCTGCGAGGGCGGCTTGATGAGGATGCTGTTCCCTCGCTTGCGGCCCGAAAACCCAGAAGACGACTCGGCATTGTCGATCTCTCTTGGTAACTGGATTGTAGAGTGACTCGTCGGGCCCGATTGCGTGGGATACGTGAGCAGCACCAGAGTGACCGTCTTGGAGATCTGCTTGGAGAAGGTGTTGTCGAAGACGAGCGCGTAGTTCCCCCCCTCGTTAGGCGGTACATCGTAGGTACCCTTGACGATCTTGTCTGCCTCACACTTGCCAATCCACTGGACCTGCCTGAGACCGATCCCCGTCAACTTCTCGACGACGGAAGCCCGAGAATTGGCATTGACAACTGCGGTGGACGGTAGATTCTCGTTCGAGTCGGTACTGTGGTCGTCGCCGGTCGGATGATTCGTCAAACTGAGAATCCCGGAGTGGCCCGGATGCTTGAAGATGCCGAAGTTGATGGACTTTTTGTGCGGCTGGATGCTCCAGGAAATGGTATGGTCGGGTTTCACATTGACCCAGCGGACAAAGTAGGACTGGAAAGGGAAACCAATGTCAGCGCGGCAGCCAAACAGACTTCACTGGTTGCAGTCGCCATCTCCAGAGTCGGAATCAAAGAGAGAAAAAAAAGAAAAAAAAAGAGGCACTGATCGATGCAGGAACAGCGTCCCCTTACCTTGCTGTGGATCTCCAGCTCCTCCATAGCAGCCATGACGGCGTGGGGCCAGGGGGAGGGGCACACAAAACAATGAAGAGTTGAATGACGGAGACTGAAATAGCCTGGCACTTAGGAAGTCAAAATATCTGAGCAATTGAGATGAAAGCACAACCGAAGCCGATGCAGAGAGAGAGAGAGAGAGAGAGAGAGAGAGTTCGCTGAGCGAGTTGTTGTTGACTTTGAACCGGCGATGGATGCGGAATGCGGAGGAAGGAATTCAGCCGCTGACCTCAGCCTTGTCGACGGTGGATCTGGCGCTGATTAGTATTGATTTAGTATTGATTTAGTATGACTCCGTAGATGATCGATATACCCTGGGTCGATTCGATTCACTCCAGGGAAAACAGGAAGACGACAACAACTTAAGTGAAGCGACCAGCCCGTTTATGAAGCTCGTGTAAAGAGGAGAACGAATGATATTGGAAAGACCATTCCGTCGAGGCGCCCGAGGAAGACCGAGGATCACATCTTCACACATGAACCAGAAGAGAGGAACCACGGTTGAGGACGGAGGGATAGTTGGGAATTGGGAGATCATTTGCTTGGATCCGGTATCTAGTGGCTAGATACTACTCCGTACACGAATTGCTGGCTTTATATCAATTGCTAGAGTACGCATTCTGTCCGGTAGGGAGGAGGGAACAAGTCGGACACAGACGAGATCAACTAGGTATCCAACACAGCAGATGAAAGAATGCAAAAGATCAATAGGTCACTCTGAGGGTACCGAGGAAGGAAATTCCAGATCAAAAAAAAAAAAAAAAAAAAACAGCCCATAAACCATGCCAGATGCGAGGTTTTTCGACCTCAAGGGCCCGAGTTCAGAAGCACAGGAAAACAAACCATCGCAAAGTATCATCATGATATTACACCAGTATACAAAGATAGAAAGAATGGGTGATAAAAAAAAAAGAGAGAGCAAGCGAGAGAATGAGAGAAATATATGCGCAAGAAAGGAGCCTCCATGTTCTATGACTTTGAAATGATTCATCGTCGCTTGCCAGCCTGCATGTTGGTAAACAGCAGCTTGAACCCATTACACAGCGCCCGCATGTCTGGATATGGGTTGCGCTGCAGTTCGTAGCCCTGAGGGATCACCTTGACAGGCCAGCTATGCAACTGAGCATTCTCTCCGGCCTTGAAGCACAGCGAGAAGTACCCGGCATGCTTGGGGTCGATGCAGAAGGCATATGCGGACCGTCTCGGGTTCGCCTTGGTGTACGTATTCAACCATGAGTCTGTATGTCTCGTCAGTTTACATTCACATTGAAACCCAGCGCTGAAAAAAAAAAAAAACCGTGAAGGGGGGAACAAGGTAGGGTACAGAACGTACATGTGGCATCCTTGCTGCCTTCTTGGTATTTCTCATGTAGCATCATCTCGTCCACCTTCTTGGCCATCGCCTTGACATGGTTGAAGATCAGGTCGTCCAGATCGCTGTAGGTGTACCGACCGCCAACCTTCAAGGTGCGGCCGACGGAGAACTCGTTCTCTTTGTCCAATTCCAAAACGTCGATATGCTGGAAGATGCCATCGGCCACCTTCCACGTTACCGCCAGATGGTCTGGTCCCTTGGAGGAAGGCCGAATGACCACATCACCACGGCTCTGGGATCCCAGGAACTCTTCCGCCTGGGTGGAGTTGAACGGCCGGAACAGAGGATGCTTGATGACACGCATCACCCGTCCTCCGCTCTGCGTCTTCTCCTGCATCATTTCCTTGTCCTTCTGCTCCTGTCGGTCATCCCATTCACCGCGCATGTGATCACGAGCCCTGGGCGTGGGTCGACTGACTTGCTCCTCTCGCAGCGAAACATTGCACAGGAAGCTCTTCTTGTTCAGGAACAGCACCTTCGCGGGGAGGGTCTGGTGCATCGAGTACAGCGCGCGCACGGGGATGTCGTAGCGATCGGTGAGTTCCGATTCCGCCACCAGCGCATCAATACCGCAATCCAGCTTGCCGTCAATGTGGTCATCCGAGATGCGCTTGATCGAGATAGGGACCACCATGCCTTCCGCCAGCGTCTCAGATGTCTCGCCCGTAAGCATGGTGAAGACATCATCAGTGCTGAGCAAGGCAAACTGCTTGCGTAGCTCTTCGTACGGCTGTTGGAGTTCAGCCCGGATCGTCTCGAGTGTGGCACGTTTTCGCTGGTTGAGGTTCTTCTCGAGCTGTTCCGCGTACTCCTCCAGAATCAGATCATTGACCCGGTCCTGCGCTTCGTCCCTGAAGAGCTTCCGCACGATAGCTCCTGGTCCGTTCTCATCCGTTTCCGCCTTGATGTCTTCCTCATCCAACTCCAGAGCGTCGGCTGCCATCTTGCGCGCAATATCGTAGTCTTCGGGGTGCACACGGGTGTTGTCCAACGGATCGGCATCCGGATCCGCGTTCTCAAAATCAATGAACATGAAACTGGCGCAATTGTTCCAGACCTTCACACCCATCGCCGGATACTGCGCGTTCACACCGAGAAGCTCAACCCGGTTGTTTACCACGCCGCCGTTCATGTTGACGATCTTGAGCAAGTGGGCCGCCTTACGAGGACCAAGGCCGCAAACGTAGGGGAGAAGATTGGCAGTTGCAGTGTCGGTGACCGCTTCGTTGATATCAACGCCTACCAGGTTGACCATGTCCACCAGCGCCGTCTCCAAATGCTTCAAGAGCAGCTCCTCGGCGACCAGCTGTTGGCCACGCTTCAACTGAATCGAAACAATGTCCCGACCCAGCGAGGCATACTCCTTCAGAGGGCTCTGGAGGTACTTGGCCAAAGCAACACAGTAATGTGTCAACGGGGCAAAGCCAGGATGGTCCTTCTTCGCCCGATCGCTGTGCTGATAGAGTCGTGCCACTTCGTCGTTGACAATCACTACTTCCAGGCGATCGCTGATCTCTTCATCCCGCTCGTCTGTATAAGTTGCACCCCGAAGATCCTTCCTCTCCGCCAGTTCGGTCAAGAGCTTGTAAAGCTTGCGAGTTTCAGGAGTCATTCCGGACACACCAATAACGTCAGGCCGACGACGCTCTAAAAGCTCGATCAAGGCATCGACATCTTTGCCATCAGCAATGCCGCGATCGCGGTCGCCGACGGACAAATCTACAAACTTGCCGTTCTCCAAGACACGACCGTCCTCTTCGATGTAGGCCCAGTGGATTGGCTCCCGTCCAACAATCCCGTTCCCTGTCGACATGGCCAGAACACGAGGAACAGTACCCAGGACCATGCCCTTGGGCTTGTAAGGGGCTTGATCTAAGCGCTGGGCGAATGCTTCACGGCACTCCTTCGCCACATGGTTTTCACACTCTTGACGGATATTCTCCTTGACGCTGCGATTGATCAGCCGCTCCAATTTGCCAAGGGCCATGTCCAGAACTTCGCGACGAGTGCGGTTCCATGCATCAGCGGTTTCACTGTAATTGTCCGATTCGATGTCGGGATAGAGGCGCTGTCGGAAATGATCGAAGTTCTCGAATCGAACCTTAACTTCAACCAGACCTTCCTCTTCGGCCTTGAGCATCCGAAGATACAGCTCGGGCTGACGGGCAATATCACTGAGCTGTTGATTTCTCAGGTATTTGAATTCATAGTAAGGATGCTGCTCGTCGATCCTCTTCAGGCCCTTTTCGGTCCGGAAGCAATCGACAGTGCCGTTCATATAGTATGCCTGTCGAATCACCTTCCGCATCTTGGGGCTCATGACGATTTCTTCTGCGAACATGGCCTTCGCGGCTTTGAGCACATGCGAAGAGTTGGAGAAGTCACTGTCAATGTGACCATCCGCCATCTCCTCTGGCCGGTCTGCCGGGTCCTCGGTGTACTGACGGCGACCCTCCTTCAAGGCATTCTGTGCAAAAGCATCGGCGGAGATTCCAAACGCGCGCACGAGACCGTATGCCTTGCCATTGCGGACACGCTCAAAGAAGGATTTTCCGGTCGCCTTCCGGCGCTGAGTCTCACCGTTGGCCTCTCCGTTCATCAAGGTCATATCGCGCAATTGTGAGGAGTACTGAAAGTGAATGTAATCCTGCACGTCTTGGAGCTCCTCCATGGTCACGGCGGCCGCAAGCATCTCTTCCACAACACTATCATTCACGTTGAACAGACTCTGCATATTGTCGTATGTCTTCTGGATCGTGTTACGCTTTTCGACCAGTGCCCTAAACTTGAGGTCATGATCGAAGATGTCCCAAAGGTCCGTCATGTTCAACAGCTTCTCAGCCTTGACTGTATACTGAGAAGTATCCCCATCCGCAGGTGCGCCGTCTATGGGGACTTTGGTCGCATGAATCATGTAATCCTTGCGGTGCTGGAAAATAAAAGGGACTTCCCAGTCGTCGGTCACAAGGAACTCCAATACTTTGGCTACCGACCGCTGGAAAGGCTCTCTCAGGTCGGGTTCGATGCGCTTCTTCAGCAGCATGAGATTGGATATCCAAGCGGCCTCTTCGCGGAACTGCTCCTCTGTCAGAACGAGGTTCCGATACGGCTTGCGAGCGATTTGATGCCGCTCGGGTTCGTCCAGCAGGCGGATCTGATTGTCCTCTTCGGTCAACATCTTCTCCGCCAACTGCGAGGGCTCGAAAACATCCTTGAGGTCCAGGTGCTTCTCTTCATCCTCCTCCTGCTCTTGTTCTTGCTCCTCCATTTCCAGGGCGAACAGATATTCATTTCCATCTCCAAAAGCCGCGCGCATGTCTTCGAGAGCATTCTCGTCCAAACCAGCTGCCTCAGTGGCTCCGAGCCCAGTAATGCCCCGTTTGGCGGGACGGGCGATTTCCAGATCTTCGCATTCGCGCTCCAGTTCGTCATCTGTGAAGACATCTTCTTCGATGAAATCATCCATCTCATCGCGCAAGGGCCTTCGATGACTCGGTCTTCCATAATCGCCTGCCGCCTCCTCTTCCTCGTCTGAGTTGAAAATGTCATCGATGCCCTGGGAGGGTTGTCGGTGGTCACGGTCTTTGTGACCACGCTTCAGACGCTTGAATTTTGACTAGGAAAAGAACAGAAATACGTAATTTAGCTTTCTTCCTGTCTCCTGTAGCAAGTAAATGATGGATGGGCCCCTTCGACCTACCTCTGCAGCGGCAGCAGATTGAAGAGCAGGATTCAGCTCCCCAATGAGCTCCAAATCTTCCTCATCGAGATGCTCATCCTCGCGCTCGCGTTCCTCCCGACGCCTCTTCCTCTTCTCTCGTCGGCGCTCGGCGCGCTCTTCGATCTCTTCATCTTCGTCGACGATGAAGCCTTCGCGAATCTGGCGGGTGGACTCGCGTTAGTGACATGTCCACCATTCCAACTGTAAACTGCGCTAGAAAGGACAATGGAGACATACTGCCCGAGCGGCCTCCTCATCGTCGTCATCCTCTTCTTCCTCCTCACTCGAGTCGTTGTAGTGATTCACGGTGCCAGCACCCTCACGGACTTCTCCCTCATAGTCCTCCTCCTGCTCTTCCTCATTTTCGTCATCATCCAGCATGGCTTCACCCTCTACAAGATCGCGAGCGCTCATTGTGTCGGGAGAAAGGAAGGGTGTTTTTGTCACGGATGAGAAAGGAAGGCTGGATCAGCGGAGTTCGAAAGAAGAAAGGGAAAAAAAGATACTTCCAAAGTAGGGGTAGAGTCGCGCCAAGCACAGCGACACCAGATGAAGCCCGAATTCGCTGAGCTCAGTGTGGGAAGTAAAAGATGAAATGGAGATGAGAGCAAGAAAGCTGCTGTTACTCGGCTTCTCCGTTGTCTATGGGGGGACACTGACCAGAAAGCGAGCAGCTTGTGGCGCTGTTCTGCCACCGCTTCCAGATTGGTGGATCTGAGTGGCTCAAGTGTGGCTTGGCTCTCAACATCACGTGTAAACGCGCTAACCGGTTAGAGAAGTATGAGGGTGACCGTCGTCAACTGGTCAAGTCTCTGAGCGTCAAATACCTAACACTTGTCTTGAGGATGTTGGTGTCTGAGTGCTTTTTTATGTATTATGGACGATATAGAGAGCCTCAGTTTACTGGGGGACATATAGCGATCACTTTTAGGTCCAATAATTGCTGTTGTACCGCGATATCTAAAGGCTACAGAGCATCGATATTGCTCCCACCAGGCAAAAGAGCTTGGATTGTGGCTGGCAACAACAAACAGCACCACTTAGATATCCCATAAGAAATATATGGACTCTTGATAGTTACTTGTTTCCACATGGCTAGTAGTAGTGTATAGACTAGTCAAGAGTAATATCCATAGTCTGGTTGTAGATGTTTCACTTGTCTCCTGAGCGCTACTGACTATCGAGAGCGATCCCTTTCGTTTGTATGGTGATTCTCTTTGCGTTTTGCTACCTTCCACCAGAAGAGAATACATTCTTCACTCACAGAGCAAAAGAGACCGAGAAAAGAGTGCTTGAAATCCCTGACAGAACAGAGTCAAGGTCTTTCTCGGCAGCCACTGGACTGCTTGACGATCCGGTCTCTGGGCGCTTGTCTTGCATTCTCAGCGCCCAACTATCCATCTACTTGTCCACCAACAACACCACAAGTCTTCCCACTCACACTTAGTTAGTCGCCCGTCAGCTTCAGAAAATGAACTCTCAAATCAATGCCTAATCGACAGAGCGCACAGCCAGGGCCAGTCTTGTCAGCAAAAAACCGCGATTAATCCCTCGTGAAAGACTCCAATTCTTGTCGATTAAGATCGTCTCCTATCGGTCTTCCCCTCCCCCTCTTGGTTGGACTCGCTGCCGGTTGAGTTAATCCTCAGACGCGACCGCGGTATCATCGGGTTGGTACCACGAGAGAGTTATTCCGGTTCTCTTCGACCAGCGACTGCTTGAATAATCTCCTATCCTCTCCGTTTCGCTGTATCTCCGAGCTCGACACTGGCGGTATTCCCCTGTGTATACCGTTCCTTCTACCCCACCTCTCCATCGTGATCGCAGCACCAGTCGCTGCGTCGCTCCCTCAACCATGGCCGATCAGTTCAAAGCTCGCACGTTGAAACGTAAGAACGTCAAGGGCCTTGCCTTGAATTCCGCGCCCAAGCCTGCGTCTAAACCCGCGGACGGTGATGCTCAAGTTTCCGGCGCTGTCGGCAATACCGACAACAACCGCACAGATACTTTGGAGATTGGACTGGAATTCCGACTGGATCTTCGTAGCGAAGACTTGGTCACTTTGAAGGAACTGGGAGCCGGAAATGGAGGAACGGTTTCCAAAGTGATGCACGCATCTACAAAGGTCGTGATGGCTAGGAAGGTACGGGTTCCATTCGTCCCCTGTGGAGGGAAAGAGGGAGAGTTGATGATCAAGGGTCACTGATTATGGCTGGCTACAGATAATTCGCGTGGATGCCAAGGAGAATGTGAGAAAGCAGATCCTGCGTGAGCTGCAGGTTGGACATGACTGCAACTCCCCTCATATCGTGACCTTCTATGGAGCGTTCCAGAACGAAGCGAGGGACATTGTTCTGTGTATGGAATACATGGACTGCGGGTAAGTTGTCCCTCATTCAAAAGCAAGCTTCTGCTCTTGACCCTTGTTTCTGATTGCCTTGCTTGTCAAATAGTTCCCTCGATCGCATCTCCAAAGACTTTGGTCCTGTCCGGGTTGATGTGTTGGGCAAGATCACCGAGTCGATCCTAGCGGGCTTGGTGTATCTCTACGAGGCGCACCGGATCATGCATCGTGACATCAAGCCTTCCAACATCCTGGTGAACTCGCGAGGTAATATCAAACTTTGCGATTTTGGTGTCGCTACCGAGACAGTCAACTCGATCGCCGACACTTTCGTCGGAACTTCTACGTACATGGCACCGGAGCGAATCCAAGGTGGCGCCTACACAGTGCGATCGGACGTCTGGAGTGTCGGTCTGACCGTGATGGAATTGGCTGTGGGCCGTTTTCCCTTTGATGCATCTGATGCGTCTGCGGGAGATCGCGCCAGTGCCGGCCCAATGGGCATTCTTGACTTGCTGCAGCAAATCGTGCATGAGCCGGCTCCCAAGCTGCCGAAGAGTGACGCTTTCCCGCCCATTCTACACGAGTTTGTTGCCAAGTGTTTACTCAAGAAACCCGAGGAGCGACCGACTCCTCGAGAGCTATACGTAAGTTTTTTTTCTTCAGACCCGATGGGTTTTATGGTTTGGTTCTCAGCCGGTGGCTGACCATGATATAGGACAAAGATGCTTTCCTGCAGGCCGCCAAACGTACACCGGTTGATCTACAAGAATGGGCCATCAGCATGATGGAGCGGCACAACCGCAAATCCTATCTGGCTCCGCCAGCTCCCAAATCACTGAAGGAGGAGACCGGGCACGCCGCCCCGCCTCCCAAACCCAGTGCGAGCAAGCCTGCTCGGACGCCAGGCTACACTCCTACGTCCGGGGAGATTCCCCTCAACATTGCCAACGACACGTCTGCTGCCCACTACCGTCATTACAATGGGTCCTCAAACCCGTCGCCGCACCTGGCCCGGTCGACGCGCTCGCCTCCTCCACCGATATCGCTGGAACACTTGTCGCTCGAGACCAAGGAGGATGAATACCGCTCCGGCCGCCGTCCGTCACGCAATTATCCGGGAGACCCAGTCTCTGCCATTGAGCCGCCGACCCGACAGCACATCAGTTCTCGCTCGGCCAGCTCGCACAACAAGTCGAGAATGCCGCTCCAAACGGCGACGCTTCCCATTCGTGCCGTGCCTCCCCCGAGCGGGCCACCTCCACCAGCGCCAGTATCGGCGGGAGGCTCCTGGCGTCGCCAAATGAACCAGTCCCGCGGTGATATGACGGGGGCTGCTTGAAAGCCGAGCTTGGAAACATCCCGATGACCATTTCTCCTCAAAACCGCAGAACCCTCTGCTCAAGCTCCTAACCTTTTTTAATATATACATATATATGTATGTATATGATATGTATATAATATTATATAGGTTATATATATATATAAATATATATATAAAAAACTAACTAGTTAATTATTTTTTAGTTGCTAATTCAACTAAACTATTTTCGATAAGACTAACTACAGGTACTATAACAAAGAAGTGTGCGAAGTATAAAACAGTAGAAATTTGTCCAAATTCAATGAATGGAGTTTCAACGTGTTTTGCACCTAATTGCATTAATACTAAGAAATTAGCAACAAAAATATAGAATGCTACTTTACTTAAAGGTCTGAACTGTACTCCTCTTAATTTAGATAAATCAGTTATAGGCATAACCATTAATGCTAAAATAGCAGCAAACATAGCAATAACACCTAATAATTTGTTAGGTATAGATCTTAAAATTGCATAGAAAGGTAATAAGTATCATTCCGGAACAATAGCAGGTGGAGTTTGCATTGGATTAGCCATAACATAATTTTCACTATCACCTAATGCATTAGGCATGAAGAAAACAAATACAGATAATACTATAAAGAAAATAAATATAGTAACTAAATCTTTAAATACAAAGTAAGGAGCAAAAGGTAATCTATCGTAATTACCAGAAATACCTAAAGGATTACCAGATCCTACAGTATCGTGCATAGCTATTAAATGCATAATTACTAATGCAGCTAAAACAAAAGGTAATAAGAAATGTAATGCAAAGAATCTATTTAATGTAGCATTATTTACAGAGAAACCACCTCATATAAATTCAACTATATCTTGACCTATTCAAGGTATAGCACTCATAAGGTTAGTAATAACTGTAGCACCTCATAAACTCATTTGACCGTAAGGTAAAACATACAAACTTACTTCGAAAATAATTCGAAGCTAGAATAACTTTGAATTCGTATATTCTATTAGCTAAATTAATTTTAACTAAAAGCTCCGACTGTGCATTAAGCATCATTTCAGACACCCATTAGTGACCCAGTCTGTCGCGATCCTTTATATGACCGACGATCTTAAAGTTTGTTAAACTTCTTTGATCGTTTTCACTAACATCGCCAAATAGTTTTATAAACTATTTTATATCCCCGTCGGGATATACCACTTTAATCTTTTATTTTCTATAAAGATTGCTAAAAAAACAGGAAAATATACCATCATATTGGTTCGCCTCCGTCCGCATACTATGCTCCGGTACACGGGGTGTCTCCCACCCCAGACCCATCCTCGAGCCAATCTCCAACCATTCATTCCTCCTGGACAGGCTTCATTTGGCTTTCCGTTGAACTCTCCATGGGAAACGCGACCCATCCTCTCCGCTTCGATCATGATGGGACCGAACCCCGAACCAGACGAGACCAAATTGCTCCTCACGACTTTTGCATCGACAGGGCGTCTTCCATCTTCCATCCATTATCTATCCTTTCTTCCTCCCCGATTCTGTATCATCTTTTTTTTTTTTTCACCCCCCCCCCCTCCTTTCTTTCTTTCTTTCTTTCTTTCTGATGCTCTATAGCCTGTCTTCTCCCTCCTGAGGCTGGAACTCGTTGCATTGTGTCGTTTTTCTCTCTCTATCTCTCTCTCTCTCTTGTGCGTCCAGATCGTCCCTAATTGATTGTTTTGATATGTCTGGTATTTCTGTAGGTGGATACGCTTAATGCTACACACCGTTGTCGATACGATATGGTCTGAAATCCCTGCTAGCAATTGATTCCAAGAGACCTGCTGCTGTAGGTTACCCATCTACTTGCTACCGGGATATGTACCTATGCAACTGGGTCATCTTAATCAACGGATATGACCTGCCTGGCAAATTGACCATGACCGTGATAAATAGAGTGTACGATAGTAGAAGCGAACTAGATACTCAAATCTCTCTCTCTCTCTTCTCCAACCACCAAACCATTCCTTGGAATATCACATCCCACAACCGGTTCCTGCGATACTGATAGTACCTGCGGGTGCGGGAGAACAGAGACCGTAACGCCCCAAATTCAAAACATAAAAAAAAAAAAAAAAAAAAACTAAAACTAAAAAGGGACATGACAGAATACCTATAAACACCAGAACAATGAGAGAATATCCATGTATTGGAAGCAAGTCAGGAAATTGAAACATAATCGTTTTCAGCGTGGGTTGCCCCGACACAATACGGTAAGATTCCATGCCCAGTGCAAATCACTTCGTCGCTACTTCTGTCCCGGTCGGGGGACTGGGTGCCGCTGGGGCAGGTGCAATGCTGGGCCGCGGCGCAGGAGCAAGCTCGACCATCGAGGGGGCCTTGCCTCCACGAGGGGCTGCGACTCCTCCGCCCCGACCGGCGGTGCCGCCGCCTCGGCCCTGGGATGACGCGGATGGCGCGCCCGGCTTGTCCTGTTCGGCCTGCTGGCGCGACTTGTTCGGACGCGGACGGCGCGTGGTGCTACCACCCCGAGATCCGGGACCTCTGAGGGGAAGACCCGTCTCTTGAGAGATGGGGATCGCCGCGGCAAGGGGCACTTGATGAGTAGTGGCGGCCCCGCGACTGCGTCCACCGCGGCCCCGGCCACGACCTCGCTTGATCGTTCCATCCGCCCTATTGGATCCGTTGGTTAGTATCATTGCGGGAGAGCAAGAGAAACGAGCCCTCGAGGCAGCAAGGAGAACTAACCGTTCGACCTGGACCTTTTCGCCCTCGGGCACTAATGGGCCGCTGTACACAAAAAATCCGTCCTTGCTGGCCGCCGCATGTTCCTGCCATGCCAATTCGCTGTCGTCCACAAAGGGGTCGTCCCGGTCATACTCTTCCATCTTCTTCTTGCGCCGTTTTTTCTTCCCGTCGGGCGCCTCTGTCGCGGTCGCGCCATTGGTGGCCGCTGCCAGATTGGGGCCCATTCCGCTCATGGCGACATCACCGTCCAGATCGCTATCCCGATCGGCCTCGAGACTGAGATCCTCGTCGGCGCTCTCTCCCGCCGACTTGCCACTTCTATCGCTCCGCTCCAAGGCTGCCCCCGCCGCCGCGACCCGCGCGAGGCGCTCCTTGTGTGCGGCCAGGCGAGGGTGCAGGGCGGCAAACCCATACTGCTCTTCGGCCAAGCGGGCGAAATTGACAATCTGGTTGCCGTCGCGCTGCAGAGGAATGTGAAGGACGATATTGGGGGTCGTGCGCGATGAATTCGAGGCTTGGGTGTCATCCGTCCCAAACAGCGCGTTGGAGATCAAGCCCGAACCTTGAGGCAGGGGAGGAGGCGCCTCCTTGGCCAGACGCGCAGGTTTCGGCGATGGCGCATTCGAGGGCGGAGCGGTCGTGGTCCCTTTTTCCTTCTTGGAGGGCTTGCCCGGAGCCGCTGATTGCACCGGCTGGTCCATCTCGCTCTCCACGACCGCCGGTTCCCGAGGTGGGGTGACCGGTTTCGCCTGCGCCGGCGTCGGTGGCTGGACCGGAGGTTCCGGTTCCTGCTTGGGAGACGGGTGTGGTGGAGCTGACGGTGGGATTTCTGTAGACGGGTTGGTTTCCTCGCGCGGGGACCGCGGCGGCTGTGACGGTGGTATCGGCGGTTGAGGCGGATATGGAGAACGAAGCGAATACGGCGGGGACGATTGTTGGGGCTGCGACGCCAGTGACAGGGGGTGTTGCGGAGCGAGGATCGACCCGGGAGACGGGGAGGTGGCCGGCAAGGGAGATGGTGCAAGGGAATGGTGTGTTGTCGGCGCGACGACGGGATGGGTTCCTGGCGAAGAGCGGGTTGAAGGAAGATGGCTCGGCGAGGGACGTGGGATAGGCGAGTAAACCGGTTGTGTTGGAGTTGGGTGCGGGGGGTCGATGATACTGGCGATGGCCGGCGAGGCACTTGCACGGAACGTGTTGCGCGGAGACAGATTGCGGGCCGGAGGACTGGTGGTCGAGGAAGGAGCTGGCGCGGACGACGTCGTATCGAAGGCAGATCGAATGGGATCATAATTCTGACCACTCCTCCTCGGGGGAGGAGTCGGGGCTGGCGGTTGCGATTGAGGCCGCGGCGGAGGCAGAGGATGGTGGTTCATGGCATACGGGGTCGATGGACCATGAGGAGGAGTCTGAGTCTGAGTCTGGGTGGAGTTATTGGGAAAGGATGGCAGCGAGGCGGAAGGATTGAGCTGGGGACGATGCTGTGGTTCATGATGAAGATGATGATGTTGTTGTTGTTGTTGTTGTTGTTGTAATGGAGTTGAGGCTGTGATGTGTGGAGAGCGGGCAGGAGGCTGCGCAGGGTTGGGAGCTACTGGTGCTGGTGCTGTTGATGCAGGGGTAGGAGCAGGAGCAGGAGCAGGAGCAGGAGCGGCTGGAGCCACTGGAGCCGAGGCGGAGGGGTGATTGATATTGTTCAGAGCGAGATGATTGGGAATCTCATCGGGAGGAGTGGCCTCCAACTTGGGTTTCTTGCGCGAATTGGTGCCGTTTGAGGGATTGCTGTGACTGGTGGTGGCACTGACGGTGGAGGTGGACTTTTCCCGTTGACGGCGACTCCCTCGGGTTTTCGGTTCCTTCTCGATGGGTTTATCCTTTGCTTTCTCCTTGTCCTTCTGGGATTTTGTCTTGACGTGGTCCTTGCGATCGATGTCGGCATCGTCATCCTTCTTGCGACGCGACCGGCGAGTTGTGGTGGCGGAGACTCGTCGGGGTCGATTCTCTCTGGCGTTGGAGTCGATGGACGAGAGAGACTCGTCTTCCTCTTTGGGAGGCCAGGGATGTCCAGGCGGATCCGTCGACATGATTTATTTATTTAATTATTGAAAATTTGGAAGAGAGAGAAAGGGAAAGGAGAAAGAAAAGAAACAAGGAAGGAAATTGCATGGACCAAGAAGGGAAGGGAGAGATGAAAATAGGAATGATAGAGGATGGATGGATATGCGGTGATGTTGCGCGTTCTTTTTTTTTTTTTGTTATTTCTCCTCCCTGGAACAAAAACGTTGGATTTGGGGAGGGGGAAAAGGGTCAAAAAACAAAGTGATCAGGAATGGATCATTGATAGATAGATTAGAGAGGATTTGGGGGTTGGATTGGATGGGATTGGATGGGAGCGATGGTTCGGACGGGTTTGAGACACGGAATGGGGGGGGGGAGGGAGAAGGAGAAGGAGAGAGAGAGAGAGAGAGAGAGAGAGAGAGAGAGGGAGAGAAGAGGAGGAGGAGGAAAGAGGATATAGAAAAGAAACAAAAGGGAAAAAAAGAGACGACCGAGAAGGAAGAACAGAAGAGGAGAAGAAAAGAGAAGAAGAAGGACAAGAGGACAGGAAGTATGGGAAATGGCTACTACTTTAAAAAGCATATTTCTTTTAGGTATCTGTCTGTACTCTTTAGGTAGGAGATTCAGGCCGAGAAGGAGAAGCAGAAGAAGAAGAAGAGTATGGATATTGTATTAGAGTCGAGTGTCTTGAAGAGGATCTGATATCAGATGGACTGTATAACTGTAGTAGATATAGGAAGACAAAGAGAAAGAGAGAGAGAGAGAGAGAGAGAGACCTCTATCCTCATGTACTTGATCCTCTGTGACTTTGATGCTGGACGGTGGTTCAATTCCTCTCCATGACAATTCCATCCTCCGTCGGTGCCTCGGTGGTAATATTATTCAATCAACAGTTCAAACTAATCATTCACCACCAAACAGGATCCCTCTTAGGTCAGAGGTACTCCCGAGTGTCCGAATATCTGGCCCGCATGTTGACCAACTTAACGACCCTGGTGCGGTCCAGCGAGAGAAGATCCCTCGGTATCTATCCAGCACCCTACAGATCTTCTCCTATGTTTTTGTGTATCAAACACACTTCCATCAGGAGACCAGCGGATCGTTTGATTTCTTTCTGTTTCCTACTTACTCATTCTATTGCATTGCCTGATGGTGTGGTGTGCGAGAGAGGATGATCGGACCGTTTCCGACCACGCAGGGGCAGAAGAGACGGGGCAACGGACAAATGAAATCGTACAGACCCTGCAAATCCAAGCTGACTGGACCATCGAGATCAAAAGGATATAAACTGTATAGTCCTCTCCACCAAGACCGGTATCCGGGGGAAAGTGAAGCCAGATGAGATGCCGATGTATAGGTAGAGAGCGACTAACCCCAGTTCGGTATAGCGCTCTTATCACACACTAGTCCCCATCCGGACTAGTGTGTTCTGCATTCCAATTTAGGCTTTTGAGCCGCATCCTGACTAAGCCTCTGAGTCAGCCCGGTCTAACCGCAAGCAGTAATCCCCGATCTTCGATGATCTGCCACTTTTTTTGGAACTCTTTCAACGCTCTCAAACTCACTTCATCAACTCCATCGGTTCATTACAAAAGAAATCTCCGGGCAACATGGCAATCCCCGGTCAGCGGTTTGTCGTCGACCTCGATGACGAGCAAGGTATCAATGTTGACAACACACCTGCCGCCTTCGACCCGTCCTCCATCTCGCCTTTCGGTCTGATCGGCGAGATTCGTGAGCGTTCTCCGTCAGCGGCAGTCCCCCCCGCACCCAAACCTCCCACCGGATCGACAGGCTTCCCTCAACACCGGCGTCGAGTCAATCAGTCGGCTTTCAAGCAGCGACGAGCGAACAAGCAGCTGGAATCAGCGACCTCCACACCGCGGGCAGTTTCCGATGAGAAAAAGTCCATCGATGAAGAGAATCGCCGGCAACTGGCGTCCATGTCCCCCGGTCAAATCGAGCTGGAAAAGGAAGAGCTAATGGCTTCAATGGATTCGTCACTACTCCAGCGGTTCCTCCGTCGAGCTCAGATTGACGACGACAATGCCATGCCTGCATCATCTACCCCGTCTTCCACCCAAGACCCGGCTGCGAAACCACGGAAATCCGTCTCGTTTGATATTGCAGAGAACCCAGGGGAAGCGACAACACAGACTGCTCAGCAGCACTCTCCCCAGCACAGAAGAAAGTTCAATCCCTCCGTAACATCGTCCGTCCTCACGCCCGAGGATCGTGCTCCCGCTCAACCACCCAGCGACCTTCTCCCCGCGTCGGAATTCCCCAACCATGATGCCTTTCACTTCCCCACGCCGCCTCAGCAGCGCACCGCCCCCAACCTCGATCCCTCGTCTCCCTCGTTCCTGTCCGACCTGCAAGCTCATTACTTTCCGGAAATCTCCCACAACCCTTCGGCAATCTCATGGCTCCAACCGCCTTCCGCCGACGCAGAGGACCCCGACTCCACCTCCGCCTACCACCCTGCCAGCAACGCCGCGGCCATCCACCCCTCCGCGCTACGATTCTCCCTCATCGGGACGATCCTCTCCCCTTCCACCTCGCTCTCTCTCCCCACCACTCTCGGCCTGCACCATCACGGGAACGATCCCCACGCCGCCGGCTACACCATCCCCGAGCTCGCCATTCTCAGCCGCTCGTCCTTCCCCGCCCAGCGCTGCATCGCCTGGCAGGTCCTCGGCCGCATTCTCTACCGACTGGGCAAGGGCCAGTTCGGAGAACCCGGCAGCCCGCTCGTCGAAGGCCTGTGGTCCGTCATCGAGCACGAGGGCGTCGTCGCGGGGATGCTGACCGAAGCCGAAGGCGCTTCGGCCGGGCCGACTCGCTCCTCCTTCTCCTCCTCCTCCTCCTCCTCCTCCGCGGTAGCGAACCGCACCGATCCTTCGTCTTCTGCCGGCGGCGCTGCAGGACCAGCAACAAGTGGCAGCGGGATAGGTCGGCACGCAAGTGCCTCTGCCTGGGCCGTCGAGGGCGTCTGGCTGTGGCAGACGGGAGGAAGTGGCGACCGGGGCATTCTCAAGGAGAATCAGATCCGATCGCAGTGATCTCCGGCTTTTGCTGATTTCTTGGATGTACCGCGGTTGGACCGAGAGAGGGCATAATGCGTCTTGTAATAGATAGATATGACATGATGGAATCACGATGGCATGATAACGCACAACCAAAATACTTCACATTACATTGATCGACAAACATCAAATCACCTTCACAAGGCAAACTCATTGATTTTTTCTGGCTGCAATCATCTCATATCGTCTGTCTACCTTGTAGAAATCCGAAAAAAAAAATCGATTGCGGGTAACCATCCCACCCACACCCATTTCATCATCAATCATAAAAGATCCCAAGCCCTTGTCAACCGACTTGATTCATAATCATACTGATGGACACATATACATATGACACGGCCCCCCCCCTCACTCACCTCCCCCCATCTGCACCCCCCAGATCTTCCACCGGGTTTCCTCCAAAAAGTCGCGCCGCAGCCACAGACCCTTGGACAATCGACCGTCCTCGTCTCCACGTCCCTCGGCGTCGTCGCCCACCGTGGCGGCATCATCTACGACCCGCCCCGATGCGTGGTCAAGCCAGCTGTACAGCAGCCGGAGCTGCCAGAGGCCATCCTGGACCTCGTCCGGGTCTGCGCCGCGCCCGCGAGCCGCCCGGATCACGTTGCGCACGCTGTTCTCGATCACCAGCTTGCTGTCCACGGCCGACAGGCGCAGCCAGGGCGCCGCCGAGCCGCGGCTGCTGGGGCCGGCGCCCCGCGGGCGTGACGGGAACGAGGACGGCAGGACCAGCGCCCGCTCCTGGATATCGAGCCCGCGCAGGGACTGCAGGCTGAAGATCCAGTCCCATGGATTCTGGGATGGAGATGCACGGGTGATCGCCCTGGAGGACTCGGAGGAGAGCAGTGCCACGAGCTTGGGCGGTGCGGCGGACAGGAGTCTTCGGCCCTGGGCTGCGGTGGCCGATAACGATGATGACGGAGACGGGAGCACGTCCTGTGCCTCGCTGAGACTGGACAGAGTCGACACAAATACACTGGATCCACCGGGGTTGTACGTCGTCTTGCGGCGCAGGTAGACGGACTGGTCTCCGTGCCGGAACTTGTGGTACAGTGGCGTGTTGTGCGTAAAGTCTAGGACGAGGGGCCAGTAGTCGGGGCTGCGGATCTCGACTCGCGCGATGCTGTCGAGATCGGGAAGCAGGCAGGGCGCGGTGACCGTTTGCCGCCCGCCGTCCCTGCCTGTCACTGTGATCGGGAGCGGGATCGGCCGGCGAGAGTCGATGTCCCGTGGCACGAGACAGCGTGGCTCCGCAGCCAGAACCCACAGATGCCGGAACGCTTGGAGATGGCATTTGTTGTCCAGCACTGTGGTCGGGAAGATAGGGTACAGTGAGACGATGAGCGAGGCGATCGCCAGGTCGGATGTTCCCACGGTATAGCTGCCGCCACCCAGGAAGAGCAGCCCGATGGCCATGTGCGCAGCGAGGTGGCTTCCATACGGCGTGTCACTATCCACACGGCCGTGCAGAGAACGCAACCGTCGGAATAACGCCAGATCACCGGTGCCGGCCATGACCGTGGCTGCGGAGAGCGCAACAATGTCCTGACAATTTCGGACGGAATTGCGGGTAAGTCGTCCGTCATAGTTCATGGCCGGAAGTCTGCAGATGCGGATGAATTGATCCAGATACGATACAAGGAGATCCCGTACAGCTGGCTGCGCAGAGCCTGCGAAGCGCAGACCGAGGGCAAAGCAGAGCCCGGCGATGATGTTGAAGAAAGGCATATCGTCACTCTTGAGTCGGCCAACGCCCGTCAACCGATAACGACGCCGATAGATCTTCGGGAGACTTTCAATGATCCAATCAAAGCTGGGACGTATACTGTCCCACATGATGACATGTCGGGCTAAAGTTCGTAGAAGGAACAGATCTGGACGCACATAGTCAAAACGCACCGTGGTATCTGGAATGTCAATCTTCTGCGCCAGGCTCTCGTCGTTGGTCTTCATGAAGATGATCATCAACGCGATGGTGGCCCCAGCGGTGGCCCGGTCCAGAACATGAGCCAGATGAACAGATTTGGTCCCAACCGCGATGGCCAGGAGTCTCTCCACGATGTGCATGTCCCGCATGCCTCGCAGGTCTTTCCCTTTGGCAAGATTGATGAATCCCAGAGCGAACCCGGCAGCCAAGCGGTAGCCTTCGTCTCGGAGGTCTTCGTGTGCCGGCGAACTCTCTTCCTGTTCGGCCTTTTCGATTTCGGACAACATCACCTCACTCATCCGCCGATGTTGAGAGTTACAATACAAAAGGCCGATGCCCATAATACCGGCGGTCTGCGTGAGTGGTGAGAGATTAAGCTCTGCGGCCCCAAGAGGCAGCATCCTGGTGACATGAACCGACAGCAGCCGGGTGATAAGCGTGTCCATGGTACCCAGATACGATGCCGAGAGCCCGAGTAGAAGACCAATAGAGGTCATTGTGTGCTTCGGAGTCAGATACTTGAAGGCCACCCACTTTGCCAGCGACTTAAGATGTCCGTTGAGACCCAACGCCAGCAAGAATCCGGCATGCCGATTGGTAAGCTCTTGTGGTTTGTTGAAGAGAATCCACGACGTGTCGATGCCTTTGGACTTCTTGGAGATCGCGAGGCCAGTCGACACGCCGTTGTGGAAAAAGGCCCAGCACACCTTCTCCTCGCTGAATGAGGCCCTTTCCGCGCTGATTGTAACGTTCGATGGCTTCATCACGCATTGGAGTGAGAACGAAGGAATTGGAAGCTTCTCTGTCAACAGAGGCAAACGCCCACTGAAAGCGAGCATGGCCCGCCCAGTAGGGACCGATAATGTCCGAAGCGTGACAAGTTGCACAACTTCCTTTTGCGCCTCCAAGAGGTCCGAATCAGTCCACTCGGGTTCCGGAATGCATTCCGCCACTGGGGCTTTGGACTGATTTAGCAACCTGGCGGCTTCTATGAAGCGCTTGTCTTCTCTGAAGATCAACCGCGTCACTGAGAATCTGTCAGCTTCCGCAGACGCCTCGAAGGAATTGATGGAGTCAACATCCAGTGCTGAGCCACCAATGTGATGGAAGTCGCGCACTGCATCATGTGATAAGGCTGGTTGGGGTGGTACTGAGGCGGGAGAGGAGTTGTCGGTATCCATTGACATGCTGAGGTCCTCTCGGTCGATGAGTTCGAGAAGATTCACACTCCAAGACGCTGAGGCACAGTTTTGTGTTCGCATGATTGCTTCGTACAACGGCCCACTGACGCCTTCTGGGAATGATTCGATCACACTCTTGGTGAAGTTCCAACGATTGAGGAGCTTGACCCGTTCGAGCGATGTCGAGATGTCGTGAATCTCCGAAAGAAACCCATTCAGAGCCAGAGTCCGTGGAGTGAGTATGAAACACTCTTGCCATAACTTGCTATGGCGAGAAGTGCTTTCCAAAGTGTTGGTCAAGTCCAAGAGTGTGAAAAACGAAGGCGACGGTTGGCGCCATGCATTCTCCAGGTGGGCGAAAATTGAGGGGGGGGCGAAAGGCTCAGGAGGTATGTCCATCATTGAAATCCTCGAAGCTTCAAATTCCCACTGGTCCATGCAAGCCATTTCTGAACCATAGTACGAGTCATCCGCCCATGTCCAGGACGTCCACCCTAGCCAAGCGCCGATCTGGGCAAGGACGGGTGCGAGAAGTCCCAAGGGCTTCTGTGCGTGTTCAGCCTCACAAACCGAGAGCTTCTGTTCTTCACGGAATAGATGTAACCCAGCTACAATCGTACACAAAGCAGTACGTCGTAGAGTGCCATTGCAGGCGAGAGCGGTTGGGAGATGGCCATCAGATCCTAACGCCAAGTTGCCCTCCGGAGTACGTAGAAATTCTCGAGCCAAAGCAATGCACCGCGTCAGATATGTGTTTTTGCGGAAGGTCGACCGACCCGAGCCTAGCTGGTCTGGCCTGTGGGCATCCTTTGCCCGTTTCCCCTCGCTATCCTCCTGTGCATCCTGCTCAAGAATCCATCCCCAGGAACTGGTGGCCATCCAGGGCGCTACAACGCCGGAGGAGTTTGATTCTTTGTCTAACATGGCTTCCCAGCTCTCGAGGTCAACATGGCTACCGCTGCTCGACCTCAGCAGGGCTTTCTTCCTGCGTGCTCGCTTGTTAAGTGTTTGCTCACACTCAATGAATGGCACTGCCATTGCGAACAAGGTGATCGTCAGTGCAGTCCATTCGATGTCAGTTTCGTCGGAATCTCTAGCACTGAGCCATTTCACAGTTTCCCACCAACCGGCCAGTATGCCATCCCCAGCCTTCTCAAAGTCACGCAAGACGAATTTGCAGATTCGCAAAACGTCCTTGACAAGTCCATTGGTGGGTTCCATCTGAACCTGCAGTTTGTGCCTTTGATTCATGGTGTCAATTACATCAAACTTGCCACGGATAGACGGATGGTCTAGTCCGGTGATAACTATCGGGCCATCTGTCATCAGCCGATTCATGCCACTCTCGCGGGGACGAAGCATGGATGTGGTGGAGGAAAATCCATATCGTTCATAGAGCATCAGTTTCTCGGGAATGTCAATTCTGGTAGGGTTGGTCCATGGGCTTTGTAGGTGTAGTTCATTCCTGCCACTATCCGTTGTTCCCAAAGTCAGCACGCGTGAGATTTGTCCATCGGCAACTCGACAAGCGTCGTGAACATTCGGAAAGTGGTGAATGCCTGTTGCCTGTACAAGCAAGGAGCGCTCCTCGGAAGATGCTCTCTTCTTCGGTTTTTTCGATACTACGGCATCCTTCTTTGGAAATGTTACTTTGTCAGCTCGCAGATGCACAACGGTCATGGACTTTGCATCTTGATCCACGAGATAAACAGCCAGGACAGCTGAGTTTCCATTGTGAGTAATCCCGCATTCCGAGGGACACAGAGTGATAATCTTGACCCTCCTCGAAGGTTTGGTTGCTTTGACGGGAGTCTGAAATGTACCAGAAAACCTCGATGAGAAGCTTTCGACCTTCGAGAGCAAAACTTCTTCAGGAAGGCCAGAGGTCGCCCCCTTGAGGTCCATGTTCTCAAATCCTTCGAATAAGCTGTCATTGTTGAGTTCTTCGAGAAGCCGATCAACGGGAGCATCGACGAAGCTGCTCGTGGTACTGTAGACCGAGCCGTTTCCAGGTGGCAGGGATCCCCGAGGATTGAATCCAAAACTTGCCCGAGTGCTAGCCGCACCGATAGATTGCCGTAGGCCTGTGTGAGGCGCGGGACCTGTTTGACTTCCTGTAGCGAGATCTGAAAATGTAATTCGATCCTGACTTGTTGCAAGATCAGTCCGCGCCAGCAAAGAGCTCACTCGTCTGGATGTCTTCGACGGTACACCAATGTCGCCAAAGTCCTGGCCCAATCTAGCGGCGAGGTCGTCATCATCTGGTTTGCTATCGACAGAGTACTGAGAGTGAGAGAAGCCAGAAGCGTTCCAGTTGTCTCCGCGCGGACCAAAGCTCTCCCTGGCCGCAGACGGACGCGCAGCAGGTGTAGTTGACCCCGTCGCCATGCTAAAATGCGAACTACGACGCTTGGACCGCGTGCCTCCCGTGTCTCGCCTCTGCTGCTTCTTAGAGGAAGGGCCAGCTTCATCCTCTCTATACCGCGCTGTCCAGATGGTATACAATCCGGTATTCATATTGACGGTTATCACAAGTATCAACGGGATCTTGCTTAGACTCCGACTAGATCCCAAAAGTTCATTCTTTGGGGAGACATACACAATCTCGTCAGCAGGATCAAGGACGTCCAAGCCAGAAAGTCTGCTAGTGCTGGTGATACTACTTTGTAGCCAGCGGGAAGTCTGTTTGGTTACAACTAGGCCCATCTCAGAATGGGGATCCATCAGAGAAAAGACCCTGGGGAGGTCCGCTTGTTTGTTTGTCCGCGATTTCAGACGAGTATTTTGCGCAGGGGATATGATCAAGGATGGTCGTTTCGCTTTACCCGAGGGCAGCTCCGCTGACTGAGATGCGCGTAAATCCACAATCGTAGGGAAAGAGGAAAGAAATGAATTTGGAGGCGCCATGGGGTAGGCATTGGTGTCGTCCTCGTGCATTTTGCGTTGGAAGAGAAGGCCCCGAGGAGTCGCGAATACCGATTCAACCTCAAATGGCAGGGGAATAACGTGGCTGTTGCCAGCAAGAAAGAAGATATGCGCCTGGGATTTGAGTACAACCACTAGGGCTCTTGAACTGTGAACACTGCCCCCAGCAGTTTGCAATTCTTCAACCGGTTGACCATTCGCACCGAGCGTCCTTCCTAAGTTTGGAAGTTTCACCTCATGTGCGGCCTGACTTTGCAATCCACGACTGTGCTCGGTGTCGCCGTGCTTCTGGCCAGCATTTCCATTGAGCCCTTGCGCGGTCTTTCTACCCGGTTTTGTAGCCTTGCTCACGGAGAAATTCGTGAAGAGAGCATGTTTGACTTCCTCCCTCTCAATATCCACCCGGAATACCCTCTTCACGACTCCCGCCTGAGACCAAACGACGCAGCTCGTTGTCCAGACCAGCTCATCATCCACCGGGCCGTTGGGGCCTTCGTCGATAGTCGTATGCCATGTGTATTGGTCGCTTGAAGGATCCGGAGGCAGGAGGCCCTCTGCGACAAGGAAAGGTACGGCCGAGGGTTCATGGCGGCCAAGGGAACGGACGCACGCCATTATGGCCGACTTGTAATTGTGTGTGTAAGATCTCCGGCAAGAAAAGCCAGCAGCGAGATCATTTTCATTGTCGGTCTATGCAGTAAAAAAAAAATTCGAGCTCTGTTGACCTCTGTTGATGGAGCCAGGCGAGAGTTGTATTTTGTAGATCTCTAGGGAAAGAAAGGTGGACGCGCTGGACGCGGCGGAATGACTTTATTTTCTTTCTCTCGCCGCAAAGTCCCAAACAACCCAACAACATCTCTCTTCCCTTCGTTGCTCTCTCCTTCCAGATCACCCAATTCTATTCCCTTTCTCTATAAACTGTATTATTGTCTCTTTTTGGTCCATGAGAATTGATTGACCAAGTATCTAAGCTTTATTGGCCAGTTTCAGACTGTGGTTGGACCAAGTGTGCCTTGTCAGCTAAACGCCACCACCTTTCACGACAGAATGTCCTCATTCCCCTCCAGGCCTTTGGTGCAGCCGAGGGATGACGGGCTGCAACTGAAGTATTGCATTTCTCCTCCCAATCTGTTATTCTCTTTGCTTACATTCTCTAGTTACCAACTGCCCCAGCGTGTCCATTCGGCGAAAGCATATCCAGTCCTTGCACCCAACGGCTCGTCTATCATAATCTATGGCTATGAAAATGGCGTGAAAGTGATCTGGAGGGGCGGTAGGCGCTTTTCAACGCAGAAATTGTCCACCCAGAAAGTCGACAAGACCTCAGTCAAGGTTAACGGGAGCAATGATGACGCGGTCATGATTATCGATTCCGACGAGGAGAGCACGGCAGAGACCCCAAAGGAAGACGCGCCTACATACGATTTCGAGGAAGATGAGGCGGAGATTGACGCGGCTCATCCCTATGAAGATGTTCTTCGCCAGATCGACATACCTCTCGGTAGCAGGGTTCTTGAACTGGCTGTGCCTCACATTCTACCCGAGGCTGCTCGCTCATCCCTCGATTCGTTTCCCCCTGTTTTGAAACAACAGATGGTCATTTCTGCTGTATGCGCTGATTATTCGACACGCGTTGTGACTCTCCCCTTGGCCCCTCCCCACCCTACTCAAAGAGACCTTGCCTCCTGGCAGGTACAAATTCTCTCTATTTCTGGCGGAGTGACGCATCAGGAAGTTCCGAGGGGGGTTAGTATCACTTTTACTTGCCAGGAAATCGAGGCTACTGAGGATGTCAATATGTCACCAAGCAAGTCGGTCTACCGCGATGGCGAAAGTTGGGACCTCCTGGTGGCGACTCATTCCGCAGAAGCATCCGGGTTGCTTTTGATCCATCGAATTCCTGTTGTGGAAGAAAACAACCGTGGCAACATCGAGTATTGTTTGTACGATGATATCGTATCTAGACGACTTTATTTGCCGGCGCCAGCGAATAACATCTCCTTCAATCCCTCTGGGTATCCCTCCCCTCGCCATTCGACCTTGCTAGTTTCATTCCACAACGGATGCGTCAAGATCTATTCCTGCTTTTCCAAAAAGCGGGCAAGAGCGTCGCGCAGGACCTCGGGTGCTCAGAATGACCTTGGAGATTCGGAGACGGAAGGCAAGTGGCTAATCACTCTTTACACTGGCTTTGAACAACCATCCTCTGGATTGGCGCGGCGGAAAACCATCATCGACGCGGAGTGGGTGCTAGGTGGGCGCGCTGTCATGGTCCTTATGGCTGACAGTGAGTGGGGCGTGTGGGACATCGAGGGAGCAGGGCCAGGGAGTCTGAAGGGGCCTCTTCAACGCCAGTCAAGCGTGCAGGGGGTGTCTGGCGGTTCACTGACTGCGTTTTCGGTCAGTGGCCGAATTCTGAATCCGTTGACAAGGGTCAGCAAGGCAGACAGCAATGGATCTGCTGTCGAGTCACGGCCTAAATTTGCACCCATGACTCCTTCGACCAAACGCCTTCGAGAGGATACTCTTCTGAAAGGCTCAGCGAGTGCATCTGCTCCGTCTCTATGCGGGGAGATCTCGGTCTACCAGACAAACACTGTGAGAGACCCGCTGCCGGACGAGTCAATCTTCCTCCGGCACGGCAGTCAAAGCGCAATGATCCCCAGTCTGCTATCCCTTTGGCGAAACGCCATCAAGGCCAGTGGCACGTTTGATGCGTCGAACCGCTGCAGGGTTTCCACCATTCAAGATGTGCATCTAATGGGCGAGAAGTTTACTAGCATCGGTCATCTTCCCGCGGCTACTCGCCGTTCCCGGGCCACGGAGAGCCAGAGCTTTGACATTCTGATCACCGCAGAGCACCGCATCATTATCCTTGCTCCGCGGTTGTCCGAACCAGAGGAAACGCCGGTGTCTCGACAATCTGTCAGTGAAGCAACAACCACGGTGGCTGATCAGCTCATGCTCCGCAGAGGAGAACTAGATGTGGACGGAATGGATCGTCTTTTGAGTGATATGGCCAGCGGCAACCGATCTCTCCGGATGGGAAGTCCTACCAAACGAACACGCATTTTCACCTGAAGTCGACCCATCGTCTGGAGTTATGCCTGAAAATCTACATGGAGTTCCGAACAGCGATACCCACTATTTTTTTTTTTTACCTTTTACAAGAGCAATTTGTACTGATGATCAATGTAGTACCACCACATCCAGCATCCTTAAGTTTCCTTCTACACCCCCCCCCTCTTTTCCCAACGTTCAAACTTTATACAAAAATTCGCGCTGCAAGGTGGAGCGCAAGGCGAGGATCATGCCTTGAAATCCCTTCCTCGTCGAAGGGATAAGCTCTGTATCGGATGCGAGACATCAAGCAGGAGACTCCTCTCTCCCCCCATCTGAACCCCAGTCCTGCTGGGCCCCCTGTTCCCGACCCTTGACGACTATTCTATCGAGGACTTTTACGTCGTCACTTGTTCCACCCGGATCTGTCTGACTCACCTACCCTTGTCTCTCCACCGACACTGATACTGATCTGTCCCTCCCTCGCCTCGCGGGGAAGATTGAAAGATGGCAATGGCTTCTCAGAAGACCTTGCCATCCAGGTCTTTGGACGCTCTCACATCATTTTCAGCGTCAGTGGAAGGCAAAGTAGGCAGACAGGACGGGTGGAAGAAGAATAGGGAGCAGGGTGGCATTTCAGATGGGACATTCATTCCAAATGTACTCCGTAGTTGCCACTAGGTTTCTGTAGGATCAAGCAAGCGTAGGGGGGGAAAAAAAAAAGACAAATCTCATTTTCCTTTCTTTTCTTCCTAAGTCACGTCAATTCAAGTGATCTTTTATACTCTCCTCTACCTGTACTGTCAGCGTCTTATTTACAGATTTCCTCCCAGCCAGCCAGCTGGGCCATGCCATGCCAGATAGCAACACTCCATAGAGCACGCAATATCACGCCTGCAATAACCGCTATTTACACCCCAAGCCATCTATCAATCCATGGCTTACATACCAAAAGAAAGCAGCGGAGCTATCTGATAAGTGAGGGCGGGAAAAAAAAAAAAAAAAGGTATTTGTGGTCTGGCTTTCAACTTTCAAAAATTTCGGGAATATTTATCTTTATCTCTCTCTCTCTCTCTCTCTCAGGCAAACAAAGATGGATACGATCACGATCACGATCTTGTCTTGTCTCATCCAACCAAAATACAGTCCCGCTCATCTTGTCTTGTCTCTCTATCCATTGTATCCCAGCGCCTCCAGCTCCTTGCGCACCGAGTCCTCCGTCTGGATCTTCTTCACCTGCGTATCTTCCAGCTTCTCGCCGCCGGCAAGGCGCATTTTCAGCTCCTCGATCGCCCGGATCTTCTTCAGGAGGCCGCGGATCTTCTTGTCCTGCGCGGTGGGGTTCGCGGCGTCGGCGGCGGCGGCGGCGGCAGCGGCAGCAGCAGCGGCAGCGGCCGGAGCGGGCGCGTTATTGGCGGCCTTGGCCGAATGCGAAGGACCATTCGCGGTTCCGTTGGCCTGATGGCCGTTCCGGCGGGAGTTGCCTTCGCCGTTCTGGTTCTTCGATCGGCTGCGCTCGTGGCTGCGACGGTCCGGGCTGTGTCCGGGCTGGCCGCCGTGGGCGGGGGGTGCCAGGCCATCGCCCTGCTGCTTCTTGGCTTCGCGCTTCTTCTTGTTCTTCGCGGCAGACTTGGACAGTTTCTCCTGGTCGCCTCCTGAGGGCAGGGCGACGCCGCCTCCGGGAGCGGCTCCGGGAGGCAGATACTCCTCGACGGGCTCGGCGCCGGGAACCTCGCGTCGCCGGGGCTTGCCGAATCCGTTCAGCGCGCTACCACCGGTAGCGCCATCGCCGCGAACGAACGCTGCGCCACCTTCGTCTTCGCGCTTGAAGGCAAGAGGGGTGAGTTGGCCACGAGCTCCGGGGGGTCTGTAAGCACCGACGGGCTTGACGGGAGCCTTCTTCGTGCTCAAGTAAGCGAGCGCGGAGGGATGAGGAGCCGGCAGGGTTTGGAACGGGTCGGTCAGAGGATGCTGGGTGGTCGACAGGGGACGCCAGATCACGTCGTAGAGCTCGTTCATGTCCTCGTTGAACATCAGACCGCCGCTGACGTGCCAAATGCGAATGCCGTTGTCCACTCTCAGACGCGGGCTGGTCGTCGCCGTCAGGATGTACTGTCCATCAGGAGACCATTCGCAGACACTGGCATTCGAGGCCTCAGCGGTGACCACCTTGTGGTAGTTCTTGTCTAGGTCGTAGATATCCATCTGGCCGGCCAAGTTACCGAAGCCCGCCACGATGACAAAGCGACCATGAGGGGAGAACAGGATGGTGTTGCGGGGTCCCAGAGGGAAACTGTGCTTGGCGACACCGCGGAAGTTGAAGATGGTGGTCTTCGCAGGCATGTAACCATACACAACGCCGAATTCCTTGGAGTTGGGGTTCCAGGAGACATCATGGATCGGACCCTCCTTGTCTACGTAGCCGTCAGTGAAATGTCAAAAAGAAGGAGGAAACTCGAGAATCTGGGACATACCGAGGTCCACGCGCGAATCAAAGCCGCCGTTCGCGCTGAGCAGATAGAGAGTAGTTTCTCCGTAGTAACTCTTGCCACTGCGATCGACCTCGGTCTGCGCAAGCACAAGCAGAGTGGTGCCATTGGCGTTCCACTTCAGCTGAACCTTGTCGCCCTTGAAGAAGCTCTTCTGGGAGACGGGGGCTCCGAACTGGGGCACGTTGAAGACCTTGACCGCCGCTGGTTGACCCTACAATGAAAAGGTGTGTTAGTCGCAGAATCAAAACTAGCTGAGCCTTTGCGAAAAGACACAGTCAACACTAACCTTGCGCTCAGGAATGAAGACCGCGATAGAGTTGTTCTTGCCGGGCGAGATGGCAAAGTCCGAGACACCCTCCACGCGCAGCTTGTTCCAGACCTTGGACAGGTTGTCGCTCTGGTAGAACTGGACCTCGTTGGTGACGGTGCGAGCGCAGAGGGCTTCGTCAGCGGTGTACTGCAAGTTCCAGCCGGTCTGCGACTTTTGAACGAAGCTGCCCACGATGGTGTGCTCATCTTCGTTGCTGTCGGGCGATGTCTCAATCACCTTCCAGACCTTTAGGTTCTTCACAGCGTCTCCGTTGGCATCCTTCGACGGTCGCTGCCAGGTGATCAGGTAGGTCCCGAGAGGCGAGAATCCCAGTTCGAAGACATTCTCGGCAGCGATGGTGGTAATGACGTGTCCGACAGAGGGATCGATGATGGTGACCCTGGTGGTAAAATAATCAGCGACTTGTTCCCATGTTGATTTCCCACTTGGTGTGATCTCTGGTGTCGCATACTTATCGGGAGAAGCCCACGCAAAATACCGACCGCAGGGAGAATAAGCGTCACAGCGAAGGTTCCCATCAGGCCTAACAAACCACACAAGTTCTAGTTAGCCACGTCCACAAACAGAAAAGTTACTTTAAAAATTAAAACATACTTCGCAAATCCTGGCAAGGGCTCATAGACCGGGGCCGCATCCAAGATGCCAATCCCTTTGACCGTTCGGACTGTGGCGAGTCAGCATTCAACAAATTCAGGTTCTTCCAGTGCCTCCAGAGAGAGACAAAGAGAGAGCAAGCAAACACTCACAAGCAAGCTGTGTAGGGGCTGCCATAATTGACGTATGAACCGTTCGTCCCGTTTATAGAAAATTGATCTCAGATCCCTCAAGAGTATTCCAATGCAACAGATAGCAGTTGCAAAGTCGCGCAGCAATCCAACTGGATCAGACCAGACAGGCACACAAAATGGAGAATCCAAGTGAGGTCGACAGGGTCACGAAAGCCGAGGCGACAAAGGGCACACACAGAGGCGTTTTGGTTCGAATACTTGATGCTTTGTTGCGTTGTGGCGAGCTGTTGTTTTTATCTGACGCAGCGGGAGAGAAGAGTCAAAAAAAAGACACTAGACACTCTCGCACAAAGAAAACAAGAGGCGGATGGCAGCTGAGCTTGACAGTTTAGGAGGTGGTGGTGGGGGGAAATTGCCAGGACTTCAGTGCTTGACAAGTCAATGCCAGCAATGAACGAGACGAAGGAAGACTGTGGGGAGGAGGAGGAGGAGAGAGGTGGGGATGAATGGGGAGGAGAGAGAAAGAAGAAGAAGAAGAAGAAGAGGTGGGAGGGGGTGGAATTGAAGGTGCTGTAGAGAGGAAGAGGAAGAGGAAGAAGAAGAAGTAGAAGTAAGAGAAAGATAGAGAGAGCAGAAAATTTAGGCGGTTTCAGCTGCAAAAAGTCAGTCCGTCCGAGGCGGCAAAAGACGCTGGGATGCTTGGCTACACACTGGCTCTCTATGCTAAATGCTAATCATTCTTAATTTCTTTTGCTCTATCTGATAATCTGGGTCTTATTCGACCGTTGAGATTCTGCTTTTTCAATGTGCCTTGGGAATTGGGATCCTTCATCATTCGATCAGCCTCTCTGTCTTTTGCCATCAGGATGCGCTATTCTCGGTCCCGCCATCCAGAGAATCTCCCCCAATCCCCATTATTATTATAGCCTTATAGGCCTGTACAGTATCATTGTATAGCTCATGAACTGGGGAAATGACAGGACATTGAATGGATTGTGTCAGAATTGCTGGTTGACTATCCTACACTAAACGATCGTGCGCATACTCAAAAGGTATCCTATCCTCCTTGAAGAAATCCCCATTCCCCATGTCTCCCATATAAGTACACAAATTAATTACCATCAATTGACAAAACGCCACATTTTCCCCGACGAACCCTTCCTTTTTTTTTTTTCTTTTGTTGGTTGCTGTCTCAAGTAGCACTCGGCCCATTACTTGGATCAATGGGATAGCTCTGGTCGAACGGCGTGGCCAGTCGCGGGGTGCGCACCGTGGTATCAATCACATCACTGTCATAGGTCATGCCGTCCAGCATGCGATCATGCTGCAACTGCTCCGGGGTGCTCGATCCCGCAGGGGACACGGAGGCTGCCATAGGCGCCGTATCCTCGAGACCCTGCTGGTACGAGGCGATGGGGTTCGACGCGCGGTTCACGCCGGGGCTGCCCAGCGAAGCCGGCCGACCGGCCGAGGACAAGGACAAGCGGTTAAAGCTGGGGTGCGAGATGGGCCCGCTGATGGTACTGGCGCCCTCGCCGAACGCGACCAGGCTGGCATCGCCTTCACTGATATTACCCACGCTGGAGGTGCCGTCGTCGGCGTCGGTGTCCTCGCTCATCTTGTCGGCGTCCAGCGCATCGCTGCCGCTGGCCCAGGTGGTGCGCGCGTCCACGCTGCCCGTAGCGCTGGCGCTGCCCACCGTGCTGCGCTCTTTGATCCCGGGGCTGTTGTCGAAGTAGCCGAGGCCGTGCGACGCGGCGAAGGCGAGACTCGGCTGCGGGACCCCGCCGGCGCGCGCAGTTGCGACGCGCTCCAGCCCGGCGAGACGGGAGATGCGATCGGCTCGCTCGGCTTCAAGGGTGGACGTGGAGGTTGCCGAGGCAGACGAGGAATGGTGGACATGGCGCCCGTGTGGGAACGGTTGGCCCTGATGGCCGTCTTTGATTGCGGTGGTCGACAGGGCGGAAAGAGATGTGGTGCCTGAGTTTGGAGTGCCTCTGGGAATTGCCAACATCGGTGTCAACTATTACGCGATAAATGCAAGAGTATAGAGAGAAAGTGTGTGTGAAAAAGGTGCTCTTACGGTCCCATGTCGGAAGGGGTAACCGGATCCGATGGCGGGGGAGGGATGTCTATGAGGGTCGGCGTAGTCATGATGATCAGTCTGCCAGTAGGCACCGAGTGTCGTACAGGTAGGTAGATGTATATATGTAGCTGAAGCTGAAACGCCAAGTTGAAGCTGTTGATGCTGTTGAAGCTCTAGCAGAAGATCACAGAAGTAGGTAGATAAGGTAGCGAACGATAGATTAGGTAGATAGATAAGAGGGGGGCGGAGAATGAGATACTTAAGAATAATAATAATAATAATGGGCAGGGATAATAGCAATGAACACAAGAAGAAGAAGAAGAAGATCACCGGTTGTGTTGTCAGTAATTCGCAGCAGACCGATAGAACAGAGAATCCTTTTCTTATAAGAAACAAAAAATTAATTTCCTTTCCCCCCCCAGACTAGGAGGATAATGGAATGGTATGTAACTTTACTTTCTCAGACATGGAACCTAAGGCACCCCCAAGTGAGGCGTTCATCTCTTCTATAATCGGATGAAGTGAGGCGAGAGCCCCCGTTGGAGAATCTGGTGATGTCTTTCTTTCTTTCTTTTCAATCTCACTCTGTTTTCCCTCCGGTATTTGTCTGCGGCCAAAGAGTATTGATTTACATTCATCACTCCACCATCTATCTTCATTGCATCGTATTCCTTTGCTTCTCTTGTAGTCCTTGTGCTTTGGTATATACCAGTACCTCTGAAATACTATGGGAACGGAGGGGGATGACGTCATTATTTTCAAGAGCCCCCCCATCAACCAATCAGAATGAGGTTGCACCCCGATCTTACATACTCAGGAAGCTACTAGCGCTGACACCTGGAATCGAAGGCATTCATTTCAATTGGCAAACGAGTTCGACAGAGGTACAAAGACAAGGGGCAGACTTGCACTACTCTGGACTGGCTTTGCGATGTAGTCATAACTCATTACTGTACTACTACCGTTGACAATATGTACTAAGTTCCTGGATCGTGGCCTGCAGAAGCATAAACACATTGATCGCGGATCATTCAAGCAAACCCTTCATCACAACACATCAACGGAGCCCTGATCTAGCGTAAAACAACCGTTAGTCCTCTACTGACTGACTTTCCGGCCCTCGTAGTGCCCACGAAGGTCATCCACCTCTTTCTGGAGACGGGAGAGGTCCGCCAAGATGTCATTGGCATTGGATGGATGAGGAACGAAATCCTCCTGCGGCGCCCGCTTCTCCTTTTCCGGAGAAAAAGTCGGACCGCCGGTGTTACTATGACTGCTGGAAACTCGCGTCCTCCTGGGAGGTGGAAGCGGCGGCACTGGATTGACCTGCGAGGCTCGTCTGGATGAAGGGAGCTCACTAGGGCCGGACCCGTGTCCAGCCTCGTCCGGCCGCGGTGGACCCAATCTAGATTCCTGAAGACGTGGTGACGCAGTGGGCCAAGGGCCGGGGCTCGGAGGAGAAGAGAAATTCGTTTCTGAAGCCTCCACCGGCATTGACAGTCGCACCAGATTAGTCCGGGACATGGTGCTCTTGGATCGTCTCATTTGGCTATGCCGCCTACTCAGCGGCGGTGTCGGAGGCCGCTTGTGCTGAGATTGGCTACGCCTGAGGGACTCTGTCGATTGTGTGGATTGGGTATCATCGAGGTTAGTGAAATAGTCAACCCCCTGCTGCGATGGCCGGCTGGAGGGTGAATCGGGTGTGAGTGAGAGCGATGTCTCAGAAGAGGTGCCGTGGTAAGAAAAGCGATTGGTCAGTCTGAGTCTCGGTTGAGACTGAGACGGCGACGCCTGAGGACTGGGATTGATCAACTTTCCATGATGGCTTTTAGGTGGAGGTGGGGGTTTCCTTTCTCGGTTGCCTGAGCGAGCAGCGAGAGCTCTTGAGTCTACCTCAGCTTCTGATGAAGATGGGGTGCCCACCATGGGGCGACTGGTTACTCCAGCCGATGTGTGGTATTGCGATGTGAGCGTAGCGCCACTGTTTGCAGAGTTCATTCCACGAGGAGATGAGGTGGCAGGTACACCGAGCCGATCAACGGCCAGGCTTCCTGGTTCTGTCTGATTTCCCAATTCCAGTGAATAACGGCTGGTTTCCCTCTTCGCATCATGTTTGGTCGGTAGTGCTACCGGCGCGGATGAGACTGAGCTTGATGAACCTGGAAGAGCTGGCGCTGAGTGGGGAGCGGCGTTGGCGTACATCGAGGAACGACGATCATCCGCGGGGGCAGAGCGAGGGAGACGGGACGAATTCCAAATTCCATCCCTTACCGCCGCCCCGTCCTCCACGTCACGGTCGGTCACGTCAAAGTTCTTTTGGAAAGGATCCGATAGCGATTGATCATCCGAGGATTGCGAGTCGTCAACGTCGGACGTGTAAGATTCAGGAGGGGTTCCGGTATAGCCATAGGGCGTCGAGGAAGAATTCGTCACAGACGCCGTCGTTGATGAAGGAGCAGGAAAATATGAGTGCGTGGAAACAGACGATGGGGATGAATTGTGATACGCTACAGATGCACGATTATCAGCATCAACCTCAAAACGCGGGGAACAGCGAGAGACAAGCCAAACCTCTCGAGGGCCGGGTAGCATCTAGCCCAAACTTCGGAAGCGGCGGATCGTTCTCGCTCTCTAACCTTTTAGGGCGGAAAGGATTGAATCCAGACATCGCAAAGAAGATAACTTTCGCCGATCATGAGAGCAATGAAAATAGATGAGATGGGGAGGGGAGTTACCAGAAGGAAGAAGGGGAAGATGTCAACAGCAGTGGCGTTTAAGCTACCTATGGAGAGAACCGGCCATCCGCGCGGCTTCCGGTCTAGGCAGAGACGGCCCAAAACGGCCAGTAGGCTCCGTCGTCCCAAGTAGTCATCAAGAGTGTCCAGAGGCTCCAAAGGCTGCCTAGAATGAACGTAATATTCTAGTGTGATGAATTGTCAAATTGATGCTGAGCTTGTGTACTCTGTCTGTAGTCGCGTCCCCTCCCAATCATGCATAGAAAGAACCAGAGACCGGAAATGCAAATCAGAAAAGGCTATGGTACATGGAAATTAGAGAAGAAAATAAAAAAACCCCCCCCCCCCCCGAGTATCCAAAGGGGGCAGAAGAACAATGCGACGAATGCTTTGCAGAGAAAAGTTGGCAACAGACAAAAGACCTCCTTCCCAAACACCAGAGGTTATACAAACAGTTATAAAATCATCACAACAGGTTCTTTACTCGGATAGAACTATCCGAGACAGAAAAGGGTATCATTTGGCCCATTCGGGGGGAGAAAGAGCAATTGAAGAAAAAGCAGACTCCCTTTCCCCCCCTCCACCGAGGACCCGGTGGTGGTAGGTATGCCACGGATCAGATTTCGTTGTAGACATGCCACTGCTGCCCCGGCCCAAAAAAGGCCAGCGCTAAGCGTTTCCCACTCTCTGTAGGCTGACTGAAGGCAACCTGCTCCTTGGGGATTTCCATGCCGTAGATGAAATTGCTCACGACGCAGTCCAGGAGATCCATCGCAATTCCCTTGCGTCGAGAGGATCCCGATGTCCAGATGCGAGAGATACCCACGATGGCTGGGTGCACCTCATCCCGGACGGTCACCGCCGAATCGTTCGGCGGCTCTGTCCCGTCCTTGGTTGTCGCCACCGAGCTGTCCACCGGCTTTGACTCCCAGATGCGCTCCGTCAGACAGGCCCCCACACACCGGCTATCCTTCATATGCAGAAACACTTTATAGCGATCTACTTTTTCGTCCACGCCATCCTTCCGGAGGTGTTCCGGTGGCTCCGTCTGGCTCCATAGCACATCGTCGGATATCTCTGGTGAAGACAGCTCCTTGCTGATCACTTCCAGCACCTTCTTTGCCTGGTTCTTGACGGTCGGCGACGCCTTGCGATCGACAATCACCACGTATCCTTCATCAAACCGAGTAGCTTCGTAGACCCAGCGACATGCGTTTGCCCTCATGAACGCCTTCCCCAGGTCCACCCCGGTCGAGTTCATGTCGTGGAATTTCTTATGCAGCGCCGCATCCTCCGCGTTCGACGGGATATACTCCATTCCGCAGGCGGCGCAGGTCTTTCTCACTTCATGACCTAAATCGATCTGCATCTGTTTCAGCACGGGTGGTTGTTGTTGCTGCTGCTGCGCCGCGGCCGCCGACTTCTTCTTCGGCGGATCAGCCGACGCCCGCACGCTATTGGAATTGACTTCGGTGAGCGGCGAGCCATTGCTCGCGTCCTTTGCCGCCGCCGCATGCTTGCGTTTCAGGAAGGCAAAGGTCGGTTTTCGCGTGTTCGCGGGTGGCGGGGTTATTCTGGGAGGTGGCGATGAGGGGGGCGTGGAGAGATCATCGTCATGCGTGCCCTCGGAGAGGACTAGTGAATTTCGACGTGACGGACTGGAAAGAATGGCTGCGGAGGACTCGCGAATGGCATATTGAAGGCTGTTTTCCGCATCGTCAGACTCGTTGCCGGACTCGACGCGTGGTTTCTTGGCGGCAGGGCCCTGGTCATCGTCATCGTAGACGCGCCATATAGATCTTCCGTATGTTTTCATGAGGCCTCTAGAGCTGATCAAGTTAGAGGGACCAAGTATTTCTTATTAAATTTTTTTATTTTCGCGTTCTGAGTAGGAATAGAAAGCAAGAAGAAGAAAGCGTGTAGAGTGAAGATGGGGGGGGGCGAACGAAGAACCAAACGTACCGCTTGAATGAGTTTGTTACAGCCCACGGCATCTCCCTGATTTTTCTTCAGAGCACGGAATGAACCGAGTCGAGCATCAAGACCATTTGTGTGTGAGCGGATTGATTCAGTTCGAATGATGCGAGAGTGAAGCCGAAGAGATTCCGAGAGATAAAAAAAAAGGAGACGAAGAAACCGATCCTTCTTTTTTTTTTTTTTTTTTTTTCTGTTTGTAACCAGCAACGGGCTCTTATTGGTGATTATTATATTACCTATGATGGAGGTATTATTATTTATTCTTTCTCTCCCTTTCCAACACAACACACGACGGCTGTTGGCGGGAGCAATAAATAATAAATAATAATAATAATAATAATGATAATAATAATAATAATAATGTAAGCGTGATCGACGAGTGACGGAACGCGTGCCTCAGGCGCTAACCCAGATTTAGTCATATTGCTCGCTCGGGCGCTTGACAGGGATCATTCTTAATCTTCACATCACATACCGTAGGCTTAGGCTTAGGCCTCAAGGAGTTTCGTTCCGAGCTAGGTCTCTATAGATACCACTCGATAGACACAGGCCAAGTGGCTCGGGTTCAACGATCGCAGATGCGGTTGGTGCTGTTGATGCGAATATTTCGCCTTAGCTGAGAATGCTAGTTCCAAGCCACAGAGGAAGATAGCAGAGACACCCTTGACTTGGCTAGATAATATCTCGTCGATGGTAATTCCAGAAAACACGATGAAGACGAAGATGAGAAGAGGAAGAATCGCAGGGGAAGGCAGTGACAGTCGGGGAATAGATATATGAATTTGATAGAGATGGAAATGATCTCCAGGCTACCGTCTGAATGGGACGGGGCGATGACTCTAGTCTAGTGATGATGACGATGATGATGATGGCGACAATCAAACCAAACAGTGGATATTCAGATAGTCCGTTTAGTTGAAAGCTCACCGTGGTGTCTTTGGGCAGCTGAAGAAGTATCTAGTCCAAGTTGTGTGGGACTGGACAAGAAACACGAACAGCACTCAACAGCCGGTACAGAGGAGTTAGCTAGTAGTGGTGACTGGTTACAGCAGTGGTTGTTAGTTTTAACTGAGTGATCTAGTGGCATGGCCTCATTTCCATAGAGTTTTGCCATCTGGCTCCTATACCTGAGAGGCTAAGTAAGTAACTAACCTAGTATTCGACTCTGGTTACTGGTAGCCTGGTAGGGATGATAAAATTCGCCTCCTGAGTTCTGAAACCTTGGCCACCAACCATAATCGTCACTCATACAGGTAGGTAACAAAAGTGCGCAGAATGGATAGATACAGTAGACAAGAGAACAAGAGATCAAGAGTCAAGAATCAAAAGAGACAAAATAGATTGGGGTGGCAGGATTCTTCCTTGCTTTTTTCTCTTTTTCCCCTTCCTTTCCATGTCATCGTCCTCCATCTCGTCTCGCAGTCCTGCTATTTGCCCTTCCCTGAGGTGTCCGCGATCGCTTCCATTCCCTCGATGGCAATTGTAACATACCAAACATCATTGGGGGAGAACAGAGGCCAGAGATCGGCCGCAGTCGTGATGCACAAGGCGTCGCGGATCCTCCCCCAACTGCCCCAGCCTCCTCTATGCCCTTACAGCTGGCCGATCCCACAGCCTTATTGGGTGGGCTACGAAATGAGGTGTACAGGCTTGCGCGCCTTTTTTGGTCACTCTCGCGTCGTAAGCTGCCTCGGCCGGTTTGCTCGCGTTACTTGAGCATCGGATCCGCCCGAGTGCTTTCTCGAAGGGTATTGGTACAATCTGTCATCTAGGGATGAACGGGATAGTGTTAAGTGTAGTAGTACAGGGGAGAAAAAGAAAAGAACCTGAGAGTAGGCAATAGGCAGCAGGATGATGGTGGACCAATGACTCTCTTAACGCCAGTTGGTTCTGTCGTTGTACAACGACCTGGGCTTCGTGGTTATGTGATCAGGCTGCGATGCACCGACAGTTCTGCCTGCATTGCTCAGGAAGACTGGAGGATCGAGAAAACAGCAAATTTAACTATGACCCGCCCTCCTCCCTCATGCATCCATCCGCAGCATCGCTCTGGCATTATTTCTCCACGGCTGATAGAAGGCAGGAATGATGTCAAATCCGAAGCATTTGTACTACATCTAACCGCATGATCCGCATCACACTCGCCTGCCTTACCAGTCAGACAATCAGACTGCTAGCGCCTCACCTGATTTATGAGCTGGGAGGATAGCAGGGCAAATTGAAGCTTCCAGGAGGCCCTGGAGCCAGCCTACTGTCGATTCAAGGCTCTCTGTCTTCTCCCTCTCTCCCTCAATACGCCAGACCTCCCACACAGCTCTGCCCAGGCAGGCAGGCCGGCAGGCAGGCTGGCAGGCAGGCCGGCAGGCAGGCTGGCAGGCAGGCTGGCAGGCAGGCTGGCAGGCAGGGTCTTCCGTCTGCCTCCAAGCAGACGATGAAGAGAGGGTACTCTATTACCGCCCTTTCGGGAGTTCCCACCGTCCGATTCTACTCCTTGCATGCCATGGAAAGCTTTCCCGCCCGAAGGAAGAATGACGGACTGCAGGGAGTACGAACAGACGCCTGAATTTTGGACATTCGATTCGATCGAGTTCTTCGTCGACTCTGGCATCAGACTGAACAGTGCAACGTGATCTTTGTCATCACGTATCTACAGTAAGCTCCGTCGATGATCTTGTTGCGTTGAATCGCCCCAGCCCCCATGCAACCGCTTCAAGTCGTACGTGCCCCTCATTTGAGACCGCACTCGTTTGTCAAGGATGTCACTGGGATGATCCAATTCCGCCCCCAGACAGCTGGGTCGCTGGGAACCCAATTGATAGGTGCAAGACGCATGACTTCCCGTCCTTGCTTGCGAGAGGCACTTTTGATATGATAGCGATTATCAGCCGGGGCGTGGCTTACGAGAAGTCCAAGTCAGAGAAATGGAACGATCTCGAAACTTCGAAGGGTCAAAGCTGCAGATGGATATAGAGTTGGCTCGACCTTTGTCTTTGTCAATTTGTCAAATCAAAAATTCATGGAACAGGAGATGAGTTCCGTACGGTGTATGTACTCTCCCTAGTCAGGTACCGGGACAATCCAGACACCAGGGGTATCCCAATCTCCCTGAGGAGTCCGCTTGACATGACTTTGAGATCGCTGGCTGGAGGGAGATGGACCGTCCAACTTGCTGTGGATGCTTGTCAGCAAATAGCGCTGATCACCGATTATCTCACCCGCAGCACGCTACTCCAAAGTATTCGGCGAGTATGTATGCGGAGTACGATGGCAATTTGTCACAGTTGTAATGTCTATTTGAGGCATTGAAAGGCGTCGGGGGCTAACTAGGCGATCGATAACTGGGCTGAACGGACTGTGTCTCCGGAAAGCGAAACCTGCATCAGAACTATGGACAAGAATGATCAAAACCGTTGACAGTTTAATCGGATGAGATTCAGTTACCCCGGTCCGACGCTAGGCGAACGGAAGATTGACTCTTGACTCTGCCACTCTGGTCATTAATCTTATTGTTGGTTACGGAGTTGTCAAAAGCAAAACTCCTAACCTAGGCAGTCTACCTAGTACCTAGGTAGTAGGTACCTTAGGTAGGTATCTAGTAGATAATACACCAGACGGAGTAAATAACGCCTGAACCACAGGATCTTATTGGGGCGGACCCCGATAGAACTTGATCGATATGAATTGTGAAGGCGACTACTAAGTAGTCTCTACTACTACTATTAATGAACAGGAATACGGTGGTCTTTTTTCTCCCATGGCTCTTAGTCTAGAACCTAGATAGATACTTAGTTATTAGGTAGTACATATAGTAGTCTCTAGTATCTACTCCGTACTATCAGTACCAAACTCTCCGTCCCGGAGTAAAGTTGACTAACTAATCCATCTCCATCCACTGGGACTATCTACTACTACTAGAACTCTAGAAGAAATAATCCTTGACTGGAAGTACGGAGGTCGGAGATAGATACCTAGTAGATAGACCGGGCTGATCATTTGACATGAACGTGAAGAGGATTGTGATCCCCATCTAGATACCTTCCCAGAACTAGAAGAATATCAACCGAACACCAATAATCGCTCCAAAAGGAACTATCCATATTGTGCATTTTCTTCCTTCGTCTGGTGTTTTCAAATTCTTGTACTTTCCGCTTGTCGGTGGCCCAAATAAATCTCTATCATCTTCTCTCTCTCTCTCTCTCTCTCTTTTTTCCCTTCCCTTCCGCCTGTCTCGTTTTCCCTTAGAATAATTCCTCGATTGAACTTCCATCTCTTTTTTCCCCCGTCCCTCTCGAGTCTCGACCATCAATCCGTCTGCATCTTCTCGGACCAGAGACATCGGAAGGAATTGTCTCCCTCTCTCTCTTCTCTTAATCTTAATCTTGACTCGACCTCTTGTTTCCCCCCTAAGCAAGCCATCATGTCCGACAATCAACAAACGGCAGGGAAGAGAAAGCGTCCCAGTATGTATTCTGTCCATCCATCTATCTACCTGTCATAATTATCTGCCCTTTTTTCTTCCCTGAATCTTTCTTTTTCTTTTTCTTTTTCTTTCTCTCCCATCAAATCTGCACCATCTTCCCTGGAATTCTCCTTTCCCTTTTTTTTTTTTTTTTTTACTTGGTCTTCTGCTCTTCGGAGGGTTGGCTCATTGATTCTATCCTATTTGGGTCCATGAAAATCTAGTCGAAATTTTTTCGGGATCAGACAGACATCATCTCTTCAACATCCTTTCGCAATTCTTGTGTTTCATCCTCGGCGCAATCAATTATTCTCTATCAGTGTCACTGCAGATAATTTGCCCCTCTTCTTTCCCCCCCCCCTCTCTGTTTCTCTTCTTCTCCGAATCAGCTCTACTTTCCTTCAATCACCCCCCGGGGCGATCCTCCTGCCCCGACCCCTCCTTTGATCGTATTGCAACCAACAAGGAATCATCAAGCCATGGCTGACCGCGCTCGATCACCAGGGACCCAGTCGTGTCCTCCTCCCGAATTGCCTCAGCTCGTCGCTGAGCAGCATGTTCCTATCCCCGTTCATGATAAAGAAACCAAGCGTTTGATTGTCGTTCTTTCACATGCCAGTTTGGAGACATATCGCGCTTCCCATGGGGGTCGGAATGGCGCGGGCCGGGATGAAAAATACTCACTGCTCAACAGCGACGAGCACATTGGTATCATGCGCAAAATGAACCGAGATATCAGTGAAGCGCGACCGGATATTACCCATCAGGTTTGACTCCTCAATCTGGATTTTTACGGGAGTTGTGGGCTTCTTTCTCAACTGCTAACCAATGCGCTTCCATCTGCTAGTGCCTTCTCACTCTCCTCGACTCACCTGTCAATAAAGCCGGCAAGCTCCAGATTTACATCCACACCGCAAAGGGCGTCCTGATCGAGGTCAACCCAACGGTCCGCATTCCTCGTACTTTCAAGCGTTTCGCCGGTTTGATGGTCCAGCTGCTGCACAGACTGTCCATCCGTTCGACCAATTCGCAGGAGAAGCTGCTCAAGGTCATCAAGAATCCCATCACGGATCACTTGCCTCCCAACTGCCGGAAGGTGACCCTCAGTTACGAGGCGCCGGTGGTGCCAGTCAGAGATTACATTGAATCTCTGGGCCCCAAGGAGAGTATCTGTATCTTTGTCGGCGCCATGGCCAAGGGACATGATGATTTTGCGGACTCGTTCAAGGATGACACGATCAGTATTAGCAACTACAGTTTGAGTGCCAGTGTCGCGTGCAGCAAATTCTGCCATGCCGCTGAAGAAGCCTGGGATATTCTTTGAGCCAAACATGAACCAGTGGGCACGAGCGCAACCAAAGAAGAAGAAAAAAAAAATTATATCTTGACGAGGTAACGAATTTCTTTACACCGAGCCACCCTCCGGCTAGATTGAGTGTAGCGGATGCCAATTCTGGGGAAAACATGCTTTTGGGCATGTCCTCCTTCACTCTCCGCTATTGGATCGCCGGCCTCCCCGTCTTTGCGTGTGTTGTTGGTACCATTATGCGTTTTTCTTCCACTCGCAGACACATCCTGCTAGATTCCCAGAGGGTGCAGCACGACACGGGCCATCATACGTCATTGCATACGTTTTCTTGAGATGTCTGGCCTTGAATGGACGGCGTTCTTCTTCTCTCGAGAATCGGGCAAGTGACTGTATTCGTTCAAGTTCTGTAAGGGTGTTTCGGTTAGGCCCTCAGCGTTGAAAGCTAGACACAACTCTCGGACCAGGTTCTCCCTTCTCGATGGGACGTCCTGAGCTGCGACTGAAGGCAAGGGACCATGGCTTCGGAACTCATACCCATATGTGCCTAAAGTCAATCCCGCCCAGAACTCTGCTGTTCGACGTGGTCTCATATGTGAATAGGATATCTATACATTGTGTATTTAACGGTCGTATCTTACCGACTCGATCTTTTGTAGACGGTATCTCTGAATTGATCAACCAAGATCACAACAACATCCAAGCTGAGTTCCAGTTAAAGTAGGAGCATACAAGGATGAACACCAGGGGAGATACTTTGAGTGAGATAAGACCTCACGCTGCCGATGCTGCTGATCATCGAAGATGAAGGGAAAGGGATTGATCCCGCAGACGAACCTCAGGCACTATCTATCTACTTCAAACGGTTCAAAGAAGAGCAAAGGCAGGCAGAGAATCATGCCTGAAGGAACAGGCGACCATCAAGGCATCGACATCTTCCATAATTGGCAATTGCCCCCTTTTCCGCTCTCTCCTACACACTCTCTGGCTGCAATAATGACAGCACAGCCTGCGGTAACCACATCTCCAGTATTGAATTCTTCCAACGATCAATCCTGGATGAAATCAGTAATCGGGCGGTCTTGGTGGCTGGGGGCGGACTACGAATTGCTAACAAAGTTACTCTTTGTCTCTTCGACGTGGCATGCAGAGAGCCATCAAGGTGGAACCTCCCGCTTCACTTTCTTGCCTTCCGACTGTGGAGGTTCATCCAGATAGGGGATGGGAGCCGGATGATTGCTTGACCACTGGTCTGTCTGACCGGTTTGTGCTTTGCTTAGAATCGCACCCTTGACTAATGTGTTGCTCTAACTTCTTCTCGCCCCTTAGATGTGCATCTCCGGCCTGGTTTGTGGCCGAAGAGCGGAATCGGAGTGTGCGAAATCCATTCGTATCATCGGGCAATATCTATACCCTTTGATTCAATCAGACGCTGGAATAGTGCATGGCCCACGAGACAGGTTGCAAAAGAGAGAGAGTGGATGCTGTTGGGCGGTCAGACAGCCCCGTCTGGCGACTAAGAGCAGCAGAAGTGCCCAAAAGCAGGAACCAGATTGGTGCAGGGCAGCTTTGACAAACCGTCGGTCAGCATCAGCGAAAAAAAAGCCCATTGCAAATTCTCCAGAAGAGAGACTGTCAATCCATCTGTCGCACCATCCCTCTCTGGAGTCTGGTGGCCTCTAGCGAACCCAATTCCTACAGTTGCTAGTTGCTACAGAGAGTAGTACAGCCTACAGACTTATCTTGCCGTTTACAAGACTCTTCCATCCTGTCAATATGGTAATGAGTATGCCATCATGGAGCCGGCAAGTTGAGAGTTTGAAGCAGTTGTCCCATGAATCAATCCCCCACCAGGAGGCCTATCTTTAAGGCCCACTTCTAGCCTTTGACTACCTTCTCGCCTCACCCATCTTCAGGGACTGCGATTCGATGTTCTCTCTTCACACATGATGTTGTCGCTTGGCTAGTTGTGCAAGTTTCAGAAAACCAACCTAGGACCAACTGTTCTCTCATCGGGCGCCCCATCCACCCTGAACTGGGGCCACTTACAGGACTGTCCACCGCGTCCAACGGCTGCCCCCGGTGCCCCGCGATGACCTGGCGGCCTAGCGCGATGGAGTTCTCAGTCTTACAAGCCCACGCTGGCAGCCTGGCACATTGAGTGGTGAGTTGCTCTATGCTTTACCAGAGGGCGAACAGAAGCGTAGCATCACCAGTGATTTTTTTTTTGTTTCTTTCTCGCCTCCGTAATCCTGAGTATGAGAGGAGCTCGACTTTCACCGGTTCGAGACTCCTAGGGCCTGGCCACTACTGTCCAGGCTTCATGGGTGCTTCTCACCCCCTAGTCATTTGTCGGTTGTTCCGCCTAGGTATGCAATTGTGCCTGCAAGATGCTAGAGCTGTATCGCTGGAGGGGCCCGTTTCCTTTCAGGGATACATACAGCTGCTCTAAAGCTGCCAACCACCTGTCATTGGATCACCGTTGGGCATTCTTTAGGATCTCCATCTGTACAGCAAGACCGGGCCTTGAAATAGCATCGTCATGGTCCTTTGCGCTTTCTGAATTATTCTTTTTTGGCTCTGGATTGTTGTCATCCGATCATTCGTGTGTGTACAAATTAGACTGGACAGTATATATACACATTGTCCCTGCTTTTGTCGACCTGATTCTAGGAACTTTTACTCCCCTTACTTTGTCTCGTGGATGTACCTCTTGGGCATCCTCACTTTGTGACTCACACTTGCTTGCATACATATATCATTCCCTAAATCAAGGCGTCCTGCTTGTACCTGTGAGCGTTCACTGAGCGAGTGGACTCCCATCCAACAGACATGCCTCTGTCCCACCTCACCCTGACCGTCTCCCATCTGCCGACCTCCACCTCCTTCTTCCTCTCCTGCCTGCAGCCGTTAGGGTACCAATTCATCGGTCGCCATGATGATTACATCGGTTTCGGTCAGAACTCGGGCGAGCCGGCCGATTTCTGGATAACCGAACAAAAGCCAGGGTTAGTGTGACCTGCCGGCATGCTTTCCATGCGCGTTACACTAATTGAATTCAAAATGTAGTTCTCCAGCGGGCGCTGCACATGTTGCATTCCCTGCGCCTTCGAAGGATGCGGTCGGGGCTTTCTTCATCAACGCATTGAAAGCCGGAGGGAAGCTCCATGGTGAGCCCAAGATGCGCGACGCGGAGTCCGGGTATTATAGTGCAGCCATCATCGACTTCGACGGCAACAGCATCGAGGCTGTGTACCGTCCAGGGGCCGCCTCGGTTGCCCGGTCAGAAGTCAGCGCACCATCCATTGGCCTGCTCGAGAATGGCTCCGTGGTGTCCCGCGCGAGCACAAAGGTCAGCTCGGTCAAGGCTCCTAGCGTGGCCCCCTCCACCAGATCAGATGCCAAGTCGTATGTCTCAAGAGCCACGACCGCTGTCGAGCGAGGTGCGCCGTCGGAGCGAGGGATAGCGCCGTCGGAGCGGATGGCGCCAACGGTCATCTCTCGCGAGATCCATCAACCCGCTCCATCCCCCACCTACATTGTACATCATACGACCCAGCAGACGACAGAAAAGAAGGACGATAGCACGGCCAAGACGATCGTTGGCAGTCTCCTCGGAGCGGCTGCAGGCGCAGCGATTGCGTACGCAATGACCAAGTCCGACTCGCCGACCACCACTTCGGAGATGACCCCCCCTCCGCAGTATTCACCCCGTGACATCGCGCAGCTGATCATGCCCTCGCCGTCATCACAAGCGCCGTCGGCTGCTCAAGAATACCAGGGCCTCCGGGCCATCGAGGCGCCTCCTGCGAGAAGCACGTACTCGCGGTCAGATGCGCGCTCGACTTTGTCTCGCAGCGTCTCGTCCAAGAATCCTCGGGCGAGCACAATATACGAAGGCACGGAGTTCATCCATCCGCGCGGGGACAACGGCAGCGTGTATCTCGATGAGAACGGGCGCCGCACGTCGGAAGGGAGCGTCTACAGCACAAGGGAGCTTCCCCTGCGAGCGATCGAGTACCCGCCCCCGGCCCGCTCGAACACATACCCCAGCAACGCCAGCACCCTCATCAGCAGTTTCCCGGACCGGTCCCGAGCGATGGACAACCAGAGCGTCTACTCCGCGTCGACGGCCAAGCCCTCCAAGGCCAGCCACCAGGATGATCACCGCTCCACGCATTCCTCGGCGCGCCAGTCGTCACATCACTCCGCGGCCCGCTCCCAACTCGGCAGCACGGCGTCATCGAATCGCACGGCGCGCCAGATCCCTCTGCCCGAGGGCTCCGTGGCGTCGTTCGCCACGTACCGCACCGCGGCCAAGTCCAGCGCGTCTTCCGCGCGCGACATCCCGCTCCCGGAGAGCGTCATCGACTTCGATGTCCAGACCCACGTCACGCCCGACGACTCGATCAGCCAGATCGACGTGTCCCGACGATCCTCGTACTCCCATCAATCGCACCACTCCAAGGCCCCCTCGCACGTGTCGCGCCGCTCGAGCAAGTTCGACGAGCCCGTTCGGCCCAGCGACAGCGTCAGCCAGGTCTCGACCAATGTCTCCAAGTCGTCGCAACGGACCGTCAAGGCCAGCGGAAGTATCGCAGGAGGGGGCTCGCGGGCTCCGTCCAAGGTCAGCAGCCGACGGGGCAGTCAAGTTGCTTAATAGAGGCTTCTTCGTTCATGTTCCGGCGGCCTTTTTCCTTTTCTTTTTTTTTTTAAATTATCATGTAACGACAGTGTAACTCGCGGCATCCGTGATCGTCCGCCATCTATTCCAAGCATTTGCAAACAGGCAGGCAGCAGGTTGGCGTTTTCTCTTTCTTTCTTTCGTTCTTTTCAACTTCTCTGCCGTGTCGATATTTCCATATGACATATTCCATTCCATCTCTTCCGGGTTGTCCTCAATACGAACCACGCATCATAGAAAATCAACCTAGATAGACGCCGTCAGCACTCACATAAACCAAAACTAAAAAACCAAACCCAAAACCCAAGAGACATACCTACCCATCTACACCTTCGCCTTCCCCTTGTCTTTTCCTTTCCCCTCCCCACTTGTACCCCCCTCCCCCTCTCCCTCCCTCTCCCTCTCCCTCCTCGGCCTCCCCGTCCTCTTCCCATCCTCAACATACTCCGGCAGAATCCGAAAGTCAACCTGCGGGTTATACCCGCGCGCGCGCGCCTTGGCGACCCAGGACAGGATGGTCTGGCGGGGGAGGCGGAGGCTGGTCTGGACGGATTTGATGTCCACGCCGATGGAGATGAGGGTGAGGGCTTGGACGCGGAGGGTGAGGGGGTGGTTGTGTTTGGGTTTGGGTTTGGGATTGGGATTGGGATTCAGATTGGGATTCAGATTGGGGGTGGGGTTAGTGTTGGGGGGAACTGTTTGGTCCATGGCCAATGTTGGGTTTGGAGATAAGGTAGGTGTATCTTAAGTAGTTGGGTATGTAAGTAGGTAGGTATCTAGCTAGGGAGACGGTGATGATGAGGTTGGTCGATGGATGTTGGAGATTATAGGGGGGGGGGGAAAGGGGGTTGCTTTTTTCGGGAGTGATTGATCTAAACTGCTGTGGCACCGCGCAGGCTATCGATAGTTCCAGAGATTACGGATCCTAGCGATCGATTCCTCCGTCCACACCTTCATCTTCAGGATGGAACTACAAAGTAGATATTGAAGACTACAAGAATAAACCCTTCATACCGGTCAACGGATTGAACTTGTTCGTGCCAGAGCCACTATTTGGTACACACCGGATCACAACCCCCGAGAGTCGCCCTC